TTCCGAGATCACCGAGAATCTCGTTCTGAAGAGTGGACTTGCCTAAAACGGAAGTCGTTAGCAATTGATCAATTGGCGGGTATTCTGCTTAACTTACCTCCGACAAGGTCCTTGATGGCCTTGCTGAGGGGAATCTCAAGAAGACTCTTCTTGAGCTTCTGCGCAATGAGGGCGCGGACGATGTCGACAGCCACAACGGGCTCATCGGCAACTTGAGCGACGGGGCCAGAGCTGGGTGCAGCAGGAGCCGCCGCGGAGGGAGCAGCGGCAGCGGCCGCAGGAGCAGCAGAAGCATCGCTTGAGGAAGCGGCGGCAGGCTCGGGCTCCTCTTCCACGGGATCAACGTCGTAGTAGATCTCCTTGGCGTCCTTGTTATAGCAGAGAATATTTCGCTGAACGGACTTGGCGGCATCGTAGGCCTCGTACTTGGACTTCAGTGTTCGCTTGGCCATGACACCGAGAGTATCGGCAGGACCAATTTCCACAACTCGCTCAGCGGTCCTCTCACCGAGGAACACATCTTGAGTCTCAATCCATCTGACGGGAGAAGCAAATTGGTATGCGAGCAGCTCAACGAGCAGCGTGTGAGCGAGCTCCTGCTCAACTTCGGGACGCATTTTGGCGGTATTAGGTCGTGGGAGGATTTGAAAGAAGGGGTATCTCGAAAAAGGCCGAACTGGCTATCGCAACCTAGAATTGGTGCGAGACGATGGTCGAATTGGCGGTGTTAACACCAGGGGCCCGCTTAACCCCAACGTAAAGAGAATATGGAACCGTCGTAAGAAACTCCCAAGCTGAAGACTGCAGCTGGCGGGGAGGTAGGAAAGAATAGGAGGAGGAGGGGAAGAAATGAGAAGGGAGGAGTAGGAGGAGAATGTTGGAGGCAGAAGAAGGTGGCCGGAGAGTCTATGAATATGAAGGCCAAGATTGCAAATCCGTTCTGCCTACCAGCAAGAATCAATGGAAAGAATTAGGGAAGAGACAGAGAGAGCTAGTAGAGGATCAAAGCCAATGCGTGCGGATGGCCCGTACGAATAGTAACAACGACTGTAACCGACGGCGAGGGAGGAGCCGATTGTTGAACGACTGGCCCACCAAAAAGTCGTCGAGAGAAAAAAAATTGGGGGAAGCTCTAGGCCACACCCCGGCCCTGTTGTCTTGTTGCCCCCCCTCCTAAGAGTAATTGGCGGCTTGTGCAGTATCGTACCTTACCTGGGGGGTGTGGTGATTACTCTCACAGGCTCCAAACAGGACGATAGCATCTTATCGTAATTTTATACATCTTATACTCTCCAATTCATCATAGCCATCCTCAAGGTTCTTACTCTACCCGGACCGTCAGAGACACTAGAATCGTGAGATTGAAACAACAATGCTAATGCTATCCCAGACTCTCTTGAACCCTGAAGCTGTCGGTACGTAGAGACCCTGTCAGGGCGCCTTGTCTGTCGCTCCCGCTGTAGCATGGTTGAGTATCCGGTACTTTCTCTTGAGTAGGACACTGGAACATCCCCGAGCCACACATGGCTGCGGGTCCTTGGCGTGCAGCCCGCTCCTCAACCATATTCCAGCGCTATGCCTATCTTGGTAAGGTTGAGCTGCGAAGGCGTGCACCAGCCAGGGGCGTCCAGGGGAGCGACTTCCCCAGAAACCCGACCTTTTGGGGCACCATCAACATCAATGGATTCCACGATACGATTGTTTGGTGGTTATCTATCATCAATGTTTGCGGTTTTATCCCTAGCGAGCCGGTGGTAGCTCGGCCGAGCGGGCTCGTATGATGCGTATGCTTCACTACCCTTGTTATCTACTGGTCAACAATTGAGTTCTCGGTCCAGGAACGATAAGAAACAGGCGCCATCTAGCAATCCAGGTATCCGTAAGGTGACGACAGATATCCCACCAAGGGTCTAATTGCTCTCTGTCTGTGCCAGGTGGTCCTTGCCCGCTGCCAGTCAGAGCTCGTACGAATAAGCTAGAAGGGGTGGAAGCGTAGGGTTCCAGAACGGGAGAGATGGATGACTGTGAGGAGATTATGCGAAGTGGTTCCATCTGTCCAGTTTAATTTTGCTGACTATTGCTTAACTACCACTCAGCATGATCAGCTTCGCTAGGTACCACTACATCAATTTCACTGTTGTTCGAGTCTACTCGTTCATCCGTCGGTCTCCGGAACTCCGAGCTTCTCTGGCTACATATTGCAGAGTCGTTGAGTTGTCATTCCATATTCATTATCTACCTCAAGCCGCGGTTGAGTATTAGAGTTGAGACGACTTCCTGAAACATTGGTTGTGCAAGTCACCATGAGGTGAGTTTGCGGCTCTTATCTGCACCTCTCATAAACGATTGCGGATAGCCACAGCCGTTGGTGCATGCAAAGCGAAACGAGATCTACACGACACCATGCCGGGTGCGGGTAAGGGTCGAATAGTCAAGGAGCACCGACGGACACTCTCTTGGTGTTGAACTGCAACGTCTTGTAAAATGTGCTCATCCGTGAGCGCAAGTCATCTGGCTACTCACCTAGACAAGCCAGTTCGAGGCTGAACATCTAGATACCTTAACACTTTACGCGTAAGATGCTTGGACATTGTAGTGGTCAATAGCTTGACCCCACCTCGGGAAGTCGATGCTGGACGGAGAATGTGGGGGGTCGAATCATGTTGGTGGCTACAAGTTGGGGATCAGCAGTGGGGTGTAAGGGTGATGACGAGGCGGTGAAGGAAGGCATAAATTATCTTGGGAGGCAGAAAACTGAATCATGAGCGGACAGCATGATCAATTGGTCCGGTTTTCGTCAATTGATTATTAAAATTCATTGATTACTATACGTGTGACGTGAGTGCACCGAAAGAGGCCTCTGGAGTGCCCTGGCCGTCCAGCAGCTGATGTTGAATTAATCTCCATTCGAGAAGGTTTGCTGAGATTGAAAGTGGACGCTGATGCTTGTATTCCATAGTCGAGTGGAGTCGCGGGAAGCTCACGAAACTCCCGGGCTGAACACATGTAGTAGTACATTCAAGCCCACTGCTCTTACTAACCGAGTGCTCAAAAGACAATTCTCGGGGCGCCAAAAATTCTTGGTCTTCTCAGATTAGGGGACAGAAATATTCAGACAGTTATGGTGCTGGCCAATCCAACCCTTTGCTTAATCTTTTTATTCCCTTGACCAGACGGTCAAGTCTTTTGATTCACCCCTGGCAGTTGGGCTAAGGAAAGCTGGACGATGGAGGAGGTAAAAAAAGATCACCAGTTTGTTACCATTTGACGCACGTAGTTGATCGCTTGATAATGTCCTAATTATTAGTGCACAATGTTTCTTGCCACTCTTTGCTAGCAAGAGAAGGAACCTGTCAGTTCACAATGGGCACGCCGAAATCAATTTTCAGCCATTACTGCGACTAAAAGTTTGAAGGTCATGATCCTCCCGGGTAGGCAGGCAGCGGCCAAGAGATGTGAATGTTTCCTCAGTGTAACCGAAGTACTGAAATGATGAGTGCGGAGCAATTGATCTGAGTATGACGATATGTTGTGCAGGAAATCGTCACTTCAGAATTGCTGAGAGACAATGGGGTCAACTCATTGTGATAGCTGGGCATATATCATAGATAAGCAGGTCTCTGCGAAGGAATTGAGTTGAGTTGAGTGCAACCCACAAGCCACTTTGGTATCATTGTGGCAATGGAATAGATAAAAACTACCTACCTAATGCTTAGAATGAATTTTGAAGAATGTGAAGGAGCCAGTGGTCTGCAAGGAGAATGTTGTTGTTCCGAACCGGTCGAATTGACATCTCACCAAAAACCATCGTCAGCCTTCCCTCCACCCGCTTGGTGCGGGCATGGCTCAACAGCAGCCTCACACGCCAGACATGCCCCGTGGTGGTGGCTCCAGAATGCTGTTCCAGCCCTTCAGACAATTGAACCCTTGTAGATCAGTGGCTGGAAGCGAGACCTCGTCCGAAGTCTCCCGGTAGGGCCATCTGAAGGCCAGAAGTGATGGATCGCAGCGTGCGGAAATGCGGTATCTAAGTACCGGTACATCGTAGAGGACCCCTTCTCCTTCGTTGACCTTCTTCTCAACCCAAGCCCTGCTCATGATGGTCCCCTTGTCCCTTTCTGGTAAGGAGGGTCATGCAGCAAGGGGCGTGTCTGATGCCGTGGGGTCCCAGCGGATCAAGCGAGTCGCCAATGCAGTGCATGCCAATGGCTCTCACGGCCTCACGGTCTCACAACGGCGGGAGGTGGATGTGTTTCTTTCCCCTCGACACTGAGCTGTGCACTAAGATAGCCCGGATTGTGGAGGGGGAGCAAAAAGTTGCACTCCTGTTGGTACTGTTTGGACGGTGAAGTAGGGAAGAAAAAGGATGCTAGGATACGTACCCCTCCATATCCCCAACAGAACTGATTTTTTGGCCTGCTACTCCAGTTCGCTGAGGCGGCCCCTCCAAGACTCCAGCTGCTTCAACCACACCCTCTACAATCCATCTCAATCCAATCCTTAGCCGATGCCCGGTACAAGCTTGAGTTTTCTCACCTTTGACTTATACCGTGGCCGGGACCAATTTCTCAATCCCTCTTAGACCTCTTCTTCCGACCCTTCCTCCTTGAGATTGTCCATCTTCATCTTCCTCTTCCATCATCATTCTCGTTCCTTCTTCCCTCCTCCTTCCCCTCCTCGTCTCTTTGCGCCTGGCTGGTGTTGTATTGTCTCGTGCTGCACTGCGCTCCACCGACTCTAAAGCTATTCTCTACTAATTTCTACCCCCTCCCACCTCTCAGGGGACCAGCCAGCTTATCCGCAAATACAGGACAGCCGGTTTCTTCTCTCCAGCGTCCTTGGGGAAAAACATCAGATCTTTCTTTCTGGTGTTACGACTTGAATTCATAGGTTTGTGAGCCACTGGCCCCCGACAGAAGCTATTTGATCGCCAATTGCAGTGACTAACCTTTGACTTTTGTTTGCCACTGCAGATTTTCTTCGATACCCCTTCAATCATCATGTACGGCGCCGGACAAGTCCCCCAGACGGGCATTTCCACCCCCAGATCCAGCGCTTCTCTCCGGCCGTTGACTCTCTCCCACGGCTCTCTCGAGACTTCCTTCCTCATCCCCACCAACCTCCATTTCCACGCCTCTCAGTTGAAAGACAAGTTCGTCGCCACTCTACCCGAAGCCACCGATGAGCTTGCCCTAGATGACGAGCCATCATCCGTCCCCGACCTGGTCGCCAGATACCTCGGCCTCATCGCCCACGAGGTCGACGAGGGCGAGGATGATGAGCAAGGCTCCTACGAGGAGGTTTTGAAGCTTGTTCTTAACGAGTTCGAGCGCAATTTCCTCCGTGGCAATGAGGCTCACGCCGTCGCTGCCAGCCTGCCCGGAATCGAGTCTAAGAAGCTCGACTTCATCCGCAGCTACTACACCGCTCGTGCGGTGTGCAACCGACCGATCAAGCCTCATGCCTCAGCCCTCTTCCGAGCAGCTGAGGATGGGGATGCCGAAATCTACACCATCTTCGGCGGCCAGGGCAACATCGAGGAGTACTTCGAAGAGTTGCGGGAGATCTTCAAGACATACTCCAGCTTTACCAGTGATCTGATCACCCGTTCAGCTGAGCTGCTCCAGACTCTCTCTCAGAACCCCAAGGCTGAGAAGATGTTCCCTAAGGGTCTCGATATCATGAACTGGCTTCACCACCAGGACTCTACTCCTGACGTCGACTACTTGATCTCGGCACCTGTCAGTTTCCCTCTTATTGGTCTTGTCCAGCTTGCCCACTACGAGGTGACATGTAAGGTCCTTGGTGTGCATCCTGGTATGCTACGCGAGAGAATTACTGGTTCCACTGGTCACTCTCAGGGAATTGTTATGGCCGCAGCCACTGCTGCCGCCGACTCTTGGGATTCATGGCAAGACATCACCAGCTCCGTGCTCACCATGCTTTTCTGGATTGGAACCCGAAGCCAGCAGGCATTCCCCATCACCTCCATGACACCCAATATGCTTCGCGAGTCCTCAGAACATGGCGAGGGCTCACCCACTCCCATGCTTAGCATTCGAGATCTTCCCCAGGTTGAGGTTCAGAAGCACATTGATGCTACCAACCAGTACCTTCCTGAGGACCGCCACATCAGCATTTCACTTATTAACAGCCCCCGAAACTTGGTTGTGACAGGACCTCCCACCTCTCTCTACGGTCTCAACTCTCAGCTGCGCAAGGTCAAGGCCCCCGTTGGTCTAGATCAGAACCGAATCCCGTTCACCGAGCGAAAGGTTCGCTTTGCCAACCGATTCCTGCCCATCACGGCACCCTTCCACAGCAAGTACCTCGCCGAGGCTACTGCCATGATCGACGAGGACCTGAAGGACATCACAATCGATTCCAGTGATCTCGGTATTGCTGTGTTCGACACCAACACTGGCAAGGATCTCCGAGAGGAGGTCAAGGGCAACATTGTTCCTGCTCTGGTTCGCCTGATCACTCGCGACCCCGTCAACTGGGAGAAGGCTACCGTCTTCCCTGATGCCACTCACATTCTGGACTTCGGCCCAGGTGGTGTCTCCGGTCTCGGTGTTTTGACCAGCCGAAACAAGGAGGGCACTGGTGTCCGTGTCATCTTGGCTGGCACTGTCGATGGTGGCATGAACGACCTAGGCTACAAGGCTGAGGTCTTCGACAGAGATGAGGAGAATGCTGTCAAGTATGCCAACGATTGGGTCAAGGAGTTCGGCCCCAAGCTTGTGACAGACAAGAGTGGACGAACATACCTCGACACCAAGATGAGTCGTCTGCTTGGTCTTCCTCCCATTCTGGTCGCTGGTATGACTCCCTGTACCGTCCCTTGGGACTTTGTTGCTGCCACTATGAACGCTGGATACCATATCGAGCTTGCTGGCGGTGGCTACTTTGTTGGTCCCATGATGACCGATGCTATCACCAAGATCGAGAAAGCTATCCCCGTTGGTCGTGGTATCTCTATCAACCTGATCTACGTCAACCCCCGTGCTATGGCTTGGCAAATCCCCTTGATCGGCAAGCTCCGATCCGAAGGTGTTCCCATTGAGGGTCTCACTATTGGTGCTGGTGTTCCTTCTATTGAGGTTGCCAACGAGTATATCCAGACACTTGGACTCAAGCACATCAGCTTCAAGCCCGGTTCTCTTGATGCCATCCAGGCTGTTATCAACATTGCCAAGGCAAACCCCCACTTCCCTGTTATGCTCCAGTGGACTGGTGGTCGTGGCGGTGGTCACCACTCTTTCGAGGATTTCCACCACCCTATTCTTTCGATGTACGGCCGTATCCGACGACAGGAGAACATTATTCTTGTTGCTGGTAGTGGTTTCGGTGGTGCTGATGACACATACCCCTACATCACGGGTGACTGGTCCAAGAAGTACGGCTACCCTCCTATGCCCTTCGATGGTTGCTTGTTCGGTAGCCGCATGATGGTCGCCAAGGAGGCTCATACCAGCAAGGCTGCCAAGGAGGCCATCGTCGCCGCTCCTGGTCTTGATGACAGCGAGTGGGAGCAGACCTACAAGGGACCTGCTGGTGGTGTTCTTACCGTCCGATCCGAGATGGGTGAGCCTATCCACAAGCTCGCAACTCGAGGAGTTCGCTTCTGGGCCGAGATGGACCAGAAGATCTTTAACCTCCCCAAGGAGAAGCGAGTCGCTGAGCTTAAGAAGAACAAGAACTACATTATCAAGAAGCTTAACGACGACTGCCAGAAGGTCTGGTTCGGTCGCAACAAGGAGGGACAGGCTGTTGACCTCGACGACATGACCTACGCTGAGGTTCTGCGACGTCTCGTCGAGCTTCTCTACGTTAAGCACCAATCCCGCTGGATCGACCGCTCCTACACCTTCCTCGTCGGTGACTACATCCACCGTCTTGAGGAGCGTTTGACCTCTACTCCTGGCCAGGCATCCCTGCTCCAGAGCTACTCGGAGCTCAACCAGCCTTTCGAGTTGATTGATCGTGTCATCGCTGCTTACCCTGATGCCGAGACTCAAATCATCAACGCTCAGGATGTTCAGTACTTCCTCCTCATGTGCATGCGACCCACCCAGAAGCCTGTTACTTTCATTCCTGTCTTTGATGACAACTTCGAGTTCTACTTCAAGAAGGACTCTCTGTGGCAGTCCGAGGACCTGGACGCTGTCGTTGACCAGGATGTTGGCCGAACCTGTATTCTTCAGGGCCCTGCCGCTGTTAAGTTCTCCACCGAGTTTGATCAGCCTATTAAGACTATCCTTGATGGCATTCACGAGACTCATGTTGAGTACCTCACTCGGGACATGTACAAGGACAACAAGGCTGCCATTCCTTACACCGAGTACTTCGGTGGTAAGCTGGTGGACCTCGACATGCCCCTTGATGTCGAGGGCTTGACCGTGAGCTACGACACCTACAAGAACACCTACCGCCTGTCATCGTCCGCTGCGGCCACCCTCCCTGAGCTCGACTCTTGGCTGTCTCTGCTTGCTGGCCCCAACCGCAACTGGCGCCACGCCCTGCTCATGGCCGATGTTGTTGCCCAGGGCCAGAAGTTCCAGACCAACCCCATCCGACGCATCTTCAGTCCTTCCCGCGGCCTGTTCGTCGAGATCTCTTACCCCAATGACCCTTCAAAGACTACCATTGTGGTCCGCGAGCAGCCTCGCCCCAACCAGTACGTCGACGTCATTGAGGTCAAGCTTGTTGGCGAGAACAAGATCCAAGTCAACATGATCAAAGAGACCACTGCTCTTGGCAAGGCTGTCGCTCTGCCCTTGGAGTTCACCTACCACCCTGAGGCTGGTTACTCTCCCATCCGTGAGGTCATGGAGGGACGTAACGACCGCATTAAGGAGTTCTACTGGAAGGCTTGGTTCGGTGACGAGGCTCTTGCTCTGGATGCCGATGTCACTGCCAAGTTCGATGGTGGCAAGACTACTATTACTGGCGAGGCCATCAACGACTTCGTCCATGCCGTTGGCAACACCGGCGAGGCTTTCGTTGACCGACCTGGCAAGACCGTCTATGCTCCTATGGACTTTGCCATTGTCATTGGCTGGAAGGCTATCACTAAGCCTATCTTCCCTCGCACTATCGATGGTGACTTGCTGAAGCTTGTTCACTTGTCCAACCAGTTCCGCATGATCCCTGGCGCTGAGCCTCTCAAGAAGGGTGATGAGGTTTCCACCACTGCTCAGATCAACGCTGTCATCAACCAGGAGGCTGGCAAGATGGTTGAGGTTTGCGGTACACTCGCCCGTGATGGTCAGCCTGTTATGGAGGTCACCTCTCAGTTCCTCTACCGTGGTACCTACACCGACTACGAGAACACCTTCCAGCGCAAGGTTGAGACTCCCATCCAGGTGCACCTTGCCACCACTCGGGACGTCGCCATCCTTCGCTCCAAGCAGTGGTTCTCCGTCGACGAGCTTCCTCAGAACATTGAGCTGCTCGGCCAGACTCTGACCTTCCGACTCCAGAGCTTGGTGCGCTACAAGAACAAGACTGTCTTCAGCAGCATTGAGACCCGGGGCCAGGTCCTGCTTGAGCTCCCCACCAAGGAGATCATCCAGGTCGGCAGCGTGGATTACGAGACCGGAGAGTCCCACGGTAACCCCGTCATTGATTACCTTGAGCGAAATGGTCAGCCTATTGACCAGCCTATCAACTTCGAGAACCCTATCCCTCTCAGCGGCAAGTCTCCTCTGGCACTCCGAGCCCCTGCTTCGAACGAGAATTACGCCCGTGTGTCTGGTGACTACAACCCCATCCACGTCTCTCGTGTCTTCTCCAGCTACGCCAACCTTCCCGGCACCATCACCCACGGTATGTACTCTAGTGCGTCCGTGCGAAGTCTCGTCGAGACCTGGGCCGCCGAGAACAACATTGGTCGTGTCCGAAGCTTCCACGCCTCACTCGTCGGCATGGTTCTGCCCAACGATGAGCTCGAGGTCAAGCTCCAGCACTCTGGTATGGTCTCTGGTCGCAAGATCATCAAGGTTGAGGTCCGCAACAAGGAGACTGAAGACAAGGTTCTCCAGGCTGAGGCCGAGGTTGAGCAGCCTACCACAGCGTATGTCTTCACTGGCCAGGGCTCTCAGGAGCAGGGTATGGGTATGGAGCTGTACGCCAGCAGCCCCGTTGCCAAGGAGGTTTGGGACCGTGCTGACAAGTACCTCTTGGACGCCTACGGTTTCTCCATCACCAACATTGTGAAGAACAACCCCAAGGAGCTCACCATCCACTTCGGTGGACCTCGTGGTAAGGCTATCCGCCAGAACTACATCGCCATGACCTTCGAGACTGTTGCCGCCGATGGTAGCATCAAGTCCGAGAAGATCTTTAAGGGCATTGATGAGACTACTACCTCTTACACCTACCGCTCCCCTACTGGTCTTCTCTCGGCTACTCAGTTCACGCAGCCCGCCCTTACCCTGATGGAGAAGGCCAGCTTCGAGGACATGAAGGCCAAGGGACTTGTGCCTAACAACAGCACCTTCGCCGGCCACTCTCTCGGTGAATACTCTGCCCTGGCCGCCCTTGCAGAGGTCATGCCTATTGAGAGTTTGGTGTCTGTCGTGTTCTACCGAGGTCTCACCATGCAGGTTGCCGTCGAGCGTGATGCCGCTGGCCGATCCAACTACTCCATGTGCGCTGTCAACCCCAGCCGCATCAGCAAGACGTTCAACGAGGCTGCTCTCCAGTTCGTTGTCGACAACATTGCTGAGGAGACTGGTTGGCTCCTTGAGATTGTCAACTACAACATCGCCAACATGCAGTACGTGTGTGCTGGTGACCTCCGTGCGCTTGACACTCTTGCTGGTGTGACCAACTTCATCAAGATCCAGAAGATTGATATCGAAGAGGTCAAGGACAACATTGAGGAGGTCAAGGGCCACCTCCGCGAGATCATTCGCGGCTGTGCCGAGAAGACACTCGCCAAGCCCACTCCTCTTGAGCTTGAGCGTGGCTTTGCCACCATCCCTCTCCGCGGTATCGATGTGCCTTTCCACTCTACCTTCCTCCGATCTGGTGTCAAGCCTTTCCGATCTTTCTTACTCAAGAAGATCAACAAGACATCTATCGATCCCTCCAAGCTGGTCGGAAAGTACATTCCCAACGTGACGGCCAAGCCCTTCGCGCTGACCAAGGAGTACTTTGAGGATGTGTACAAGCTGACCAACTCGCCCAAGATTGGTGCCGTGCTGGCCAACTGGGACAAGTACAACCAAGATGAGGGTGCTACCAACGGTGTAGAGGGTAGTGAGAGCTCCAGCGGCGAGTACGAGGGCTCGGGCCGTGCTGCTTAAGCAAACAAAGAAAAGACATGATGAAAAGGGAGATAATTAAAAAGGGAAGAAGAAAGCCATGTACCGACATGATGCGACGGAAGATTAGAAATGGATGATTATGAAGAGAGGATACAAATTCCCGGTGGGATTGTTATTTGGCATGATTATATTACGATGTATTGTGTTGTGTTATCTTTAGCTAGAGGGGCGTTTTGTTTTGCTGCAACGCAAGTTAGACAACAATTTTGAATGTTTGAATGACATTTACTTCTAAGAGTCATGTGTATATGTATCATGTATTTTGAGTGATGGGTGATTGTTTGGTTGTGTTGTGTGATGTGTAACATTGCAACGGCCTATTAGAGATCATAGCCGAGCGTTGTTGAAGCTGGTAATGGGAATAATTAACGAGCTGAATGACCAAGTACCTGATACTTGGGAACCAGCCTCGGCTCAGCGCTTTATTTGGAGTATCTGACACTTTTCCCACTAAAAACTCCCCCGCAGGTTCCTGTTTTCAGGCGGTCGGCTGCCGGCGACAGCCGGAGACGGACAAGAGGACAAGCGGTGGAGATGGCCTATCAAGGGATCAAAGTCCGCTTTGGTCACTAACAATATCACAAACGTATATAAGTTTTACGTGTTAGTGGAATTTGTATATAAGAGCTGGAGAGGAAGGAATTAGTATTCGCGTTCCTTGCTCTTGTCTTCTTTTCGTCCTCTGTTTCTCTTGCTCGGTTCGTGAGATATAATCGTTGTATTGCATCATCTCCACTTGGCACTCACTCACTCACATCTCCTTATAACCACAACGTTTTTGTCTTGGGATCTTATACCACTCAATAAACAGAACAGATAAATACTTGGCCATGGCGGGTCCAAAGAAACAGGTCTTTGTGGGGACTTTCATATCCAGCAAGAACCCTAAAGAGCTCAACTACAATCATGATAGACTCGTATGCGTCGACGAAGAAGGCAAGATTGTCAAGGTTGACACAGAAGGCGGTAGTACAGATCAGATCGAGGAGAGACTTATTAAACTACTCAATTGGAAGCTCAGCGAAGTTGATGTTCATAGCGCTAAGCCTGGAGAGTTCTTCTTCCCTGGATTCGTCGGTGAGTGATATACATCCCACATCTTACACAACCATACTCACAGACCTTTAGACTCACATGTTCATGCCTCGCAATACCCAAATGTGGGCATATTCGGAAAGACAACACTTCTGGACTGGTTAGAAAAGTACACATTTCCCCTTGAGTCCAGCCTCAAGGATCTGGCCAAGGCACGGCGGGTATATGGCTCATGCGTGCGGCGCACGTTATCCCATGGGACGACAACAGCGGCTTACTATGCCACCATCGACGTGGCGGCGACAAATCTCCTTGCCGATCTGTGCCTGGAACTTGGACAGCGAGCTCTTGTTGGACGTGTGTGCATGGATAACCCTGATTTCTGCCCCAGCTACTACCGCGACGAGAGCGTCGAGGAGGGTCTCGAGAAGACGAGACAGACGATTCAGCACGTGCAGAAGATCGACCCGGATTTCAAACTCGTGTCGCCTGTGTTGACGCCGCGCTTTGCACCAACTTGCTCAAGGGAGTCGATGAAGGGCCTGGCAGAGATCCAAAAGGAGCTGGATCTTCCCGTGCAGACACACGTTTCCGAGAACGAGGGCGAGTGTGAGCTGGTTTCGAAGCTGTTCCCCGAGTCAGAGTCGTATACGCAACTATACGATGACTGCGGTCTTTTAACGTCCCGCACGATCCTGGCGCATGCAATTCACTTGAGCGAAGCAGAGGCGAAGCTGATAGCGCAGCGAGGAAGCAAAATCTCACATTGTCCGTGCAGCAACAGCTCTCTCACAAGCGGTTCGGCACGCGTGCGCTGGCTCTGGGATAAGGGCATCACCGTTGGTCTCGGGACGGACATGAGCGGCGGCTACAGCCCCTCGATCCTCGAAGCAGCACGCCAAGCAGCGCTGGTGAGCCGTCACATCGCCATGGGCCAGCAGGAGGAAAAGGAGCGGAGCAAGTTGACCGTAGAAGAGGTGCTATATCTCGCGACGCGCGGCGGAGCAGACGTCGTCGGGCTGGGCGACAGAATCGGCGGTTTCGAGGAGGGCATGGAATGGGATGCGCAGCTTATCCGCCTAGGAGGCGTTGACGATGAGGGAGTCGCTGAGGGAGATGGCAATGTTGATGTCTTTGGGTGGGAGACTTGGGAGGAGAAGATTGCCAAGTGGTTGTTCAATGGCGATGATAGGAATGTGAAGAGCGTTTGGGTGAGAGGGAGGATGGTGCATGCGAGGAAGTAGACGGGAAATGATGGTGACGATGATAATTTTGGAGTTTTGCGGTTATAGACAAGAACCAAGCAAGACATGGCTATTCAACGACTGGTATTAGTGTGAGTCATAAGTGATATCAAAGGTTGTCTTGTGACTGACCTGCATCAAACTTGTTTCACATATCTAAGTAATTTCTTTCTTTTCAGCCTTGAATCCTTGATACGCCGTTATTGGTGGCTTGTCAAGGAGTGTGGAGGGTGCGCCACGGCTGCATCGTTAGATTAAACATGTTGAACTCTTTTTCGTTTAAAAGATAACCGTTGGACCTAAAAGATCTCGAAATACTTTTCATAGTATTAGTGATCACCTAGTTATATTATCCTATGTACATCGATAATAAGCTTACAGGGTAGACATATATAGCTTGTTGTGTTCAACAGTAATTGGTATGGGGAAGATAACGGCAGTTGACATACCCTGCAGTGATCTATCTGATCGACACGACTAAAACAATAAACGTCAAAACCAAGGCAGGGAGTAATTAAAACAACCTATCACCAAAGGCCACACACCCCCTAGACAAGATTGACTCTAACCGCTCTCAAATCGTCACATGAGCAAGAAACAGTCCTAAAAATAACCTGCCACTCTTTTCCGCTGTTGTTCTTTTACCAGAAGCCGACTTAGACGCGTTATATCTTAGTTGGTTTGCTATAACACAACACATTAAGCGCTGCCAAGTAAATGCTCAGTCACTTCAGCTGATACAAACACAACTTTTGACCAATACGTAGCATCTATAACTAAAATATGCCCCCCCTGCTATGGCTGAAACTTCATCCTCAATAGCAGAAATTCGTCACTGCATGCTTTGTCTGTGGCGTCCATTCAGAGCTAGATGTGCTCACACCAGGCGGTTCCTCCCTTCAGCCCCGTGTGTCTAAGCCTGCAGTTAGAGATAGTTGCTTTTTATATAGGTAATTACAATCTGAGGGGAGGTCATGCGAGCGAGTGTTGGGCTTAAAAGACCGTGTTCCCCCCGTCTTTGTGTAAGTGGCCGTGTTATCTGACTTGTCAACTATAACACTGTTCCTGAGTATCAAGCCACGATATCGGTATCTTACCAGCACAACTCAACCAGACACAACAGTTTCTTATCCTTCGAAATGACCACTACAACGTCAACACATGGCCTCACAGCCACTGGCGTCCCAAGGATGCCCCTATGGCTCACCATCCTCCGCGGTGTAGCTTTCCTCCTGGCCCTCGGCGTTCTCATTGCAGCAGCATACCACCTCTCTCTTCTTGGAAGCTGGGCCCAATACTACGGCGGTTCAGGCCCAGCAGGCTTCCTGATCTTCGACGTAAGCTATCTTCACTCTCTCCACAATTCTGAGCAAAAACAACTGACTCCTCGAAAGGCAATCTTCACATTCCTCATCCTAGGCTCCATGCTCGCCGCAGAGTTCTTTGCGCCTCAGCTTTATATCCGTCTTCTCTTCCTGGGCGCCCTTGTTCTCGCCGCCATCTTCTGGTTGTCTGCCTGGGCGTGGGCTGCTGCGTGGGCATCTGACTTCTACCGCGTGTATGATGGCTCTGGGCTCGGTCGTGCAAATGGGTTCGATGCGTGGGGTGCTTCGTTGGCTGCCGGTGCTGCTCTAGGCGCTGTTACTTGGTAAGCTTCAGACCTATAAAATGGTGGTTGTTACTAACAAGTCCAGGGCTCTTATCATTGTTATCATCGTCTTCTTCGTCCGGGCCTGTATGGCTGATCCTCATGGTTCGTCATTCTCGCCGAGGCCTCAGAACGATGTTGAGGCGGGACACCCCAAGCATGAAGGTCAAACCTATGTCTAGTACATTAGCAAAGCACACGAACAGCTACGTTGTCAAAGAAAAGGAAGGAGTGGAGTTGATGATACCCTGAGCCGATATTTAATAGTTACCATATGATTGTTGCACTTAATCACAAGAGTCGGGGGGTTATTACAGATGTGTCTGGTATTTCTAGGCCTATGTAGGTAAGAAAGATATCCGTGTCCAGGATATACATGACGATCCATCCTGCTTTCCTGAGTTCTATTACCGTACAAATTGTGATCATACATGCCTCATTTTCCTATGGGCTTTAGTTCCGTAACGCCAATCGAAATGTGCCATCCATCCTTGGCCCTCTGCTCTCCTGGCTAGAGGTCGCCCTGTCGCCGCAGGGTCTTTGTTCCGTAACACCGTTTGTAATGCGAAATATCAACCCTGTTCTGCCTTCCTTGACAGAAGCCCTGATACCATAGGGTCGTTGTTCTGTAAAACCAGATGCAATGCGAAATATCAATCCTGTTCTGCTTTCATGGCAGAAGCCCTGTCGCCGCAGGGTCTTTGTTCTGTAACACCGTTCGTAATGCGAAATATCAAATCCGGTTCTGCTCTTGATAGAAAAAAAGGCATCGAGACAATACGAGATCTGGCAGTGGCCAAATTGATTAAAGAAAAGATGACCTGCCATACCGGTTCATCTAGCTGGCGTCTTTGTAGAAATCCCCGCCGTTGCAATAGGGGTCGAGGTAATAAATTATCGTCCCAATGATGATAGGGAACCAAGGTTAAAATCATTAAAATAGGAGAAGTAACTTCGGGTCACTTCATGAAGAAAAGGTAATAGAGGTGTGTGGGTTTATAGAGCAGTCGTATTGCTGGGACTAGAACCCTTCGGCGAAGGAGAACAAGTCTCTCTCAGGGAACTCTGTGGCCTGGTCGAAATCCAAGTTGTTGGACTGGGCAGCACCCATGTTGGGAGGGTTAGAAAAGAGATTGTCAGGGACCGCGTTGAATCCGGTGAACGACATGTTCTGGTTGTTGTTGTTGCTGCTGCCAGAGGCTGCGGCCGAAGGGGAGAAGACCTGGCTCGCCTGTGTGTTATGTACCAGAGCATCAGTGGTGGGAGATTCGTGGACAGGGTGGTGTGCTTCCTGGGGTTGCTGAAGGCCAGAATTGTTATCCATGAGACCTCCAATCTGGCCTTGCTCAGGCTGAGAGGTGGTGTTCGCGAGGTCGTTGTTGATATTGTTGTTCGCAAAGTTGTTGTTCTTGAGCTTGTTCGCAAAGTTGTTGTTCGCAAAGTTGTTGTTCGCAAAGCTGCTGGTAGGAAAGTTGTTGGTCACAAAGTTGTTGTTCATGAACGGGTTGTCCTCGTATGGGTTGACCTGAGAGTTGCTATCCTGAACTTGCTCAGAAATGGAGGCTGCATTGTCGGACTGGTTGTTCTGAACCTGAGTGTTAACAAAGATGCTGCTCTGGAAACCATAATCGGGGAGCTGGTTGGCCTGGGAGGTGCCGTTGGCTTGGGGTTGGTTAAGCATGAGCTGGTTAGAAGGAGAGAGACCGAAGCCGCCAATGGAGTTTTGATCAGCCAAGGTGGACAGGCCTTGATAGCCGTTGCCAAAGCCAATGCCAGTACCATTGCTGTTGGTATAGTCGGTGACATTGTTGAAGGCAGATGTGTTGCCAAAGGCAGTAGAAAAATCAGCATTGAAGGCATTGCCAGCGGTGGTAGCGTTGTTAGCACCAACGGTATTGAAGGAGTTATTCTCGCCAGCACCGGCGGCATCGAAGGACTCATTCTCGCCTTCAGCATCCATAGCATTCTCACCCGCAGTCACAGGAGTGTTGCCAACAGTAGCACTAGCACCGCTGGTGTTGGAGTTTCCAGCAGAGGTGGCAGCAGCCTTTTCCTGAAGGTATTGCTGCTCAAGAAAGTCAACATGGTCGGCATCCCCCTGTTGGAGGGCTGCCCAGTATTGTTGGACGATCTTTTCCTTGAGCTGGGAATCCTCTCGCATGCGCTGCTGTACACAAGGTGTTAGTGGTAATTTATCAATTAGTTCTCAAGGATATTGTTGACTTACTGCGTTCTCAGTGTTGCGAACTGAGTGGAGTTGTGACCTCTGCTTCTTTTCGTTTGCAGCAATCTTCTCTTCTTCCTTTAGGACTCTGTTGTCCATGTCGTCTGTCATAGCCTGCTTGGCATCCTGAGGGACGGCGTCCCAATCATAGGGGTCGGCACCAAGGGAGCAAGCCTTGAGGCGCCACCAGTTCAGCTCTACCTGCTGATCATTGGCCAGTCTTCGACACTTCTTCAAGGCTTCATCTCGGCGGTTGCGGGTACCCTTAGCAGCAATATTGTTACGCTCGAGGTCGATGGTCTTGCTTTTCTCAAGGAGAGGGCGGTTCAAGTCCTCAACAAAAGCATCAAGGCGGGGATCTTGAGCTTCAAGAATAGTCTTGTAGTATGCACCAATGAACTCCTTAGGTGGCTGCTGAGCAAGAGTGGACGGGGGTAGTGTTGGGACACGGGACACTTGTTCCTCCAACTCCTGGTCGATCGTGAAGAAGCGACGGATGATCTCAGATGGGGTCAGGTTGGTGTTGAGGCCCAAATTGGCGCGGGTCAGGGAAATACTGCCGATCATGCGAGTGTTGGAGTCAGGGTGAATAGCACTGACTGGAGCAGGGGGTTGCTCTTGGAGCTGGGGGTCGATTGGCTCAGCCATGGAATCGTCTCGGGTCAGGTCGATGGGATCCTGATCTTGTTCCTCAGAAGGAGTAGCAGCCTTTTGACCAGAGGACCGTCGGCTGGAGCTGGAACGCAGGTAACCGATCACGTCGTCCAAATAATCATCATAGGTGCCTGGGCCGCCCCCTCTAAAGGAATTGACGTGGGCAGAAGATCTGTCAAATGAGGCAGTCTTTCGAGGAGTAGGCTGCTGAGTAGCAACTTTACGAGTGTTGGAGGGGTGGGAAGGGTGATTGTTCTCACGAGCTACCTTCTTCTCAGCAGAACCGCTAGAAGAGGCGACTTCGGCTTCATCTAAAGAGCGCTTGCGAGATGTTTTGGGCTGCGTCTTTCGAGGCTTGGGCGTCTTCTTGGGAGCCTTCTGGGCTGTCTCTTCTGGCAACTTGCCTTGCTGCTTCTTGGCCAGGGGCTTGGCTCGGGGAGCTCTAGGTTTGGCTGGGCCTTTGGCTTTGGCTGTGCCGTTTGCTGGGGCTTGGGGATGCTGAGCTTGGGGATGCTGAGCTTGGGTATCAGGCTGAGACTGAGACTGATAAGAGGGAGCTTGTGGCTCAGAGGAAGCGAGAGGTGCAACTTCGATAGAAGCCACCACGTCGTCAGGTTGCGGTATAGGACGACCTTGAGTGGGAGGAGGTGGGTAGTTGTACTGGTCAGACATCTTGTCGACAGGACCACGCGATATCGCGAGGGTATAAATAGAAGTAAGAAGGGAGTGGAAATCAAACGACAGTGATGATGATGAGGTGATCAAAATGTCTTGTAGGTGTAGAGGAAGGGAAAGATAGATGAGTGTTGTGATGATGCGAGAGCAGTGAGTAACTGCGTCGGCAGAGGGGAAATGTGCAGTGATTATGTGTAGATAAGAAAGACGAGGCAAAGAGCTCGAAAGATAGAGGAGATCAAGACGATGATTCAGGATATCTCTGTGTCGTGTTAAGAGAAGATGCTTTTTTCTCTTTCTTTTCTGTGTTGTGTTGTTGTTGTGTGAGGGAAGTGGAGTGGGAGAAGTGAGGATGCAGAGGGAGAGGAAGAAATGGGCGAGGGTGGAGAAGAGGAAAAAAAGAAGGCAGAACAACAAACACAGTGGAAGAGGATATGCCCCAGCAGTTACAGTTACAGCTACAGGTAGATACAGTGGGAAATACTCCAGTCTTCCCCCTCTAAACAATTCCTACAGGGAGATATTGCACGAGACTAGGGGCTTCAATCCTGTTCCAGCGCCAGTCACTCACTGATTACTGGGCCCTTCGGCCTCTGAGGATGGAATCACGCGTATGAAATCGTTACTAATAGACGCGTCTTGGTCATGAGTGCAAGCCGTGATTAAGAAAAAAACAAGACGTGACGGACGGGGTGCAGAGTACCAAGGCAGATATCCCATCTGGTCCCAAGCAATGGCATATATAAATTGTTTGGGCAGCCCCACGTGAGCACTCCTCGACGAGCTCTCACAGCTATTAATCTTTGTATGATATGTAGTAGTTGATATAATCACAGATATCAAGTATGTCTAGTAATTTGCAAGTGTCGTAGAAGCCCATGGAGCTATATCGTAGACGCATAGCGGACAGTGGAGGTTTTGCAGTCATATCCATAGCCGCGTCCAAGCTCCAAGCCTCCGATATACAAGTGTGGTTGGAATAAAACGGGTTCAGATAGCCAATCGCCCGTTGGACGAGAAAACATGACGTGGGTTACTCGCGAGGGTGCACGAAGACGTGACTTTGCAACGACAACAGATCTAGCGAGATTTCTTTTTTGACAATTACTGTTTTTATTTATACCACATCTCTTGATTATGCCCATCTCATTGAAAGCAAATTGTTGCAAGTCACGCGTTGTTATTTCTTTTGTTGTATTTGCGTCAGTGGTGGGTGGGTGACTGTATCGCTGCCCCCCAAATCCGTCAACTCCAGCCCTCCTCCATATTTCCCGATCGCCAGCCCTCAAAAACCCAGCCAATAGGATTTAAGTCGTATTATACTCGTTGTATATCGTTCGCAAGAATTGTATTGACCGTCTCGCATCGTCATCGTTGCCTGCCCCTTGGCCTAGGGCCCATGTCGTGGAATATCGGAACTTCGCACTCAAGAGCGCCTCAAGTGCCGCAACAGCCAATTCTACAACTAAGCTGTAGCAATACAATTGTAACCTCACGTACTGGTAAGCTGTATCGATAACTGTGAAGCATTCTGAGCTAACTTGCGCGAATAGGGGCTACTGCTGAGGCCGTTCGTCAGCGAAACCGTCGATGACATTATCCACGAAAGGGTTTACAGCAATTGCAATGAGAGAGAAAGAAGGAAACCAGAAAGAGGAATGAGAGGGATCATTATTGACTATCTATACATTGATCAATTGTTCATTTGTTCGGTATTGTTGGTATCGCGAACACAGTCATTTTTCACCACCTCCTTCATCTCATACCCGTACCCTCCTTTGAACATTTACGAACATCCAAATCCTTTACCAACACCCTTTGACAGCTCGCTGATTTGCTCTCACCAAGGTTCTACTACATCGGCATCGAACCGACTCACCAAGAACACATTGAAACGTCAGGACCGCCTCGTAAAGATTAATCGAAATTGAATTCCCATATGCCAAAGATTTGGCTTTTCAACAACTGAACGCTGTCCGCTTCATGGTATCTAAAAGCACCTTACCGCTACCATACCCGAGGCCGTGTCTCGGGTCCATCAAGGCCGTTATTCTTACCCAAAAGCGAATGTTCCCTCAAATGCGCCATCAAGTATGTTGCTCCTTTCATGTCCTTGCCTTTCCTTTCCAATCATATCCTTTCCAATCCTGTACTGTCCTAACCTTTTTCCTGACCAGAGCCCTGCTCACAAGGCCAAACCTGTTCCGTCCTTTGTCCATCGATACACCGCCAAGAGTTCCCTTCGTCGTTGTTGCTGCTCTCCCAGATCCTCAGGTACACGACCCCGAACTTGAGCAAGAGCGCTGCGCATAACTTTACTGAATTTTCGCTGTCCAATTGTTAGCTTGCATCTCCTTGTTTTGCTTGTCAATAAACTAACCTGATATTCTGTGCTTAGAGTTACCACACAGGCTTCGTGAGCCCGCACAATTGTCTCGCATGCCTTTGCAACACTTGGTGATGCTTCCGACTGTAGCTTATCCGCGATAAGCAGTAACAAGAACGACCCCTGAAGAAGATAGATACCGAAGAAGAAAGGCATAAACTCCAGCCCAGGGTCGAATTCAAGGATCAGGTTGATTGCCTCAGCCGCCGCTACAGCATGACTCGTTGCTGTGATGAATCCCTGTGAAGAGATCCATAGATCTTCGTCATCTAGCAAGTTGATGGGATCCCACTTTCCGGCCAGGAGGATATGCAACACATGCATCACATGAGTTCCATAGGCGATGACAATGCGAGTCTGTATGTTGCTCTCTGTAAGTCGATTCGACCCGTTGGTGTGCACTGAGTGAACTGACGGGGTGTTGGCATCAGGAACCCCTGAACGATCGTTGCCCTCATTCGAAGCATCCACTCTATCCTCCGCTGGCCGAGGCAGATTCTTGTGCTCGAAAGCCTGAAGGCTCTGTTCATATATCTCCAAATGTCGAGTAATTTCAGCAGTCTGCGCATTCCACTCATGGCCTTGACGAAAGCCTGCACCGAACCGCGGGTGATTCTTTGCGTGGTGTAAGTCAACAATTTCGCCCAAAATGGTCATCAGAGGGAGGAAATAACCAAATATACTATGACCACGGCACTCGTATTGGGGTCCGTGAGCTTGTATCAAGTCGGCACCGTATCCTTCGGGGCTTGTTCCTAGCAAACTGGGGTCTGTCGTCTGGTTCGAGTGGTTTCTAAAATCGCCGCTTTGCCACAAAGCATCGTTCATGGGCTGCAATAGACCCTGGCATTCGATGTCGAGGAGAAATAGGGGGCGGTTATAGCACAACGCCAGATGTCGGTCGACAATGTATAAGAGCCACCATATACGGCGTCGTTCCTCGCGTTCCTCCTCACCGACATATCCGGTGCCGCTAACACCGCCTTCCGCATCATCTGCGGCATCGGTATCCATATTCTCGTGAGTCGCAGGCAATGGTCCAGGAGGGAGTTCGCGTCCTAACTTCAGCTCGCGAGCCAGGCCCCAAGCAGCAGTCCACCATCTCATACTCGCTCCCTTGTACTCGCTGGCAGAAACGACAACCGCCAAGTGAATATACGTTATCACATCATCGAGGCTTCCGGCAGCGCCGAATGGTCCCGATTCGCCACTCGTGGCATCCATGCTGATAGACCCAGGCATAGCTACGCCCAATCCGCCAAGCGCAACACCGTCAGCAACCGGGCTGGGCGCATCACTTGGTGGTGTATGAATGAGCGGTCGAAGGAGGTAGACTGTAAGCTCGAGGAGCTTTTGGCATGTCTTGGCGCGAGCTGAGGGTGTGCTGGCAAGGAATGGGGCATCGCTCGTTTGTGCAGCAACCCACATCATGCTTGCCAAGAGAGCTGGTTGACAAGGTCTCGGTCTTGTTTGGTCGAGGAAATATCGTTTTCGAAATACAAAGCCCAAAACATATGGCGACATGGGGTGCATCTGCGCCGACGATGAAGATGCAAAGTAAAGATCGACCAAATCGCAGGCGAGGGGAATCGGTATGATGTTGTTGAGATAAGGAATGATTGGTTCAAGAACCGGATAACGTAGTTTGGAGTTGTTGAAGCTGGGCGGAGGAACCTGAGCCTGATATTGACCTGGAGGTGATGCCATGGATATTCCCCATCCAGGGGATGTTCCCTTGCCCATTGAGTACCCGAGAGGGCTGTTTCCCATTCGAAAAGCGGAGTTGCTCGCAAAGTTGGGCGGACTTTGAGCTTGCATCGAGTATGAAAAATCCGAATAGCCAGGCATGTTGCCTCGTCCATTGGGAGCATAGGGCTGACCGTTGAGTACAGGACCTTCTAGACCCTGCGAATCATAGCCATGTGCCATGTTCCCGAAGCCGTTAAGATCGAGGCCTGCGTTATTCTCGATATGCTCGCCGTCCAAAGATGATCGGCCAAGATGAGGTTGTTCGCTTATGTTGCCAAGGTGGTCGAGGCCTTCCAAGCCTTGGGTATGTCGCATCACGTCTTCGCCTGGGTCTCTGCTCGACTTGCTGCTAGTACTCTGGTGTCGTTCGTCGGATTGTTGTTCCAAGGCCATATTCGAAGTGTCAATTCCCTTGCTGCCGGATTGGCCATTCTCAGACATGGACTCGTCGAGGTTTTGGCCTGTGGAAGACGCGGCTTGAGCAGCAGCCTGCTGAGCCAGTTCCTTCCGTGATGCCTTGCCTCTCTTCTTCCTTTCGCGGATGTACTCGCACCCTAGACCGAATTCTACAGAAGTCAGAAACACTTCGCCAATGCCTTGACCAAAGTACCTACCGATGCAGTGTGCGCAAGGATGTTGGCCGTCGCATTTGGTCCGGAGTTGATTACATTGATCACAAGCTCGACTGATTCTTCTCCTGATGGGCCCTGAAGTACTGCCGCTTCGCGGATGAACTCCGTACGGGTGTTGTCGGTTCTTGACTTGGGCTCCTGACCTCTCGATATGTGAATTGGAAAGCGGTACAGCTTGCGAGAGTGGTTGAATCGGATACTGGTGACTTTGGCCGAGTGAATCCAAATTTCCGCCCGACATGGCGCCCGACTGGACGTTTCCATCAGGTGAGATGTTGGAGGAAGTGATGTTCTGGTAAGGTGAGAAACGTTGAAGCGGATTTGATAACATGTTGCCGATGCTCGCGTTCTACCGCAGAGTCCGCGGAAACTGAAACGGCAGTAAGGTGTCAGTGTCGGTAGCTGGGATCAGATGTGTTGTAAGCTATTCCCCTCTCTTTGGAGACGATGGGGACAGCTTCTATGATAAGCCTGGTCAGCTTGTCTTGCCTTGCTGCAGGCAGAACTCAAATCAGTTGATGGGGAAGTGGTTGATGTAAGTAAACAGGGGTTCAAAGTCTGATGACGGCTGCTGGCGGGTTGCAGAGGCATCGAAAATAGAGCAAGATCAACGGATATTGCGATTAGGGGGCAAATTTGTCGGGGAGCGGGGGACCGCTGAGTGATTGACAAGGCATCTGACACGTTTGCATTGTAGGGAGTGATGAGCACAGGGTTTCTGAGGGTACAGTAGTACCTCTTTCGTGTGAATGGTAGGGGAAGCGGAAGGGTGTGAAGATTGACAGGGAGAGTAAGAGAGGGCAATGGATTCGCGGAGATGAAGAAGAGTCCACGTCCAGAACAAGAGACGAAAAGGAAGCCATACTTACAAGAGACCCTTGTCGTTTGAGGAATCCAATTCCGAATCCGATTGCAGTGCAGCTGGCGCAAAGGCACCGGTTAAATAGCTTATTGCCAGATGTGTTGCGATATGCGGTAATGGATGGATGGCGAGGGTTTGAGCTCACTACCTGATTCAAACTTTTGAACTTTAACCGGAAGGTGTTAAAGGCCAAACACGGACGATATGACTATGACGACGGTGTTTGTTGCAATTGAACTGGTGGTTCCAGCTTCTAAGAGGCAAAGAGTAGGACGACGTCTTCATGTCAAGACTGGTCACCTTATGGCTCTTTTTAAAAGAGGCCCAAGTCGAGTCAAGTCATGTCAGATCAGAAGACTGGCTGACTGACTGACAAGTGGATCCTGAGTGAAGGCTGCTTGTGGTAGGTAGTCTGGGCCTATAGCTTAGAGACCGCTTGTGAGTCGAGCTGTCAAGCTTTGGGGATGGAGAAGAGGTGGCTCTTCGTTTAAAAGACGGGGACGAAAGAAGCAAAAGGTTCGAATCGTGTCAACGAGCAATAGCAACAAAGTCAATTCGAGTCTGAATCAGAACCAGGTTAACGAAGGAGAGGACAAGAGAAAGAACGGGCGTCGTGTTTTTCTGGAGAAACCCCATCCCATGGTATGGTCGGTCCATGGCCCTGCTCGTGACTCGAAATGGGAAAATGGAAAATGAAAGTGTCGGGCGGTAGCCGGCCCATGCCCCAAATCCAAACCAAACCATACCCCAGGGAGCCAGGGCCGAGTTCTCTAAAGGCCAGAGACCAAAGAGAGCAGACCAAAGACCCAGACAGAGCATGACTGACCGGGGTGAATTAGAGAGTTCTTTTGCTAGGGCAGGGCAGGACAAGACAGAACAAGCATGCCCCATGCCCCAGGCCCTAGACCCCCCGGATACGTCCAAGAAAAGCTGCCGCATGCCAAATGGTTCGCTTACTACTCCGTACGGAGAAAGTCGAGGATCTAGTCTGAGTTGGTCCCTAGTCGTGCAAGTCTCCCAAGCTTGGGAGCGAGGTCCCGCCGAAGGTGGGTTGATGTGGAAGATGTGGAGTGGTGTAAGAGGTGGAGGATCTCGTTAGAGTAACCGTAACGTTAAGTAGCACTTTACTTAATTCTTTTTTACACCATGAGGGGGTAAGGTTAGGTAGGTGCTAGGGGAGGCCCTTGGAAGCTTGGGGCTGGGCTGCTGGGGGGTGGCTAACCCGCACTTTCCATCCAAGTTACAAATTACAACTTACAAGGGAAGGTAACCGTACAGTAGAGTTTAGTCCGGTCGGTAGCGACTCCCGATCATAATTCCCTATATCACCTCTATTAATTATACTTTGTCACGTTCGAGACGTGTTCTACCCGTATTTCTCGACCTTTTCTTGACGGACCATAAATTTACCGTGTCTGATGTCGCGTCGTGCAATATCATGACATGTTAATTCTTCTGTTCTTGCCGTCTGGTCTGGGGTACGTACACACAAGAAATGTGGCAGCCATCTCAACTCCCCAGGATCTCCCTCTCGCCTCTCTCGCTCATCTTATTAACCCATCCAACAATTGGACAGCAGCAACAGATTGCTACCGTTCTAGGCAAGGAGCTGTCCCATACGACGTAGCAAGCGATACTCTGTACCTACCTACCTACCTTTCCTAGCTACGAACCTGGGTTATCTTTATCGCGTCTAGGAAATGTGCTGACGTGCAAGGAACAGCTCATTGCCGTGTCAGGAAGGACCGATCAAGTCTTTGTTTTATGAGCTTGTCTTTTGCTGATCTGTAGCTCGTCCTCCTCCTCCGCTGATCACAGTGAGAGATATGGGCAAGGGAGAGTCAAGGAACCTGGGGATGGAAGAGGCTAGAGTGAGTCGGATCTAGTGGCGTCAAGCGCGTGGCCGCCTCAACTGAAAACTGTTGGAGAATGGAGCGTGAGGCTCAGATCAGAAACCGGCTCGGCTCAAACTTAACCGAGGCTTAACGTTAACGACCAAATTTCATGCGGCGTCAACAGCTCCAAGTCCAAGTTAATCTCCAAAAGGCGGGACGGCAGAGGGCAGCGGCATTTTGAAACTTGGGGAGAGAGGGACGACTCCAAGACAAAAGCAAAAAGAGAGAGAGAGAGAGAGAGAGAGAGAGAGAGAGAGCATGTGCCTGTACCTGTCCTGTCCTATCTTGTCCTGTGTCTGTGCAACCTGCATGTTCATGTGCATATGTGCATGTGTTTGATAGATCAGATACGGTGCACCCAACTTCTTTCTACCTCGAGTCTGTCTGTCTGTTTACTCAAAGAACACCCCCAGTGATGAAGGATGATGAAGGATCGCCGTGACCTCGTTCCCCAGGGCTTGCGATCCGTTCCGCAGGCTGCTAAGCTCCAAGGCAACAGCACGTTACCTCCCGTCTTCCGTCCCCCGTTCCCCGTCTTGGAATATGGAGTCTAGAACTCTGGATACATCTTGTCCCGTGTACGGAGTATCCTGCATCCATAAAGTGGATGAAGCAGGGAATAACACAGAGACATAGGTGTGAATGAAGATAAATAATGACACCAAGCACGCAAGAACAAGAAAAAGAAAAGAAAACCATCCGGACCTTTCCCAATTGCTATCAGTTCCCCGGATTTTCACCCCCCGTGTTAGTTCCTCCATGTGCTGTGTTATGCTTGATGCGATGCGCGATGCGATGTAATGAACCCCAAAAAAGTCAAACCCCAGACCCCAACAACGCTCAGACTCAGTCTCAGGCTCAGACTCGGGCCTCCAGGTGATTGATTCAATATGCACTTCGCGTTATGCATTACGATGCGCCTTCCTTAACGGTTGTTAGTCTGGGGGGATAATATTCTCCATTTTCCATTTTTCCTCTCGCTCTTCTATTGTCTAAATTATAATTTCCCCCAATCCAAGACATCATGGAAGAAGCCCCCAAGTCAAGCGAGTTCGCCATTCGGTTAATAGCCCGAAGTGAAGCTCCATTTATGTTTCACGCCGGAAGAGGAAGTCATAATGAATCTTTTAAGATGTAAACCCTCGTCCTCCAATTTTAATTCTGAAGCAGTTTATCTCTTTTTTTTTCCCCTCCCTTTCTTCCCTTTTTCCCCTTCCCTCTCTCAAACTCTGTCCCGTGTCTCCCGCTCCGCTTGTGTAACCCACTGTCCAACTTCACAACAAGCGATTTCACGCTGGACCTTACCCTCTGCTTATATTATCGTTAGCCTGTAGTTATTCCGGCGTTCGCGGCCGCATTTGCGCACCAATCAAACTGCTTAAAGCCCTGTCAGAACGTGCACCGGAAGCGCGGACTAGACATTAGACTCATTGGAAACGGAGTTTGCTATGTTCGAGCTGCCATAGGTGATTTGATTTGATTTGGCGCACACGAGAGTAGCATGACAGGGTCTTGGCCTTGTGGGTTGGATGCATTGATACAAGTTCTCTTTATGTTTCTCCTCCACTCCCCTTCCATCTCATCTCGTTCAGTGCGTGTGTATATCTGGCGTCTGTTTGACTACTGTAACATACGTATCCGTACCTTACTTGCTTACCTATAGTGCCATACCTCCTTCTTGATCCTTTTGATCCTCCCGCAATCCACTCATTCATTCATTCTCCACAGAACTAGAATTACGTAGTCTGATTAAATCCTCCCCCCTCATGACGATTCCCCTGCCGGAATGTTTTGCTTGTGGCGCCGACAGTTCAAGCGGGTCGCCGGCCCGATTTCCCCACACTCGGTCTGTGTATCAAATGGAGGGTGCGTGTACATCCATGCAAAGGCAATTGGAAGTTCTCCCCTCCAATCCAACCGCTTCATGATGACCTGACCCAAACAATACAAAAAAACAAACTGCTCCCATTCAGCCCGTTCGTGACACCATCTTTAAAAGCCTTGCACATCAGCAGCGTCACGCAGTGCTACCGTAGTGTATGCTCTATCGTCCCTTGTTCCCGGATACCACGTGGATCTTCTCTTCCTCTGCCTCAGATCGAAGCTTCAACATGGAAGCATCTTATTGTGTGACACCCTTCAAACCTCCATTATAACGGTATAGCACTGCCTTATATAACCACTTTACCTGTCACCGCCTGAATCTCAGGTCGGCAATTTCGGTGACTATAGTCTATAGCTGAACTACGGAGAGCTGAGCCGGTTATTGTTACCTCGTGGTATTATACGGTATACCTACCCAAAGCTCGAGCCCGAAGCTTACCTACCACATGAGAAAGCCCATCTGCCCGAATCACTCACGTCGCATTGCATTGTGGGCATGGCCAGTCGTGTAATACGAATCCATCAGTGCACACCTAAACCATCGAATGAATTCACGCTCAATTATACCCTTCGAAGCCAACTCCGACACCATCTACATGCTCAAAGTTTCAATCCAAGTAATCGCCGCTCATCTATGTACGCATCAGTACCTACAAACACATAGAAACAGGAATCTTGAGGCCCTCAATCTAAACCTGGTAGCCAACCGCCCCGGGACAATGATGCCCCTAACCCATCGAGCGCGGCTATCTGGTCGTTGGTATCAGCCTGCATGCTGCTATTGCCGTCGGCCTGGGTGTTAGGGGCGTCTTGGTTGCTGCTGTCTCCAAAAATAAAGACCGAGTTGTCTTGCCCATTGTTCGCCATTTGCCAGGCCTCAAAACTTTGGTGCCATCTCGCGCTGTCGTTCAAGAACCATTCTTGACCGTCCATCCTCATCGGCCGATTAGATGTTGACGTATTGCTGACAGTCGGGACGCCTGTGCCGGCGTTTACCATGTTGTTGCGGTTGATAGGCGCGAATGCCTGCTGATAGGATGCCATTGATGATGTAACAGGAACAGCACCCCATCCGCCCATAGGTTCGGGGCCAAAACCCGCGTTAGCTCTGTTCGCAGGCATGCCTTGCTGCTGAGCCAGAGTAGTATTCGACAGTGGAGCACTTGTCATCATAGCATCTGTTACAGATCTTTGTGGCTGGTGTTGTGGTTGTTGCTGCTGGAGCTGCTGCATGGGTCGGGCCAACTGTGCTCGGTTGTATTGGGGAAATGGGCTGTATTCACCCATGGCCTTCAGTCCCAGGCCACCATCAGAAAGGGGCGAAGCGCCCGCTTGTGAATGAGGCGAAGGCACGTCAGAGGTGCTGTATGTCCCGTACTTTTCATCGGCCCGATGAAGCACGAATGCAGCATCTTCAGGGAGTTCGCAATTCCACTTTCGAGCAAGGACGCTCAGGATGCTCAAGGTTCTTCTCGCACAGAGCCAGTCTTCTGCAATCTCTTCTAAATGCTTCACTCCATGGGTGATGTCCCTTCGGGCTGTCTTCTCAGGTAGGTTCAGTAAATGTATCGTACATGCGCTATGTACCATATACACAGCAATATTGCAGATCTGCCGTAGATTCCAAAGCTTCTTATACAATCGGAGAAGTTTTGATATGGCACCGGCGTTTGCCGTACAGATACGGCGTGGCGAGACGTGCGGTGGGAGAGGCGAAGCTGTTGGTGAGTATTTCAAAAAGGGTCGGAAGAGGTGTATGTATTGGAGGTGAAAGAACATGCTATTCAGGTCAGGGTCAGTCACTGCGGTCTGTCGGTTGCCATGCCTTGCCACTTACTGCATAAGAAGCACATTGGGTAGTTGGCCATCTTTGGGCTCAAATTCTCTTGGTAACTCCTTTCGCCATTCTTCTAGGCGTCGGTGTAGGTCACTCAACTTCTTCAACTCCACGGCCTTCCCGCTGGACCTGCCAATGTTGCTCGGATGGTAGAAGAAAGCGAGTAAATCACTACTGATTTCAGAAAGTCTTGACATTTGAAGAGCGATAGCGCGTGTTCTTGATGGTTGCTTGAATGACTGGTCAAATCCATTGTCCGTGTAAGGCGACCATGCCTCGGCGTCCTCATCGGGGAATACATCGAACTTGGAAACGTTGAACGAGCTCTTGGGTATTTGTGGAAGCCTGCCAAGGTAGTTGGACCAGCACTTGTCAAATAAATAGCAGCCCCAAAATGTGATGCGCCTAGCATCAATCTCATAATCGCTCATTCGTTCTTTGTCGAGTTGGCCAACATCTAGGTTGAGACCAATGTCTTCAGCCATGCGGAAACTCATGCCGCTGTAAACCCACCCCTTGGCTTCACGAGCGCAGCCAGCTTCTCTCACAGACATCAGGGCCAACGCTTGAACTGTCACCAAGCGAGGCTTCTCATACTCATCATTTTCAACAATTAGACGTTTTGCTTCAGCAAAAAAGTGATCGCCTTTCGTTCGGCTATCTCCAGGAGTGCCATATGCGCCAGCTATACTTGTGAAATGGCAACCCAATGCAAGCATAGCGTTGACTAGGAGCGAAGAGCAGTATGCGGTACCTCGCCCTATTCCGGCCTTGCCCCTCAAAAAGTCTTGAAAGAACAGTGTTTTTGACAGTGTAGTGAAGTAAGGATAATGCCAGTTGAAATACATGTTGATTAGGTGCGTAATGAGCTGAGTGTCTTGAGTAACGCGAGTCCAAGACGTAATAGGGTCTTCTCCTGACATATAGTCTTCAAAATTTGGCTCGAGTTCTCCTTCATGAGTTGGGTCGCTCAGATAGATAAGATGAGAGGTGCCTCCGATGAAACGAACATTGCCATTCTCAAGTCTGAGTTCACCCATTTTGCGAGCCAGATCCCTTTCGCCCTGCACTGGCTGATCTGTGGTGTAGTTTTCATTGGATTGATCATAATCGTCAGAATCATCATTGGTTGGTTGTATTATCGATTGCGGTTGTGTTTGCTGATTCTGCTGTTGCTGTTGCAGCTTGATAATGTCTTCGGCAACAGCATCGAGGCTATTGCAGGTACGAATTTTCTGAACAACGTCTGACACGTCCTCCTCTTCAGCATTCAAAATAGCTTCGATTAAAATTTGTAACGTTGAATTGTGTGCTTTCATGCTGTCAACCTTTTCACGATAGACGCCTTTCCGGCGATGATCTGAGTTGGGGTCGTAAACGCACTCAGTTCCATATACGCTGGAACATGCAGCACAACTAGGAAGGGCACCATCACATTTCGACTTGCGTTTCCGGCAGGCTATACATGCCGTGCTCACACATCGTCGCTTCTGGGTTGCAGCATCCGCGCCTCTGCGTGACTTCTTGCGGGTTGCGCCTGAGGTTGGTGCCGACGAGCCGGCTGTGCTTGAACTCGGCTCTTCCATGGTGCTACCGAACAAGCGAAATCTGGAGGTGAAGCCGTATGCAAGTCAGGTAAGAGATAAGAGGTCAGGATACGAGGCAGGCTGGAAAACAACCAGTCTAGAAGGTGATGTGATGTGACACGATCTTTTGAGTGAACGTGCTCCTTGAAAGGCCCACAACGAACTGTGGGGGACAAAATCGCGGTTAGAGGTTGAACGGGGATCAAGACTTGGCTCGACCTAAGCGAACAATAAGGCCGCTGCGGTTGGTCTGTAAACACGTTGTAACTTGTGGGCAGGTCAGACTGCGAGAGACAGTGGAGAGGGGTTAAATATATGAGCAATTGAGCATGAAGATATAGGTAGTCCTTCATACGCTTACTTTATCCTAAGTTTTGAGCGTTTGTAATCAATCATGGCTGGTAGGGTAAGGTGAGAGCGACTGCCGAATTGACCTTGACTGCCAGCTCCACGAGGTTTTCTGTCTAGGGTGAGGGCCCGAAGACAGTCCGAGGCTGATCAGGTAGAATAAGGTGATTTTAAGTGTGAGGCGATTGGAGTTGAGATGAGGTAATGCGATGCGTCGTGGCGATCTGAGGAAGAGGTAAAACGGTTGATGAAGAGTGAAGGGAAAGAGACGAGATGAGATGAGACAGGAATAGACCGTGAGAGTGAGAGTGAGAGGCAGGTACGGTGGAATTTCTAACAGCGGCGTCAGGTGCGATCCAATTGATTAAATGAGCTACGCGCTGAAGCTTCCTTCAAAAACCTTAGGTCAGGTACTTTAGGTACTGTTGGTACAGCAGAGACAGAGAGCAAGAACAGAGGAATCGACGTTCGTTAAGGAGCTGAGTGGAGGTACGGATAGAGAACCTGGAAACTGGATGGCGTGGAGGGGTCCCGCCCTATCCTCAACTTCTGGCGACTCAGAGAAAGGCGTTATGTAAGTCATCCTTACGTTTAAGCCGCCACTTTTAATCCAACTTCCAGGTACTATTTTGGTATAGTCCGAGCAGTCGGAATGGAAGTGAAGATAGCTCGCTTCTATCACACCTTCACATGAATTATACGTAAAATACGGATACAGGCCGTGCGTAGTCCATGTTCAACATACAATACCTAATCGCCATCTGCATAATCCCCCACTCAAGATCGACTGGCCAAGGATCTGACTCCTCTCCTTTTGCGCTACGCACAGTAGCGGCCCAGGGCCCGGGGCCCCAGGGTCTTTGATAGCGGGTTGGGCATGCCGCATGTCGTTCTGATAAGCTCTCAGCAGCGTCCTCAGATTGGACGCCAGATGCACATCAAGGGGTCTAGAATCCCTTTGCCTCTTATCCGTTGGTGTGGTACATATCAAAGACCTAACTACCTCCATGTTTCTTGTGGCGCATCTCATTATGAACTTTGTGCAACTGTAGTACCACCTTATCAGGCTCCAAAGATCCAACGCCTTTTGAATCACACAAGGATCAGGCACCTTATCTTGATATTGCACTTGAACTCTTTGCTGCTTCCCTTCCAATCATCTCCTTATCAGGGCCAATTGTTGTACCAAAAAGTAAGATGGCCCTATGTGACATCCTCATGTTCCCTCACGTAAGGTTATCCTTAATGGGCGAGCAACACATTGCCTGGCTATTGCACTAAACTTCTGCATGGCCAGCCACCAACACATCGAAGTGCTTACAAGCCCAGATTGAACTCTGAATTATCAGGGGCGCTCGTTGTGCTGTTGGTGGCCGAAGGACTAGATTCCACCATTGCCGGCGCCGTGTCTAACCACTCTCAGCTGTGTAAACGCAGATCAGATGAATCATTTGTAATAATAAGCTTCTATGGCTATGGCAATATTGTAGTTGGAACATAGAATTTGATACAGCCAGCGAGAATATGAACCCCTCATGGCTGCAAATTAAGATCCACGATACTTTTACGATGTTATAGGCATTTATTTTCATCAAACATTTTCCAACAATTGCTCGTTCAATACCTGATGATAGTGCACAACCCAGGCTTGACATACTTTTAACAGTGGTGATACATACGACGTACATCCGGTTGTCTACCGTATACTCTAGAAGGTGGTATATTACACAGGCACACCATCTGCCCAGCCGAAATTCTTTTCAAACATCATCCCATACCCCAAAACTCGCTATATCTGCATAAACACTTTCACTAACCTCGTCCCAGGTACCAGTTGTGGGCCAGCTGGTTGGTCAGGTAGCTGAAAGGCGTAGGAACCTCGGCCATTCCCTTCCTCGCCACGGGGTGACGGAGGTAGACTGCTGCGCAGATGTTGGGGTTGACCTCGAGGTAGCGGGGAATGAAAGCAAACGCCGACATAAAGGGGCGAGGGCGCCATGGGGTAACGTAGGGCTTTGAATGGTCGATGGGGTTTTCGGCGTCGCTCTTGAGGATGTAAACTAGACGGCGGATCTCTTCGTTGGTCAAGTTCTCGGTCGCCAGGATGTTCATAGCTCGATCGCGATCTTCCTTGCTTGCGATACCTTCCAGACCCTTCTCAAGAACCTTGTTCTTGAATTCCGATCTCTTTACTAGCTTATCCTCTTTCTTATCGCCGGATTGCTCAGCCGTTATCTCAACCGAAGCTTCAGTTGATGCTTTAGCGGATGACTCGCTTGACTTTTTAGCTGACTTCTTGGCTGGTGCCTTATCCGTCGCCGAATCAGCCTTTCGGAAGGCATCCACAGATTCAAGCTTCCCAATTTGAGCCTGAATTTGAAGGAGGAGTTCCCGTGCGTCAAGCTCGCGATCATCACGCAGAGATAACAAGCGTTGAGCAGTGTCGCGGAACAATCGCAGTTCTTTCTTCTGCTTAGCAGAGAGGTTCTTCATATCACCCTTCAAGATCTCTCGAGCTGTGGTTCGGAGATTCCTGACCCGGAGAAGCTGCACTTCACGTTCAGCACGTCTGCGTGCGCTCTTTCCAGGTGTGCTGTCCTCAGATTCCGCGTTTTCTCCCTCCTTGGCAGCGACAGCGTCAAGAATCTTTGATCGCTTCTTGATACCTTGTTTTCTAACCGCCTCTTCTTGTTGGTCAAGTGTCTGCTTCTCGTGGCCTTGCTGCGTTATCGCGTCGGGCTTCTTTTGCTCTCCAGTGCCGTACAAAACCTTCTCGACCTCAACTTGGAACATGTCGCCAGGGTTCAAAGCGTACGAAGGGTGGACCATCTATGGAACGTCAGAACCATACTAGGTAGGAAGTTTTGTATAAGCCTACCTTCTTGCCATTGACCTTAACAGCTCCGTGAATGATAAACTGACGAGCTTGTCGTACACTGCTGGCAAACATGGCTCGGAAAACAGCCGTATCAAGCCTTCGCTCGAGAGGTGCAAAGGTCATCTGCATGTATGGCGTCATGTTCTGGAAATGCTCCGACAGCATCTCGTTCACATCACCGAAACCTCGGCTTCGTTGAGCGGGATGAGAGGGAGGTCGTACGGATGAGCTGCCCTGGGGAACTTTGGAGTAGGACTCGGCGGTCACATTGGTTGTGGCCAAGCCTGAACCACGACCAGCGGCTTGCTCTGCGCCATCGTTGGCGGCAAGGTACTCGGGGGGAAGATCAACAGCGGACATAAGACGTCGTGAGAATAACCGCACCCACTTCTTCTCGGAAACGTGCTCGCCGTGGTATCCTCGGGTTTTCGACTTGGCCGCCCATTTCTGCTGGAAGAAGGTCGCTCGGCCCTTGACTGGTGGCTCGCGGCCGGCCGCACGAGCGATATTAAACAGGTTGTACTTGTTCCATGATTGCCTGAGTTTCTATATCGTATGTCGGGTTAGCAAGGTAAAATTCGCCTCGCGCGGGGTGGGACCCAGCTAGAACAGGCCAATTGGGGTGGAAAAGATAGACATACCGGCCGGGTAAGACTGTAATATTTCGTAGGCCGACGCATCTTGACAGGTTGAGGCCCACGGTGCTGGGAACTGGCTCGTCGTGGTGATGCTTGAAGTGCCAAAATTTTGGCATCAATTCGGCTTGATCATCGGATTATCCTGTGGCCGGCCATGCGGCTTCAATCTCGAATTGCGATGCTGACATAAGCCGGGGTAGCCACACTTAGTGGGGCTCAATTGACTTACACGAGATACGCGACTCAATTAAACCAGACGCGTCGCTGGCCCGGAGACTCCCTGTAGAATTGGTTTAGTCCCACCATCAACACAAACACTTCACAATCTTTTTGTACAAAGGTTTTTTCTTTACAAGGGCCCAAAAATAATACCAAAATGCTATCAGCTTCGTCACCTATCACATTTCCTACTTCTCCTCCTACGGCAAAACGTGCCAAACCTCACGACCATGGCCCTCCTAAACCGAAAGCTCGAGGTCCATTCCTGGTCGAGGAGGACGACTCCGATTCTGACGATAACGAAGAAACCTCAGCTACCCGTGAAGCAAAACGTCTCATGACCAAAGATCCACGGGGCAAATCTCCTGATACAACATTACAAGACGAACCTGTAACTCTTGATCTTACGCACACCGAGGAAACCTCAGACACTCCCGACATTCGAACACACGAACCCATGCTACCGATCCGACCACCAGTTCTCTCAAGCGCCATCTTCAGCAGATTTGTTCCGCAGTCGTTCACAGCAACCAATTGCGATGGCAAACCCATGATGATCAAGGAGCGCAAGACAACCTCCGCCCCAACATACGAGTCAATGGTAGCTGCTCGATCGAAAACGAAAGAAGGCCGAGCGAAACGAAGCTACTATGGTATCGATATCCACAACCTCATAAATGCTGCGTCTGCAGAGATTGCGAGCCGGCAGCAAGCACCACCACCACGGCCCCATATACCATTACGGTCGACTGAGTTTCTGGTCTCAACTGGAAAACGACAGAAGCGAACCCTACTGTGGACTGAAAAATACCGAGCACGAAACTTTATGGACTTGTGCGGTGACGATGGTACCAACAGGCTGGTGTTGCGATGGTTGAAGAAATGGGACCCTGTGGTGTTCCCTGGATCAGCAAAGTCGAGACCGACCACAAGAAGGCCAGGCGCAAAACAACAAGAAGAGGAAGAAAAGCCTCACAGAAAGATCCTTATGCTAACAGGGCCTCCTGGGTTGGGAAAGACAACGTTGGCACATGTGTGTGCTAGACAAGCAGGTTATGAAGTAATGGAGATCAACGCCAGCGACGACCGAAGTCGTGACGTTGTCAAAAATCGAATCCGCACAAGCTTGGGAACAGAAAGCGTCAAAACGGTTAGCAATCGTAAAGATGGAGACGGTACTCAAAAGTTGGCCAAACCTGCCTGTGTCGTGGTGGACGAAGTGGATGGTGTTGTATCGGGCTCGGGGGGTTCGGGTGAAGGTGGCTTTGTCAAGGCCCTGATAGATCTGGTACTCTTGGATCAAAAGAATGCAGCCGGTAATACATCGTCAAACAACTATGGGAACAAGAAGAAGAAGGGCGACGACTTTCGGTTGTTGCGTCCTCTGATCCTCATTTGCAACGATGTGTATGCCCCAGCGCTGCGGCCACTTCGACAATCTAACTTGGCTGAGATCATTCACGTTGGCAAACCTACCATGGAAGCGGTGGTTGCTCGACTAAAGGCTATTTTTGAGAAGGAAGGTATTCCTTGTGAGAAAGACGCTGCGCGAAAGCTCTGTGAGGCAGCTTGGGGCATGGCGAGTGGTATTGATGCCAAACGAGGAGCTGAGAGCACAGTGCAGGGCGATCTTCGAGGTGTTATGGTGGTCGGAGAATGGGTCGCTGGACGATTCAAAGCATCGTCTCCAAAAGGTACAGATCGTCTCAGTCGACAATGGCTGGAGCGTAATGTACTCCAAGATCTCACCAACGGCGCTGGTGGTGCTCGTGGCTTGGGCCGTGGTAGTGTCAAAGATATCGTCACACGCCTCTTTCAAGAAGGAGGAGGGTTTCCAAAGCAAGCAATGGATCTGTCTCAATCGAAAACACAACATGAACAACCGAAGACCGAGCTGGGGTTTGGCGAGTACCAGAAGAAGCATGCCATGGAAAGACTGCGACAAATGATTGACACAAGCGGCGAAATTAGCCATATCATGACCGAGGTGTTTGCGGAGTATCCAGAACGCGAATTCAACGATGACCTCTATCTCACCAAACCTAACCAGGCATACGAATGGATGCACTTTCATGACACTTGTCAATCACGCCTTTATGCCAGTCAGGAATGGGAACTAGCACAATATCTCAGCCAGCCTATTCTAGCTTGTCATCATCTGTTCGCATCTCCTAGAAGACATTTCGCTGGCAAAGGCTACGACCGTCGCTGGGGTGGTGATGCGGAAGAGGATTCTGAGCCTCCGCTGCCCTTTTCTGGTCCTCGCGCTGACTATCAAGCCTTTGAAGCAGAGCGACAGAACAGATCTCAGCTTCAAGCTCTACAAGGTCAACTGCCACCCACACTGATGCGTTCGTTCCGCAGCGCCGAAGACGTTGCCGCCGAGTTTCTCCCGTACCTGGCGCGTATTGTGTCTCCAGATGTCAAGCCTGTTATCATAGGTGGAAGCCAAGGCACCACGGCCAGTGTGCGCAAGGAGAGTGAGCGCAACATGGTGAGGCGTGCCGCTTTGGTCCTCGCGGAGGTGGGTATTGAGTTGCAGAAGGGAAGGATTGAGACCGATTCACTCGTTAATCGAGCACCGGAATATGTCTACCGCATGGAACCGTAAGTCACTACATGCTTACAAAATGGTCACGACTAACATTTACAGGGATCTCGATGTTCTGGCCACATTCGAGTCGGGTGCATCACTACTTCTGCCCTCCGCGGCGCCTACACGTTACGCAGTTCGGCAAGTTCTCGACCAGGAACTAAAGCGAGCGCTGGTGGAGCGAGAGGCTCTTGCTCGGCAATCTCGCTTCCAAGCTGGCAATCCTCTTGGGCACGCTGAGCAGCTCAACACTGACAAGCTCATGAGTGCCAAGAAGCTTGCGTTAGAGCAAACCCCGAAGGACGCTACGCTCATCAAACGCGACTTCTTTGGTCGAATCATCGAGGCGCGGCCAATTGCTGAGATTATCGGGGATACGCCACAGAAGAAAGCCCTGAGAGAGGATAAGGAGCGCAAAGTGTGGGTAACATACCATGAAGGGTTGAATAATGCTGTGAAGAAGCCAATGTCGATGCAAGAGTTCATGAAGGGTTTGTAAGGGCCACATCGGTCGGGAGGGAATGGGTTAGGGAATGGGTTAGGGAATGGTTGCATAGCGGGCTTAGGTTGAGTAATGTTAAATATATCAAGATTTCTATATATACAATTCGACGCTATCGAGACATTCGTGTACTCTAAACCAACTTCAACATCTAACTACACGAAACAATATCCAAAATACAATCCTATCGCAGGTCTCTTCTACAGCTTAGCCTTAGGAACATCCTGGCTAGGTCCAGCTTTGGGTCTCTGAGCCGGTACAGCCAGAGGATCGTAAACCGAAGACGACAGGTTATCGGACGGCACAGCAGCGTGCTGGAACGCACTCCGAAGATCAAGCATACCAGGATGCAAGTCCTTGATAGTGTTCGCGCCAATGAGTCGCATGTTCATCTCCAGCTCGTCCTTGAGAAGCTGCATGGCACGCGTGACACCCGCCTCGCCGTACGCGCTCATGGCGTACAGGAATGGTCGTCCGATGCCGACGCCACGGGCTCCCAGGCAGAGAGCCTTGAGGATGTCGGTTCCACGACGGATTCCGCCGTCGATGAAAATCTCGATCTTGTTCTCCAGACCGCGCTCGCGGAGGACGGGCATGGTCTCGGCGAGGACTTCGATGGCGGATCGCGCGAATTCGAGCTGACGGCCGCCGTGATTGGAAAGCACGACACCCTGGCAGCCATAGTCGATAGCCTTAAGAACGTCTTCGACGCGCTGGACGCCCTTCAGGATGATGGGCATGGATGTAATGCTCTGGAACCAAGGGATATCCTTCCAGCTCAGTGCAGGGTCGATAAAAGTCGAGATGGCTCGGGCCGCGCCCTGGCTAGAGTCCGTCTCCTGGCCTTCTTGGACATGGGATCCGGGATCAGTGAATTTGGAGCGCATGTCCTTCTCACGGCGACCCAGCTGGGGCGCATCAACAGTGATGAATAGACCCTTGCAGCCGCGCTTCTCGGCATGCTGCACGATCTTCTTGGTGATGGCACGGTCCTTGTTGACGTAGAGCTGCAGCCACTGGACCTGGTCGCCAGCTTTAGCGTCGATGATCTCGTCGAACGAGCAGGATGCAAGCGTGGGGATCATCTGGATAATGTTGTGCTTTGCTGCGGCGCGAGTAAGGACGACTTCGCCCTCTGGGTTACCCAGTTTTCCAAGGGCTGTGGCTGTCACGTAGACGGGGATATCGGTCTTTGTGCCAAGCATGGTGGTAGAGAAGTCAATGTGCTCGACATCAACGAGGATCTGAGGACGGAACCATATGCGGTGGAATGCGCTGTGGTTCTCGCGCATTGTCTGTCGAGTATTAGCAAAGTCGCCACTAACTTAGCTTATCAGGATAGACATACAATCTCATCGTCAGCAGCGCTGGAGTAGTAACCCCAAGCAGTCTTGGTCATAACGCGGCGGGCAACAGCCTCAAAGTCAAAGAGGTTGTAGCATTGCGACAGGAGAGGCTTCTGCTCAATGCGCTGCAGACGGTCCTCCTCGTCGGGGTCTACCTCCTTCGCCTCCTGCTGGACGGTGCCCATGTCGACGGGACCGAGATGCTTGGAGGCATCGAGGTACTTGTCAAGGGTGTCTGGAGGATGAATGGGCTCATATTCCTCGGTGGCATCTTTGCCCTGGCGTGTGTGAGAGGCCGAAAGGAGATTCAGTGTGAAGGAGTGGAACATACAGCGTATTTGAGGATGATCTTTTGACCGCCAGGATGTTCTGCAAACCATTAGTCTTGCTCAATTCCTCCGTCTTCATATCTGTGAATATTCCATACCTGGTAGAAACTCGGTCACATCATAGGCTTTACCCTACCGCGCAAGCATCGTCAGTCAAAAAGTCGGTAAAAGTGGCCAGAGAATCTCATACGTGAACAATAACCCAGCACGACTTTGCGCTGTTGTGCTCAGCAACTTCGCCGCCCTTTAGCACCATCTTTGGCAGTTTTGTAGATGAGATGACTGATTGGGTATCTTAAAGAGAAAAGACGCGTACGAATTGCACGCTTTTTAACTGATGAAAGGAAGAGGAGATGATGATGGCGCTGCCTTTTGCCCGAGGATGGATGACGAAATAGGCTCTTGATCGACAGGGTACAATTTGGGCGGATGCTTATGTTCCTGTCCTCTGCTTAGAGTACAAGACAGTTACACGAGTCAAGGTAATAAAACACTGAAGAAAATATGAAGGAATAAGAGGACTAAGAGAAAGAAAACAAAAAAAAAGAACCCCCTTGGCCTCCGGAGACGGAGCCTGAATACTCGGGGAAGGACGCGGAATGGATCCGACTCGGTTCGGCCTGAGCCTGAAAGCTCCAAAACCTCCCCGGCTGAAGGCTTGAAGCTAGGTGCCATTTCGCGTCCCCATCTGCGGGGAGGGATACCCCATAAATTCACTGAAAATAACCTCTAAAATGGCCTGCATTACTGACAACTCGCACTAAAAACCTCTAGTGTCCACCTTTGGCTGGGGTTGCAGCTCGGGTAATCGGGGTAAAAAGGTGCGGGGTCTAGAGACCGTTAAGCCTCATTAGATGCCAATTGCAACCTCGGTATAAAGAGTGGCGAGTGTTGAGTGTTAGGAAGAGACTTAAGAGATTGCTTTGTCTTCACAGTATCCAATAGACAATAAAACATGCGTTGAAGTTCTTCTCTATGTGTTGTATTCTTCGACTTGACCCTTAAAGCCGCCATGTTTTTGGGTCGCTACCACTCTTCCTCCACCTTGTCCCGTCTCTTGAGGCAGATTGACATCTCACCGTCAAATGCCCCCCCTGATTACTCAACTCGACACTCCCAACCGTGTGATTTTACCCTTGCGCCTTCAGATATGAATGCGTTCGCAAAGAATCCTTTCCGATGACCCTTCATATCCAAGCCGCCCATTTACCCCTTGCCTCCCAATTATTTCCATGCATTCAATCCAGCCCAAGGATCGTTTTGCTGCTGTTGCTGTTGTTGCTGTGGTGCTGCAGATTGAGGATACGCACTGTTTGGATGTGCGCTATTGGGCTGATTTCCATAGTGGAATGTCTGCTGAGGTCCCAGCGGTGGTGGTCCGGGTGGTGGAGGAGGCGGGACGAATCCTGGCGGCACGTAACCTCCTTGTGTCTGCGGTGTCGATGACGCTCCGTATCCACCGAATGATTGAGTTTGTCCGAACGACGTCTGGTTCGGAGGTGGCGATGCGGGGCCTCGGAGACCACCCATATTAAACGACGTTTGGTTTGGAGGAGGCGACGTCGGTCCCGGTGTACGTCCATACTGACTAGGATTATACGTAGGCTGAACAAAAGTGTTGATAGGAGGCGGTCCGAATGACTGAGTTGTTGGCGGCGGAGAGAAGTTTTGGTATGCTTGCTGTTGCGCCATTGTTTGCTGCTGGGCTGGTGGTGAGTTTGGCACCTGATATTGTCCTGGGAAGTTGGTTTGCGGATATCGAGGAGCTTGCCCCTGCTGGTATTGCGACGGAGGTGTTGGGCGGCTCTGGGGTTGCGGCGATGACTTGGAAGGGTCCATCGACATCCGATCCATGAGACCTCTGAGTCTCTCTCGTTCCATCTCTGCCTGCGAGTTCTTGTTCGATGACCGCTCCTGCTCGATCTGGTTGAGCAATTGCGCTCCCTCCGATCTACGGTTGTTGACAAAGCTGTCAACGTTCTTCTCCAAGCTCTCCACTGTCTCACGCATCTCAGAGTACCAGTTCTTGGCGCTGTGTAACCCTGCGACCAAATCCAGGAATTCCTGGTACGCCCGCTTATATCGGTTGATGACTGACGAGCGTTGTCGCTGAATAGTCTCGTATTTGCTCTGCTCGGATTGAACTCGCTTATCCTGCAGCAATCTATTGAATGTGCCTGTGAGCTCCTTCATCAAAGCTGACTGTTTGTGGTTTGCTTGCAGAAGTCGGTTTTGGTGAGGCCTGAACTTTTCCAATTCTTGCTCAAAGAGCTGAGCCTCGTAGTTGGATATCGACTTTTTGTTCAAAATGAGAATCTGGGAGATATCGTCGTTGTGGGCCTAGCAAGGTTAGTTTGCATCCAAAGCTGAGTATCTGCCCATCCACTCACCTTCTCTTTCAAATCCTTCAACACCTGGTTTCGTTCCCGCTTAATGAGATTAAGTTTCTTCAGGATATCCTCCACTCGGTTGATCTGATCAATAACACTAGGTCCCTCGTCGAAATCATCATCCAAAAGGTTAGGCTCGATACCGGCAGGACTGGTTGCGTTGCTTGATCGCGCTCGTGCCTGCGCAACAGCACGTTGGAATAGCTGATCAACTTCCCCGGACTGAGCTGCCCGTCGCATCTCATCGAAATCCATCTCGTTCTGTCGAAGCTTGCCCGCCAATTGGTTGTCGCTCCTTGATGCCTCATCCAAAGCCTCACGATAGTGACGGATATCACCCCGTAATGTCGTTGTCAACCTCGAGCTTGGCTGCTGTGTCCAATCGTTTTCGTACTTGGACCGCATCTTCTCGCATACACCCTCTTCCATATCGAGCTGCTTGGTGCTCTTGTCCAGGATCGAGAGAATAGAGTCCTTTTCCGTCCTTAGTGACTCGAACAAGGTCACCGGGTTTTCTTGATCCGAAACATCATCGCACCATTGCCGGAAGTCCTCGTCAGGCAAAATATCCTGATCAAATCCGCCTTTCAACACTTGCAACGCTCCGGGGAGCCTCAAGTAATCCAAACTGGCTGCCATCTCACCATTGGCTGTGTCCACTCGCTCCGCTTCAGCTCGTACCAACTTGGCCTTCTCTTCATCATACAAACTTGCCGATTCCGTCACAGCGAAAGGCACGATCTTTGCGAACAGATCAGGTCCAGTAATGCGCTGAATGTCCTGGCCGGCATACAGTTCGCTAACAGGAATAGGTTTCGCAGCTGGCAGCTTGGGAACGGCTTCTAAACTCGCCTCAACAGGTACTTCTTGGTGGTAGACATAATCGTTGTCTCTCAGAGCACTCTGCAGCTGACTTTGCACTGTCGATAGATGTCGTTTGGTCAGTTCCTGGAGGAATGCTCCACAATCAGCGGTGAGGTTAGAGCTCATAGGGACTGAGTTGGGGAAGCTCCTAGCGAAGCGCTCTGCCTCCTTTGCCTGTGCCTCTGCAACTTGTAGTCGTCCCACAGCGATGCCATGTTGGTTCGCTTCATCATCCGCCAGAGCCTGATAATATTGTGCCGTAGAGTTAAGAAGATTAGATTTCACCTGTTTCCATTAGCTTAGTCTACATCGAACCGCCATATTCAGGGGGTGAAACCTACCTGAACCATCAACAGCCACACTTTCTCGAAAATGGCTTTATTGACATTCTCTTGCACGCCTTCGAGAGCCTGGGTGTACAAGTAGCCAGCCTGAGAGGCTAGTTTTGCAAGTAAACCAATTTTCTTCTTGTCAGCAATCTGCTTTTCAAGGAATACTTCCTGGGCCTGCGCAAGCATGACATGGATCAGGGCCTTGACCGTTTCTCTGCTCAAGTCGGACGATGGTGCATGTAGGAAGTTCTCGTTGATATAAGTGAACATGCCCGCAGAGGCTTGAAAGTTGTGGTAGGCAGTCTTGAGCGCGGACTCCTCGCCACGGTCCTGGGCAGCAGCATGACAGGAGAGGACAGCAGATATGTTGAAGATGATGGAGGCTTTCTCAAAAGCAAGCGAATACTGCGCGGTGGATTTATGGGTGAAGGCATCGAACCTAATCGTGGCAAAGTCAGTACAATCTGAAGTGTCAAGCGCATCATCCGATGTCAAGTATCATTTTGAGGATAAACACACCATGTGAATGATATCTTGATATGTTGCTCATCGACTGGGAAGCGCAAATCGAGAAGCTCAAGCTGCCCATAGTAGCGATAGAGCATATCTCTTCCAGATGTGCTGTCCTTTCCGGCACCCCGTACATCTTGTCTCAAGCGATTCAGTGTAGCGCATTCCTCTGCATAGCGTTCGGGATCATCGCCATAGGTATCGCGGATGTAACCCTTCAGCGGTTCAACCCAGTCGATCTCGTTGGTAGCCTTAAGAGGCACCGAGATCATCGGAGACTGTGCCATGGCAGGCGACAGCGAGCGGACGAGTAGCGTAGCGTAGTGGTGCAACTAAATAGGCAAATTGATCGAGGCAGGTCGAGAAGATAGGTACGTGGCTGGAGCCAAGGGTATGCAGCTCAGCGTGGAGATGCAAGTCGGAGCTCCAATTCGAACGGTCGCACAGATGCAGCTAAGGGTTGCAGGAGGATGACCAGCAGAGAATAGGACTGATCGAGTCCTTGGAGGTCGGGATCGATAAAGCCGGGTTGGCCGCGTGCGATGCGACCCGATCTAAGTATTCGGTTCGAGGTGCGTGGTGCGTGGTGCTTGGTACTTGGTTGTAGCGGGCCGGAGGGTGATGATTTGGGGGCGGTAGCGGGGACGAGCTACGGCAAGAAGCCAGCCAGCCAGAAGCTACCTAAAGAACACGGAGAGTCAAATAAGCTTGAGGGGGTATGCAGCTGAGGTGTTGCTGCTGGTAGGGGCCGTGGAGGCGTGTTGCCACCTGAAGGAGATGCAAGGTGGTGCTGTAAAGGAGGCACCGCAATCGATTTTGGGTCGTCGTCCCTTCGAGGTATGAGGGATGAACAGAGACAAGTCGACTTGTCTAAGGTGAGTTGAAGGTTGAGGTTGAGGTTGATGGAGAGCGGGGTCCGTCAGGCCCAGTTGGCGTACGGCGGTGACGAAATGGTTCCAGGGGGGTCTAGAAGCGCGGTAAGGGTATGTTTGCAGTGGATGTGCCTGGATAATTAGAGGAACAATGGATTGTCGCTGCATTCGGTTGGGAGCAAGCGAAAACACCGCAGTTGACAGCTGATGAAGCGGATAAAAAGTCCAGGAGTGTGTAGATCAATCCTTTGAGTACGACGGCTAAGTTGGAGATAGAGGGATGGACGCTTACAGCGAGAAACACCTGCTAATTTTGGAGACCTCGGAGTTTACAGCACTACACAAGTACCACAGTTTAGGTTACTTCAATTGTCTTTATCATATCCGTACAAAAGACCACGTTAATGCTAATACTAACGTGCAAGCGAACAGATGCTCACATCTCATCGCAACTGGCTAGTGGTGCCCCTGGTCACCGTCTCATCATTCATGGCGGCATTACATCCCCACTCCAGAACCCCAGAACATGAGCTTTTAGTGCCTGACCGCATCAACAACCGCCTGACGGACACATCTTAGGTCCAATATCTACAGCCAGTAACGTTGCTCAGGTGCCTTGTTAATCATCCTCCGTCCCGTATCTTCAAGTTGCGCCATTCCCGGCTTGTCCAAGCTTCAGCCTTTTAACCGCCGCCATCTTGATATGCTCGATCACTGAGTCGTGATATAGGTAGGTAGGATGTGAAAATATTTCTCTTATTCATGGCCGCGTTAATAACTTGCGTGGATGAGTGCGAAACACTGGTGCCTGTTGAGGAATCACTTGAGTGCGTACGACAAGCTGATGCGTTCACTTACACTATTTCCAGGCATCACAATTCACGCCTGCTCTAGATCAATAACCTTCTTATCCCCTGATACTTTCCAGACATCGAGCCTCAGCAACCATCACAAACAAATCTCCCGTTTTCAATCGAGTACTGCGATTCGTCTGACACTCATCAAATGAAAGCCTGTCGCTCTCATGTATGCCAAGCCCGTTTCCTGCAAGCACCATTTGTTTGGATGATCAGAAGAGCAGATATGCAGTTTGTCTTGAACCATTGATTTATTACACCGGGATGTTGAGACTAGTAATCGGAACTATATTATCCGAGTCTATCAGATCACATTTATCACCTGCAAACCTAAAAGGCCTGGGGAGTACAATTGATTGTGCATGAACTACGAAGACGATCCAAAATCTAGAAACTCCACTTACAACAAACTGAACTCATAAACAGCCTCGTGAGCTAACAAACATTATAGCTATTGACATATAATTAAACTTGTATACGGCTTGTGTGCCATCCTGCCAATGTTTGTTTCAATCATATCAAATTCTATCAGATTCTGTCTCTCTCTTAACATCAACATCACTCGCATGCAAAAAAGACCCTCGTCTGATGACTCGGAGCTAATGCAAGTGACGCTGGCCTCATCCTAGCCAGGAACCCTCATTTCACGCGCCATTGGTCACTTCTTCACAAAAGCGACATGACTCCCGCCCCAATCCGTCGCAATGAGCGGCCCGCTTCTGCAAGGGTCTTGTTCCTCTTCAAAGGGTCGCCGCGGCCTGTTATGCGACCCCATCTCTAACTGTACCGAAGCGTGCGCCACGAAGGGTCGAGATGTGGCCATGCGTCTAAGTTGTCTCATAACCCGTGCGGTCTAGCATACATTTTGACGCCTCTTTAACTGTGATTTTATGCTTCAATTCTACGCCTATGGCTTGAAGAAAGAATTCTGAGTGATATTTCAGGTAGACAAAGGCCATTAGGCGGTGTTACATCAGACCATTTCAAGCTAAACTATGATGCTCGCTCGTCACACCGCAAACTACCACAATAGGTCGGGCAACCAGAGCCAGCCGATTTAAGTGATGTGATTCAAAACGAACGACGGAGACGCTGACCTTTCTAGTAACTTGACCGAAGAGGTGCATTTAGTGATCACAAGACTGATCTGGAATTCTCTGGTCCACCTATTGCTGCCCGAAACTGGGACTATGACTGCCGAGCTATGGACGGTTGCTGCTGATCAAATGTTACGCTGGGCCAATGCTATCTTATGCATAATCACCGATAGCTAATTAAGATCACTTTCGTGGGTATTCATGTAAAACCGTAGAGTTGCTCTGGAGAACTATCCTGCCCTGCGGCTTTCCGAATCACATTTTCCAAATTGACTCATTTGTACTGGCAAACAAATTACACACTGACCCATTGCGAAAGGAAACCACGGGTCAAGTAACCATGAACTAAAAAGAGAATCAATTTTTATAGGCACATTTTCATACTTTGAAACTTGTCAATCCGGTCACGTCGTGAGTGTAGCAATACATCATGATGTCTCACTGAACCTAGGCCATTGAGAACTGGTCTAGGGTAGTGGACGTATTAGATACAGGCCTGTGCATGATAGACAATCATTGGAAGAATATGAAATATAGATACTGTATAGTTATATCGCAGAATAAGTTAAAAAAAAGAATAATGTTGCCATCTCGTTTTTTGAAAACGAGAATAGCCAGGGGCCATGTCATCACGGAGTTGGGAGTAGAAAACCACCTTATCCACCACAATTATGAGATTTGGGTAGCTCACAGATACTTACAAGAATGACTAGTGAGATTTTATAAATTGAAGAACTACTGTGTCAGAGTGCTAAACCCGCATTTCTCACACATATCTTGTTAAATACTATGACAATTGAAGCTAATACCTGTGACGTCCGTGAAGGATGCCGGAGTCTTCGGAGCGTGCCCACAGAAAAGCGGGCCGCTCCCGGAGCCAACGTCCGGTCGCATCGGGATCGATTCTTGAGGCTTGCTTCTGATTCATCCGTTGGACGTGCCAAGCCAGGTCTGACCGTTGCGGAGAAACTGCACGTAGCTCGACAGAGTAAATCTTCAGTGAGTGATGTAATTACACTGGGCCTGTCAAGAGAGCCTCCCTCGCATTGTGCCATCTTGATTCAATTGCGAAGCTCGTCTGACGTCAACGATAAGTGATGACAAAATGACGACCTGTTCTGCGTGGGAAGAACTGTATATCAACTGCGTCTGCCACAGACCAACAAATCCTCTTGTAGACCTACCTCAAGTTTCACAGCAGAATTACATATTGTACTTTGATTAATCTTCATAATGTCGACACAAGCAGCTCCCTTCTACCAGCTCCGTTGCGGCTGCAACCAATACCCCTGGGGCAAGCAAGGCTCCGACTCTCTATCCGCACGACTCTGCGAGAAGACACCAGGATGGGCTGGAGACGACAAGAAGAATTTCAAGATCGAGGAGGATAAGCCCTACGCTGAGATGTGGATGGGCACCTACCCCGTCTTACCATCCTACGTTGCCAGCACTGGTGAAGACCTCCAAGACGTTTTGGACCGATACCCAAAGGAGCTTCTTGGAGAGAAGGTAACCTCAAAGTTTGGCCACAGCAAGCTCCCATATCTTCCCAAGGTTCTATCTATTGCGAAAGCATTGCCGCTACAGGTTCACCCTAACAAGGAGTTCTCAAGCAAGAAGCACAAGGAGGACCCCGACTCATTCACCGACGGCAACCACAAGCCGGAAATTGCTCTCGCGTTGTCTGAGTTTGAGGCTTTCTGTGGCTTCAAGCCCGTTGAGGCCATCGTCGATGTTCTGCGCCAGAAGCCGTTGAGACATTTCCTTGTTGCTGGAGGCGCAACTGTTGCAGATGAGAAGCTCAGCCAAGAAGGATTGAAGGCAGTTGTTCGAAAGATTCTGACATCTTCCGATGAAGAGATCAAGAAGGCCTTCCAATCAATCCGGGAACTACCTGACTCTGCCTTTACTGGTCTCAACTCCGCCATCCCTCAGGTTGCCAAGAAGCTCGAGGACCAGTTCCCCACAAACGACCCCGGCAATCTGGTTGGTCTCCTGTGCATGAATTACATGCTGCTCCAGCCCGGCGAGGTTATCTACATCCCCGCTGGCGGCATCCACGCATACATCCAGGGCGATATTATCGAATGCATGGCGCGCTCCGACAACGTCCTCAACACCGGATTCTGTCCCAAGGCAGAGCGAGACAACGTTGACGAATTCTGCTCAGTGCTCACCTGGGAACCCACAACAAAGTCGCAGACGACCCTGAAGCCAAAGACTTACCCCGGAGGCAAAGAGGGCAAGACTCAGCTCTTCCAACCTCCTACCAGCGAATTCAACGTGCTTGCTACCGATCTGGAGTCCAGCGAGCGCGAGGTTTTGAGTGAGGGTGGGCCGAAGATTATTCTCGCTACACGAGGCAGTGCGACTGTCAAGGCGAATGATCAGTCGTTCGAGTTGGCAGAGGGACATGTCTACTTCATTGCTCAAGGAGTGGAGTTGGATATCACTGCTGGAAATGAGGGTCTACTACTACATACCGCGGTTGCGGAGTAAATGATGATAATAATAACGAAGATGACGATTCAGTTTGTAAATTAGATGAGATTTATTGTAAGAAAAGTTGTACCAGCCTTCTTCCTTTCGCCGAAGTACTTGCCAACATCATATTGGACAATACAGCTATGAATTACAATGCCATAGCGAGATATCTGTATCCGGGAATGAGAAAAAAGATGAATGTTGATATGTAATGCTACATCAGCGATTGCTGTCCATTATTCCCTGACTTCTATTGTTGGCTCGACAAAGGCACTCATACGTCGAGGCAGGTACTAAGGAAATTATGGAGTGCCTGCCAGAATGACATAACATTCTCACCACAAAGAAGTTACACCTAGTACTTTCACTTCCAATGACCTCTTTCAGCCCTGTAGTATGCCTCAGGCATAGCTGTCGGTCACTATAACTTCTCGTAACCTGACACAACCTGGTTAATTCACCATAACCTACCTACTATAGTACTTTCCCCACAGATATATTGGCTTTGACATTTATACGGCATGGCTTTAGGCCGAGCGTGTGTTATGAGCCAATGCTTCACCGATCCTGCGGTATCCTACGGTGCCAGGGGTGCCTGGTTATGCAATTTACCTGATCCGTATGCAAGTTTCGAGAAGCTTTGTTGACAGCCATTGTCTGGATGCCTTGCGATTGTGCTTTGTGGTGTTTGTTCCCAAGGGGCCCTGTGCATGTTGAATGGCTTGGCCACAGACCATGTACTTCTTCACCAACCATGCTGCTCAAAACTTGAAGCCTATCATGGGCTGCTGCAGAAAACCAGCTAATGAATGTATGCACCTCTGAGCTGATAAACAACTGTTGCTATAAAGGGTGTAGACGTTGCATGTCTCGCCTTGAGCTTTACTCTCTTATGGTTATCTGCCAACACAACATTACGCCTACCTCTGGATTGATTTGCTGATTATGTCGAATCCTGAGAAATATACAATCGGCTAGATCTGCGCCCTCACTACCGAGTTTGTCACTGCGCAAGCCTTGCTTAATGAGAAATATAACCAGCCTGAAAGTTCTACTAGTAATGACAATAATACTTATGCCTTAGGGAGAATCGGGAAGCATAACGTTATAATGGCTATTCTCCCTAAATCCGAGTATAGAATAATTGCTGCCTTTACTATAGTAAGGGATATATTATATAGCTTTCTTAATGTTTGTTTAGGACTGATGGTCGGTATTGGTGGCGGTGCCTTAAGTGTAAACTATGATATTTATCTGGGCGATATTATAGTAAGTATCTGTGGGAAAGGAAGAGGCGGTGTCTTTTAGTATAATTACGGTAAGGTAATTTAGGACTATAGCTTTGTAGCTATAGGATCCTTAAACTAGCCGCCCTAGTTGCTCTTGACAGTAGTTAGCGCGCTTGAGGCCGAATATAAGTTAGAAAGATAGCATTTAAGTAGCTAAGTCGATAAGGTACTAGAATAACGCCAATACTTGTAAAATAAGTACTCTTGACTACCCCCTGACAGCGATAAACTCTACCGATCTAACTTTATGCATATAGACTTGAGTAAATGCGCTAAAGTGTGCGGTAACGACCCTATTTACCTGGTAGATCGAAGCATATAGAGTGATCAGAACGGCAAACCTGTTATCTATTATGGACTGGTTGCCAGTTTAAATAAAGTAATAAAGGACGTACTTGCTAGGGACTTATTAGCGGCTAGTAAGGATATTCTTTACTTTAAAATGGAGGCGGCCGGCCTGATAAATCACTTTCTATATATAGTGATTTGCGGAATATATGACTATATAGACTTATATAAGAATAAGAAATGGTAAGGTTTTGCGGTAATAGTAGTAGTAGCCTATGTGAAAGATCTTTTATACTAGATTCTATTTAGTAAAGTGGAAGTAGAGATGCCTATTAGGGATGTCCTTACTTTAAGTTAGTGTTATAAATTTATCTTCCTTCTTATTCTGACTAAATATAGTGGAAAATATGGGAAAACTCATAAGAGACGTAGTGATAAGTATGAAATCTAACTATTATACTTCTAAAATTGAGCGCTGGTTATCTCTATTAGATTATTTGACTAATGCTAACCTGGCGAGAAAATAATATCACTAAGGTACCGGATTGTGGCTACTTAACAGTCCTGCCTTCTAGGAATGGTAATCTAGGTCTCGCTAGTATTTATGGCTTTATGGCTAGGTAGGATATGGGAAGACTATTCTTATTACGACGATTCTTAATTATCTCCTGTCGAGTAATACTTATATTACCCTATCTTTCTTCTTTAACTTTAATAATGCCGGGAAGTAAAGGTTAGATAATCTCTTACGCTTACTAGTACCATAACTCTATCGTAGCAGCAATAAAGCTAAGAGAAGCCTTAATAATCTTTTCGCCTCCCACAATACTAGAGGGAGACAGCCTGACACGACTGCTTTAGCAACTTATATCAACACAATAATAAGAGCTATCGGAAAGTCTTACATTATCATCGATGCCCTAGATAAGTGCACCGAAAGAGCTAAACTGATACAATAGCTGGAAACCCTCTATTCCAGTAAGGCCCAGCTCATTATTACCGGGCGACCTGAAGTGGATTTCAAACGCGAGATTCCTTAGTTACTTAATAAGCAGAACTGTATCCTGCTTGGCAAAGAGGCGGTGAATACTGATATTCGTTCTTATATTAAGGCAACGCTTGAATAGAGACGTGACTTCGTAGACAAGAGTTTATCTCCTGACATTCTAGAGATAATATACGATAAGGTTGGAAACGGGGCCTATAGAATGTAAGTTTCAGTCTATAATACATTTCGAAGGTAGAATTATTCCTTATATCTTAACAGGTTTAGGTGGGCAGCCTGCTAACTTGACAGTCTTACTTGATATTTAAGCCTAAGAGATATTAAGACAGCCCTTAATACTCTGCTACAAGACTTAAAAGAGATATATCGCCGTATCCTCGAAGGAATACCGTCGGAATATAAGCGCGATGCGATCCGTCTACTGCAATTTCTCGTCTATGCTAAGCAGCCCCTGAAAATTTCAGAAGCTATTAAAGTGATAGCTACGCAGTCAGACTAATACCTACCTGTCTTTAGTATTGACGGCAGACTATATTAAAAACGCGATATACTACGATACTGCCCCAGCTTGGTTGTTATAGCTGAAGCCGAAAGATATTATGGCACGTTCGAGGAACTTCATCTTGCCTACTTCTCTGTGAAAGAATATCTTTTGGAGTAAGCCTAGTTCGATGTCTATAGTGCCAGCATCGTTATTACTAAAACCTGCTTAACCTATCTTTGTAATACTAACTGCGATAATAGCACGGGCGATGATTTTCCGTTGGCGTTCTTTTCGGCAAAGGGCTGGCCGAAATATGCTGTTCTAGCGGAAGATTCTGAAGGAATTATGGAAAGTATAATCAATTTACTACAAGATGAGAAGAGCCTTAAGCGATGGCTATGTCTATACAACCCTGTGGTAGGGCGGAATACGGAAGTCTTTGGAGCACAAGCGCTATACTATGCATGCAGCCTCAACCTTGTGGCAACTGTGAGATATTTGGTGGCTGAGGGGGCTGATATTAACGTGCAATGCGGTCTTGATGGCAGTGCTCTACAGACTGCCTTAGCTAGAGGTTATCTAGAGGTTATGCGACTACTACTAAAGAATGGAGCAGATACTAATGTATAGTATGGTATTTCCGCTAGTGCTCTATAATATGCCTTAGCTAGAGGTCATCTAGAGGCTATGCGACTACTACTGAAGAATGGAGCAGATGTCAATATGACGTCTAGAGGAGAATACAATGCTTTATGTCTTGCCTCCAGATGCGGCAATATAGAGGCTATTCGGCTGCTACTGGAGAATGGAGCAGATGTCAATATGGCGTCTGAAGAAGAAGGCAATGCTTTATGTATCGCTTGCAGAGACGGCAAGATGGAGATTGTATAGTTACTGCTCAGTCAAGGGGCCAACGTCAACGCGCACTGCGGCATTTATGGCAGTGCTTTGGAGGCTGCGAGGGCTAATGAGCACTCAGAAATTGTCTAAATACTGCTTGACCATGTTGCTATCGACGATTGAAAGCGAAAGCGATCTAGCTCGATAAACGTCAGGAAGAAAGCAAAATCATGTCGAATTTAGAGTCTACTCACTTAGTTGTACTTTAGACCAAATCCCTAGCCTTCATATCTCAAGTTGTGGTATTAACATATTGTTTCTATTGAAGTCAGATATGAACTTATTGTTCGTAGGATGACGATAGTATAACTGTGGATAGATACATAGATGGTTCACTAGAAAACGTAACTTTTGCTCGCTGTTAGCTTATGATGCTTTGACACAACTAGGTTCAAGGCGTCAGGTAAACTTGCAAGTAGACAATTTTGACGAACATGATGCCAATTGGTCTCCTCTACTTGTATGATGCTCTGATTAAGTATTCAATCCTTTTGCTTTCGTGCTTCCTCTGGGTTTCCCAATGCCTTGACATTCCATCTCGGATCCTCACTCTCCTGCACAGGTGCCCATCCAAGGTGGATCTACCTCAAAATTAGTATATTCAACTCGTGGACTACAGGTACCAACTTACCTGCATAGTCTTCTGATCCCAGTCCTTTGTAAAACTTCTGATCTTACCATCCTCAACTTCAAATATCGCCGTAGCGCACCACTGTGCATGTTTGCCCGTCTTTTCAATGCCCTTGTAAGGCTCTCCGCAATGACTCCCTTGCGCGGTATACCTCAGCAGAACGTGGCCATCCTTAGCCCAGGCTTGATCAAAACGAATGATGCTGAGATCCGCTACGCTGGCCATGACGATTGAGTGAGATTCTGCATAGTCCATGGGCGTTTCGCAGCCGGGAAAGGTGGCGGGGGCCCAGAACCAGCTGTCTGGGTGGCAGAGGTGCTGGACTGAAGATGCGCCCTTGTTATCGGTGGGAGAGTAGGCTATGCGCATGTACTCTTTACACAGATCGATGTTGCGCTATCAAAAGTTCAGTTGATGGTTTAAGGTTCTGGCAGTGCTGGGATACTGACCTGCTCTTGTTCGGTCTGAGATGGCGAAGTGACGCCGGGGGGTTGTGTTGCTGTGGGCATATTTACTGTGTAGAGGAAAATGTGGCTGTAAGTTGATTGTAAAGTGCTGGGATTGTTTTTACTGAGTTCTTATATGAGTGTAAGAGCAAAGTTGCCTGTGACTGATGTCAGAGGATCGTCACTAGGTGTCTATGACATCAACCTCGGCCAACCTATTCTAGAATATTATCGAGTTTGAGATGCGAGTTTTGACTTGTATTGAGGGTACTTATAGTATGTAAATACCAGTTCTCTCCCATACCTGAGTATGTAGCTATGAAATGTTATAAGGACTGATATTGCCAAGGTTATTAATGACATATGTTCATGATATCGGCCTTGATTTCTTCTGCTGCGAGTATATACTAGAACAACTCACGTGTATGCAATGCCATATCTAGGTCTGATACCTAGAATGTTCAGTTAAAAGTAGGAGATGTAAAAGTACTAGGTTAAGAGGAAGAATGTATGATCTTTCTGTTGCTCTCACAATGATTCTTGCAATTACCATGATTGAATGAGGTAGCTATCAGTTTGAGTCATTGAAGCATTCCTATAGAAGGTTTCGTTGAATACGACAGCTCGATTTGAGTATATTGTGACGAGACACTATACTCAGCATTCAAATGCCCGTTCTACTATACGTTTTCTTAATATATCCTAACTGCTGTTTGGCTCGGAGTTTAGCCTACCCTTGACAAGTCGAGAGCTACCACGTTGAAACATGAAACCCACCCCCACACGTAGGACCGCTTGATGACGCAACCACGTTACGGTCATGGCCAAAAATAGGTGCATACGTACCTTTGGTCTCGGGAGGACTTGTCCAAGCTTCAAGCTTGAGTTCACCTTCTCACCTCCAATTCCAGTTTCACTTTCAACTCTAAACCTTCACAACCCAACTCTCAGCCTCATTTGTCTCAGACGCCACCTCAGTAAGTACCACCAAATTCATCCTCTTATCCTCCGATTACAATTATCAAATCGAAGCAACTCCCAAGCTAGACAGTTATTGATCCACCTAAACTGCAGATCTACCATCTTCATCCCAAACCAACCTCCCAAAATGGCCTGCGGATCTTCCCAATGTCTCTACGACCGCAACGGTCCCGGAAGTGCTGCTACATCGATCGCCGAGTCCATCCTCAAGCCCTCCGAGGCCACGGGCACAAAGACCAAATGCATTGAGTGCGGCGACTACGAATGCTGCTGCATCCCCTGCACCATCCTGTAAAAGGGGTGCATTACGGAATAACGAGACACGATTGCAAAGGCAGCAACTCTAAGGCGTTTGTTGCTTGAGAATTAAAACAAATCGGATACCTTTTGCCATTCAATACTGCTATGGAAATTATAGTGCAGCTTGAGAGTATATATTGAATTGAATTGACGACTTATATATGAATCTTATCCCCGGATTTGGAAATAAGCTTGATGATTTTCCGTTTATGCTTCTGAATTCAATTGGCTGCGTAATCGCGATAGCGTATATCATTTCCCCCTGTGCTACCTACCGATTCATTATTGTAAAATACCTGCAGTCTTGTAATTATTCAGTCGTGGCTAATCTTTGAACAATGAACGGCACTCAATCTCACTTGCGGTGTGCCCTGTTTCGCTTGTCGCGCAGCAACCTCTGCATTTTTCATGCCTACAGACAAGGCAATATGAGTAGTACGGATACACAGAATTCATTATAATCATCCAGTTCTAAGCTTCAAGTGAACAATGCATCCGTAGCAGCCCACACGTCAGCCTCTCTTTGTTTGGCCAACGTCTCCCAATCTTCCTCCCCAGTGTGTTGCCCCAACGCCTTGGGCACATCGGGCACGCTTAAACTGCCCAAGCCATCAAGCACGCGACGCGCCTTGTCGACCTGCGTCCGGATGGCCATAGTTTCCGTCCGCGTCCTGTCCAGGTGCTCCTGCATGAGCGCGATGACCGACTCTCGCGCTTGGTGTGGCCGGTACTCGTTGAGAATGTGGTGGAAGTTGATGAAGAGGGTACGCAGGTCTTGGACTTTGGCCTCAGCCTGTGATGGATTGTGTGATAGTATCCCAGAGAGCTCCAGGAAGTTGAGGAGAAGAGATTTTGCTAGGCGCTTGAGCTCAAAAGCGCGGTCAAAGCGTTTGGCATCTTTTTTGGATTCGGACTGTGATGATGAAGGAAGATTGGTGATGCCCTGATCCTCAAGAGTGGGGAGTTTATCATCCAGCTGTAATATCTAATTAGTCTACTGGTTCGAAATGAAGATTATTTGTAAAAACCTACCATATACTGGTCACCGAAAACACGCCAGCGCCCATCAGCAGGCTCAGCTGGAGGTTGGAGATTGACCAGGTCCGTAGGGACGTCAGGCACGCGAACTGTCAAAGGCTCACCACCATGTTCGGCGATATGTGATGTCCTCAACTCTTGAACCCGGGCGATTTTATCTGTTGTGAACTCTTGCCAGAAGGGAGGCGGATTAGGGAACATGGAGGACAGCGAATGCGCCTCTTGCTGTTGTTCCGCCATCTCTCGACTTTTGTTACGAGATTAAGCTCGTGAGATCGTTTAAGTGATTGATATGAAAAGTGAAGTTCAAGACAACACTTCAAGAATGCGGCTCAAGTGGACCAAGGTTGGAATGCGGTCCTTCGAGAGCCTACAAGGCTATAAGCGTGAAGCTTAGGCTAGATACCTTGCCCCTAGTGGGGGAGTGAGACTGGCGGAAGGTTTGGAATGCACGTGGGTGCAACCTCAATAGAAGCTTCACAAGAGCTTGGCTACTTAACGTATCATACCATAAACAATTTATTGACTGATTTCGGATGTGATTTATTGCCGTGTAACCGTCTTTGAATGACCGCAAACAGTCCATCGAGAGATTAGATAGTGCTCGACCCTTAAAGTTCAACTGGCGTGGGCTTTGCGCCGGTTAATCGTCGGCGGTTGCCTACCTCTTTGCTTCTGTCTCGACGACCTTAATTCTTCACAACCAGCAACGTCATAAGCATTCTTCATTTCTTTCTTTTCTTCTCTCAAATCTTACTTGTCTATCCGAAACCTCTCCTTTATGATTCCCTTTGTCTCTCTCCACATGAACCAGTTGCGTACTTGAACAACAACAATTTCGCACCTCTTCCACCCAACACTGCATCCCATTCTTTACCATATCGAACCACTGATCCTCCTCCTACTCTGCGCCCATGTCCGACGTACGATCTCTTTTGCGGCAACAGCGGGCTGCTCGCCGCATAGAACACCCCTACGCCGCTTATTCCGAAGTAGGCAAGCTTCTCTGCACACTATGCCACGAGCAGATCAAGACCGAGACGCTGTGGGACTCCCATGTTCGAGGCGAGGCGCATAAAACTCGCTTAATACAAGCTCAAAAGACAGCAGCAGCAGCGGCCAATGGTTCGAATTCACAACAAACTGCGCAAAAGCGGAAACTTGACGATACCGAAGAGGCTATCGACGACGGGGATGGAGATATTGAAATGGACGACGGCAGGCGGAAACGAACCAGAACAGATGGCGCCGACGGAGAAGGGGATAAGGATGCTAAGGACCCAAATTTGACACCGCCGCGGTTGACCAGAAGGACGTCGACTACACCATCACAAGGAATAGAAATCCAAATTCCGTCGCGACCCGCAACACCAGCCCACCGGGATGGCTCTTCTGTTTCGACTCCAGGAAGCCAGCCTAACACTCTGATTCTACAATCTGCCACTACCACTCTCCCCTCACGCCGACCTAGCAGCTTGGCCACGGATGAGCGTCCCGCCTCAACAGCAGCGGCAGTGGACGAAGCAGAATGGGCAGCCTTCGAGGCCGATATTGCTGCCACAACAGCCCCATACGACGAAGACGCGGTCATATCAGCTCCAGCCATGACAGCAGAAGAAACCGCAGCCATTGAGGCGCAAAAGGAGGAAGAGGCCGAGAAGCGACGCGCTCAAGCCGACGTCGATCTCGAGGATGAAAAGGAAGAAGCGACCCGCGCGCTGGAGGAGGAATTCGAGGAGATGGAAGAACTAGAAGCCCGCGTGAGGCGCCTCAAAGAGAAGAGAGAAGCCCTGCGCAAGCGCGGCGAAAGCTTCGGCCAAGAAGCTGGTGCTGAAAAGCCCACGAGTCTGGGCAAGGAAAATCTCGAAACACCTGCCATTGAGGAAAAGGACGAAGAAGACGAGGATGAGGACGAGGATGAAGACGAAGACGATGATTGGGATGGCTTCAGGTTTCGGACAGCCTGAGCGCAAACACATCGTCTCCGCTGAACATATAACATAAACTAATGCTGGAAGACCCCCAGCCATTCTTATAGGGTTCGGTACAAGTAAAGGAGTTCGTCGAATTTGAACCGTCAACACAACCTACATAATTTACCATACAAGCAGTCCTATCTCCTGGGCTGGAGTGATCATCGAGAACCATCATGCCCCATTACCGGCACTTGCTTGTCCCGATTGTGACCAAAATATCAGATCAAACTATAATAAAAGTACCGGGCCATGCAATGGATCCGGTACATCATCTCGTTCGGCGTCTTGCACAGCGCCATTTCGCGTGATGTGCGACGCGTTACATCCATACATCTTGCACGAGTCGTCGTCACTAACTTACTGAGGGTCACTTCGTACTTCACCACGGCCGACTCGCTCCCAAAATCTACGAAGCCGCCATACACGCCCTATGCCACGGCTCTCCTCCCACTTTCTAACACCGTCCTGGCGCTCCTTGACTTCACGCTTCCATCTATACGCAATCCATTGACGTAGGCCGTCCTTAACTCTTTCTTTCTCCACTGCCTTCTTCTTGGCTACTAGTGCCGGAGCAACATGCACTGAGGCCATGCCAGGCACACATTCTTTTGGCAACACTGAACGCTCGACTAAAGATGCGGCTGAAGGCCTTGTTGCCAGTCGTCGAGACAACCGGATTGATACTAAAGATCGAGCCAAGCGTCGAGAAACTATTGAAGTACGCGTCATGAAAATGTGACGTGCAATAAGGTCAGCTAGGGATGGACGAGACGGCGACCAAAGACGTGATGGAAGATCTGTTCGGACTCGTTGAAGTCGATAATAGTGAAGAACAGGGGCTTGTGAAATATCGCGAAGAAGGTGGCTTGTCTGTATCTGCATCAGCCCGGGATCACAGACATCTTTCACTACAGGATCATGCTAAATTATGTCAAGAAACCCCCCTGGAATATCTCAAAGGAACGAAATAAGTACTGGTAAAAGGTGGACAGTCGATACTTACTCTCGACGTTGAAAGCAGGTCGTTTACGTCCAAGAAACCCATGATATGAAACAAAACCTCGTTTGGCAAATTCTCGAGGGAGGGAGACTGAGCCAGAGCCCCTTGCAGTTTGGCACTACTGGTAACACTTGGATTGACTGGAGAGACACGGTGAATCTCGGCCCCTTGAAAGGCTGGGCAGCTTGTCGCTCGTAGAAGGCTGGGGTCCATTGGGTCGATAGAAAGTCGGGCATCAGTGGCCACGAACATCGAGGTGCTGATCGTTTTGCCGTGATCGGTTAGAGCCAAGTAACTAGGATTCTCAGAACGGGGTGACCCGAGCGACAGCTGATGTACATGTGAGGTGAGCTGTCCAGAGGAAGTGGCAACAGGCTTCATGACTATCTAGGCGTTGACCCTCAGTGTGACAGTCGATCGAGAGCACCAGGAGGGTGTGGGCTGAGGGGAGTGAAATAATGGGACAATCGTCTTGGTCCAAAATGAGCCTAAATGCGAGAGAAGGTCCGGTAAGACGATTGAAAGCAGGCAGGCAGGCAGGCCAGAGGCGGGAAGAAGAAAATTATAACCAAGTATCGAGTGGTCGTCACAGGTACAGCTCGGTCGAGCCACTGGGGAACAAACTGTGATAGTTGGCGTACGACACCAGGCAATCCAGGCAATGGGCCGCAGTGGGTTTCTGGACAAACAACGGAAGGATGCCGAATGCCCCAGGCAAGAAAATAGAGAGTAGTGATGAGGCGAAGCGCGAAGAGGGATAAACACGGCGCGTAAGTAGTGCGGTCGCCAATATGGTCGGTCTGGTCAGTCGGCCGTGGCCAGGATCTCTGGATGAGGGAGTAAAAATGGACAGTTTGAGAAGCGGTGGAGGGACGAGAAGGACCTGATCGTCGACGAAGATATTAATAACGAACAAGAGGTAACGTAGTGTATCAGGGTTTGAGAATGGGGATAATCGTAAAATGTTGCTGCATTGTTCACTGATGACGCGTAGGGCGCTAAGAAGGATGAATGATATAAAGAGTCGCCCTTGTCATACGGTAACAAATGACTGCGATAAGGGTGAACCAAGTGACCCCTGATATAATGTCTCGGTTTATAAGAAACGCTGCATGGTATTTTGGCATAGGCCGTGCAGCTGTCGCTCGAGCATCGTATATGATGCGAATGTTTAAAAGCCATGAGATAGTCGAGGTTCGAGATGAAACATGGAGTTGAGGGGAAGACCAGAAGAGTGGAGACCGTCAGACAGATCAGGTTAGCCAATATGGGGGTCGTGCGCAAGCGTTCTCTACCTAGGTACCTATGCCACTAACGGCGGGAGCTGGGGAGCCTAAATTGAAGGCAGGCGCATGGAGGGTATCTGCTATAGGTCGTATTTGACAGCAGGGTTCGCACCTACTTAAATTGCCCTGTCTTTTTGTCAGGTACCAACCATGCTCAGGGATCATGGGGAGGAAATTTGACGAAGCAAACACTTACGTCTTGATAGGACAGGAAGGAATCAATACGCACAAATCATGATAATTGCATGCGATTACATCTGTTACTTTCACTTTACTCGTCAATGACAACTTGTGCATATGAGAGTTGCTGAAGAACCAATATAAGACCCAGAACTTAAGTAGTGTTCATTTTTACTCTATATCCGTACCTGCCTGCCTTTCGTCCGTTCCATCCCTCCTCGCCTTTCTCAACTCAACGCGTTAGCAGCGCTTGCCGTGTTAATGTGATTTCCCACCTCGCCGGCCGCCTTTGAGACCATCAGTCTGAGTTGCTTTTGTTGGTTTCCCTTCTGCCCTCGGACCTCACCGCTCTTGTCTCGACGAGACAACAAACCACCATTACCTTAGTACATACCGACCTACCTCCATTACGGCCCGACGTAAACATTGCTATTCACCCGACAACAACAATAACAATGGAAGCTGCATGCAAGCTACCGCAGGCACACCCACCCTACTTACACGCGCATACAGCACATCATACGTATCACCTCGCCTCACATATCCGCGCTTTGCCTGCATATGCTCATCACAGCCACCCGGAAGATCTCTGATGAACGACCGAACGTTGTCCTCTCAGCCTGACCCTAATCTATGCCCTGCGCGGATCGACGTCTCTTCTGCCGTTGCTGCACCCTTCCTTTTCGGGCAATTATCTCTTGTCACAGACAACGACTTTGGCCAGTATCAGAATATGTACGGATACATAGGTACCTTACTCACTTCGCGTGGCATGAACAATAAGCGACGTTCATGCACCATGCAGTTCTCTACTACCTTCAGCTCGAGCTGACGTGACCGTGCACGTGGCGCCTTGCTTTCGCCTGCTTTTGCAAACCATACAGTGGCTTACACACAAATTTCATGGCACAGCAAGTCTCTCCACTGTACAAGACAACTTCCGAAAAAGAAAAGAAAAAAAAGGGAAAATCACAGCTCATCGCCTATTTCCTGTCACGCTCGATCAATCAACCACACCTTCACACCCACGCGGTTCTCAGTGCTGTGACGTGTATATAATCCACCTGAGCCTGCGGCCGATTTACAGACCCTGCCTGATATACAGAAGAAGTACGAGCTCCAATGTCAAGACCCCCAGCAGCATCACTCAAGGGGCAGACCGGGCGGGTCGAAATTGTCGAGCTACGGGGCGTTGGACAGCTGAATGACAGGCCTAATCATGTCCACTTATCGCTTCATCAGGACTCACCATCTGAAAGAAGCTGGAAATTGTTGCCCTCTGCGCACTCATTTCCCTTTACGGAATTCGTGCTCAACGTTCCCCATTCGCCTCCGCAACTACTAACTAACGCAGGCTGCTTCCGGGCAGCCTTGTCAAGATGACCTCCAGAAGCATAATGCCTAGTTTTGTTCTCACGACTTCAGATTGCCAGACACCACACCCTACTCCACCCTGGAGACAATGTCTCAAGGTTGTGGAACATCGGTTTTCCATCACTTTATACCATGATTGCCTCCCGTTATGATCTCAAAGCACAGAACAGAGTTCCGTCATACTATTTATTCACTCTTCAAGCTGGCTGGCTACTGTTTGTTGGCTCCAATCTCGAGCATTTGCAAGAAAGTTTACTCAGTGTTATCAGCTCAGCCTTACTGGCAGTCGCCATTAGCTTGCGTCGTCACAGAATCTTGGCTTCCCAGGATGGTCACATCTCGAACCTAGCGAACCAATCGTCACTCTCAACAAGTGTCCATGCGGCGACAGTAGAAACATGTCTGCCGTACAGGAAGACCCATCATTAAGCCGCTGACCCCTGGACAGCCCCCTGCTTGTCAAGCCTCCCCCACACGGTTGCAACGCTAGCCTTTAACATTCTCTCTCAAACCTTCGCGGTCCAGACGACACCAAGATGAGGGACTCGGACAGTGCTAATGTATTAAGATTCAGAGCTGAAGCAGGTTGGGTGACTGACACTGTACCGCGCGCCTAGATCGAGGTAACGTAGAAGCGTTGCAGATGGGGCAAGTGTCGAGCTTGAACCAATTGCCAATCCGCATATTCTCATGGGCTGGTAAGATCTATTTTCTCAATTGGCTCCAGGTACGATCGGATGCTCCCTCCCCGTTACTAGCGAACAGGCCCCATGCAGCGGTTTTCAGACACATGATTTGCAGCCACCCAAGTGTCTGGTTCTGTATCAAGCCCGCGAAGTTGGGCCATAGCGTTCGAGGCCTATGGCTAATTGGGCGGTAATCTGTTGCGGAGCTTTCTCTGTCAAGCTCTGTCTGGTCGAATTGGTGGTATAAGATGGTTCTCTGTACCACTCTGCATAGAAACGATTATGGTTTTTGCAAGTGAGCATCGCTATACATCCAGCATATTCATTATCTTGGGAACGCACTCGACAACAATTTCGAAGATCCTAAGATGGGCGTGGCTCAGTACCCTCCACTTTAGCAAGCCAAAGCACCAACAGTCTCAAATAAGTCCACTCGAGACTCAGAAATTGGGATGGAAACTTGAAAGCGGGCCGGCCCGGTCGCTGAACCGGGCCGTTACGGTCACCAGGCTGAGTAAGGGAGGTTGGCTCATCTATTTGAGCTGTTCTCTACTTGCGGACGGTCTGTGTGCCCGCAAAGACTGACCAGACATTCCGCTGATACACAACCATGACGATATCCAGTCTCGGGCCTCCAAGTTGGTCGCTCTCGACTCGACTTCTCTGCTCAACCGGATTGCGAGCAGTGGTGAACCATGCCAAAGTTCAAGCTTACACGTTGTGTCTCGCTTGGTGCATCCACCCACCCAAACATATGCGCGGACACGCACAGAGTCACAGGCTCCCAATACACATGCGTATGGGTACATTCTTGGACATTCTCAGCCACAAAGATTGAGAATTAGACTTACATCCCTGCCGACCCCAACAACGCCCAATCTTGAGGACCAGTATCAACGTCTTCTTCCTCTGCTCCCTGTCTGCTCACGCTCATGGTCCCATGCGGGCTGTGAAGTCATCACAGGCGAGTCAGTTGCCCATGACGCAGGCCATTCCCGAAGCAGAAGGCCAACTCAGCAGTGTTCGGATGCCTCGCCATGTTCCCCGTGAAGAGTCCTTTGTCACCGCCGTATCTCATGTTCGGGGTGTCTGAAAGCGCCTGGCCGAAGGTGTTGCTTGAGTCACTTGTGCTCGTCACTGGGTCAGGGTTACCGCACGATATGTGTGGACTAACAACGAGACACTGTCCATTGCGACACGGAGAATGTGCTTCCCTGCCCATTGCACGGGCGTGCATACCCAAATGAGATCGCGACAGGTCATTTCGAGATCTTGCGTCTTGTCTCCGAGCAGTTTTCGATCAATATCAATACTTTGTTATAATATTATCGTCCACCTTGCTCACCGGTGCGTTGTCATATGATGAAGGGAAACTTGAAGTGTATGCCATGACAATCTTTGATCACCAACAGTCAAACTTGAGGTCCGAAGGAACGGATGTATAGTGCACGGAATGGCCTCCAATAGAACGTCTACAGTGCACTCGACGACTTCGATGTGATGTACTGCTCTCTCTACAGGGCAGTTCAAGAAGCAGCAACCAGCAAGCAAACCGTGGAAGTAACTTGAGCGATTGCTCACTTTGGAAGTTGCCCTGATGAGGCGATAGAGGAATCACTGGGCAATGTGAATCCGGAAGAAGATACAGAGGTATCTATTCAAATCGACAAGGACTCAATTCTCTCTTGGGGCAAACCATAGAACGCAATGGCCAGGCTGCAGTCATGGCCAGAAGGATGCCGCCACGTTGTGCATTTGCATGCCTTGTGCACATCAGCATGGTTCTAAGATCACCTTTGAACTTTCGACAACGGTGTTTGACAAATGGAGTTCTTGGGCCACGAACCAGTGATACGTTGTCAAGGCGGAAATTTAACTAATTCATGTGAGTCGGCAGCCATGCAGGGAAATCATGCCAAACCCCTTAGTCTTGCATTTCTCTACCGTATCGACAACTTACAGCAATCTGCAAACTTGGGCTAGTCAAGTCCAATCCGGTCGCGATCTAGAGCTCATTTAGATGTGGCTGCTCAATGGCCAAGAGAATTCATGGACACGAGAGGGCTGATGCGAGAACGTCCCGGGGAAGACATGACGTGGGCGTGCTACCATTTTACCAGAAGAAGTGGCAACGATAACGAATTTTGCCAAGTGATCGGTGGACTAGACTGGCATAGAAGGTGCTGCCCGTTTTGTTCTCTAGGACAGCACCGAATTGCCTGGAAAGCCATGTTGATATGGCACTTGAAAGATGAAGATGCTGCGCAACTGCGGATGCAACAGGCCGATACATTACCATGAGGTTCTGTGAGACAAAACGGTTAACAAGCATGGCTTAATTAACTCGGGCAAAACTTGTGACGGAATCATAAGCCGACTCTCAGCCCTTACTGTGGCGATACTTGCAAGTGTCTTGTCTTGTTCCACATTTGATTCGCACTTGGGTCGCGATCCGCAAGTCTTTTTGTCCGAAGAAAGTCCCAAACTGGAAGTGGAAGGCCGGCAAATCCTATACAGGCTTTCCCTGTAAAAGTAGGACGGCACAATGTCGTAGAGAGCACTTGATGCCGTAGACCATGAGAGAAAGTCCAATGGCAGATCCCTGACTGCAGCCCTTCTTCCAATGGGCCACCAGTGCCATGGAGGTCAAGTCCGCAAGGGCTTGACGCACAGAGCAGGAGAAAAGCAGCGAACCACAGCCCTGGCTTTCACCGAAAACGTCAAGATTGCAAAGTCGTCAGGATCCCCTTGTGTTTTGACACTTGTCCGCCCTCGGGACGAACCATGAAGCCCCACAGCGGCCGCAGATCAAGACACCACCTTATGTGCACTCGACCTGGACAAGACTTCGAGTAGGACATGGCCGAGGCCAGGCCTGCAGCGGGAAAGGCACAGGGCACCTGGCAACAACAGGGCCGTTTATGTGACCCGGCTGCCTCATGTCTCCGTGACCCAGAACGCGCCATGGAAGGCATATGGAATGTTGACAGAACGATTTTCAACAATTGCAATACGAACACGTCCGAGAAATTCTATCACGAGGGACCAGAGGATACATGAGCAAAAGTAAACATAGAGCTAAGGTGCCTCTTGCAGGCCATTGATTGATGCCAAATGGAGGCAGCTAGACTATATCCGCTTTACAGGTACGTCCTGCGTTAGAACAACAACAAAGTCTTGCAGAGAAGCAAATTGAATCACATCAAGATCACATTCATCCATGCACATACTCATACCTCCCCGCGGGTTTGCCCAAGTTGTTTGGCCTCTCGTCAGCCCTGCTTTTGTTGCTTTCACTGCAGCTACAACATCACGGTGAAGTGCTGTACACATGAATTACTGCAGTAGCATCTTGTGGTGTGGGGATGCCCCGTCCATCTACCCTGCTCCTACTATAGATGCTGATACTGCTAGGGGGGCGTGTATCGAAATTTAGGCCTTGATCAACGTGGCAACCGACCACCGGACTCCTTCCCTATGACATCAAGTACGGCACTGTGCTCTAAGCTTCAAAGTCGCTATTGTCGTCGGTAGTTAAGACTAGAACTTATCAGTGTTTGTGGGAATGAGCGCAGTCAACTAACGTGGTGATACAAGTCTTGACATGGGTCAGGCGGAAAGCTAAAAGAAAAGGTCGACTTGGCTTACTACAAATCAGAGAGCCTTTGGGCGGCTCTAATATTGATAAATATGCTGCAGGGTCTTTGAGAAACACATACAAGCAGATTGGCTACTCCGGCACTACATCAGGGCTCAGGAACCAAGCAGGTTAATATTAGAGCTGTCGGATAGACGGGGTACGTGGTATAGCAGCTGCATAAAAGAAGTAATAGAGTATCAAGCCGGAGGAGGGGTGTGTTTAAGGCGACTTTGCCGATGCAATAGGAGAAAACGGCTGTATGGGGCTTCAAGTACGGGTACCCAATCGACCTATCCAAGCAAGCCTCTTTATCCCGCAGGAACAAAAAGCAGAAGCAGAGGCAGAGGCAGAGGTAGAAGCAAAGGCAGAAGTACAATCACGGACGGCCATTAATCTGGCCCTTGCTGAGGGCAAGGGGTCCAAGGAAAGAACGCGATTGCTTGTTGGTTGTGCAGGAGTCCCACATGTGGATGTGGGATGCCATATACAGCACGACGATCGAATGCGCAAAGAGACTCTTGGATCGAAGAGGTATAAGTTGGCTACGGCGTCCCCTTAATCCGGTCTATACAACCCTTCTTCATTTTTCTACTTCCTCTGGATAAGTCCATTTTATGGCCGCCTCGACAGCTCAATTTCACCAGTATCTGGATCACAAGTTGTTCTAGACCTGACCGATATCACCGGTCTATCTCTAATATCGTTCAATATATTTGGACGAACATATCGATCAGCACGACAAGACAACCGATTGGGTTGCCGAGACCTAGAACCACAATAAACGCTTCTTAGACATAAATCTACCATCGAAAACCATCTAGCACCACTGCTTAGGAGCAGACCCTTTTCTGCCTCACAGGACGATTGGGTCTGATATTAGACTCAGCAGTGATCCATCAACTCGCGACTGCCACCTTGCAGGTAAGTTTACTATTTATATCTACCGTTATATAAGTATGTCTGGAAATCAATAACTCCTCCCTGTTCTTCATTGGTATTCTTGTTGTACTTTCATGGTTGAACGTTGTGCTACGCGGTGGTGCCGTGTTGGAAACTACGGCTATCTAGCATGGATGTGTTCGTGAGACAATAATGTGTTTCTGGGCAACAGAAAAAGGTAACCGGCATCCGAGGAGAGAATGAAAAGCCGGAGCCATGAGGTTGGGAAGAAACCAGAATACCTACCCAACGCGAAGGAGAGGCACAGAACATACGGACAATAGGAAAGTATCAGTGACTGACCAGGTGAATCCTAGAATTCCTCTCAACTCGAAGAAACCCAATCCTTTCATCATCTCCATTGTTTTGACGCAGCCGTTATTGACTCGTTCCGACTTGACGGGGCTTGAATTGTCTCGATACGGCTCGACGAGCTTTTGACTCGAACCTCGGGGTTCGGTTTGAATCGACTACAAGTTCGCCTCTTGAACTCCGCTCTCCGCCTCGGATCTTTCCACTTCTCCTCTTCTATCGAACCAGTTAGAGAGCCCTACTTCTTTCCATATCGACCAATCGCCGCAAATCAGTTTTCAAGACTCAACTACACCTCAGCCATGTGCTATTTTGACCAGACTCGGTGGTCATGCGGCTACTGGCGTTGGGGCCACTTCCGTCAGCAATGCAACAAGGAGTATCGGATGGGCGAGACGTGCGGCCTAAAGCTCGTCTATGAGACAAAGACGGAAGATGACGTGTGTAAACTCTGCCACGATACCGAGAAGAAGCAGCGCCGCTATGACAAGATGTACCGCGACGTCCAGCGCTGGCAGCGAGAGGGGAACCGAAATGCCACGATCGAGCGAACGTGCGGTGAGATGCACGACGTACTTGGTCAGATCTATCGTATGAGGGAGGAGCACGGTCACAGGCTACAATCGCTTGGTCAGGTGAGTTTGGAGCATGTTTTCTTTTGCGTTCCTATCCTTCTCATCCACTCCCTTTAAGCAAAGGGAACGCACTCGAGAGAAGACCGACGGCAAGAACCACAACTGCGCGAAAGGCACAACGAAAGGAAGAAACCCCCCCGAAAAAGAAAAAAGAGGGACGGGAAGGTATGAAAGGGTGTGAGGGGTGTGGTGTGCGCAGTGTAATGGTGGTGCTTCTTGCATATGCCGTGGGCTGTGGGTGTCGGGGGCACGGGCGTGGGCATGGACTGGACTGGACTGTGCATATGATGTGAAAAGAGAGGAAAAGCGACTCCGAGTGGCTAACACGTTATTGCAGTAAAGTGACGAGACACCAAAAGCAACCAGACGAAGGATATTGGTATATCCCACGACGACCATGAACGGATTTGCTCTGTCCTGTTTGTTCTGCTTCGCTTTGGTGAGGAGAAGGAGAAGCAGAAGCGGAACAGTCCCGGAACATCAAGAGATGCTATAATGATGATTATGACAACCCCTGTTTTTATATTCGCGCAGAAGAGATGAAGCAAAGATGCTGCGGTCGATGCCGAAAGAGGGAGTTCGGTCATGACCAGAAGAGGGGCAAAGGAAGAAAGGACGGTGAAAGCTGGCAAGGAAACTCTCTCGCAGACATGCCTCCTGTGGATTATTTTATCATTTACATTTCTTCTCCCCAAGTGTCTGAAGGAACAGACAATCGGGGATTTCTTTTTTTCTTTTTTTCTCTTCTTCTTCCAGCATTTTCTTCTGGTACATGCGGAACGTCATGAGATCTGCGAGAAGAGCAAGGTAGAAAGGCCTAAAAGACGAAAAAGTCTAGGGACAGTGCTGGGAACATGCAGACAAAAGCAGTTTGTGGGACAGAGCATGAGCCCCAGGCACAACCAGGTCTATGTTTTATATTCTTTCTTTATATCCACAGGTTCGCACCTGGTGGGAAATAGGCCAACCTAGCGTGTGTTTCTTTGGACAAGCACCAACATTCTCATTCTTACTTATATCGCTACTCAAGACGGCTTGTCTACTATATTCACAAGGACAGAACAACATCTTGCTCCCCTGCCCTAACCCCCAAGACGAAGGCGTAGAAATTGCAGATGGACAAGGGTGGCAGTGCCATTACTGCTCAAGGATAGGCGGAACTGGGGGGGGGGGGGGGGGTGGGCCACAAACACAAGCAATGACAGGACGGTATTGTGCCTTGTTACAAGTTAATCGGGGAGGCCGCTTCTATAAGAGCATGGTCCTGGTGCGATGACGATATAGCCAATATCAGGAACGCAATGGGTGTTTTGATTTCAAGTTGAGGCTTGATGAAGAGAGGTAGACAGAAAATGAACAGCATGAGGAGAAAAGAGATATCAGGCGATGAAGCACAGCATGAATCCACAGCCGCAGTAGACCTGAAAAGGCTCACAGGCGCATCGCAGAAGAGAATAATAGCGAACCAGCAATCTACAGGATGTAGCACGAGCGGCTGCCAGCCGGATCTCTCGTGTTGTTTCTCTCGTACACCGGAACAGGCTTTATCCTGTTGGAAAGACCCTAACCTGCCATTCAAATTAAGCGTATGCCCTGGTTTATCGGGGTTTGATAACCCCAAGCCCTTCACCGACGAATAAGGACGAAGGTGTGCTACAATGCAGGTGCTAGAGCGCAAGACCAGCGGCGTCGGTAGTCTAGGTCCCCTGATGTCTCAGATGATCTTGGTAGCTTTGCCGTCCTCCATTGTCCATTTTCAGGCGACAGCCAGGGCACCAAATCTGATATGTATGGTAAGTTACCTGTGGCTTCATTTCGAGAAGGAGGATTGGCCGAACGATCGAGTCGAGCCGATGAGGAGCTATCGGGATCGGGGCGGGGGTCGAACTGGAGCTGGGAGTTGGCGATCGTGGAGTCAGAGGGCCATAGGACGACAAAACAGGATGCTGGCGGACACATCGACGTTACAGTCTTTTTTCCATTGTGTCGGAGACCAGGGTTGTCAACCGCAAGCCAATTTGTGAGAGAAGAGCTCATAGGTTGGCGTACGACTTGCCGCGGGTGTTACTGCTGTCAGGGTTGTCTCAAAGAAGTTGAAGGTAACCTCCTGGGGGGCCTCAAAAAAACGTCGAAATACTCAGGATCCTCGATATTGTGCAGTGCAATTCTGAGCAAACAGGAACAAAGCACAGACAGTCCTGTCAATGAGGGCGAAGGGTGGAGACAGACTGGTTGTCAGGGCTCAGGCTTTAATTAACAAGCCTTCCCAGTACCTGCTCCATAGTCGTGCCAGAATTGCAAGCATTGTACATAGGATGCGGTCTACAGAATTTGACAGGGTTTCTCCCGATCGAAAAGTTCGAGAAAAGGCTGGCGGGAACAGCAACAGCATGTGACGATGGATGAATGCGAGCTCTGCTTGTCCAAGCTGCACAAGACCTGCGAACGGCACGAGTGAAAGCCGATGAGATTTGAACCCATGAACTCATTCCATGTCGTATCTGACTGGTCGAGTTCATGTCCGTCCGCCTTTTAGGCGACCTTTCCTTTCCTGTACGAGCCCCCTGGTCGACCCGGCCTGACCCGCGCCGCTCGTACGGAGTAGTGTCCGTTAGATTACCAGTCTCACCCAGATACTTTTTTGGAGTTTCGTATGGATAGAGCAGAGAACGTAGGATACGTAGCCTGCTTGCTTGAGAACATCCTAATGTAAAAAGACCCTGCGTGACGAAAATTTGGGCCTTGTCTCGGACGGGCAGACGGGTCTAGCCTCCCGTCTACGGGGTTCAGGGGCCCATTGTCTCATCGTCAAAGATAATGAATGAATGGGTGGTCTGTTTCCCGACAACATGGCTCTCCTAACCCGACAATCTGGATAGCCTCTGTGGCTACCTTTCAAATGTAGCCTTTCATCCTTCACTCAACATACATTTTTGGCCCTAGAGCGGCTCAGCACGTCCCTGTCTCCCCCATTAGCAACCCATGGCGTTTTTGTTGTGCCATGACCTTTACCCAAACAATTCCCGAAGGCTTGGGACGTGGGCGGGATCTTGGTCGAGTTGACGAAAGAGATCCATTGAAAGCTCCCCAGTGGATGGGGACCCATGCAAGCCGCCCATCAACGGTGCGAGCCGAAGCCGGAGAAAACCAATCTAAATCGAGGGCCGGCGGCAGGCTAAGGGAGACTGCCACCATCCTCCTTGGATCTCTGACCTCTCCCCTGGTCTAGCGCCTTTTGCCACCCCACTGACTGCCGAACCTCCACGAAGTCAGTGCGAGCCAGTGTGAGGGAAGCGCACGTGTCTGATGCTTAATGGGTGTTCTCGGTTCTCAACTAAGTCACGCTCCCATAATGGACTGATGAGCTTCGACTCTAGCCCCTCGCTCAGGCTGCGAGGGAAAAGACCGACAGTACCGATACGTACGAGCTGATGACGAAAATCCAAAAGCTAGTCCGTCTAGGGCCGCTTCGCTAGGACCCAGTTCAATAAGACGAGGGGGTAATTTTCTGTAAAATTTCGATTGGGTGTGTATGTTTGTACAAGTCCACTTCCTGCCCACAGCAATCAAATGCAAAGTTTCCGTAAAGTCCTGAAGATAAATAAAAAAGACAAGGAAAAAGAGGAAAGAATAGAAAAACGCGACCCTGCAACAGGTATCAAGCTTCCATGGAGCTCTATCAATAGCCACCTCCGCCTGCCGAAGGATTCAGCTAGTTCGATATAACAGCAACCATCAACGGGTTGCCAAAACCTTATTAGTCGGGTTAGTATAAACAGAAACGTATTGCTAATAAGTGAATGATGCGTAGTTTCGCTCATTATTATCATTGCTACTCAGCCCACATGCCTCGTAAGAGGTAAACCAGCATGAGTGGCGCCCCAATAAAGCCAAACCAAAACAGAACAAAAAAATGGGTTTGACAAGCGGAGCATCGTTAAACACCAAGAGGTGTGGTGTTTGAGTGTGTAAGATTATCAGTCGTGTATCACGACGAATACAATTTCGTACCGCATTTGCAGACTTCCCACTCAGAGGGCGTCCGGCTCTAGCTTCTATGTCGCTTGCCGATAGCGGGTTGTTCAACTGGTGAGTGGAGGACGCTATTGCATTGCCGCTGCAGCATCTGCAAAGGTCCCCACAAGAGGTCCCTCGTCGCTCTCGAGAGTCTTAATACTCGCTGGTCCGTTCTTTCGCATCTCGATCGTCTCGTCCTCTGGAAGCCAGTCGACCTTAACGCCGTTCACGGGGTTGCTGTCGCCCTGGCTGCTAAGTTTTGAGACGAGATGCTGGTATCGGGCCAAACGGGCACCTTGGCCTGCGTAGGCAAAAGGCGTTGTTGTTCCACGGGCACCATTCTCTTGTGGAGCAATGTCGAATATATCGACCATATTACTGTCCTGTATTAGCATCCTCCAGAATCCTTGGTCCTCGCTAACATACTCTGATGTCTTGGCAATAACTCGCTGCAGTGCCTCGTTCTCTCGTTGGGATTCGAGTGTGTCGTTCTCTCCATTTATGGCTTGATCGCCAAAGCTGCCGTATTGCATTCCGTTGGCATCGTCGTAAAGAAGGCGGTTCTCCTCCTCCTGGATAAACAAATCGTTAGCTGATGCCCCTCCTGACGTTTGCGCATACTCTACGATCGCAACAGCGTGCCCCGTGTATCTCATAGCGTACCTCATCATAGTTATTGCCATCGCCCCGTCCCAAACATGATGCGCAAGCTCCCATTGTTGCGTAATCGAAAAGATCAGGTTGACATAGCAGGTCGCAGACTGGACAGAGATTCCGTGTGGGTATCGAGTATCGAGTATCGTGATGGGTCGGATATTATCGTAAATTCATGGCCTGAAGTCAAGAAATTAGGTGTTAAAGGAGCGTGGAAGGTTGTAGCTTGGTCGTACAGCCTCGTGACTTGGTGATAATCTCTTCATGTGTCGCGACTGCCTCACGCCGTACGTTACTCGCTCAGTGGGTCCTTCTTCAGGAACCCGAGGCTGCATCCGTCGCGTCGGGTAAACATCGGCCCGCTCAACACCTTACCGTTCTGCTGGGACAAGTACAACAACATCAAGGAATATGTCCTACAAGGAGTTTCCGTTTCCTTGCTATCTCGTCAGTATTTTGATGATGAATCGTACTACAACCGTGTATATGTGTTGGTAGATCGTGGATATCTTCCTCTACAGTCTCAGTACAGCACATTTAGGGACCAACCGACGGCCCACAACTCTCCCTTAACAACGCCCCCTTCTTATCAGATGCCCTGGGTAAGGGAGCATCAATATTAATAAGTTCTCTCATTTTCACAATGTCTTTGCCAAGGGCAAAAGTAATAGTGTCGTTCAAATCAATCTTCGCTTTGCCCTTAATCAATACTTCCATCTTCCTTCATCGTCAAGGACTACTCAATACATTTCCCTTGCCATCTTCACCACCTCTATACGATTAACCCTGGCCCGCTTTACCAAAGGGAGTCACTACTCCAGCGTTTACTCTATTGATAATGTCTTTCCGTCGTGAACCAGCTTCATCTGTTCATCTTCCTCTGTCGCGCCTATTGCCAACGCACTTGGCAATAGCCCTTCCAATTAACTTCCCTTCAAGTAATACTCTCATCACCCTAGGTTCAAAGCGAAATGCCTACGGAAACTGACAACTATAAGGATGGGCACTTTGCCATCCAAATTGAGTTTGTTCTCATCATCCTCAACACTCCAGCTTCAACTCCAACAGCTTCTATCTCCTCTACCTTCTCAACTCTTTTGACCTCGCACTCGCCTTAATCCTCAATCACCAGTCTCAACATGGTTCGCTTCACTCCCTTGGCAGCTTTGGCTCTGGTGCCTCTGGCTCAGGCGCGCTTCGACTGGTTATTTGCACGAGACACCATTGCTCAATGTCCTCCTTGCCCAGTGAATGGAGAGGCTCAAGACTGTTCTCATACAGTAACAATTACCAACCCGTCGGGCCCATATGAGACAGTCACTGTCTCGGATCCCAAGGGTTCTTATCAGACCGTCACAGTCACGGAACATGGCGAGCCTGGCAAGACTATCACCATTACCCAGAACTACCAGAACCCCCAGACCAAGGTTGTGTACGTCAGCCAAGGCGAAACCATCAACCTACCCGTCGAGACCGTCACCGTCACTCACCCTGGAAAGGTTGTCACTGTGACAAAGACTGAGACGGAGACCAATGGCTATACTGTTACCAAGAACGTTAACGGATATCCTGGAAACTCTAACGGCAACGGATACCAACCAGGCCCTAAGACAGTTACCATTAGCGCGGGACATCCAGTTCCCAGTGCTGGATCTCCTAACTACGATGGGGGAGTTGTCACTAAGGTTATCGGCGGTAACGATAAGTATCCCGACACCCACACGGTTACTGTGATCAACGATGGCGAGATCAAGACATTGACATACACCGATGGTAACTACAACACCGTTGCCAAGACTATCACCGAGGACAATGGTCACGAGGAGGTTGTGACTGTTACCGGCAGAGATGAGTATGAGGTTGTCAAGACTGTAACTGTGGACGATGGCGGCAAGAAGATCATCAAGACCGTCACTGCTGAGAACACAAACAACTACATTGTCACGAAGACCATCCAGGATGGCGACAAATACCACACCGTCATTGTCAAGCCCGAGCCGACTACCAGCATCATCACCAAAGAGAACGGCGACTATATCACTACTGTTATCGAAGCCCCTCAAAGCTACACCCTGACAGCTCCAATTCGTTACGGATCTGCCGCTGTAACTGATGATGACTGCGAGACTTTTACAAGGACTGCAACTTACACCGGTAAGCCTGAGGTTGAGGTCATTGTTTACGATCCTGAGACTGGCGACTCGACTTGCACACAAGAAGACGGCTCATCCTGCCACCCTGGGTATGACAACGATAAGACTGGTTATGGCGACAAGGGCTCTCCTACCGGTGGCGACGACAACAAAGGTACCGACAACCCCAAGGATCCTCATGCTGGAGGCAACGACAAGGGTCACTATGCCGACCCCAGCTACACAAAGGGCGGCCAAGGCGGCAGCGACAGCTACAACACCAGCCTACCTGTCTACACCAAGATCCACACCTACGGCAATGGCGATACCTACACTGAGGTCCATGGCGCCGATCCTACAGGATGTGACTCAGTTGCCATCTCCACCAGCATTGCAACTGTTTATAACACCGTGGTTGTGACGGTTGATGGCAGCTCTAGCCAGTATGCTCCGCCATCAAGCACCCCAGTATCCAAGGGCCGGGCCGAAAGGAAGGCTCGCTCGCCTCTGTCTATTCGGTGGTGATGGATTTAGTCAACAGGGATGAGTTCTCGTCCTAGAGTTAAAGTTCAAAATCGGCGGGGGTATCTATTTGGTGGTGTATTGGAAGGAATGGCAATGGGGGCTTTAATATGGGCCTGTAATCAGTAATATTATCCAGTAATTATTTTTCCTTGTCTGCTTAATCCTTGTCGTACTTCTAAGCACTGTTGATGTCTCAAACTGTTCTTGTGATCGAGGCATCTTCTCTCATCTTCACAGCTTTGATGTCTATTGCGCTAAAAGCACACAGACAAGATCACATGCCAGGGCACAAATAGCCGATATAATCAGCTTCGAACTAGGTTAATTACTTACAACTCAAATGTTGTCGAACCTGGAAGTGAACATGTTTTAACAAATACGGTCGTGATAAATTTGGGAGGGACAGAATCCTGCGAGCCTACCTACCCTATGGCAACAATGAGATTAAAATGTTTTGGAGGTTGGTTTTGTGCTTATTAGACTAACAATGTCCGTGAGAAAAAGGTTGCTATGAACTTAGAAAGCTCATACATCACCTTGTGAACAGACTATATGAAGGATTGGATAAGAACTTCATAATGACCTTGTATCAGACAATGGTACTATGCGGGCACAGTGCTGGAGATCTGCTTAACTATCAATTTGGTGGATACATACACGGTGCATGCTAGCAGTCCAACCCATTAGCACAGTAGAGTCTGTATAGTAACTATCTCCTACCAAACTCAACCCTTTACACATTTCCTTTCCACTACATACGATGTCCAATTGAGACCACCCCCTCAACCACGTGCTTTTTCTTTAACAATCGGCTTACGACAAGGAATGATGGCTGAAACATTTTGACCTATTTCAGCAAAAATCAAGAACTGAGGCTTCTAGTTAGCGGCAGGAGAAAGGTCGACCACTCGGCGAAGTCCAAATCAACACTCGAGGCCCTTTCAAGCTACAAAAGTCGAGAGATCGAAAGCATTATGTCTTTGGCTCAGCCTGGTCCATCATGGAGTACTCTGTACGTAGAGGCCTATCCCTTTCGGCTTGTTAGCAACATGGTCCAGACCCAACAATCACCTCTTTACCCTACAACGACTCGTTTTGACAAATACCTTCCCTATTCATCTGTTGAATTTGCTGGCTGTCGATGAACGACGGCAGAGGCTGATCCGATACGGCTTCTACAGCGGAAGGGCTTGCAAGCCACGACCGTCTTGCATCATCGACTCGAGAGGAATGTGATCGCGAAAACACGTCAACATTAGTGCGCTGAAATTTGTGTATGGTGACGTGGCTATTGCCGTGACGACTACGAAAGCATTCGAATAGTGGCCGATTATCGTTATCTCTCTCTTCCCGCTGCAGTCGTGGACCCTTGGCAGCAAAAGCATTCGAGCTCAGCGTTATGTTTAAGCACTCGACGAATCCATTCTCGCGAATTTCGGTCTCCCCGTGTCATCATAGGCCTAGATGTATTTGGTTTGTCAGCTAGAAACTGCGCCGCTGCCGCTTCACCAGGATCGGAAGCCTGTCTTACAAATTGTGCGAAATGTCTCGGACTATTTGAACTGAGTCGATCAACTATCTGTCTCGGGGTATTGTTCCCCCTTGCCCCCGACAAGTAACACCAGGGACTCCTATACTCAACAGTATAATAAAATTCCATCTACATCTACATCTACATCTCTTGGGGAAATGGGAAGATGAGAGGACCCAAAGCCTTCTTCAACTACTTCGCTAACTACTTGAAGCTTGAGCTTACAGAGACACTACTAACGTTAGCAGACCTGCATTAGTATTGTATGATCCACATTGCCATATCCGGATCATAAAATGGATTCCCTACCATATCAACGTCAGGTACCGGTCAGATACTCGTTACGCTTGGGTTGTGGTTCCTGAATACCAAGAGTTCAATGCTCGCGAGGCGCATGGCTCCACGACGGTTGCGTCCACAATGCGGCAACCCCTTGGGCTAAATCTTGCCGGTGTTCCGCTTATCACAGAGTGCCCAACCTCATTCACTCAAGGGTATCGTCCATATTCGTCGAGGCTACCAAAGGCATCACATGTAGGCCCTGGGCCCCTCACAAGCAATCAAGACTGGACCATGGTAGAACCTGTTCTTCGTCTGTGCCTTGAACGCCAAGGACGTCAGGTTCGAAACCGCCGAACCTTTTTACTGTTAGCGCATGGGTTCCGAATGCCACCACAAAAGGACCTGTGACGCTGCTCAACTACTTAGATACTGAGAATCCCGTGCCAAACTGTGTTCACAATCCTGTGAGTTGTCTCACCACACCACCAATCTGCACGATGAAGTCATCCGAACCACCGACTTCGTCTCTCGTCGCTTCTGCCCGCATGCTGAATTGCACGCGAGGTCACATTGGAATATGCGCCGTCGTGCTAATGTTCATGATGTCGACTGTGGTCTGGAAACAAACAGACTTGATCGCGGTTCGACTTCCTTCTTTCGAGCAACAAACACCGAAAACACTGGATTCCAACAAAACCACATCTCCTAACGGTACCTTGGATCGTTTCTGGTCAGCCAACGGAGAATGCATGAAGGATCTATCGCACTGGGAAAAGCCAGCAGATATTAGCAAAATTATGGGACTTGTGTTTTATGGCCGACGACAGTCTGTCTCAATCCTGGATTGCTATCTCAAGGTATGCCTGAGTAACGCCCTACCATGTAACAATGAAGTAACCTTCGCAGCGCAATCTTGTGAAGAACGGTGGCTTGCTGGATGGAGTCATATTTGTGGAAAGAACTAGAGATCCCCATGATCTCGCGCTTTTGAACAAACTCATTGAAAGCGAGAATACATACGAGAAATGGGAAGTTGAATTGAGCGATATCGATAATTTTACAAGTGGCTTTGGCAGCTCCTATGACAGAGTCGAAGACAATGTCATGTACGTCAAGATTGACGACGATATCGTAGGTTAACAGTGCAGTCTTGCTGTGAAGGATTACTAACACTGCTAGGTCTTTATGGAAGACAGTGTGATTCCTTCCATTGTCAAGAAGAAGGTCGATCACCCTGAGTACTTCATCGTCTCTGCCAATGTAGTCAATCAGCCGCTCCTCAGCTGGATTCATTGGAACTTAGGATCCATACGACCCTACCTTCCTGAGGTCGACGAGACAAACAAGCCTAGGTACTCAAAGATCGACAATCAGAAAAAGTTTGACTGGAAACTCTCGAATCTACCATCATGGAAAGGACCAGAGTCTTTCTCGCTTGCCAGTTGGGAGTCTGATGGTGTTAAGCATCGCTGGCTTCCCCTCAACAAAAACAGAAAGGACCATATACTCGACACAACCCCCATCGAAGGGACCGAGTACCACCCCATGGGTCGCGGCTGGACCGAGTGGAAGATTGGCGCGCAAGAACACTACAGTTTTTTTGAGAATCTCGAGAAGAAGACGCTATCCGCCTATAAGTTTGGTACATGGGACTTTCAGTACGAGCGAATGGGCATTCAGTTCGTTGCTTTGCTGGGCAGGGACATCAACCAGGCGAAGCCAATCGAGGCTGATGATGAAAACCACTTCTCATGCAGCATGCCACGCACGCTGGGACGACGTAAGTGAGCACTACTCCGATCACTATATAACTTACTAATGTACGGACAGATGCTGTCGCAGATGGGCGTGGGGTCGTTGCTCATTACAGCTTCGGAATTCAGCGCGAGGGCATGGACCAAACCGATGTTCTTGACCGGTATAGATCATTCGCGCTTGACAACATCTGTGCAGGACCTATGCTATGGACTCCTAACGAAGATTAACATACGTTTTCACTGGGAAGCAATCCATTTGAAGATGCATAAATTACCATTTTCTTTTGTCAATATCTGTATATTCCATTCATATACTCAGGATCGATCAAGCGATGTATCATAGATTATAGAACTCGTTGGACAAGATCTAGAGTCCAGCGTAGAGTTCGTTTCGGGCCAGTCAATAGAGATGACAAGTGGAGTAGAACATAACCGAAATACAAACCAGTCGAATCAAGTCTTTGTGGCCTGTTCATGCAAGGAAAGTTGTGGCAGTAGCAACCCGGGCTTCTGAAGGTCAACTCCGTTCAACGATGTATCTTGGACTTAACTACTGTTGGTAGGCTTATGGTTGTTGTCTAAGTCACTGGTCACGGGCGAAGGCAATAAGACGACAGAAGTATTAGAGTAGGAAAAGAAGAATGGTATAAGGCTAATAGCAAAGCTAACGATGGTTGTACAGGAATTATTTTGTTCGTTTTCTGCTTTCCACTCGGTCAAAACATCAACCAGTGCTGTTACATCGAATACGCTTGCTAACAGTCCTTTCAAGGATAGCAGAGGCCAGTTTGATTAGGGTCGTATAATCGAGCAAAGCCAGGGCCGTACGGAGATTATAAAAGCATAACTTCAAGAAAACGCCTTGTCATCAAAGTTGGACTCGTGTCGGGTAAGGCTGGTCTCCTTCTCGACTTGAGCGAGATCGATGTGAGCAACAGCATCCTCACCGTCGAAGATACGGGCGATTTCTTCAAGGGTGGGTCCCTTGGTCTCGATGTAGAAGTAGTAGACGAAGATGAGTTCGCAGGTGTCCCAGAGGGTGTAGAAGAGCATGAAGTTCCAGTGGTTGGGAAGGTTGTTCCATGCAAGCTTGTTGGTTTGGTTTCCAATAGCAAGGATGGCCTGGACGGTGATGTTCATGATCATCATACCCTTGGCACGAAGGTGGAAGGGGAGGACCTCCAGGGCGTAGGCGACGAGCAGACCCGAGAAACCGATATCGTAGAAGATACCAAAGAGCCACACAAAGGCAATTTGAGCGTAGCCAGCGCCAGTGTTGGAATAAGCGACACCGCCGTCAGGGTTCTCCTTGGTGGGAGGAGTTGTGTACTGCGAGTTCTCGTAGATTCCACCAGTGATGGTCCATAAGACGAAACCCATGACCATACCGGAGATGGCGGTAAGGAAGAGAGGACGACGTCCGACTTTGTCAACAGTAAAGGCAGCACCAATGGAGATGGCGAGATCAAGAATAGTCTTTCCTGCAGAGAGCTACACGGGAAAAGGGTCAGTCAAGCCGTGTCTGGATAGTGTGAAGTGATACTTACAGCAAGCTTCTTGTTCTGCTCCTTGATACCAGCACCTTCGTAGATAACATCCATGTAGTTGGAGAACAAGGCGTTTCCAGAGTACTGGGAAATGATACCAAGTGAAATAATGATAGCGAGGCGCCATCGGTTGCCTTTGGTCTTGAGAAAATCGACATATCTGGTAGACTTGGTTGATTTGTCGGCCTGGATAGTCTCCCTAATCTCACGGTACTGGAACTGGACTGTGGCATTGTTTACGTCACCACCAGCATGGTGCTTGGCGAGAACTGCGAGAGCCTCTTCCGGTCTGTCCTTGTTCATGAGGAAACGAGGAGACTCAGGAACCCAGTAGATACCGCAAAGCTGAATGATGGAGGGGACGGCTTGGATGAAGGTGATTGATCGCCATGACCAGTTGCCGTTGATGGAAGCAGTGCCCCAGCCGACGACGGAAACAACTGTGAGAAGTCAGTAACAGCATAATTTACTACGGATCACATGTTTGCTACTTACTCAGGGAACCCAAGTTCCAAAGACAGTTGTAGACAGCAGTGAGAGGACCACGGTGCTGAGGATGGCAGATTTCGGTGAGAAGCATAGGAGAGGACATCTGAGCCAACGAGTTACCGAAACCGAGAATGAACCGACCTCCCATGTACACTAAAAGGCCTGGTCAGTGTCTAGACAATGTGCGCTCAAATATGTTGAGACTTACTGCCGTAACCATTGCAGAAGGCAGAGACGAAGGATCCGGCAATCATGATAACACATCCAGTCATGATAGTGGGCTTTCGGCCCCAGTTATCAGCGAGATATGGGACAATAAAGAAGGACACAATGGAACCAATGTTGTACATGTTGATGAGGATACCAAGCTTGCTTTCGTTTGTGTGCTCAGGGAAAAACTCCTTCCATTTGTCCATCTGCTGGGAAGTGTTGACCATCATACCATCGTATCCAGTGGTGGCCGAAGCAATTAACAGGAAAACAATGAGGAAGTAGAGCTTGCGAAGATGAGGCTCCTTGTACCAGGTAACCTTTTCGAATCTGGGAGCCTCAGCCTGAGCAATGTCGAGAGCAGTCTGGCTGCTGTTGACAGGCGCCTTCGAGGCGATAGGCTGCAAAAACTTTGGTCGCGCCATTGTGAATTGGGGTCAATCGATGATGTGCTTGACAATGAAATGGCCCGATGTATGAGGTAGTGATGCGTCTCGTGAAGAGAGATAGACGAGGAAGAAAGTCATGGTTTCCCCGGGTTTGCACTGCTACTTATAAAGACGAAGTCTAATAGCAGCGTGCTATCCCTACTTACCCCAGTTGAGTTGAGCCTGAACCTAGGCCTTGTCACTGTTGAGTGTCAAGCTGCAATGAGCGCGGAGTATACCCCAGGCACGGCGAGGTGCAGACATGGTCCGGGGTTGGGGTGTTCAAGATCATCCGGCACGGAAAGACGGTTAGGGAAGCTTGGACGCCCCGTTTGGGTCTTGGAGTTGCATGAATGTGGCCATATTTGGGTGTACACCTAGACAGAGACAGAGATGCGCGTGTGAATAAGTTCGGTAGATCAACGATGAGACGGGCTCCGAGCCAGGGGAATATACCCAAGATGGCGCAGATTGGCGCTGGGGGATAAGTTTTGGATATGCGAGAAGGCCAATCAATGTTACCCCCATACTTTCCCCAGCAATGTCAACTTTAATTATGGCTGAAGTCCATGGTGCTGGGCCGCAGGGTGGCCATTATCCCGTACGTGCCACTCATCTCGATCGTTTCATTAGGAGCACAATAACGTGGTCTGATAAATAAAGGACGAAGCTGAAGAACATTGCCTGTCATCCTTTCACGTCGCTTAAACAGGCCCGTGAAGTATAAACTTTGAGTAATGGACCGCGGGGTTGGGCATGTTCGGAATAGACGAGATTGGACTCGCCCCGGCCACAGCTACCAAAACATCTTAGCACACGCCACTCACGAGACTCTCCCCGACCTTTTGCTTATTTGAACGACATCCTCGTCTGCGTGCTGTCCGTTTATGTAGCATGTAACGTGGAGTCACATCAAGCGTCTCGATTTTGACATAAAATCGTTCTGCTTTTCACCCACATAAGTCAGTCTTCGACATTCCTGATGTGTGGTGGTTAGCAGGCTAGCAAGAGTTACTGTAATAGTCTAGATTGATCGATGCAGTCCTTACCGCTTTGTCCCGCTTTGTCAAGTTCATGTAAGTGCTGTCCATCCCTGTCGTCCACGGGGTCGATAGTGCAACCGGGAAAATACATTCAGTAGGTATTCATCCGCCAAAGAGCTTGCTTCCCCCAGAAACACGAAGAGAGTCTGGGGCTAGACCCGGGAATGGAGAGTGACTGGGGTACACGGGGTTCAGGGTCCTAAGGCCAAGATTGACCTCGGGAGTCAACATTTGATTGACACTAACGGCCAAGTTCGAAGATGGTGTCGAGGTGTTTTTGGAGAAATAGCTTAATGGTTCGATCTAACCTGCCAGCAGGCAAAAAGCATGGTAGGCGGGCGTGGCTCCCAGGTTGGTTTCATCCTTCAGCCACTTTGCTGTCAACTCCATGGGTTTCAGGGACTGGCCAATAAGATATCACACGGCAGCGGCTTTGTCCATGGATTCAGAGGCAGGATGGGGTCGCATTCTGTTTAGCACGAGGGGGCTAAAAACGCCTCTTATCGGAACCCAGGGCCGTAAGGATGAACCATGCGTCAGTGACTTAATGTGCTTTATTTTGCACGATATCGTGGACTCCAAGCTGAAGCAATTGTGTGATCGTCGGTGGATGCCCGGCTTTTGATGGATATGAACCAGCTCCTTGGTAAAGTCTGGAGAAATCCCCATAAGAATTGAGTGAACCAGATCTCGGCTATGTACTGTAATGGGGAACGAAGAACCTTGGCCATGGAGGGAACGAAACTGATCAGCGCCGAGATACCAAGAGGTTTTCGGTTATCGGCAGGCCAAGAGAAAATCAAGCCCTGTACTCCGTTTCCTGTATGCATCATCCGACCAACAGAGCGTGCATTGTTGGTAGCCGGTTAAATGAACGAGTACTGAATTGTCGTCGATAGAGTCTCGGTGCTAGTACGAATACTCCGTACACAATACGTATAAAGAGCCGTTGGATCGGACAACGAATCGAACCCTTGACGCTATTGGGAATGGTGTACGGAGACGCGGGATGGATGCCGGAGAAATACCTGAAGCGAAAAACCGTACGGATAGTCGGCGATTATTTGCTGACAAGACTGCCTGGTTCGGCGCCATGTTTCATTCATCGCATCCTACTCGCTGGCGTAGGGATGGATACCGTTGTAACCTTAATTTTAACAGTAAAATGAAGTGCACACCATCATCGACACGCTATGCGAAAATAACCGGGGTCGAGGTTAGAGCCGAGAGAAGGATGAGGATGAAGATTCTGGGTTCTGAATACATTCAGCCTGAAGTGAGAGTAGCGAGCTGAAAGTATCAAAACCGAAGAGCTGGAAGTCGCATCTGAAGAAAGGCTCCCTCGTGACTCCTTCCCCATGGATTAGCCCCCCCTCTTCGCTCCATGAGGTAGTCCCCGCGTCTTGCCACGAGGTAGGAGCCACCTGCGTTAGCCTATCCGCGCCTTCACCCTCCAAACACCAAACACACCATCTTCATCTTGAACCCTCTATCTCTAATTCTCTACCTATCAACTGGTTGGTGGGCTGTTGCTTGCCCATGTATTATCATTGTATGTGCATGCCTATTTCCGTTTGGGTCCCCATTAGACCGGATCAATTTAGCCAGCTCTTGTTATTGATCGGTTATGGAGAAGCTGCATTAAACTTCGTATTTTTAGGAGTTCTAGATTCTTTGTTACTTTTGCTATGCCTCGTGATAGATCCTGGCCCCTAAATCACGACACTCACGAGGCTCATATCTCAATTGCTAATGACTGAAGGGATGCTATTGTCGGCACTGTGACCTAATAGCCAATGCACCACAAGCAAAGCAGTCCCCTTGAGAGGCCGCCGTTATTGACATAAACTACCTATCTTGGTTGTCACAACCTTTCTGTTGTATGTGAACATATGAGCCTATACACAGTTTCCTCAGCTCCTGGCTTCCTTCCTATTGACTCGTCATCAATCCTTTTTCTTTCCGTGCCAAACACCATAAGCAAATACAACAATAGCAAGCGGTGGAATTACACGACCCTTTCCCAAAACAAATATTTCCCAAAATGTGCATGGCGGATAATAACCGCAGTGGACACAGCAGATTCTCGGGCAATATTGCCAGCTCGACCGTGATGTAGTGAGTGGTACAATGATTTAAACTTCCTCAACCGGAAGTGCACCACTCATTAAAGTAGCATCAACCATATCGTCATCTTCATGCTCCTCCTCCTCCTCTCGCTCTGAGATGGTGCTGCTGCCAGATCCGCGCTCCAGTTCCTCGATACTCTCTAAAGCTCTGGCAAACTTCTCTCGCTCTGCTCTGAGTGTACCTCGTTTGGCAGCAGTAGTCGGGTCCTCCTCCATGAGTCTCTCATAGACACTCTTGGCGTCAGTTCCAGCAAGGCCCAGCTTGCGATCGAGATGGTAAGGCAGGTTCCTCTGAATGTGCGGTATCATGCCGTTTGTGATGTGTAACGCTATTGCGTCCGCGAACCTCAATGCTGCGAGGCGGTAGTAGCCCCTAACATAAGCTACCACTTCGAGCTCACGCTGGAAAGAATCCGGCCCAAGCTTGGTCAGCTCAGATTCTCGTCGCTTCTCGTCCGCTGCACGCTTTTCCTCTGTGAGACTCTCCCATGGGATAGGAGGCCGACCATCTCCGTATCCTGCCGCCTGCATTCGCATCTGGTGACGATATCGTGTCAAGAGAATCTGCTCGTCCTTTTGATATCTGCGAAACGCTTCCTGGTTCACAGTGAAAAGACCATATGTTTCCAGGCGGTATACAAGATCGAGTGCACCAATCGTCTCACGGCGCCGCTCCTCCAGGTATTCTGACAGTATTTTCTTACACTCCCGATAAATCAACCTCTTGTTGAGTCGAGCAAACGACGTGGACAGGGCCTTCTCAAGCATTTCGCTCAACAAGTTCATGACTTGGTTGAGAAACGCTTTCATCGGACCCGCCCAGGGCTCGATGGATTCACGACACATGTCATTGTACACTTCTTCTGTAATGATATCTGGTACACCGGCTCTGGTCTTGGACTTTATCTCATCCCTGACTTGACGGAGTGTACGAAATCCTCGTCCAACTGTACTGAAAGGGGTAAAAGGGGCGGGAAACTGTTGTCGACGCGGAGCGGGGGAAGAGCGTGCCACACTCCCTGCTCTGCTCTCTTCGGGCCTTAGCTGAGAATGAGAAGGTGTTCCCATTGGCGTTTGCTCCATTCGAACACGCTTTGAAGGAGTGATAGGCGGCGCCATCGCTCGCCGCTTGCTAGGCGTATGTGGGTTGGTAACAGTAGCGACTGATCCTGCATCCGATTCGTCGTCGGAGATATCCACGACAGGAATGTCACTCGCATCCCTGAGTGTGAACTTGGGCTTCATGTCTAGAAGGCAGTCGCGGAAGTTGTCTGGTAATGGGACGAAATACTTGGAGAACTCCGAGGGCTTCAGTTGAGATCGAGCTAGCTCGCCAAACTCCATGACACTGGTCTGGACCTCAAGTTCGACGTTAGAGGGTAGTTCAGGCAGCGTGTTTAACTGCTCATCGATACTGTGTTGACGTTGCTTAAGCTTTTGCTTGATATGAGGAAGACTGTAATTGGATTACGTTAGTTCGATTCGTGCAGGCTATGATTATTGACCGTACCTCTTTGCAAACTCTTGTCCGAGCTTTTCGGAGAGAAAGGCCTTCAGCTTCTCAACACCACATCGATCTGAAAAACCATGGAAGGTAGCTGGCCATCTTTCTAGGGAGTGGTCCACGAAAACAAGCTCTTCCCATTGCTTGAGCTCGTCAAGGTCTTTCCCTTGAGGTCTGGATGTGATAAAATAACCCAGCCCGGTGATATGAGCCTGCGCTCTCATGATTGCTAGCCACTGCTCATGGTTTCCACCCTCCGGGATGAGATCGGCCTTGGTCAGGACGCCGATTGTCCTGTTAAGGGCACCGAGCCTGCGGACTAAGCCAAAAGTAGACGAGTTCTCTGCGTCGCTGTTCATTGGCATCGAACACATGATGATGGCTGAGGGGTGCTGAATGTACTCCTTGGAAAGGTTTCTCACAACACTGACGAGATAGTCGTCGCTCGCATCGGCAGGATTCTGGAAGATGCCAGGCATGTCGTAAAATGACAAATCTGGGAGCTCAGGGCCTTTGATCTCAAGCGCGACGATGTTTGGCGAAAACTTTGCTGCAACACTATCTGCAGCTCTATCGATGGGGATGTTAAGAGCGATGTTACCAGAACCGGGGACAAATAGTTCAGGGCTCCTGTTGTCGTTGAGAATAGCGATCTGAGCCCATCGTAGAACATCCTCGATCTCACTATGATCGATCATAGTCTTGAACTCATGGATGATGGTCGCTGGTAGCTTGCGCCAGGGGAAGAAGGGGTCGTTGTTAGTGACATCACTTTCAGAAATTCGACCACTGGCTGGAGGATCATAAGTATATTCCTTGCGCAGCCATACACGACAGGATGGGTCATGACTTCGAGAGACACGAATGTGAAGTGGGCAGCGGGTGCATGTGCCTTCGCTGCGTGGGAGCTCTAGATTTGCGAGACCTGACATGAGACTAGATTTGCCTGCTGACTGATCACCAACAAGAACAAGCTCAGGAAGTGGAACATCGTGAGAAACACCAAGCTGCTGAAGTTCGCCGAGGGTGTCGTTGCAGGCCTTGAGTTCTTTGCCGATATCCTGGAAGGAGTTCTGAAAGAAGCTTCCATCAGCAGGAATCAGGCCGGTGGGACTCTCAGCTGCAGCGTTGGGCCGCATCCTGAGTTCTCTTAATAGTGGCTCAGGCTCAGTGATGCGTTCACTGGGTGTTGCTTTGAGGGTATCGTCAGTATGCGCGCATGAAAAGTGATGCAGAGAGGTACTCACGTGCATCTGATCTGCCGTGGTGATAAAAGGCCTGGTCGGGCGGGATGTGGTTGGTGCTACCTCCGTAGCTCGAAGCAGCGGAAGTAGCAGTATTGTGACTGTTGTGGCCGTTGTGATTGTAGTTGAGAGTTACAGATTCTTGGAAAGAAGAAGTGTCGCCTGAAGATTCAGGGTCTGGCTTGATGATGGTGTTGTGCCCACGAGGACCACGGCGCCGAGGCACAGATCTGGGTGAATGGTTGTAGGTGGCGCGAGAAGTCATGATTGCGATGACTACAATCGTAGTGGCAGTGGCAGAGGCAGTGCCCTAAAATTGGCGATGTGAATTAAAAATGCAGCGCAAGCTCATGAACAAGCTCGTTTGTTTGTCTTCTTCACAGGGGCTGGCCGGGATAGCAACAGCTTGAATTGCAATACAAAGTGAAAGAAAAAAAGTGAAATGAGGGTATCAAAAGACAATTAAGTAAGGAAAAGTATTGAATGAGAGGAAATAGTTGAGATTTTGCAGATATATTGAAGTATCATAGGCATAAAGATACAGGATAAGAAGAAGTTGAGCTGAAGTTTCCACCAAATCCGTTGCCATGCAGTTTGGCAGTTTCGCTGGTTCGCGATCGGCATTGGCTGCCTGATTGTACTTGCTTCTTTGAACTGGGGCTACCGTTGCTCTGGGGCAACACGCTGCCCCGATATTAAGTGATAGCGGGTATAGGTTTGGTTAGTAATCGTGAGTACACATGCACTTCAAACATGATAAGAATAAGATTATAGTTTTTGGACTAATACTGGATCAGACCATGAGACTTTTATTAACTTCAAGTACAGTTCTGCTGTTCTCTTCGTGTTCATCATCGCTGGTCTTAACAGCAATTAATTCTGCACGGAGTTCTCTCTACCGGCCCAGATAAATTAAAGGGGTTGGGCTACATATAACCAATTAACGCGTCTGCAATCCCCCTGGTCGGCACTTAAAGTGCGCTCCACAATTAACGTCATTTTGGCCATTAATCCATCTCTTCTCCCTTGTTCATTGAATGCCGTTGATGTTTAATCGAGTCGTCTCGAGAATCTGCCCGCCCTGTAACAATTGTGAAGCTTAGCTCACAGTGGGTTGAGGTTCTGAACCAGTCTTTAATTCAGTGGGTCCACCGCTATCGTCCCGCCCCGCGCTCGTCTCCACATCTTATTCCCGCTGTGCCGTTCCTCTGGAACATGCATCAATCCGTTCCTGATCAATTACCGCGACAATGGACGACGAGATCAATGTACGATCAACTCGAGCGCGAGTCCGCAGACGTGAAAAGATTAATAATGCGTCAGAACATTCATTATCCAGTCCCAAGTCAGAGGAGCTGACGCCCTTGTAGGTGCATAAGCTGTCGGAACAGCAAAGCGCGCTGCTCTGGGAAACACCCATGTGATAGATGCATCAGACGTAAAGAGACATGTGTTTTTGAGGAGAAAGAGAAGAAAGCAGCTGTTTCGGTCAAGTATGTATGATATGAAATGATTTGTGAACAATGCCCCGTGGAAACTGACAAGTATAGTTATCTAGACCAGTTGCATGCTCGGATCGAGTTGCTAGAGGCTCAGTTACAGTCGCAGTCTGCGCGAGACAGAGCTCCAGACATTGGCTCAAACTCAGTTCAATTAGAACATCAAGAGATACCCTCACCATCAAGGGGCTCTTCTGAAGGGCCCTCGGGTTTGGATGGGCATAGAAAGACACCATCAGTACGTATCAATCTCAACACTCTGTAGCACCTTTCTAAACCACTGCAAGAGATCACAGTCAGAAGCCCTCACAAATACTCTCGTCACTTCCGAACCACAGATCAAAGTCCATCGTTATGGCCATGCTGGTAAGTCCTACAACAGAAATCTAAACGACACCAGTACCCGTACTCATCATGCTAGCCTACCTCGGGCACAGTTCAACATTGAGCTTCAGCCGCAGTGTCCGTAATCTTCTTCAACAGTCATCACCCATAGCAGATCCCGATAGCGTATCCATGGAGCGACAGGATATATCGTATATACGGACCTTGCCACCAATAGCCCTTGACCTGTCAAGCATCCCATTGCCGAAGCTGTCGTACGCCAAATATCTGACCAACACCGTAATTGTACACATCGGCTCTCTTTACTCCATCTTTGACTCAGACAAGTTCCTCCGGCGATTACAGAGCTTTTACGATGGCCGTGAAAATGGTTCAGTGCCAGAGGCGAACTTGTGGCATATACAGATGCTCCTGGTACTGTCATTCGGCAAGTCAATCCAATCCAGGGAACACTCCGAGATGGGTCCTTCTGGCATGTCCTACTTCACCAGCGCAGTTGAAGCTATGCCCGATATAAGAAGACTTTACGAAGATCCCTTGCTGTCGATTGAGATTCTTTGCCTGTCAGCTTTGTTCATGCATGCCACTGATCTTTTGCAAGAGGCCTATGTCACAGTAAGTTTACCAGTTGTTCCAGCTCTTCCTCACCTAACCTGGCACCTAGATCGGACAAGCCCTACGGATTTCCGTCACCAAGGTGCTAAATAAGCAATTCCCGGAAGCATTAAGACCTCCAGACACCGAGTACCAAAGACGTCTCTGGTGGACGGTGTATTGCATCGATAGGAAGTCAGCAGCTATGCTGGGTAGTCCCTCTGTTATGAGAGATGAAGATATCTCTATCCCGTTCCCAGCAATCAAGCCCGGTGACGAGTCTCAGAACGCGTTCGCCATTCATGCCATTCTATCTTCACATCTAGGCAAAATTCTTGATGGTAAATACCCGACTTTGCTCGCGCGAATCGTCACTTATCTCACACATTTACAGTCATCTATGGAGTCCACGATCAACAACGCAATTTTCTTATTGAAGTTAAATCCATCCTCTCGGGCATTGCCGACACGTATGGCATTTTGCGAGAACATTTGCCACTTGATGTTCAGCAACAGAGCCAGCCACTTTCTCGCGAGTCTGCCACGCTGCACCTCCTCTTGCATCAGGTATGCTATCGCGTTCAACTACTCCAACCCCAAGCTTATATGACTCCTCCAGTGCGTCATTCTGACTGTTCGGCCTGTTCTTTTCTCGCTTCTCAAACCTCTATTGACCGCGACTGGCTCCGATACCAACACTCGCTGTTCCTCTTCGCCATTTGAGTCAATGCTGAAGATGTGCATCGAGTCAGCGGTACAAATCCTCAAGATCATGTCGATGCTGAAACGGCAGATGATGTGTGGTAAGTTTCCCTCCACCTTCAAGTTTAAATATGTGCTTATCTCCACGTAGACATATTCCTTCCGTATGACATCGACGCCTTGTTCTCCGCAGCATTTGCCCTAATTCTAATCGACATCATCAGACCAGCAAATGAGTTGCTCTGGGATTTGCCCCAGGTGATGAACCTACTCGGGGAATTTGTCTCACGGCGCGTAGCTCCAGCCCAAGCTTATCGATCAGACCTTGTCCAGATTCTTGAGCTACACACCAAGATACGCGGTAACAGCAATAGTCAACAGCTGGATAGTAGTGGTGCGTTCGACCTTGGCGTCGTGCCTGGTCTGGCTGGATACGCTATAACCCATCCAGGCCAAACAGACACATCTCCAGATCCGCTGTGGTCGAACATACGCGACGGGAACGAGACTTTTGCTCCTGCGCATCCTGATGCCATTCTTTCTGTGATTGACGATCTGAACGTCGAAGGGTTTAACTCCCTCGACACCGTGATGCTTGGTGACGGCTGGATATGGGATCTGGACAACATGTCTACAAATATCTAAGTTAAGCAGTATTGAGTACCATCATGTTTTTTGCTACGTCAACCCAATCGAGCTCTGTAGAGAATTCTTATCAACCAATAAGCGTCCTCGTGTATGACTTCGGCTTATACCGGAAGACTGTTCCGAAGAATGCTACATAGCCTACGGAAGGATGTTCCGCTTCAATTCTCGAATGCTATATCAATACCCATTATCTCTATTAGACACTAGATAACACGCTATTTCAAATCGATACAATTACTATGATAGCCCGTTACCCCGTCCAAACTATCCCCACCCTGAGAACTACAGCTCGTATATCTCAACTCACGACGCGTCCAAACATCTTAAACCGCCTCTCTATTCGTACCTTTTCTATTTCGCCTTCGTCTCTCAAGATCATGGAGCCTGTGTTCTCCCCTAAAGCTGTCGCGCGTATGTAAAACAACTCATATTACAAAAACTAATCTTACTGAATGCCCAGCAATCGGCCCATACACCCAAGCCATCAAAGCCAACGGCATGGTCTTTCTCTCAGGGCAAATCCCCGCCGACTCACAAGTAAAGCTCATAGAGGGGACTATTGCTGAAAAGACTCACAAAATGTGTCAAAACGCAAAAGCTGTTCTGGAACAAGCGGGGTCCAGTCTAGACAAAGCTGTGAAGGTTATAGTGAGTTGTGTAATTTGATATCCACGTCCTCCTAACTAACAGAATGGCAGGTTTATTTCAATAATCTCGATGATATGCAGGAGATGAACGAGGTTTATGCTAAGTACTTCCCGCACAAGCCAGCCCGGAGTGCGAGTGAGTCACCGAAACTCCCAGCTGGTGCAAGCATGGAGATGGATATCATTGCGCTGCAATAAGAGAAGTCTACTGAAGAGTGCAGTTATAGAAGTAAAAAAGTACGTTGGCCTCGCCAGCTTCAATCGAGGTTGCATATTTCAATATGTAAGTTTGTGGAGTTGGTCCAGCTTGGGACTTCTATGCTGTTGCGTATCTTACGTTTTATTGGTTGTCTCCAGGTGCAGCTGTGTCTGTGAGCGGCCATTTATCGATCATATAATAATCTTCCACGTCTTGGTGTAAGAAGTAGAAACTGCATGATGGTTACCTTCAAGGTTAGTTACGGAATTGTGACTTTACAAAGCAACAAATGTGATCATTTCATATACCAAAGCTAATAAAAGCCAGACGAATGGGTTCAGGTTTGGATTGATTGACCACAACTTCTTTTCACCCCGTAGGAAAGCGTCTTTGCTGTTTTCATTATCATTAATCTACACTGCATGTTTCCTCGGGTTTGCTGTTACAATCTTTACAGACCGTATCAGTCTATTAACAGCTTCAGGCCACACACCTGTATATTATTGAGTTGTTATCCTTATCAAAAGTGTAAGCAATTTGCACTCACTTGTTTGTACATTGCCCAGTATTCGTTCCATTCTCTCGATTTCTTCTTCTCGAACAGCGTAGAGATTCTGTATACGATGCTGCCAATATCCAGAAATAAAGTCCGAGACAGTCTTTCCGTGATAGTCTTGTCTCAAGCAAATCTCGAATTCGGTCATCAGAGTATCCAAAAGCCTGGCACTTGTTTGTTCATACGAATCGTCTCGAATAGCATCAGCTGTTTCTGGACTACAGTTGAGTATAAACTTGATGGGGTGTTCGCCGTAACGAAGGGAGAGCCCCTTCCCCAGCTTGATCCCAGGATTGTCCAGCTCTCTGTACATGCAGCAAGTGTGTCTCATCTCGAGGGCTTCGAACGTCAGCAATCGAATGAACTCTAACGCTTGAGCCAAAGGTTGACTGTCTGGAGGTTTCGGTCCTCCCTCGACGTTACTAGGAATTTTGAATAGATTGGACTCTAACCAAATAGTGTTGAGGCAGGTGTATTCCCAGTACTCATGCCGCATAATCACCATGTTGAAGAGAGCGCGGCTTCCATCATGCGCACGAGTTCTGTATCGTAATTGAATAGGAGAACAGCCTTCTCCATCCATGTGACACCAGCAACTGCATTCATCGCGGTCAGGAACCTCAGCTAGAAAACAAAAGAGGTCTCTAGCTGATTGTAACCAGTGGCAGTCTTCAACACATCCGGGGTCGTTTACCACAACTCTTAAATATGACCCTGCTTGAGCTGCAACAAAATGTGCACCGGTGGCATGGACGTTCAAACCCAGGTTTAGAGAGTCGCTAGGCGTCTGTGCCATAAAACCGTGGTCTGTAAGCCAAGGCAAGTACTTTTCGATTTCCAATCTCTTCAACTTCGTAGATCTTATAGAGTATGAGCAATAAGCATATGACCTGCTGATAAACATTGGAGGAAGGCCAAGCTCATTGCATATAGCTTGATGATCAAACCCGGAGTAAAAGAATACTTGAAAGTGTCGGAGTTTTAGACCAGTGTTGTGGTAGAAACTAACAAACAAATCGTCGCTCAGGGGTACCATTAGAGAGGGATCGACTGACTCGCCCATGTCCTGAATAGCGACGCACCAGCAAGCTGCCTCTTTAAAATCTGGGATCTTCAGCCCCTCAGATGCCTTTTGTTCTTTCCCCAAAACTCGAAGCTCTATAGCCAATTCACATAGCCTTTGAAGCCGACTGGCCATATGCTCAGCTATTATTTGAATATTCTCGGATTTTCCGGTGCTGAGATGCAGATTCAAAGTGTGAAAACTGTTTTCTGGGAAAAAGCTGAAGCCATGCTCAAACAGCAAACTCAAAACGTCGGGATTGATAATATACAGCGACAAACAGCTGAAGTAGTTGTAATATAGTGAAAGCAAGAAATTACGACTGTTTGGGTCCCGCTCATAGAGTAAAGGCCGAGCTTTAGTCTCCAAGAGTCTTCTCAAGCCCGGCACCCATTCTCGGCATAAGTGCAGCGTTGTAAAACCACTGACTGTCTCAAGAACGGAATCATGGTTAGACGTGATTTCGTGATTTAATTCATCAATTGACTTGAACAAGATTGCTCTTATGATTGGGGACACGTCCAGCCCTACAGTAAATCAACATATATACGCCAGTTGGAGCCAGGATGTTTACTCACATGGGAAAAAGGGTGTTACCACTTGGAAGGCATATCTTGCCGGTACCCAGGAGAGCACCAGAGCCACGATCTCATTTCTAGCACCGATAACTTGTATAATGCTCCTGAGTAAATCATGAAGAGGCGTTGCTATGTCTCGGTCGTTGTAGGCACTACACAGTCGATCAAACCACATTATCCTAGTATCAGCTTAGTTAAAGATCTCGGATTCTTGTTCAGTTATGAGTTTTCAGTAGCCCCCTCTCATTAGTACACACGGGTTGCTCGAAGGTGACTAACTGTTTAAGTCCTGCTGGCTCTGGTGGGCACATGTCTATGAACCAGCTAGCTGTGCTAGCTATAAGTCCCAAATTCTTTTCATCTTCGGAAGCGTCGTTATGACATCGAAAACCTCCAACGGAAAGAAAAACCTTCTCATGATCAGCGGCATGGCTTTATATAGGGAGTTAGCTTATGCAGCTCTCTGTCGTGTGACTTACTTCCCAATAGTCTTCCACCGTCGAAACATTACTATGCAATTTATCATAGGGCGATGCTTTCCCTTGCTCAAAACATTCCGTGATTTGCCGCCTCAGCATTTGAAGTGCGGAGGGTAAGTGCACCAACTCGGGTTCTTCCCTAACTCCACGGGCAAAATCATGTATAAGCCCCACGACAGGATTCGTGAAGTAATCAGACAAAGTTCTAAACCTCAGCGAAGAGCTAAGACTTGTTCCCCCTGCCCCCTTCGTGAAGCATAAGCTGACTTCGACTAACGCTGCAAAAAGGCCAGTTAGCTGCAGCTTTAGTTGCGCGCCTGCTTTAGTCCTGAAGTTTTTGGCATTGTACTTTGCCAGTGAGCACCCTGTGTGATGATCCATAGATTCATAATATACTCTCAAGCCGCAAACATATTTAACTCTCCTTCTGGCCTGTAAGCTACATCTGCAGTTGTCTTGGCGAAGAGTCTGACGTTGGAAACGAAATGCATCGCCTAGTGATCGTGCTACGGAATCAGGATCCGTCGAGTAGACATCGCAGGCATTTTTGAGCGAACTTGGAGGAATGCGTGGTCCGAGCGTGGTAACAAGCTGTCTGGTCTATAGTTTGTGTCAGATGAGTTCCCCGGAGTAGTCTGGCAAGTCATCAGGCTTCATACAATATCATAGGATTCCTTTGTTCTTGTACTGTAAGATACAGAAGTCTGTTTGATTTGGAGAGTCAAGTCATTCAAAAGGCCTAAAATTGCACGAGTGTTTTCTAGGCCTTCCTGGGTGCCAATGTTGATCGTTTCTAGTTGGACTTTGGCTTGTTTTGAAAAGCCACGAAGGTCTTGCTGTGTAGACACTAAATGATGGTCGATATTGTCAAGCTTACTCGAGTTTGTTTCCGTTGCAGCTTTCAACTCGTCATTGCCGGAACTTATCACAGTTATACCCGAATGGATGTCTCGGAAGACATGGTTCTGGGATATATCTAAGTCACTAAACGTTAATGGTTAGTTCGTGGGTTGACTGTGAGTCTAATGAACTAACAGGCCAACAGTCTGTATAGCGGTTGTAAGACTGCTAAGTAGAGCTTGAACTGTCTGCCGCGCCCCTTCTAATTTGCTCTTCTTGATAGGGTAGATAGCCACTTGAAATGACTCTTTGATCTTTCTCTTGATGTCAGTGGTGACAGGCGGAGAGACACCGATCTCGTTGAGCAATTCTTGCAAGCCTCTGAGTTTATCTTCAGCTTGTTTCAGATGATCGAAGAGTATTTTGGCATGTTCCGGATTCAAGGTTTCGAGTTTTGCGATGGTAACTTTTAAAGATTTGAACAGGGCAATTAGTGGGTGAACCTGATCCAGGTGGTCGATCAAATCTTGCGATCGTCCACGAATGGCATCAGCATAAACGAGGAGACCATTACAGACTTGTATCCCAAGTGATATGATGCCGACAGCGCTGCCGGCTACAGAGAGAGGATCAGACATTGCGAAGAATGCACAACGGCTTCGCTCTCTGCTCCGTTCGAATAACTATTTGTGTTTGTTTTGGAGGACATAGAAGGAAATTAGGCTGCGCTGGCGGAGGAGGCGAGATGAAACCCCAGAGCCTGATCAGCCTGACGAGGCATTGTTGATGACCTAAGGCAGATTGTAACACATTACCTGCAGCTTGCATAGAGAGGGACTAACACTGCAGTAGGTGCAAGTAGGTATGGAAGGAGAGAGTGTTGTAATTCCAAACCTATCAAAATGGAAGTTTGGAATGGCAACAATGGGAAGCCGCCACTAACGAAAGTAAGGCACATTCAGTCAAATAGAGAACAATAATAAATTAGGTAGTAATGCGGCGTGAGATCATGCTTATTGTGAATTAACTCCGATCTCATCTAATAAATACCACAGCACAAATCAAATACAAATATCAACCCTCGGCACTTGCCGTTTCTCACCAAAATAAGATAAGACGGACGGCCGGGGCAACTCAACTGGCTGATTTGGTGGGGAGAGGCAATGATCAGAGCCTCAGGCTTGATTGAAACCCTGCAATGGCATCCAACTGTCACAATAAATCGCGTTAGTGCTGACGCCGCCCCAGCATGTTTCGCCTTTAAAAATGTCTATTTGGCTGCAGATCAATCTGTGAACCAGTTATTCAAATACTGGAGTCGTAATCGCAATACTGCACTTTGTAAGGCTGCCTCGACCAACACTCCGCCACTTTCACGATGGCTTCAAGCACCCCCAAAACGCCATCTTCTGGCACATCACTAGCGAGCCTTCATCGCCCTGCACCGTCCAGTCGTCAAGGCAGCGTCGCAACAATTCCCTATGACAGACCCGTCGCCCTCATGACTTCAGGCGCTCCGCTGCTAAATCCACGCAGCTGCGTTACTTGTCGCAGACGCCGAGTCCGCTGTGACAAGACGATGCCCTGCAGTAACTGTCGTCGGGCTCAGAGCGACTGCATGTATCCAGCCCCAGGCCGCGCGCCCCGCCAGACTCAGGCGCAGATGCGGCCTCCACCACAGTCAGGCAATGGTCAGAGTGAGCGTGAAATGGATCTTATGGAGCGGCTGCGAAAGCTTGAGGGGCTTGTTTATGAAATGAATGGCCAGGGAAATATCAGTGAGAACAATATCGAAGCGAGTAATGGCGAGTCGTCAAAGACACATGATACCAACAGGACTGGGCATGACATTCTCCAAGCAACGGCGGAAAAGATCAAGAGAGATTCGGAGAATACCGAGTTCTCCAAGGTCGATAAACAGCTTGGCCGCTTGGTGCTTCATGATGGGGACTCTACCGCACGTTATGTCAACAGTGGCTTTATGGTAAAACTAAATGATGAGGTGAGTGTTCACTTGCTCAGAAACTTCACGGCAACAACTGACCCTGATAGCTTGCGGAGCTTCGCAACGAAATGGAGCTCTTAAATGATGATGATGATGATGATGATGAAGACGACTTCGAGGACAACACAACTCCTGAGCAATCGCCCCCACAGGGACCCGGATCAGAATCTGATCACCACAGCTTTCTCCTCGGCTACAGTTCCTCCGACGTTGATCTCACTAGTCTTCATCCACTACCCGCGCAAAGCTCTTTTCTCTGGCAAATCTATCTTGAGAATGTTGAGCCTCTTGTCAAGGTCTTGCACATCCCCACCATGAGCAGGCTCATGACACAAGTAAGGCGTGGAGAGCATGACCTACGTCCTGGTGACGAGGCACTCGTATTTGCTATATATTACTCTGCAGTGACTTCCATGGAGAAAGATGAGGTGAGTCGCATTTGCACGCAAATTGAACCAAAACTCACATCTTCAGGTCCAAACAAATCTTGGTGCATCGCAATCACACTACATCTCTCAATTCCGATTCGCCCTTGAACAAGCCCTGTCCAAAGCAAATCTCCTCAACACCACTAACATGGCAATTCTACAGGCCTTTGTGATTTACCTCACTGTTGTTAAATGCCACGACGATAGCAGATTCTGCTGGACACTCACAAGTCTATGTGTCCGCATGGCTCAAGCGCTTGGCCTTTACCGTGACGGACAGCAACTCGGTCTCTCGCCATTTGAAGTGGAAATGCGCCGTCGCATGTGGTGGGCGATCGTATCTCTTGACATCCGCTCCGCCGAGGAGATGGGATCTGACCTAATCATCGGCGACAAAACTTTTGACACCCAGCTCCCTACTAACATCAACGATACCGACATTGACCCTTCCTTCACTGAGATGCCTCCTCCACGCCAAGGACGCACTGACGCAGCCATTTGTCTTTCGCGATACGAGATCACCGCCCTTTCCCGTAGATTGTTCGCAGCTGTGGCCCAAATGAGTCCTGTTGATGCCAAAGACATTGAGAAGAGTCTCGAAGAACGTGAGCGCATGCTTGTCGAAGTCTACGAACGCATGGAAGACAAGTTCCTAAAGCACCTCGTAAGGGAAGACGACTCTATTTTCTGGGTAGCCTCTCTCGTTTCGAGGATCATGATGGCCAAAATGGGCCTCATTATCTACCAGCCCGTTCTGTTCCCAGGTACTGGCCCTGAGGCTTCCAAAGAGGTTCGCAGCCGACTGTGGCAGTCATGTATCGAGATCGTCGAATATACCCACATCCTCAACATCGATCCTTCTTGTCGACAGTGGCGATGGCTATTCAAGTCTTACCGGCAATGGCAAGCTATCGCCTACATGCTACTAGAGCTTTCTAGGCGTCCCTGGGGTGTCACTTCGGAACGAGCATGGGAAGCTGCTCAGATTCTCGAGTATGACCACCCGATTGACGGTACAAATAGTGCCGACCACACAGCTGCATGGATGCCCATCAAAAGGCTTTTCACCAAAGCCAAACGCCATCGCGGAGCGGAGCTCGTGCGTCTCCGCGCTGATCCAGAGGCCGCAAGGCAACTCGATAGAGAGGACAGACTGAAGCCTGTGCTGGAACGCATCGGACCTGCCCCTGGGATGGAGACTCGCATGTCAGAGTTGAAATTCCGATGGCGCAAGATCTTCCGCGCTGGAGATTATTCTGACGAGGCCGGATACCAGAACATGCTAGAGGAAACACAAGAACAACTTGCAACTAGCACACGTACAACTGCTCCTCCGCAGAACCCACAGCAGCCTCAACAAGGTACTGAGCATCTTAATCCGCTAAATCCGTTCGATCCAAATACATGGCATAGTCTCAACGCTGGGAATTCTGGTAACCCAGGCATGGCGATGTTTTACGAAGGAGGCAATCCTGAAGCACAGAACACGGGCGGTCTCTTCCCAGGCGGCAACAGCTTAGGAAGCCTCTCGAGTATCACATCACCTGCAGTATCCGGAGTGGCATCTTCCTACCAGAACAGCAATGGCCACCAAGCCACAGGGGACAGTTTATCGCCATGGCCTGGGTCAAATATGTTTGACCCAGGCTCTCTGGGTGACATAAACGACCTGTTCCCAGATGGGACTTTGCCATCCCAAGGACTGGACCTTGATATAGATCCTGGCGAGGTTGATGATATCGATTGGCAGAATTGGGATGAGGCTCTGAGAACTCTGAATAAGCCGGCCATGGACCAGATGGGTGGCGGGGCTGGAAGCTGGGGAGGCATGTGAGTCTCGGTCCATTTGCCATCTGCATGACGATAGTGTTAGGTGCATGCCAATATTTCTGCCATCTGCTGAATATCAAGTATAACCCTAAATATGGTTTCGGAATCATGTATATCAAAACCTTGTTTAGATGCCAACGCAGAGTCTCTCCCAATTAAAGTCTTGGTACTCAACTTTATATACTTCGTCGTGTCGCTTTTTTCAAGCCCAATCCTACTATTATGTATAACCGCTAGTATCGTTTTTGCCATCTGAATTTCTAGAAAAGTTCACTTTGAGCTTAAGGCAACTTCTCGTCTGTATCAAGATAGTAAGATATCTTGCTGCCTGTAATATGGAGATGGATCAGCTTTTGGTAGTGATTGAGAAATACATGCGAAACTGAGCAAATCATTCGTTGTTACGGCAGATTATTCAAATTCAAAAACATTCAGTTTCAAACTTTGCTCTTCAAGTTGAGTATCAAGCAATGCTTCCCTCTCGCCCTTTCCGGATTTCCTTTCCCTTCCCATCCATCATCTTTGCCCTCGGATTAACTTCATCTTCAACTCGCGCTATTAGACACACAAACATCATCCTCCTCACTATCACAATGGCTCACAGGCCTGAGGATAACGAAGCTGCATACTGGCTTAAAATCTTGCACTCAGACACCTTCTGGCTTCTTGGTGTCTTTCTCTATCTCAACAATCGCTTCATCCAGACGCAGATCAGAGAGGTTGTTAAAGACCGTCCAGGGAGGAGACCAACAACCGAGGCCTTCAAGTACACGTACGAGTACGTAGGTCTTCCTCGACTTCGGCACAACATCAAAACACGGTTCATGATGATTGTTGTTTCCTGCTTGGTGACTCCACTGCTGGTACTCGAAGGTTGCTGTGTCTATCTCTTGCATTGTAAACTGGTTTCGCTGCTCTTCAGCCTATTGTCGGATGACCCTTGGAAACCTTACTTCCTGTGGACTACCTACCTGCTTCTGGCAACTGCTCTCTCTACTATTGGGGCTACCGTATGGACGTTCCTCGCTGCTCGGTTACTCAAGGCACAGGTGTCTTACATCCGGGCACTCATCAATCTTCCGATTCCACCAAATGGAAGTGAAGCTGAGAAGTCTCGGAGTAGGAGCCCTGCTCCTTGACAGACTCGTGCACCAGCCAACAGCCCTGAGTCTGCCCTGTCTGGGGCGTTTTCCACTGCTACTCGTCCTCCGCGTACGCCAGAGCCGACCTCTTCTATCCTTCCGCCCAGCCCTAAGATGGCCCCATTGCGTCAACAATTTTCTTCAACAACTATTGTCCTCGTTGAAGCCGATAAACATTTTCCCGCCGGCTCACCTCCGCCACGGCCTGATGGCCAGAATTCTGGTTTTTGGAAAGCTGATTATATCGCGAACCAATCCGCTCCAACGACAATTCCTGCCGCTCAAGTGTCTAACCGGGCATCGTCTGAATATCCTGAGTGGTGGGAATCTCCGTATGGTTCGTCCACCACGCCCGACATGTCACCCCCAGTATCTCCTCGGTTGCCTGTCTTGACAACCTCTTCGACCCCTCCGACTTCTGATCAGCAAGATTCTGAAGATGCTGGCGTCGCAGCCCATGTTGAAAATACCCCGATGGAGAGCTTCTCCATAGCTGTACCGTCGAGGACTTTTCGAGAACCAGTTTCGACAAATACCACTCGATTTCCTGATCAGAGGACTCGGGGCAGGTCCACATCGAGTGGTCCTGATTTTTATGGCAGTAGATGGCGTACATAGGGTATACGAGCTGGCGTTTTAGGGAAGTTTGTACAGGATATTTAGTCTTTTGTGATTAACTACTTACAGAGGATTCGGATCAAGGGAACCACGAATTGGAATAGGAAGTTTGTGTGTGGCCGTCAGGGAAAGAAGTTTAGTCAGTTCAAGTTGCTTGCTATGTTTGTCGTTAGTTTATTTGTATTTATTGGGATTATTCAAACTGTTGTCTCGTGACCTTTTACTATCAAAATAGACTCCAAGCCTCTGTCCATCCACTCAACAACTCCCGTTAATCCAACGCTCAAGTAGAACTTCCCTTGATATACTCTAACCCAGAGGCGATATTTCAACCAATAAGCATTCGCCGCTTTGGCTCAGTGGTAGAGCGTGTCACTAGTAATGACAAGGCCCACGGTTCGATCCCGTGAAGCGGCACATACATGTATCATCCCACACGAGATGTGCGTTGTCTCCTTTTTGAGATTTTGGGATGATTTGTCTTGCTGTTCTGTCTGGCGGAAATACCTAGTCTCTATGGTGTTGAGTGCAAGGTAAGTAAGGCTTACTCTTTTTTGGAGCTTATTACCGGATTGGGTTTAGAGTTGTGGCAATACTGGTAGCTTTCGTGAACATTTCCAGTTGTGTTCTTGCGTTTGATAAAATCTAGCTAATTAATTGAAGATCTTGTGATGCTCATTAATCAAGTCTTTTAATCCTTTTCTGACATGGTGGTCAGATAGTTTGAATTTCACAAGAGTTTCTAGGTACTGCATTAGCCGCCGAAATGAAGAAGAAGGAGCAAGCTATCATTCGATCATGAATAACAATAAACCATGTACCATTCATTACGTTCCACTGAGCATAGAATGGCAATGGATGATATATTGATCAATTGGGATGCATTTTTGCTGGCTATGATTCTCTTTTCATACAGGAAGCCAAATATCATCATCAACACTTCCACGACCTATCGCCATCGTGCCTAGCCTCGGGCGACCATCGTAGCTCGCTTCCCAAAGAGTGGCTCATGTATTATATCGAGGTCTACTTCGGTACCTTAATACCCGTAGACTCGCCAGAGGGATCGAGGTTCTTGGTTTTGCCCCCTGTGTAGAACCACAGGAAAGTAGCGCCGATGAGCACAGCGCCAGCTCCGAGGATCTTGTTACTGAAGGAAGCAGCACATCAGTTGACGTCCCTTTTGGTATAATATTGTGTTCTTACTGGTTTTGGGGGTCTTTGGGAGTCTTCGCCTCGTAAGGCTCGGCGGCTCGACGAATGCTCGAAGTGCGGAGTCCTCGGTGGACTGCAGGGAGAGGTCGAAGGGCGACACCGGCGCGGGCCACGCGGCTAACGAGAGGAGACATTATAACTGTGAATGTGGTAGCGAATTCAATTGATTATATTGTTTCCGACAGTTGGGACCCGCAGATCTGATGGAGATTGAAGAACAGAGCTAAGTTAAGTTGTCAAGAAACAAGCAAACTCCACTCAGGCCGGGAAAACACTCGCCTCTTAAAAGGAGGAGGTGCAAAGCGCGGGGAATCTCTTTCCGTCATGGATGCGTGTGACGAGGCGTTTCCGTGTTTATATTTAACCCCCCAAGTTCTGGCCAGGTCAAGGTCTTTACATATGTCACGGTCTGGTATTTGGAGAAGGTCTCTTAGGGGTATGTAAGCTGTGTGGTGAGCAGCCACAGTACCGTAAAGAGACTTGCTGAATACGCGCTACACAGGCAGAGAGAACTGTAACCCCGGATTTACATACCCCCAGGCGGCACTCCTGGGGTAGTATTCTCAGGGATCTTTGGCTTTTGACTGGATGGCCAATGAAGCAAACCGTTGGGTGGCTTTCAGTGCGAGGCCAAGTGCGGAGGAGGGCTTGGAATGGGCTGATGAGTGTTGCATTTTTGACTAACTGCATTGTCAAATTGAGAGGGTGTACTCACCGCCTCATTCACCACAATAACAATGTCTCATTATTCGCATTGCTATTCGATATGATATCCAAGCTCAATAATCGTTATTTATACAAAGACGTCAACATTTCAATGGGTCCGTTGCTATTCTTGATCTAATTCATATCCACTCCCTAGCAGGGGTCCGTCTTCGGCAGCTAAATTGGCCCACTAATTTTGAAGTTCCAGATATGAGGCTTGAAACACCCTCGCGATGCAACAATGACATGATAGCAAAAGGGTCTCAAGTATTATGTTTTTGTGTAAAGTATCAACTCAATCGTCTCTGAGTGTTACTTCAACCTAAATATGTACACTAATAAGAAGACCAAGCCAAACCCTGACTTAGAATGAAATCCAGGTCAATGAAATACACACAAAGCCAATTCGTACCTCTGGACAGCATTTATCAATCTGCCGACCTGTGTATCTCGTGTAGGCTCTCCGTTAGCAACTAGTAAGTCGTTGAAAAGATTGAACCAGTTGTTGAGCCATGAAACATAGCTATCTCTTAATCTCTCTCCTGCTTTATATGTTACCGGATCAATCAATTGAGCGCCGGTAGTAGTGCATACATAGGTCGGTATACGAGTTTCAATGGCCGATCGAATTCATTCTTTTTGGTGTATCAGGGATTGGCGAATGGACTAGGTATAGTCACGACGAGGGCGTCTTGTTGAACTACAACTTCACTAGTTGAATCGAGAACAACCACTTCTTACTGGTCGTGATGAAGACAATCAATTTGAATACCACCAGTAGAAACTTGAGCCTTTGAATCGAGGACTAGCTACCTATAAGGCGTAATCGAACTTTATCATCTCTTCAGTCGTAGCTCCACGACTTGATTTTAAGGCTTTCCTCGGGCACTGGTCACACTCAACAAAGATCTGTGAGAATAATTGAATACTTAAACTACCTCTTTAGAATCATTCCAAGAGTGGTCTATTAGTTTTTAGCGTCAAACACACGGTGTAGTTTCCAATAATTCTACTTTCATCAAGTTCATGGTTTTTGATGTTTAACACCAGTATCGTCACCATTACACCTATAAGATACCTAGACAAGAATTAGACTTTAAGGACATCAAACTAAACATTTAAACAGACAAATCCTTAAAAATTGACACAAAAAAAAACCAGTTCACATTTCGTCCAAAACCATAAACCTTCATCCTCGAATCCAGGGTAAGTAACTCCCCCCTCCACCCTCCAAGCTGAACCCCTATTTCCCACGTGCAGAAAAAAACCCACCCCCACCGTTCCGTCTCGATACCAGACTTTCCCTATTCGGTGACCGCCTTCAATTCTCCAAAGTGTCCCCTCCACTTTACGTCGTGTCTTTACTCTCCCCCAGTCAAGTAGCTCAACCACTTCCTGACACGAGCTTTCATAACCTCTTGTTCTCTCCCTTTCCCTCTCCCTCCCCCTCTTCGTCTCTTAACTACTTCTCCGCAATCATGTCCCTTCACGTTCCTATGGCCCATCGTCCTAAGGACCAGGGCGCTACAAAGGCCGTTATCCTGGTATAGCTTCTACCCCCGCCATCGTCTGATAGAGATGCTAACCAGCTTCATCGTTACTAGGTTGGCGGCCCTTCTCGAGGAACTCGTTTCCGCCCTCTGTCTCTCGACCTGCCCAAGCCTCTGTTCGAAGTCGCCGGCCACCCCATCATCTGGCACTGCCTGTCCTCGGTCGCCCGCGTCCCCAACAAGCAGATCCAGGAGGTCTACATCATCGGCTACTACGACGAGTCTGTCTTCCGCGACTTCATCAAGGACTCCGCCAAGGAGTTCCCCGCAATCACCATCAAGTACCTCCGCGAGTACGAGGCTCTTGGAACAGCCGGTGGTCTGTACCACTTCCGCGATGCCATCCTCAAGGGCCGCCCTGAGCGCCTCTTCGTCCTTAACGCCGATGTCTGCTGCTCGTTCCCCCTCGACGAAATGCTCAAGCTCTTCAACGACAAGGATGCCGAGGCCGTCATTCTCGGAACCCGCGTGAGCGACGAGGCTGCCACAAACTTCGGATGCATCGTCTCCGACGCCCACACTCGTCGCGTTCTTCACTACGTCGAGAAGCCCGAGTCGCGCATCAGCAACCTCATCAATTGCGGTGTCTACCTCTTCGCCACCGAGGCCATCTTCCCCTCCATCCGCACCGCCATCAAGCGCCGTCTCGACCGCCCCTCTCGTCTCGTCTCCTACCCCTCTTCCGATAACCTCGAGAATAGCTTCGTCCTCTCCGCCGAACAAGACGACGATGAGGAGGAGAAGAAGGTCATCCGCCTGGAGCAGGACATTCTCTCCGATATGGCCGACAGCAAGCAGTTCTACGTCTACGAGACCAAGGACTTCTGGCGCCAGATCAAGACTGCCGGCTCCGCTGTCCCCGCCAATGCGCTCTACCTCCAAAAGGCCGCTCAGTCCGACCTCAGCGAGGAGCTCGCCGCCCCCAGCGCAAACATCGTCCCTCCTGTCTTCATTCACCCTACCGCCGAAGTCCACCCCACCGCCAAGCTCGGTCCTAATGTGAGCATTGGTCCCCGTGTGCACATTGGCGCCGGTGCTCGTGTCAAGGAGAGTATCGTCCTCGAGGACTCTGAGATCAAGCACGACGCTTGCGTTCTCTACTCCATCATTGGCTGGGGTAGCCGCGTTGGTGCCTGGGCCCGTGTTGAGGGTACCCCCACACCCGTTGGTAGCCATTCGACCAGCATCATCAAGAACGGTGTCAAGGTCCAGAGCATTACCATCCTGGGTAAGGACTGCGGCGTCGGCGACGAGGTTCGCGTGCAGAACTGTGTCTGCTTGCCATACAAGGAGTTGAAGAGGGTAAGTTTCGGCCAAACATTCATTTCCGCTATGGGCGCAATGCTAACAAATGCACAGGATGTCACCAATGAAGTTATCATGTAAACGCATCTCATTTTCCACTAGACTAGTGTAAAAAGTTTGCCTTTGTTCTCTTGCCAAAGAAGCGTCAAATGTTTGAAAGATGAGGCCACTAAGCGTAATGGAGGATGTTTATAGGAGTGATATCCAGGGAATAAAGATGGTCCGATTGGGTCATGTCAAGCAGGACGATCATCTAGAGTAACCAGGAAAGCGAAGAATCAGGGACTTGTATCTTGTTCAAGTCATTGAACTGTGTCCTCGACTCGGAAATTGTGACTGATGGAAAGCACCGTTCCCATTTCTTCTAATTTTTATCTAAGATCCATGATCTCTAATAAGGGGTATCGTGTCATGCCGCTCCTTCGTAAGAGCGAGTATCCTTCATCTTGCTACTACCAACCATACCCAGTCCGGATCATGAGCAAATGAAAACAGCTGTTCAGACCGGCCCTGCAAGATATTCTTCTATCTATCCAAGAAATGTACCAATGAGATCCAGGCTTTATGTATGCTGCTGCAGGGATGCGTGATTCATGTCTTCGTTAGACTTCATAAGAGTGAAAACTCAAATGCGATTGATTTCGTATTCGAGTATAGATAATAACTGGTCCGATGTACCGAGAGTTTACTCGTCTCTCTTAAAGTTGGCCTTGCTCGGCGTCCTAGGCAGAAGTGGTGTGCTTGGCCGGCTCGTGGTCAAACCCATAGGGGATTCCATGGGGTTAACGTTCAGCCGGCTCGCCAGATTACGCGGGGTCGGAAAAGACTCGATAGCCGGCTTCTCAAAGCTATGGATCTGGATCGGCGGAGGGCGACGTATAACGCGATCTGATCCGTTATAGATCCAGGTAGAGAGGAGTACGAGGAATGTACCAAAGACAAACTGCAGACTGTGTTAACACCTGTAAGTCACAATGTACAATTAGAAACTTACTGTCGCTGACACTTCAAACTGAAATAGCATCATGCTAATCAAGAAACTAATGACAATGCTGATACTCGTCGCAAAGTTTTTGACAATGTTGTCGGCGTCGCGAATTACCACACTTGCCAACATGCCACCGACAGCCTGCAACACGACGGCACTCCACACAACCCAGTTGTAACCCTCGAAAAAGCCATGCTCGCTGATGCCCTCACCATCTTGCCATATCACACCTCCTAGACCTGCAGCAAAGATGGAGTAGAAACTCAGCTGAACATTACGGATCCAGACGCTGGCTTGCGTGGGGCTCTCCTTGAGGAGCTTCTCAAAGTAAACCCCTGTCAAGCCAGACACGGTAGCGGCTATAAGGACCGAAACCAGGCCAACCGAGTAATTCATGAGAGGATCGAGAGGAGGTAAATCATGGTCAATGCCTTCGTAGGTGGCAGATCGTTTAGCCAGTTGACCTTCATGGCCGCTGTCAGTAGACACATAGCCTAATTCGTGAAGCGAACGAGGGAAGAAATGGTCCGTCATATGGCGAAGAGGAACGCTGGGTGAGCTGGATGAGGACCCGGCTTGAGGAAGTGATACAACGCATACGCCGAGAGTGAGGATAATTAGGGCAAGCCAACGTTTAGGTCCCAGGTTTCGTCGCAACAGGACAACACTGAATATAGCAGTAATGAGGATCTTGATAGCAAGTCAGCACAGAATGGTAAGTCTGACCTTGGGATGAGCGCCAAGTCACAACAAGACATACCTTGAGCTGATATAGCACTTGGAAGTGCACCGCATCCAAGTTTCCCACAGCCACATACTGTAGCATGTTTTGAAGTGTGTAAAAGGCAGCGGTTATCGCAAGCTTCCACCCATCGCCAGCAAAGACGGAGTTGTAGATTTGTTCGAAAAGGACTGTCGCGGGTGTTGTGGGCGCCAAGGTCTTGGATGTATCATATATAGCTAAAGAAAGAGAGACCGCAAGCTTGATGATCTCGTTGAGGAAAACGGCGGTCGAAGTAAAGTATCGGTGGTCGCCGGTAGGAGGCATGACACGGGAATAATGCATGATCTACAAGCAACATTAGTCTAGTCAGGAAGGCCTTATTGCGACAACGACTTACCAAAATGAGGGCAGAGTTTTGAAAGGTCAACTGGAACTGCATGTTAGTATCTGTTTGAGAAATTGTACACAACCATGGGAAATGGCTAGAGCCGAAGCTGTAAATCGTACCGTCGTCAACGCCCATTGTTTCTTGCTAAGACCCAGGAAGACAGCCTGGTTGGCAGGGGCCGCCTTAGGGAAAGACTCGAGAATCGCCATGGCAAAGGAGGTAATAGAAAGTCAAGCTGGAAATATAATGTAAAAAAGGAGTGTATTTTCGAAAGAATTTTGTTCGGTCGTGGTAGAGCACTGCGCTCCGAGACTGCGACGGTACTTTGCGACGCTGGCTGGGAAGACAATGCGACAATGGGCCAGATCGAATTCTTTGCGATGGCACGCGAGCCAAGCAACCGAGACAAGGAACCTTGCACCGGCTTGTGTAAGAAATGATAATTGGTGTTTTGTCGAGTAATCGTATTGTAGTCCACTTCAATCCGACTAGAATAGCTGCTGCTATTCTTCAAAGTCCAACGGCCCCTCGGCAATCGCAAGCATTCACTGCCAAGGCTCGGGAGCCAATGTCTTTGAGAATATCGTCACTGCCAATGCACGTCGTTCGTCCGTGCTCGCTGCTCGCTGCTCGTGGATCGAAATGCCAAGTATCGCTCGTTAATAGGTAGATAAGTTTCGCAGGGAATATTACAGTAAGGATGAGAGGTGGAAAGGAAGGAAGTGGAGGGAAAGGAAACAATTAAGGAACGTTGCGAAAATGGCAAGAGGCAGGGGGAGCACAGCTTTCAAAAAAGGAAGTCTCCGTTATGCACTACCTAGATACGGTAACCCTGGGTGTCGTAGGTAAGGAAGGAAGTACGGATACCACGTCCACAGACTAACTACAGCCAACCCGGACAAAGGAATCGTAAACCCCCTTGCCTTACCTTGACTTGGCTTTTTGGTCATAAAAATAGGAGACGCGCTAGATGGGCAGGAAAATGGTTCAGTATGAGATCTCCAGGGCCCGAGGCTTTGGTGATGCTCAGCTAGGTCAAGGGGTGTTGTAATGGCTCGACTATATGATTCACAGACAAAAAGAATTGAGTAAAATGCATGTGAAGCTAACAGTTTGATTGCATGAGTACTTTTGTCCCCCAATCTCCAGGTCACGAGCTTCTTGACACCCCTAGCCAGGTAAGGCAGGAAGTGGTGACTTTTCCTCCCCCACTAGCCAAGCTCTGTGTCGCGGGGCTTCGCGCAGGGGGCTAACAGGCTGGTACGGAGCAGGAAATCAGGGGCACTTAGCACTACCGGACAAGTCCAGTGCCTCGCTGTTTCTTTTCAGCAGGACAGGCCCATGGAACTTCATGCAGGAGTGACAGGATTGGTCCAAAAAGCAATATGGCGTACGTCGTACTTGGTTGAGGCCAAACTCCAATCGATCAATGTTTTGTCCATCTTTTTGTGATTTTCCATCACATATGTTCATGTTACAGTACATACAATGATCAATTAACCAACAGCTTAAAGTAACCCCCCTTGTTCCAGCTGCCCCCCGGTCCCCTTAATATCCCTGTCCACTCGGATGCAGCCCGTCCGTTTTTCAGGAACCATGAAAAAGGTTTGGATACGACGGGTAGTCTATTATCTCGGCTGTCGGCAATGCTGTGCAAACGAATAATAAACAAGCTATACGGAGTATTCGTATTCTCTGTCGTCTAATTCTACTTTTTACACTGCCACATTCTAATGGCCTGGTGTGAATTAACAACATTGATCCCTAGGCGGTGGAGGAAACAAGGCCCATCCTTGTTCAACATGTTCTGTGAGAACATGGCAGTACAACACTTGAACCAATGGTGTGGAAATGTTGTGATGGTGACACTACATGGTTTGGTTTTTATGCTATCTGATCAAGGCTCTTTTGTTGAAGACACAGACGCCAACAAACAAACACGTACTATCCGTAACCATTCTCACAATATCAACACCAACCTCCTTCACATTCATTTCGGATCTTGAACTAAATTCGTCGTTTCCCCTCCCCGGCTCCGATCCTACCGGCGCCGATCATCAATCAACCCAACCCCACAAACCTCCACTAACTAACAGCAATCGAGTGATCACTTGACATATTCTCTTTGCATTTCGACGTCGACAGTGAATGAATGCTCGTCTTCTTGAACCGTCCAGGTGGGTCGTAATAAAACCCGCACACCAGGCCCAGTTGACAGAAAAGTTTAGTTGAGAATCTATATAAATATGATAAGTTTATTTTATTTTTATATTAACTTTATATAGCAAAAGAGCTTCAGTGTGTCGGTTATTTTGCTACCCTCCTGCCGTCCTATGGCGCCATACCTTTTTGGCACCTACCTCAAATCACTAACTCGTACGTATCTGCTCATCAAATAATATTATTGTAAAGACCCTATATAATACCATTTCCATCTAAATGTCTTCCAATCTGTTAGATTGACTGCGCTAAGCTCATGCGTACCTATTCTATGGCCATCAACCCCAGTACGCCATGCTTGAATGACGTACAGCATGCGCCTTGAGCACATCATGCAACCTATAGCACGGCAGCCACATAGATAGACTACACATCCATGAGTTTTTACTTCAAAACTGTTCCTCAACCGAGCCCATGTGCAACACCTGCTGCCAGAGCTCAATGCAGGCGCCTCATTTCTTGGGTCCAGTAGAATGTCTCAACTGTACGGATAGACAAAGCACACTCGTCAAACAGCACTTGGCTCACCGCTCACGCATCACATGGACGTTTCATGCTGTCAATAGCAAATATGAATTTCTGTTTGTACTGCTTCGACCTGCGAAGCGGTGAAATCAACTGCTTGTGCAAACGTCGCACCTTTCTCCAATGACCCTTTCAATCATAATCGTCATAATGTAACAGCAGAAATTCGCTCCCCACCATTATCCAAAAACATCAGAAAGCATTTTCTCAACCAACCAGCTAAATCCATGCTCTTCACCTTCGTACTCATCTTTCTTGCCCATCCACGTGTTACCTGAAATCAAATGCGGAGTCCCAGTCTGTCTCTTCACATCGAGAGCCAGAATGTCCCAGGTCTCGTACAACGGTTTGATTGCTTCAAAGGCACCATCCTTCTGACCCACACTGCCGCTTGAGTCAGTGCTGTCACAGTCCTTGGTAGACTGATCATTGCCTGTAACTGGCCCAGCCCAGAGTGCTCCACGACCGGATTGTGTGCGAAGCTGTATGTCTTTGGTGCGAAAGTTCCAGACACTCTCGCGGGGCAGAAACATACTGGCACTCAAGCTGTGCACCGGAACGTCCTCAACTCGGCGATACTGAAAATCGCCGGCGCTATCGAGATGGTCGAAGAAAGCAACGTGATGAGGGCTGCGGAAGAAAGCCAGAGATCCGATCTCGAACGTTGGATAAAGACTGTGCCCGTAAGCGTCACTTAGCCAAGACGCAAAGCACCCACCGAGCCAAGATGTTTCGTCGCCTTCATCTTTTGCCTCGATATCGTGAAACGAATCGTCCTGCGACATATTAGTCTTCGAGTAGCGATCATCGCTGGGGCGGCTCTCCTAAATGACCCGCGACCTCAGCTCGTCACTACCCTCGTCTACCAAGTCTTCAAACCCGTCATCCAGCGGAGTGGACTCTATGGCTAGAGCTGTGTCATTCTGAATAAGCCACGAGATATCAGACTCCTTGTGGAGAAGCTCTGGGTGCTTGTTAACGAAAGATTTGACCCGAGGAGAAAGATGGGACATGTTGGCCTGATTGAGGATATCTCGATTGAATCCATAAGCGATATCGTTGTCTCGCATGAGACGAAAGACGTCAAAAGGGACATTCTGCTTTAGTTGAGCCTGCGCAATATCAGCCCTGTTCTTTTGGCATGAACCACTTGCTCTTTTTTGAACGTTCACTTACACCTGGCTCGACTCTCCAGAACCACTCATAGTTCTTCAGACGTCGTTCTTTGGCAAATGGAGCCGAGGTCCATCGCTTCATCTGACGGACGAGTGCGTTGGACTTGTTGGGTGCAAATTTGTGATCTGCGTTGAGTTCCTGAGAACTAGCAAGTTGAGGCAGATCGGTCCATCCAGGGACGTCCCAGTTCTCCTTTGGGATGACTTCGAAGAGACAAGTCGCATTGGTGGCGTTAGAAGTCTGTTCCTTGAACTTTTCCGGGAGATCGTGAACGCTGAAGAAGACCCAGTCGTACAAGTGGCGGTTGTTAAAGTTGTCCTCGATTTGCTTGATGCTGAAAAGGGTAGCAGGAAGGTCGGCCTCGCCAACAACTGTCACCAAGGCGGCTCTGAGAGGGGCATCAGCAGAGGAGGACAAGGCCGAGCCGCACACAAAAAGGGCGAAGTGAAGAAGGGTGATAGCCCCTGCCCACCAGAAAGTGAAGCAAGGGACCTTTGCCATGATGAAAGGGAGGGCAAGGTTGAGTGTTGAGTGTTCGGTTGATCTTGTTTTAGTGTACTGATTGCAAGAAATGAACGGTCAAAGGTCATAAAGATGAACTGGTCAAGTCTTTGGTTGACTGGATGAAGTGCAGGGTGATGAAGAGGAGGGTGGTGTGAGAAAGAAGTATGAAAGGAATGTACAGGCACCTGAGGTACCAGATCAAGGAGCTCTGATTGTTCTCGATTCAAGGTTGAAGTAGAATAACGAATTCAAGGATGAAAATAGGAAGAATGAATATGAGGGAAGAAGACAAAGGAGGGGTTGGGCAGCACCTAATCCTCCGTGGTTATTGTATCCTCAGGCGAGAATAACCAGAGATGCAGCTTGGCAGGTGATTCAAGGCGGACGTGGCAGCTGCGAGCAGTGCAATGTAAGTAGCTCCACTCACCCAAGCTTGAGCTTCACAATAAGGAGGAAGGCAGGATAGTCTCGAGACAGGGTAAGAGCCTTGAGGACTTCGGCCGATAGTAGGTGAGGTAGTTGACGTGACCGGAAGAAAAGATCTGGGCCGCTTCGAAACAACAACAGGCCAAGGCTGGTGATGCACTCAGTTTGCTACTGACGATATCATCATCCTACCTACCCCTTTACCAAGCATCGCATGTGATCATTAGCCACGTCAAAATTTGATCCTCTGTGTGACCGACAACAACGAAGAAAACGATGAAAGATAACGGTGTGTCTAGAAATCACTTCACTCATGCATCCAACATTTGTCATGAACTTCACCAATCATCACACTCTCCAAGATAGCACCGCATGGTTGCGATTGCATGCCCTCATGAACCAGGCGTTCTTTCGTATCAATGAGCACAAACACTATTCTATCGCCTGTACCCCAAGTTCGCACCGCTTAGCCATCCCCGGCAGATAAGCCCTCAACGCCAGTTTGCCTCTTAAACAAAAAGAATTTCCGCCTTCTCCGTTCCCTATCCTTTTACGGGACGTAGGCGTAGTATTACAATGATACAAGCACAGTTTTTTCCTTATGTTTCAACGTCCATCTGCTCGACATCTACTGAACCATCTTCTAGACTGAAGTCGAGTACCCTTGCGTACTGAAGTGTTAACCGTTGTAACTCACGGTATTTGCCTGTTTGTCTCGTTAGTTTCTTCATTCCACAGCACCGAGTTCAGGAGTAACTTACCGAGGATCATTACCACACCCTTAAGCAACTCCTTTCGATCCCATCCACATAGATCACCTTCTTTGCTGAACCACCCGTGGCCATCGTCTTCATCATCGTCTTCACTGTCCTCAAGAATACCTCCAAGAAGGCTATTGAGAAGCTCCTCAACTTTCACCCTTGCTCCCTCGGCACCCAACCGCTTGGCATACATGAACAGATAAAGACGGAACTCTTCTCGCGCCCCAATTTGTAATGCACCGGCGATTCGGTTTTCCAGATGAGCAATGCTGACACTGCTCTCCAGATTTTCAGCTTCCTTTCGTTGCACAACCATCTTAATGATTCGTTGCAAGCCATATGCTCTGCCTTTTAGAAGGAACTCGTTGGTTGTGTGGCGCTCGAGGAAAGGTATGATGCCTGATGACACAGTAGCCTTGGAAGCCTCCTTAGCTTGACCGTCCTTCGAGGCTGGGCCAACAGCTGTAGACTGCAGGGCAGATATAGAAGAATCATTGGAGTTCCAGTATTGTGAGCCTACCGCCCACCAGGCTTCACTGAGGCGTTGCCAAGTATACATTTCTCGGGCATAGTAGTAGCCATCACCATTAGTTAGCGTCACGATGACATGGCCGGTATCGTTAAGATGAGCAGAGGTGACGCCTGGAGCAGGTGTCGCGCTGTGCTGGTTTAACGAAGTTGTTGCAATGTCCAGGATTGGCCCCAATGACACTGGGGGGGCGGGAGAGGACTGGGTTTTCAAATCCCAGACATGAGCAAGGCCCACAGCTGTGATGCACAGTAACCAGTGACCGCGAGATTCCAGAACGACAGGTTGTGACTCAAGTATAATAGGGGTCAAGAGTCTTCTTCCAGCAGGAGTCCAAGTATGCACAGATCCGTCTTCGCAAGCGGCAGCCCAAAAGTGTTGTGTTGCTGTAACCAGAATGATAGCCCGGGGAAGCCACTCCTCCCAGATAAGAGCGCCCCTTTTAGTAACTTGAACGTGTGAGGGGTCCCTTGGATTGGAATCATTCTTAGCTTCTAGGATGATGTTCTCCGGAGTCTTCGCTGCATCTTCAGAGGAGCCCTCTCCTTGTAGAACCCCTCTGTCTAATGGCCGAAGAATATGTGATCGAATCTTTGGCGCAGCCAGTCTGACTTGAGCAAAGGCGATGGAGGGGTTCATTACCGCAGGCCGAAGGAACTCAGGAGTAGGGAGGACACCATTTTGAACAGGTACGAGTGCTGCCGGCTCAGCACCGTCAGGTCCTTCAGTGACAATAGTCGTAGGGCCTGTCGCGGCGCGTTTGGCCAGGGGCTCCTCCTCATCTTCACCTTCAGCGACGTTGATGCGCCTCTTGTTGCCAAGCAGCATGGCGACAATACCGCCTCTGGGTAGCCCGTCAAAAGGCTTGCTCATTTCGAGTATTGTTTGGGGGGTGTCGTTTTGAGATGTCCTGCTGGTACTCGTGGTCCCGACTAATTGGGTCTGGGGCAAGGAAGATGTGCCTGTACCTGAAGAAGACACCAACAATGGGGCGACGCGCTTTTTTCCATCCTTGCCAATAGTGACTCGCGATTTCAATTCTTTGACACGTTCAGCTGTTTTGTCAGCTGCCTCTTCTGGTTGTTTTTCTGGCTCTTTTTCGGGCTCCTTTTCCTTTTCTGACTCTGCTTGGCCATTTGTAGACGGCTTTGATGCTGATGCACTGGGCTTAGTACCGTTGGTGGCAGGTGTTGACTCTTTGGTTGACTCAAGGGAGTCTCCCATAAGTGCACCCATCCTGGACTCAGCAGCCCTCGATTCGCCTGCTTTACTCTGGTTTTCCAAGATTAGACCGTCCACATCCTCCGCAATTCCCATTCCCTTCCTTGAACCACCATATTTCTGAAGAGCCTTGACGTTCTCCTCGGGCTGCGCTACCCAGCCAAGTTCTCCTTCAGAAAATTTGACAACCACAATACTGCCGTCTAAACTGCAAGCAAACAGCGTCTGGCCATCTGGAGTCCACGCTAGGTCAGATACCGACTTGCCTGCCAAATCTTGGAGAATGACAACAGGCCTTGATGTGTTCGTGTTCCATATGCTTAGTGTCTTGTCCTGGCCCGCTGAGGCAATGACAGTCACAAGAGATCCCGCGTTTTCCTCGGCGGTGGCATTTGCGTCTGGCTTTACTGTGTGAAAAAGTCGAGGAGAAAACATGCATACTTCTGTGGGAGCCTCATGCCCGATGAGGTTGATCTCGCTATCCCATCTCGTGCGCTCTATGATAGCAACCGAGCTAACAGGACCATTGACAGCGTTGGCCGCGGCAATGTGGTTTCCATCCGGGGACCATGAACATCGTCGGAAGTAGGTCGTTAAGGGCGAGCTCTTGAATGGGGAACTAATGGTTGTTTCTAGGACAAAGTTGTTGACCATATCATGTTGTGTCGCATTGGGTGCAGGTGAGGTGAATCGGAAGATTTTGATCGTTCGATCGTCGCTTGCAGTAGCAAAGAACTTGTTTGCAGGGTCAAAGGTGATTCCTTTGACGTGACTCTGATGCGCCGGTAGAGTCTTTAGCTTCTCAAAGGTATGACCAGACCAAACAACAACCTTGGAATCGAGGCCTACAGAGACAAGTATCGAAGAGTCGTATGACCAGGCAAGATCCTGAACATCGTTGTCGTGTCCAATCAGACGCTTGTATGTCTTCCAATTCTCTACGGGCGGAGGCTCGTTGGTACCAAAGGTGGCAGCTGGAGGACCTTTGTCGAGATGGTATACGCAGATAATTTTGTCGTCGGCGCCGCTGGCAAGATATCGCCCATTGGGCGAAAAGCGAACCGAGTGAATCGTTCCAAGATGATGGCTCATATGACAGAGCTGGCGCGGCTTGTTGTAGTCGGGGGAGTTAGCATTATAAACAGACTCGGTCGACCAGACTCGCACGTGTCCATCGCCGCCAGCGGTCGCAAGTCGTTTGCCATCGGGTGAAACGTGGCAACTGTAAACCTCAAAATCCTTTTGCTCGCCGCTGTGGCTCAGCCATGAAGGCTTGATGATGTGCATTATGTGAAGTTGAGCGGCATGCCCGGGGAGCAATCGCGTCTTAATTGATAGTAGCGGTGTTCGTCAAGATAATCGATAAATCGTGGTGTTGTGAGCTAAGAGTTCGATTGCGATATAGGTATTTCGATCGGCGATGCGATTTAGCAAGGTTCAAAGAATCGAAGTTGGCGATAATGTTGCTGGAGGTCGTTAGGTTAATTTGGAGGTGACGCGACGTCGCGTTTTTCGAGCCCAGGCCCATCAATCAAAAAACGCCTGGAGGGCCAACTTTCTCGTCACAAAGCAGGGACCTTGCAAGCTGGAATGTTCATAGCTTAGTGGATGAAATTAGGGGACTTCATCTCAGCAGCTTCCGCCATAAGCTCTAACCCATGCAGCTTCACAATTGGCCAAATCGGAGTAACTTTGATGCGCCATTCCCTCTACAGGTCCTTCTCGTGTAAGTCGACTAACTCTGACCGAGTCTCCTTGTTCAACACATTTCCATGTCACAATGCTACGATAAGATCAATCAGTCAATCACATTCCTGGCTTCAACAGCCTGAAAAGGTGGGTTACCAACATGTTGGAGCTCCCACCACAACCAAAATCACGAGACTGTCAACTGCTTCTCCGCGACTCAGGGCACATGCTATTTGACATGTAGATCTTATCCAATCTTCACCCCTGGCAATATGTCAAAAGGTTGGATGCTAGGATCGCCTTATCACTACCCCTAAATCACACGTTCGGGACCGGTCAGAGTCTTTCTGAGAGACAAGTGTTACTCTTTCTTTTCTCACTTGTACCGCAAACATTTCTGTTTGGCCTGAATGGTTACCATAAATGAAATGCATATTTTGCAGTTGGATAAAATTATTATCATCTCATGATGCATGTCCGGTAACGGCTGGGCCGTTCCGGCTAGTGGCCAGCTCGCTTGACGACAGTGTTGATGGAGCAAGCTTGTTCAGCACAATGGCATTCAACAATGAACACACGAGAGTGCTAGTCCCTTACAGCCTCGAGCTGTTATTGAGCTCTGACCGCCCTTCGGTGAATAGGATGGTCTTATAACGCCCGCCGGTGTTCTCCTTACATGACCGATGCACCAGACTGCTCCGTGCCCTTAAACTCAAATTCTCTGACATATAAAGCTGAACAGCAAACATTGTTCTCAACTATTCATAACTCTTCACCTCTATTGTCTTGTTCCGAGATGGCATTATCCGCTATAAATCATGGCCAGTTGCAGGCTTCGGCCTCATCGGCTTGCTCAACAGCATGCCTCATCTTTTCCTGGAGGAATTATCATCACCCGCAGCGAGAAATATACCCCCCCTACAGAGATCAACGTTTTGCGATCCCCGGAGCAATCATGGCAGTCCCCAATTCTATCTGCGTGGGCATCGAGTTGGAGTTTATGGTTGCACTGCAGATCCCAAATTCCGACGTTGTGGTTGGTGAGACTCGATGGGCTTGTGCTTCATCGACAGCAACCTACCAAGCCCTCGTGATGGGCGATTATAGAAACATCCAGCCCTCTTGTATCCACAAGGTATGCGAATCGATCGCCAGCAGCGGCATCCCCGCCTCGTGCAACCTCAACTCGCCGTCATCCAGCCCTGCCCAAATCCCTGGCACTGCAGTTCTTCCGCTCACTGATAACAGCGGACACGTTCGAGTTTGGGGCCAAGGGGATATGACAGGACCAGTATCAAAATGCGACTTTTGGTTCATCGTTCCAGAGCACCATATCACCAAAGACTGCGTTAGTAAGTCTGGAAAGACACCTTCTGACAAATACGACTGGTTCGGAACTGAACTCAACAGCCCGATACTCGTTCGTCCTGAAGAGTTCAGTCAGGGGCTCCCCACTCTCAGAAATTGTCTTGCGACAGTCCAAAACAATATGGTAGTTGGACTCAATTCTGGTTGTGGATTGCATCTTCACGTCAACGACGCAGGGCACATGAAGCTGCAGACAGCATTGCGGGTTGCATCTCTAGTTTGGCTGCTGGAAGATGCTTTGCTATATCCTTTATGCCATCCATTTCGTTCAACGTCTCCCTACTCGGCGCGTGTCAGTGTTGAATCAAGAATCGCCAATGAGAACGATGAGCCGATTGTGTATGGAGAAGGCGCTGCACTCGTTCAATCCCTCGAGAAACTCATGAAACAGTATCGTTTGCGTAAGAAAGTCGATGAAAGACTGGTCGGAGCCATGAAGCGGTTGTGGTCAGAGAGCAGCCTCACCAGCCTAGGCATGGGCCTCCGTAAGTTCAAGGAAGGCTCGCAACACACAACAACTCGTTGTGCCCTCGTGGTTTCCAAGTACGACACTGTCGAATTTCGATATCCCGAGTCAACGTTCGATGTTGACTTCATCTCGGGCTGGGCTGACCTGGTGCGACACTTGTACGCGGTTGCCATGAAACCACAGGCAGAATTCCTTCAAATAATCTGTCGCGTCTATGAACTGGTGACTCAGAATCAGATGCACGGATGGGTCACGATGATGGGGGCGATTGGTTTCCAGACGGATGTCAACCGTTGGCAGCGACGCCTGGATCAGTACCGCAACACTCTGAGCAACCTTGACAAGCAGGGCATTTTGCCAAAGAATGGGTCGTAATTGGGGGGTTTCTGCCTTGGGAAACTCCTGAGACTCTGGGCTCTGGTGACCTTTTGCAGAGGTTTGTGAATCGTTCATGGAATAGGTTGTTTTGCTTCTGAAGCGGCTCGTGATAGACGGTAGGGTAAAGGTCCAGATTAGGATGATCAAAAGTAAAAGTTTGGAGTTTGGAGTTTGGGCATGAAAATTGGTAAGTAGAAAAATAAATTTCTTTAGTCACTAACTGTCTTGATAAATCGACTGACTGTGTACACGAAATACCGAACTCGCTTTGTAATTGTTGCCTTTCTACTGTTGACTTATTCTCTTGTTTGTGTCGCATCTTGAGGTGAAGTGTCGTCTGTCAACTTACCACGGCCTCCCCCTTCAGGAGCCAACTTCCTCTGAACCTCCATTAGCGCCATCGCCTCATCCGTGCCGTTCTTCTCGACATATCCCATCAGCTCATCGTCCTTTTCGCGCACAGCATCGGCCATGGCTTTCCAGCCATGCCAGTCGACGACGTTGCGGGCGGCCATGTTCCAGGCGCTTGCAGCGGCGCAGACTATGTTCATCTCATACTCGAGAATTCGGCGGTAGAGATCTAGCAGTGTTTGGCGGACGTGCGGCTGTAGACGCTGGAACTCTGGTTGTGATGTCCAGGATGTTGGGCGGAGGGCGCGGTGGAGTGTCAGGTAGTGAGGGATGCTGTCGGTGATGTGGACGAAACCTTGAGAGATGTCGTCGTGTCGAAGAAGAGGGTCAAGGAGGAGCTATCAATTGGGTTAGTACGGTGGCTCAATGGGTGGAGGTTGGATCATACAGGTGTTAGAGAGCAGAAGCCAGCCCATGCGATTCCTGCGCTGGGCTTGTCGTCAAGTAATGAAGCTATCATTAACCTTATCTGTATTAGATTATCTCTTGCAGCACCATCATCACCAGAGTCTGTCTGAGAAGCTTCCTTGATTTCGCGGTTTAACCCGGACTTTGCAATCATCATCATAAGCTCTGTCCTCCTCTCACTCTCGGATGATAGGCCATTGGGGCTTCCATTGTATCCCGGCCTTAATGAATCGGGCAGGGCGTGAGAAATGATGTTTTCATACGCCAGCACAAGACCTGAAGACGTGTTGTCCCTCTTGAGCAAGTCATATGCTGCGTTCCAGAGCTCAAGGTCGTGCACGCGGTCTTCTTCCTCGGAGGCCGAACCGCGACGGCTCTGGCGCTGGCTGTTTTTGCCAATAAGTGGGCGTGGGCATGCTGAGGATTCGCGAGATGTTTTTGCTGATGATGACGGAGACGAGGAGGTGGACTCTGGAGGAGAAGGGTGCGAATGGCGGCAGATTTTACCGACGAGACGTTTTACTTTGCTTGTTGCGTTGTGAGGAGCTGAAGGATGCGAGGCTGTTTTCATGATGACGATGTGAATGTGGATGTGGATATGGATGATATTAAGCAGCAGATAATTGAAGAAAGAGATAATTGGAGAGGGAATGAATGGATTGGATGTTTACTACAAGTGGATGACAATCACGATGTGAAGAACAGGATCCAGTTCACTAACAACTCTTTTTCTGCTGTTCCTCTTTTCAGCTGAATGACATTCTGTTAGTCAATAAGTACCATTCCGTCGGTTGGTGGTGGTTTGCTGATGACGATATCAAGGAACTGGGAAGCTGGAACTGGAACTACAACTGGGGACCGGTTCATGGGTTTAACCTTTTGGGGCTCGGGAATCGAGTCAAGCAAGAGGAGTAACCATCGGCAAATCAAGAGAAGGGTAAAAAATACTACATTGAAGGGTTCGTTTCTTCGAAGCCGAGTTCCGGCCAAATGGACACGCGCTGACACAGGGCCCGATGATCACCAGAGCCATTCCATCATCATGGTGAGGTTGGCTAATAACTAACGGCCCTTTCTCTTTGGGGGTCACATGCGCCGGCCATGATACGCGAACTTTCAGGTTTTTTCCATCGATTGGATCGTCTCTCCTCTTTTTTGACGTGGAGCCAAGACGGGGCCAAGACAAACGAAAGGGGACCCCAAGAAATGTGTGCCTATGATGATGATGGGGAGGAATAGCGAGATGGATACTGACGGGCTTAATAAAGAGGGTCGAGTCCGTTGAATAATGTTAATGTTGAGAAGTCGTCATTCGCTATCTCCCAGTGCATGAAATCGGCCGAGAACCCCTTCTAGCCGTGATGATGAGAGATCGAGTGACGGCGGGGGTTTTGCTCATAATAAATGTCTCATCTACCGTTGGTAGATCCAAGCTAGCCAAGACTGATTCATGGCTGCCTGAGAGAATGAAGTCATTCCGTAGCAAAACGTCAAACTCAACGTTGAAAAAAAGGATTCAATTGACACCTCCAATTCGTGTCCCCCCAATTAGTGATTAACCAATGCCTCGCGTCATCAACCCTCCCTAGACCAGGGTGTTAGCGAACAGCTCCAGGTAGAAGTGGGGACCTAGCCTCTCACTAAAGCGTCACTGTTCCCCATCGCCGGCCCGGGGATTGAGTTGGAGCTGTAGTGGAGAAAAGAACCTATGATGGCAGCCCGGAGCACTATCCGTATAGACGGAGTACTAATCACGAGATTCTCCGTACATGGAACGTTGGAGTATTTAAGTTTGCAGGGTATGCCTATGGCAGCGAATCTTGACTATATTGGGGTTGACAGGACATGCAAGAACAAGATATTATTGCTGATGTTACCCTGGTTCTAAAAAATAGGAAATTGATCAGATACATACATCTGTCTGCCTTGATTGGAAGATACAAGATGCTGATCAGAATTCAACGCGAGGCTGTGAATTATGCGCACATGGTAGGTACCAAGGCGCAGAAGACAAGGACGTTTCAGAGATATAAAGAAGTCCTAGTTTGTTTCGTGGAATCAAAGAGATATAACTAAGGGTCTAGCTGTTAGTATTGCGTCCTGAGAATGATGTTTATCCCTTGCCAGGTCAGCCATCGCAACTAGATGTAAGGATCACAGCCCTGAGACAACAAACCAGGCCCTGGGAATAGATAAATGTCTCTTAGATATATCTAGATCATCATTTCATTTTAATGCAAGAGTTTTATCTTAATACTCCATTTTCGATCTATCGTGTCTCGGCATAAATATGCACTATGTGCGAAACAACCAGCCCCACGAAACACAAACACCAAACCCTCCGGTGCGATTATCACAATTAAACACCAACACTCCTGCGCCTGTCAATAGCCGTCACCACTGCAATGCTGCACTGACAGCCAATTAATGACCATACAATATCCAAAACAGCTCTATCTCTTTCTTTCGTCTGGTGATGTTAAAAATACAATCTCAAGACGCTCTGGTAACAAGACGTCACATCTCCGCTCGTTCATCAACTTGAAACACCACAGTTGCGGTCCGAACATACCACTTTCCTATCCCGACTACTAATTGCTGTTCCCTTCCTCTGCTGTTCAGCACGCGAGCGTCCTTTTGTTCTTTGCTACCCCAACCTCCTCGCCGCAGCGCAGCGCAGCGTTTCCGTTCTTTTTTTCTCTTCTCAGTCACTCGTTTAACAAATCAGGTGTTGATCACCTGCTGGTCTGTTACACTCTTTGAATCACAATCGTGCTTTTTTTCCACAGCAAAATCTCCGGTTTTATTACAACTCTCAAACACGTCCACCAAGAAAAAGGGCCACCATCAAGATGCGTTTCGTCAGCCTTGTCGCTGTCTTCATCGGCCTCGCAGCTGCTGCGCCTGCACCTGTACCTACAGCCACCCCTACAAAGGACGACATGATAGTCGTCTCAACCGTAGTTCCCAGCGCCGAAGAGAAGAATTCCTCCACTTACTGGTCTGCCGGAAACCACTCATTCAGCGTCTGCGACAAATCCTCATACGTCGCCCGCAAGCCCGCCAAGACCACCAAGCCCGCCGACTTCAACGACTGCGCAGCTCTACTGTCTACATTTGGATCCCGCAACGGCACATTCAGCATCCCCAGCGCCGCTGAAGACGAGAGCGAGTACGCCCCGGGAGATGGACACGTCGATATCGTCAAGTCTGGCTCGTGCGCCTTTTCCGTGCGCGCCGACAAGGGAGTCAAGGTCGGCGACGACGACGTGGTCTGGATCGTTAAGAAGGCTGTTCTCGAGAACTCTGCTGGGACGAACATGGTAGCTCGCGGATCTGTCAAATGTGCTACTACTAAGGATGGTGGTGGGGAGAAGGGAGGTCTTTACTGGCAGGTCCACGGTATTGGTTCGACGGGTTACTAGTAGGAGGATCCTGGCAGATGATCTTGATGATCGCCTGTCAACTTGTGGACTGCTGTAGAACAAATCTTGATGATTGAAGGTTCTATCAGAGGATCTGTTCTGGAACGGTCTTGATGACTACATGCGTTGTTTATGTGTGCGATACCCAGTTATACACAAAGTTAGACAGTCAAAAATATTGTCACTATTGCGTACATGCTTTCTTTCTTATTGTTTAAACCATGTGTAATGTTGACATATCACAAGAAACATGAGAGTGCTTGAGGAGTTCATGAAGTGCCAGTGACCGTGACCAAGTCAAGGTTATCAGCCATCACATCTCGTAAGGCTCACTACATCGGCAAATATATTCACAGATAGACGAGCCATAATTTAGCAGACACTTTCATGTCCAGTACCATCAAATTAATATCTAAGCAAGTTGGTTCAGGTCGAATTACATAAAGTCGGCCTGCCGGGCTATTTCCTCAACTCCTTTCTCGGTTGAACAATGCATGTTTTCTTCGCGTCAAATAAGCAAAGCTATTCATCGATATCCCCAACTCCAAACCCTTAATCTTGCAAATGTAGTCATCCATGCGAGAATCCATCTATACTCTTGGGTCATTGGTGTGTATCGCCATTCTGCAGTTTTCCGTTTATCGTCAAATCGTAATCATACGCAGATCTCATCTCCAAAACTGACTCGAATCCCCTTGATGTGAGTTCGATCCATGCGGTGCAACTTGGTCGCTTCAGCTTCCAGCTTCTCCATGCGATCTTCGCACAATTCCTCGATGTTTCTGGAGCCGATTAGTGCCTGTCTTGCACCCTTGAACACGACTTCAAGTCGTTCTTTAAACTCTTGTACTTCAATACGCATTGCGCGCGTGACACAATCTCCTGCGCGCTCAAGCAGGCGGTCAATACGAACCAGTCTCTCTTGGATACCTGGCTGCTGTTGGAGAACATTAGTTGCGGTGTTTTCGATGTTAGGGGAGTATTCCTTCATGGCGGCCTTGATGCGGTCCTTCTCGGCGAGAGTAGCGACGCGCTTTTGGCCTCGGGGTGAGCCAGGCAGAGACGATGAGTGAGGGGGCATGGGGAGAATGTGGCTCGCTTTTCTGAAAGAGTTGACCTGCACGTTGAGGCTTGCGACATCTTGAGTGATGAATAGGAGCTGTCGCTCAATAGAGTCAAGAGATGAGTAAATCCACTGGGTCTTTGTGGGCACGGTCGAACGGGTAGTGTCTTCCTGTTCCATCTTCGGGTTCTCGGATAGGTATTTTTGTTTTTCGTCTGCATCCTTGATTCTTCGGGAGCGAATCCTGATGTCGATGCGATGAAAGTTAGTGAGGCGCTTAGGGTCGATGGGTTTCAGGTACGAGTAGTCCGCAACTCTAGTGGGTTCCGGAACGTAACAGCCTTCTGCGTGTAGCTTCGCGATGGCTTTGGGGGATACTTGAACGTATGAGGCGCCTGGGGGTTTGTTGGACTTGGGTGAAGGTCGGCGTTGAGAACGGGATATTTCGGGAGAAGAACCGGGAGATGAGGAAGAGGACCCAGTTGATGGTGTAGGTACTTTGAAAGTGCGTCCTGGTCTGTCTGGTGTTATACGAGAAGATGAAGTCGAAGACCCGGTAGATGGCGTAGAAACATGAGAGTTGCGGCCAGGTTTGTCAGGTGTGAGATGTGTAGGAAGGGCCTCCTCTCCAGGAGATTCAATCAGGGCCCCTTCAGGGGTATACTCGAAAATGTAGTAGTGTAGTTGGTAGAAAGCAACCGCAACAAGTAAAACGATGACAGTGCTGAGGGAGTATGTCGACAGGTTCAAGAGGAAGACGATAGCGAAGCAGGCCAGATCGAAGATGGCTGTGAGGATGAAAAAGACAGTTCGGATTACAAGAGACTGTGAGTACAGCCCCCAATTCCAGGTCTGGTAGAGAGCCCACACAGGGTCATCATATGCATCAAGTACCTGTTCCCAGACCAAACGTCCGATGACATAGCAAAGGTGGAAGAACCAGACAGTGATGAAAGCACCCCAGGAAATATGCATAACGGTAGGGCTTGTCTGATACTGACCGACGACCCAGTTGAAGGACTCAGAGTATCCGAGAGGGTTGCGAAGAAGCATGGAGAAGTACTGAAGAAGGATCACAATGATGTTGAATTGGAGATTAGCAGTGTAGACGGCGAAGTCAGGAATGATGGACCACTGCTTCAAGAGGCGCTGAAAGCCGGTTTCCGGCTCAGGGAAGAGGATGCGGTAGTTGGGGAACTCCTTCGGATCGTAGTCGAGTTTCTTGCGCAAGAGCATTTTGGCTGATTTCAGAGAATAGAAGTAGAGATTTGAGTGTGTTCTTGTGAGAGAAATCGTGGGTTGCGTGCAGATCAACCTGTAGAAAAAGAAGTGTTGTTGTGTAGAATGACGGTTGTTCAAAGCTGAATGCGCGCAGTGAAGCTGAGGATGAGAGAACAGAACGGCCGTGATGAAGAACAAAAACGAGAGAACATGATCGCTGCTGTTGATCCATATTCACTCCCCAGCAACGTGGCGTTTACAGTCGTTCTATAGGTAAAGTGCGCCATCAGTTACGCAGCAGTGCCAGGCGGTGCTGTCACTAGCGATAAGTGAGGGCATTCATAGATGGTTAGGGGTGCCAGGCACCGGCAGCATATTAGCCAGTGTTTAGGTGACTAAAGCAGAAAATGCCCAAGAGCAACATCACCAAGTGCGTATATATTAATCAAGCATAGACATGTCAACTGCTTAACAGTCTCTGCCAATATATCGCTGAGTTTCAAGCTGTAGCTATCAACGCTAATACGTCCAGCTATTGCAATCCGGGTGTCACTGACAGTAGATCACTGACAATAGACACATTAATAATCCGTGTATCCAATACTTTTCAAAGGTCTCTCGTCTTGTTCTATGCTAGATAGATTCTTTGACTCGGCATCAAGCAGGCAAGCAGGTGCTGATTGTTATAGACAAACATTACTACGCGCCAGGCCTACCACGTTGTGATCCCGTACCTCACAACTATCAAAAGTGAAGCCGATAGGAAAGGAGACATCGTGACTAGCTTACTAATTTTGAAATTGCTGTTGAATTTCTTTGTTACATTATTTACCTTTCTTATCGTTGACCGGTAAATAGGGCCTGTTGTACATTACTCTTTGGACTTTTACGAAGTCAAAACACTTTATTTCTTGTAAGATAGCTCGTAATACAATAGAGGACCATCTCAAACCAGTATCTCCGCCTACCTAAGCTTCGTAGGGTTATCATCAAGGTAGAAACGAAACTATTTTCATTCCCCAGTTGAAGGTATGTCAAGTTGCCAAGATATTCAACGACAGAGTCTGCCCATTCGAGACAACATCCTAAAGGGGCCGGCAATAATTCTCTTCATACACCTTTCCTGTCTTTGAATTGTATCCAAAGCTAACAGTAAGCAAACATGATCTTGCGGACCACCATGGACAAGCCATCGGCAAGTCTTTGAACAGGATTTAAAATGAGGAAAACGATTTCCGTTCATGCCAACATTGTGGCACTTTACGCCTTCCTCGAGATCTCTGTACCGACAGCCTGGTTCTCTTATACGTGAAAACGGAGATGCGGGAGTTTCTTTTGCACTAACCAAGAGAGTTTACTGGTATCTACACCATGGTATGTGAAGCCAAGAGAGCCGTCAGTACTTACATAGTACACTCCAGTATATTTTTGTTATTTTAGTCCTCATGCAAGTTGTCGGCCATAGCAAGGGTCACATATGTGCTCAGCCTGTGACGGCATGAGGGGTTGCGGAAGTGACGATTTGCTTAAACTCTGCATATCTGCGAGGATTCCTCTGGCGTTCTTGTTAGGTTTATCTTGGCAGTGGCAGTGCCATTGGTGTTTGGAGGCGGCGCGATCTTGGGCCGTTTATTACCACCGTCTTTCTAGAGTCCGAAAAATGTCGCTTCGTGATACCTTCAGGTTGGTCGGAAGCATTTAAGCAACAGTGACGTGCATTAGCCTGCCCCCCAACGTTCCTACCGAAGAGGCTAACGATGTCTTATTCCCCTCCCGCTCGGCATAAGGCTGTTAAGGCTTCGACCTTTATTGGTTTTCTGTTCCCTGGTGCATTGCAAGCTTGCCGCCATTGCCACGGCATCCAGATCTGGGTGTCCGGACAGGCACAGAATCATACGGGTTTTGAGGTCATAAGGATATGGCGCACGCTAATTACTGATTTAGATCTTTGGGTTTCACCGTCCCGGATCGCCATAGCCATGGCAGCTCTATGCGTAGGTTTGGCCTCTTAGTGTAAAGGTTCTTGTCTGTTGGAGCACGATCAAATTAATTTCCTTAACTGTCGCGACAGATCAGCGGCTGTGCAGATTGCAGATATGCTTTAGGCCACGGCTGTCGAGATAGTGTCTGCTTTAGGCTTGTATGAAGAGCTTGGACTCCATCTTGGGAAGAAACGTCTTCGCGCCAGTCCACGACTAGTCACGTATTAGCATAAACGGGGATAGGGAGGGAACATGCTTGTAGGGCTAGATGAGGTTGGTGGATGAGATGCAGATAGTGTCTGAAGGAAATTTGAGTTCACAACTGTTCGAGCATACGTCGAAGATGTGTTGCCTGTTAATTATCTGTCAAGCTGTCGCGAAGGGGACCTGCAGCTTCTTTATGCTTATCCCAAGTTTTCTTTGTCTGGGTTGTAAGCCCTTTCTTTGGTGAGATGAAAGGAGCCCAGTCTCGAAGGAGATAACAATAGAACAGATTGCTACACTATTATCTATTGTCCTGAGTGCCAAGGCAACAGAATTGCTCAGGTCGTTCCACTCAACAATATTTGTCCACTGATTAGTATTCATCTTCTGCGAGAGTTTGTCGAGAATACTGGAGGCTTTAGCCACAATGCTTATCCTTATTCACACGGAAATGGCGGCTGTTCTCCGCAACACCTCACCTCCAGATTCTTGTGAATAGACGTCACAAACAAAGTCTATCAGGCAAGCCTACAAGCAAAACTAGCAACACCTTGAGGAGTGAATTCCATCATGAGAGCCTAGGTGTGGTTCGACTGCTTCTAGAGCTTGGTTAGAAGCTCCATCTGCCAAATCTACCTCACCTACCCGCTACCGCAGTTGTTGCACTCGGGTTGGCGGGTTTACAAAGTCCCGAAGCGATCCTTCTTCAGGAAAAGGCTTGCGCGGCAGTGATGCTGGTTCGCTGAACGAGATGGGAAAGGAATGTGGCAGCGACTTTTGACTTTGGTACAAGATGGAGCAGAAACAGCGTCCACTCACGCACCGTACCTGCGTCCCTGGTGGGCAGTGGAGGGGCTCTTTCATCAGCGAAAATCTTCGGTTTGGACGTTCTATCGGCGGAACCGCGCCTTAAGGTAGAAGCCTGCAGGTAAGAAAGTATGACTCTGGAAGGACCGAAGCCAGACAGAAGGTTCTATGGAAAGCTGAAGGTTTATTGCGAGTTTCATGTGTAAGTAGCCCCGAAGCAGGACAAGAAAGCTCCGGGGCGGAGGATGGCGCGGGGATCATGCGGGTTAGATCTCGGGTCTCCATCGCGGACCGAAGTGGATCGAAGTGGAGGGTGCAGCCTTCACGACTCGGACTTGGGGGATCTCACAAAGTACTCAGTGTTAGAATACAGTCACCAAAAGGCCATGCTGTGTGATATCGCTGGTTCGTGCGTATCGGCAACCAGTAAAAGTGACAGGACACCAGAAAGCCTTAAATGCGCCGCGAATGGAACAGTTTCATCGGTGTGTAGCTAAGTGGGATAACCCATGCAGGAGGGCAGAGTCATCAAAGACAGACGCCTCGTGATGCCGACTCTCAACTGTTTTTTGTTGGTGGAGTGTTAGTGTTAGCGGCAGAGCATACCGTATCTTAATCTGATATGAGCTGTCTCCAGGGGGTGCGACTTTGGTCACTCGAATAAAATTCAAGCTAATATTCCTTGCTGGTAAACTGGGTAATTAGTATCCGTCATCTTCACGAGCTGCTAAGATTGCATCACAAGAGATCCATGTTTTAGGTTTTCGGTAAGTTTGCGTCACAACAGCAGTTCTACCGTTGAGAAGAAGAGCGATATCGCTGCTCTAGTTTTCTCTATCATTGTGAGCTCCTTGTGGATAGCTTCAAGATGATCCGCAAGATACGTGCTAATAATGTTAGATTGCTTCGTAGTCAAGAGTCTAGATGCGGCACAAACTGGGGATTGCTGATCGCATTCTAATTAGTTTGGTTTGAGCAAGGCGGGAGCTCCCAGAAGTGGGTTTGAATACAGCAGCAGAGGCTTAACGCGGGTCGACGAGTCAAGTGCCACAACCTAAGGAGATATGGAACTGTTGATATTCAGAGTTGCGCCGCAATGGCTTTAGCCCAGAGTACCTACGGATAATAGGTAGCTGGAGAGCATCTCGCAAAAAGGTCTTGGCATTTATTGGGCGTTGCAATTGCGCGGTTATGCTGTACTAAACGGAGCCTAGTTTGCGATGTCGGGACCAAGGCAATTGATTGTATTCTGGTTCCGGGTTCCTGGAATACGGGGAATGCTACCTACCCAGTGGATGGTAAGCTGTGACCTTTTTTTAACTCTTTCTCGCCTTTACTTTCATTGTCTGTATTGGGTATTAGCCTCCCAGGCTGTTGTCGCGTCTCTCTCATCTCTCTTTCACCTGCTTGACGGGGGTCTCGCCTCGTCTCGTCTCTTTTCTCCCCTAGCCTCGTCCCGATTGTGCCGCCGGAACAGAAGCCGGCCTATCATGACCCAATCTCAAGGGTCCTGCTGCCCCCCAACCGTGCGAGATTCGAGATGTCAGAAGCTAGATGCTAGGGGTGCAGTAGCATCGGCTGGCGTGACCAATAAACCGTGCCCCCCTTTGGGCCCTTTGGGGCGGCCCGACAGGTAGTTCAGGGCAAATTCAGGCCCTGGACAGGGCACCAGGGCACATCTCAATCAATGGATGCGCGGGCTGCTGGCCTCTGCTCCTTCGCACGGGCGGGATCGTACAGCAGCGGAGGCCACTAATGGCGGGACGGAATCACGGAGCGCTCAATAATGCTGCACGCATGCATCTAAGTACGTCCTAGTTGCGGATAGCGTGTTATGGTCTCTGATCTGGCATGACCAATTAGGCACTTGAGACCGTAGAGGTTGCAACAAACATTTGTTTTGGTTCATACGTATCCGTAGTTCATACAGTATCGTATTGCAATATCGTGATTCGTATCCCTTGGCGACATGGCTATGGTACTCGGCTTCCGCGGACAATAGAATGAACAGTGAGTGACAGCCTCGCCTCGCCTCGCGTCTACAATGGAAAGCTTCGCAATAGAAAAGGCATTTGAACGAGTACCGCATTCCAATTGACAAGACAAGCAGCGCAGGCTAATCCGCAACTAGGCAAGCAAAGACATAAATACCAGGTAGTTAATTACCTAGTAGGCACGTAGGTTTCGGCGAATCGGGGCCGATTAGGGGACCGACTAACAGCCACGTCAAATTAGAGCCAGCCAAAAACGTTGACAAGACAACTCGCCTGTGACTGTTACAGCAGTTCTCAGGAAAAGCAGATAGCCTCTCGCTATGCCAGTCTATGACTATGGGCGTGGATCTTCCGTACGGTAGGTACTGTGCCGTGCTGTATATCATCTATACTGTTTGATGTTCCGCCGGCTAATTTGGCCGTCTCAAACATGTGCCAACCAGATCCAATGAATTCCTCGACTGATCATCATGAATCCATCCGCGTGAACGGATGACCTCTACTTGGCTGACGGTAGACAAGGATCGGGAGCTCGCTTCAGTGTCTAGATTCAGACAAACCCGCTGATGTTTCGCTTCACCTGAGGGGGCTCTGCTCTGGTGACTGCGACTGGTAGGGGAACCTTACTCGTTTCCCTTCTTGGCGGGCCCAAGTCTTGGGGACAAAAAAGCAAAAAGACAAAAAGGCAGGGGGAAACAGATTGAATTGAATGGGTGATCATTTTAGCAGAAACTCAGTTGGGTATGTTGTGTCCTCCAGGCTCAAGGTGTGCCCTGTTGTAACAGCTGTGTGAATTACGAATTACGCCGACATGAACCGTTGTAACTAAATTAGCAGAGCAAGCCCCAGGCTGGGCGTCTCCCAGCTCTGTTCCATTCTGTTTTTCTCAGTGACGATCATGAACACGGATCCGCTCTGGGCGCATTTTGGGTATTTGAGAGCGAGAACTGGAACGGCAACTGGAACTGGAACTAATTACATGTGGGATAGCGGATGGTGCTGAATGGGGAAGGGGATGGCTCAGCCCAGCTCAGCTCAAACATGGAAAGTACCTGAAAGAAAGAAGGTAAAGGTAGCGAACAAAAAGCAAAATAAAGAGGCAGCTCACAGCAAAACCCTTCAGCGCATAAAAAAGAAATAGAATATTAAAAGCATCCTTTGTTCCCTCTCTTCCCTCCTCAATTACAAATGCCAATGCAATTGCAAATGAACAGATCTTATTAAATATTTCTTCTGTCTTTTTTTCATTAACGATCGTCAACAAGGACCCGCGAACTTCCGGAACCGAGACACAACGAGAACGAGCACGGGCATTTACCCAAACACTGGGCTATTGTATCCCTCCCACTTCACTTCTCTCTCTGCCTTACCTACCGAGGAGCCTAGTACCTTGCCGTACCGACTGAACAGTGCCGCCAGAATAGCCGCGGATCCTCATCACGTTTACCCTCCCCTAGGTTCCCTTCCCTTACCTACACACCCCCCAGTCCAGTCCAGTCCAGCCAGTCCAAGCCATAATACATAATACCCAAAGTTCAATCAAGACGAGGCCAGGGTTCCCATTTCGATCCATTTCTCATATATCCATCTGCCTGCACCCCTACCATTTATTTTTCTTCACATCTTCTCGTTCAACACAAAGCACAAAGATTTCACCTTTCAACACAACCCGCAGCCACATCAACACCTACACTAAAGCAAAGCCTCGACGAGCTGGTCTCTTGAAACATCAGACAAGCCCGGGCAGTGTTTGTGCTCACCTGCATACGCTTGCATAACCCCATCCTTTAATAGCAACAACCTGACACGCATACTGTCTTGTTTGCTCCCCCAGCGACCAACAGTCCATTCCTACTACCCCTCCAGCTCATTAATCGATCCGGCTCTACTATACTACATCCAATCTATATAGTATCTGCGCAGCCCCTCGACAAATATCAACCATACTATACCCACCTACCTACCTACTACCTAGTAACAACAAACAACAACACACACACAACACACACACAACACACTACTATCACAACGATGCTTCGAGGAACTACTTCCAACGTGCCCCTCTTCGGCAACCCTAAGAGACGCAAGCAGAAGCAGCAGAAGGAACAGGAGCAGAAGGACCAAGAAGAGAAGCTCCGTCAACAAGCTCTCGAGGAGGCCGAATTTGCGACAAAGGCCGAGACATCAGACTTCCTCCTATACTACCTTGAGCGATCACCCTTCAAGGACCAATGCGACCAGATTTCCATCGCCTGGGAGAACCTACCCAGCCTGGGCGAGCTCGAGTCCTACGCCAAGCTCAACAAGACCTCCGGCACACAAGCTTGTCGCCGGCTATTCAAGGCCGTTGTCATCTGGGACGACCTTGGCCTCGACCTCTGGGAGACTCTTAACAGCACCCTCAAGCCTTCAAGCGATGAGGAAGAGAGCGACGATGACCTCCTTGACGAAATCTGCGAGGAGCCCATCGGTTGGGATACTGCAAGCACTCGCCGGTCCCGCTCTCCCGCCAGTTCCAAATCCTCCTCCTCTGAAACCTTCGTATCAGAACGTTCACGTCAAGTGTCTGCCGATAGTCACAGCCAGCGCGAGCGCAGCCGCGACTCACGCAAGACAGTTTCAACAAGAGATCAGAGCACCAACGGAAGGGCGCCTCCACGGAGACCCATGGGACTGCAGGGCGGTATGATCAGCGAGTACTACGACAGCCCCTCGCGATACCGCGTACCCAAGATCGTGCGAGTGCTCTAAGCCCTCTGCCATCTACAACTCTACGAATATTTCTTTTGTCTATATGTCATTTACTGCTCTATCTAAGCGGGCGTTGGAAATCAGCAGAGTTTACAGCTGCCGCTATACTAGCCACATATTTTGTTTTATCATGCTCTTTTCTGAATATTAGCAAGGCGCTCTGGACATGAACTGCAATGGAACCGGACAATTACGGATTACGGATACCACCTATATCACAGCTGGAGGGTTAACAGCTACCTATTACCACTATAGTCAACCAATGAATTATCTATCAATCAATTTCTTCATGCTTCATTATGCAATTTCTCTAGTGATTGACGTGAAATTTTGTATGCGTTACCTATACGCAACGTCGATGCATGGAGGAGGCTGGGCGCAGCTAAACAAGATTTCAACTTCATCTACACCACTAACCAAGACGATTCCTGGTCTTGACAGCTCGATCATCGCTGCTCTGACATCACTTCAGATCGGTCCGCGAAGCAACATCGCGATGTGATCTTGATGAATGGAGGTTACCGACGTCATGGTGGAGGGAAATATTAACTGCCGTAGCTCTTAACAGCTGACAAGCCCAGCTTGGTTGCAACAGAGGGTTACGTACCTGGATTAGACCCAGAACTCGGGAAACTTTAATGTGCCTGATATAACCACAGCAGGCATAATGGCTAAACCACATCGGCGATCTTTGTTACCTTCATGACTAGTACAGCACATTACAATCATTCTCTCTTTTCTCATGATCATCGCCAGATTCACCATCAATCGAGTCACATTTCACAACATGCGCTTTTGCGTCGTCTGCTCTCGTAACTGACTCGTCTCATCCACCGCACCTCCGGTCTTGGCGCTGGTTTCGTCGATGTGTGCTTTTTCTTAGTTCATTTCAGGAGAGCCAATGGTCCGAGGTGTGCTTCAGTGACTATCCGCGTGGCGCCCGGTCTTTTCTAAATTAGGGACATGTGGGACAACGACTAGGATGGTGATGGGGGGAAAGAATATCCATTCCTAACTTAGAGTCCCAGAGTCCAGGCACAGAGTGATCAGACACCTTTGCTTTGACAATCGAGCATGTACGGATATTGATCGCTTTTATGAAACTTCGACATGAAACGTTGACATTTATTTCTATTGAAGGGGAAGCTATATCCGCCTGTCAAAGACTGCGCTTCAGTTCTCATCGTATTGTGAGACTCTTTGCTTGAGTAAATTACCTTCTCGTTTGTCTGATGCTCTGGTCGAACAAATCGTATGCAGCCCCAGGCGCGCTAGGTCTATGCAGTGATGGTTTGGAACTGAGATAGAGGCTTTCACGCCTTCTCGTACGTGTATGTGTACGTGGACGTGGTATTTTCCAACACCATCAAATCTGAAACGCTTCGGTTGAACTCTGTCAACCTGAAAATCACCTGAGTTTCCTCCGCGGAAAAATTATAAACTTCTTCTACTGCCAAAGTCAAAAACTTGCTCCGTACCTGACTCAACATTTCTCACGGGCGACGGGATATGCAGCTGATGCTGCGGCTTTCAGGCCATCTCAGCTAGCCTCAGGGGGCCTGGCGCCCTTTCTTGCTTCTAGACTCTTTGAGGCGTTGTTTCGGGCTTTCCACCAGATAAAGGTGTGTTTTGCGAGGTGCTAAGATGGAGAGGAGCGCTCATGTTTCTCATTCGGAATATTCCGTTCGAAGTGAGTTGCACGTTTAATGATGTCGACTTGTGTTTCGCTGCATTCCTAGCTTTGCAATCGTGTCGCTGTGTCTCTTTACCGTGAAGCCTTCACACGACCTCTTCTAGGCTGGCATGCTGGGCTTGACTGTTGCAAATTCGTAGATGTTCCTTAGACGAATGACGTCTACATCTTTACCTAGTCCTGAGAACGATATATCTAAGGTTACTTGCACCTGGAACAAGAGGGGCGTCGTCGAGAAGTCACCTCAACTTCAGAGGCGTTATCAAATATGAATTCGTGGTCCATCAAGGGAGACAGCACTCCGGCGCAGAACTATTACCATGAAATCTATCTCACGACCAACGAGACGATCCCCTTGCGCTGCTAAGAGGTCCTTCTGGAGATTATATGCATTGCAGAGAGCTCGAGGGGGAGTGTTCCAATGCCCATCTTACAGTATGGTTCTGTCACAGCTCTGCAGCAGTTAAAATCGCTCAAGAAATGCATCCCAAGTAACATTATTACCACTACCACTTATATGACTATCTCCTTCTTCTCAATGGGTCTGTAGTACTGACGAGAATATAGCGAAGCTCCCAACTATATGATGATAGACCTCAGCGCCAGCTTCATGCATCTGTGTAAAGTCTGGAATTCTCAGGATCTCATCCTGAGGTTTTACTCATGATTGTTCCTGAGAGCCTGAGTACTGCTGCTGTTAACTAGCCGACTCCTTGTTCTGTCCAGCTAGCACTTTCCACGATGGTTCTGGCGTGACAATTCCAATAATTATCGACTCGGTTATTATAAATGCAGCTATACCTACCTATTTATGGAGTGAGTCTCATTGTGGTGACAGAATGAGACAAATCGAGAAGTTGGAGACTAGCATCGTGCCAGTCGCAGAAGGGGTGACTTGGCCACTCTGAGAATCAGGCCATTTGCCATTAAAAGACAGAAGTTGCGGTGTTACACACAAGGTGAAGAACTTTCCTCTGGACCATCCGTTCCTAAACATACATAGGACAACCCAAGCTCACAGGTAGAAGCGACTGTATCAAGGCTTAGCGGCTCCGCCGTCTATCTCTACGTTATGCTTGAGGAACTCTCCCAGGCCATAACTCAATGTGACGATGAATCTTAAGTTTCCCCCTGGCTATGTGTCGACGCTCGAGTCTTATAAGATCCTGTGAAAGTTAGCCTTGAGCCTCCTTCAATCTAGTCAGGATATGCCTTACCCATGAGCCTGATAGCAACGGTATATTCTGGACAGAAGGCAGAGCTTTGGTTGAAAGCTTATTAGCATTCTTGAGATAGACTCCAAGATGGATGTCTGAAAGGCCGAACAGTATTATAAGCTCCTTACCTTGGAATTTTATGCAACTTGTGTGGTTTACCATCTGATGTTAGAGGTTGTCTTTGGAGCAACGTAAGTACTAGATGGCCGGTGCAACAAGAGCTTCAATTTTGTAGAATATATGTCGAGAAATCCTCGCAATGGTAGTAGAATTGCAGCTGATGCGCTAGGTCAGATCTTTGGTTTAACGATCAAATCAACGTAGTTGGGTGAACGAAATCATGTTGAAGGGAAATACCCTCTGTAGTGCTTCGAGCCAGATGGGATACCGTTCATGGAGCGACTCACTCCTTCTTGACTACCTAGCTGCCACCCCTACCCCGCCGGATAACAACCATATCTACCATGAATCAAAGACGGAAATCTTTGAAGTGACGAGACATTGTTCATCACCTACTACGTGTTTTAAGGATAGAGCGTATGTCAGGTACAGGGTAGGTCAACTACGAGGAGCCGGAAAAACGTGGGGGCCGAACAGCTGAGCTTCAACCTGCAGGTGGACCGTGCGCGTTGCTTCCTTGAGCAAACAACGGTGGGCGTGTTGCATCTTCAGCTTCGTAGCTCCAATTTTCCCGATCTCTCCAACAACAAGCAAAGCCTCCATTTCCTTTGTCGGGGAATTTCATCGACCACCCACATTCCTTCGTTGTCATTGAACCTACAAAACGAAGCGATACGTCGAGTACAATTCTTTCCAGAGCGAGTTATCATTTCGAAAGAGCAAATACAGGAATGACGAGTGCCGCGACATCAATCTGATCCGACCACGACCATGGCGGCCGCAGACGTAGACATTGCCTACGTCGCAGGCCACCTCGGCCTCGACCAGCCTGTTATCGCGTCTTTGACGACAGAGCCTACTGTTGATCTCGTTAACATTATTCTAAAGGCTGTTGCAGCTAAAGCCCACGAGTTTGATACCCTCTACGCCGAAAAGCTTCAGACCGACATTGAGCTCGAGAACGCGGTGCGCAGCTCCGAAACGCGATCGCAAACTTTCAAGGCTACTGCAGATAAGGCCCTCAAAGATGTTGAAGAGGCTAGGCAGCTCCTACAGGACGAAGGTATGTATTTATAACCTACGCGACACCGGGTTGCATGATTGTTGACATTTATTTTCAACAACAGAAACGAAGCGACAGTCTGTCGAGAACGAACTCCAAGTCCTCAAGGCTAAGAAATCCGACTACGATGCCGAAATCAAGGCTCTCAATGATAAGATTGAGACCCTCCAGTCATCGAACCGAACCAATCTGAGCATCATCGAATCCAACAACAAGCGCGACCAGACCGTCACCGAAGAACTTACCAAGCAGCATCAACGGAATGTCGAGCTCTCTCGCGAAATCACAGCTCTGCAACAGTCGGAGCAGAATGCGCGAGGACAACTCAACAGCGCCAAGTACAGAGAAGAATCACTCCAACAGCAGCTCGATCTCGCCCGAAAGAACAGCGAATGGCTAGAGAACGAACTGAAGACCAAGAGCGAGGAAGGCCTCAAATACCGAAAGGAGAAGGGTGCTCGTATTGCCGAGCTTCAACGACAGAATGAAGACATTCAATCTCAAATGGATACCATGAAGCGAACCGAACAGCAACTCCGTGATCGTCTCACTGCCATGCAAGCTAGGGCCGATGAAGCTTTGGTAAAGGTTCAGAACCAGGAGGGGAGCTATGCATCGACGATTGAGAGCTATAAACATGAACTCGAGTCTCAAAAACGTTTGGCTGAAATGTCCGATTCCCTGGGTAAGAAGCATCAAGAGCGAGTACGTGACCTCGAGGCAGAGAAAGAGCGACTTCGGGACAACTATGAAAACGAACTTCGACGTGTTCGATCCGAGCTCGAGCAAGAACGAGAGAACAACGTACAAATGGAGGAAAAAATCAACCAACTTCAAGCCGAGATCGATGAGCTTCAGGTGCGCATGGAGCAGCAGGCACCGCCGCCTGAGTCTGCACCACAGACTCCCCGTGCCAACGGTGCTCTTATGCGACCCTCTTCTCCTTTTGCGACACCCGGTTCTATTAGAGGCAAGGGCGCGATTACCGCCACGCAGGCTCTTGACCAGCTGTACCAAGTCAAGGGCCAGCTGGCCACCGAACGACGTCGCAACCAGCAGCTTTCTGAAGAGCTAGACAATATGATGTCCGCTTTGGAGGCGAAGGCCCCCGAGATGCAGGAGCTCCAGTCCGAGGCTGAGACACTCCGAGAAGAGATCACCCGTATGTCAGAGCTGTCGCAACAGAGCTTCGAAGAGCGCGATACTGCTAGACGAGCGGCCAGAAAGGCCGAAGGCGCCCTTGCAACAGCGCAGTCTGAGACGAACATCCTGCGAACTCAACTCCGTGACCTTGGTACTCAGATCAATATGCTTTTGTTCCAGATTCACGCCATGGAGAAGGGCATGGATCAGCTTACCGAAGAGGAGACTTTCCGTCTTCAACAACTACAGAAGGGAGAGATTTCTGAGGAGGCATTGTCAGATATGTCCGATACCCACCAGTTCATCACTCAGAAGTTGGTGGTTTTCAAGGACATCCAGTCTTTGCAGGCGAAGAACGAGGAGCTGCTACGCATCACACGCGAACTTGCCGATCAACTGGAAAGTGAGGAGGCACTTGCTGAGAAGCACCAGGCCAAACAAGATCACGATATGGTTGAGAAGCTTCAGCAGGAGCTCGAGCATATGGTTGAAGAGACAAGGTCGATCAAGAAGACTATGGAAAGCTACAAGACGGAGCGCGACATGTTCCGAAGACTCCTGCAACAACGAGGTGTGCACGGGGACGAAGCCTCGATGATGCGAAACTCTATCGCTGGTGGCGAGCGATTGCCTTTGGCCAGTATCGAGGCAACTGAACAAACCGAGACTCTCAACGAGGCCTTGCGTAAGCTCCAGTCCGAATATGACAATTACCGCGACGCCCAAGATGGAGTTCGTAAGGACATGCGCGACCAGCTTGACGCTCTGTCAGCCGAACGAAACGCCCTGCAGACTGACAAAGTGAAGCTTCACGGTGAAGTACGACTTGAGTCCGAGAGACGTGAAATGCTGAACAACAATTATGTTGCACTTCAAAATGAAAACCATGAGCTTCAAAAGCGAAGTCAGATCTTGTCCGAGACCGCTGCTAAGCAGGATATTCGAACGCAGCAGGTGGCCGAAGAGCTCATCGAAGCTAAGGGCCTGCTCGATAGTGTCCGCAACGAGACTGCCAACCTCAAGGCTGAGAAGAAGCTTTGGAAAGATATTCAGGACAGGTTGAGTAGGGATAACGAGAATCTCATCGAGGAAAAGAACCGCTTGAACAACTTGCTTGCAACTCAACAATCCATCGAGAACGAGCGTAACATGGCCGATTCTGAATCACGACGTAAAGCGCAGGCTAAGATTGAAAGCCTTGAGCAGGAACTGAGTGACGCTCAGAGGAAGCTTAACTACGAAGCGGAGGAAACCAAGAAGCTGCAGCTCAGAAAGGAGTACGAGTCGAAGGAGTCACAGAAGCGAATTGACGAGCTTATGACGAGCCTGAGCCAGATTCGCGAGGAGCACGTCGCCGTCAAGACAAGTAGAGACCATCTCCAGGCTCGTGTTGACGAGTTGACAGTCGAGGTGCGAAACGCTGAAGAACGAGCCGGACGACTTCAACCTCGGCCTACTCCTCGACCCGGAACTATCGAGGTTAGCGAACAACAACAGCAAATGGAGAATGAGATCCAGGAGCTCAATGTCGAAATTTCGGATCTCAAGCGGGATTTGGATATGGCCAACACCCACCTCGAGAATGCCAAGACCCAGGCAGAACAGTTCAGGGAGCTTAGCCAGGCTAACGAAGAAGCCCTCGAAGACTTGCGAGGATCACAAGAACAATACCAACAGGAAATGGAATCACTCATCGAGGAGAAGGACGCTAAGATCAAGGAGCTTGGCCAACGTGCTGAGGATTTGTCTGCGGAACTGTCCCGTTCCAACACCGAGCTGTCCAGCCTACGTGATTCCCAAGGTGAGGTCGCACGCCGCTACGAGGACGAGAAGACAATCTTGCAGGAGGAGGTGAACAGACTTAAAGAGGAGAGCGCAAGGCATTTGGAAGCCACCCGTTACCATCAGCAGGATCTCCGCGCCCAGGCTGAAATCGCTTCCAAGGCTCAGCAGGATTACGAGCAAGAGCTTGTGAAGCATGCCGAAGCAGCCAAGCTTGTCCAGCAGCTTCGAGCCGAGCACAACGCCCTCAAGAGTGAAGCCGCATCCCTGAAATCCGAAGCCGACTCTGCCAAGGTTACCCTTGCCCAGAGTGAAAGCTCATGGGAGGATCGACGACAACAACTGGAGCAGGAGATGGCGGAACTCAAGACACGCCGGGAGGATGTGAACTCGCAGAACAAAATTCTGCACCAGCAGTTGGAGGGCCTGACTGCCCAGGTCGCAGCGCTCCAGCAGAAGCGAGGTGACCAGGATGATGAGGATGAAAGGATGTCACCCGTCCCTGTGGGAGACGCCACCGAAGGTCTCCGCGAGCTCAACAGCTACCTCCGACGAGAGAAGGAGATTCTCGAGGTTCAGTATGATCTCAAGGCTCAAGAATCCAAGCGACTTCAACAGCAACTCGAATACACCCAAACTCAGCTCGATGAGGCACGCCTCAAGCTCGACCAAGAGCGCACACAGACCGCTCAAAGTGGCCGAACATCGATGACCCACCAGGACCTCATGGAAAAACTGAACGAGCTCAACATCTACCGTGAAAGCAGTATGACACTGCGGAACGAGAACCAGCAGCTTAAAGATGAGATTGGAGAGAAGAACAAAAAGATTGAGGAGATGGAGGCACGAACTCACCCCTTGGAAGCCGAAATCGACACCCTTAAGACTCAGAAGTCTTTCCTCGAGGATGAGATCAAGCAAATCCAGGAAGACCGTGATCGATGGCAGAAGCGCACTGAGGGTATCCTCACCAAGTACGGACGAGTCGACCCCGCTGAGATGGAACAGCTTAAGGAGAAGATCACAGAGCTGGAGTCGGAACGAGATACGCTGAAGCAAGGCGAGGAGCCTCTGAAGGCCAAGCTCACTGAACTGGAGACCAGCATGGAGACTGAACGAAGCAATTGGTCTGCCACGCGTGCCAAGATTGTTGAACAGGCCAAGGAGCGATCAAGAAAACTTACAGGAGAGAAGAATGAGGCCCTTCAACGTGTCAATCAAGTCCAAGAGAGCTTGGACAAGGCTAACGCCGAACTTGAGGGCGTTAAGAAGGAGGTAGATGAGTCCAGGAACCAGAAGTCTGAGCTTGAACAACAGATCCAGAACTTCCAGAAGGAGGTCGAGCAACTCCGCCAACAGGCCCAGACTACTCAGTCTGCCCCCACTCTTGCGCAGCCAGCCGATGCTTCCGCTTCGTCTGAGGTCGTTACTCAACTCGAGCAGCAGCTGGCTGACGCTCGCAGGGAACTCGACGCAATCAACGGGCAGAAGCAAGGTGCTGAGCAACAACTGGAGTCGCTTCGTACTGAGCTTCAGACCGCTATCTCTGAGCGCGATGATATAGCCAAGAAGCTCCAGGAAGCAACCGAGGCCGCTGCTCAAGCCGCGGAGGTTGCACCCAAGGCTGCTCCTCAGACCACCGAGCAAGCCCCTGCTGCGTCTGCAACTGGCGAAGCAACCGAGGTGCCCTCTGGTGGTATTTCCGACGAGGAGAAGAAGGCCTTGGAACAGAAGATCGCCGCTGCTGAAGCCAAGGCAGCCGAGTACGAACAGAAAGCCAACGAGGTTGAGGCCAAGATTCAAAGTACTATCAAAGAACGCTCTGACAGAATGCGAGACACTTTGAACAATAAATTGAAGGAGAGCCGACACAGAATGGAGGAGGAGTTCAAGAAGAAGGATGAAGATCTCAAGCTCAAGTTCGAGCAAGAGAAGCAAATCTGGCTGGCCGAGAACCCCACGGCCAAGCCCAATGCAGCAGCTCCCAAGACGGAGCCAACAGATCAGCCTCCCTCAACACCCGCGAAGGCCGAATCCTCTGGTGTGCCTCCAACTCCCGCGTCTGTTGGACCCAGCGACCTGTCTCACCTTGATGATGCTGGCATCCGCCAATTCCTTGCCACTAATCCTACGGTTAAGAACATTGTTGCGGCCAACATCAAAAAGAAGCTCGAGGTGGAAAGTTCCAAACTGAAGACAGAGTTGGAGACAAATTTGAAGACGGAGTACGAAACCAAGATTTCATCAGCAAGAGATCAAGCTCAGCTTATGGAATCTAAGAAATCGACTCTGCGAATCAACATGGCTGAGAACAAGTTAAGAGCTGCTGCTGCCAAGATCAACGTGGTTGAGAAGGCGGCCTCCGAGACACCCCAGAAGCCTGTCGTCGAAGTTTGGGAGGTGGCCAAGATAGCACAAGCTCCTCCTCCTACACCTGCAGCAGCGAAGCCTGCTCCAGCCAGGCAGGGCTCAGTGGCTGGCGTACCCCCATCCCCATCGCCCGCAACACCTGCGATAGGTGCCAAGGGTACCAAACCCACTCCAGCAGCCAATACAGCAGCTACTCCAGCATCGGCGTCAACTGAGGTGAAGCCAGCACAGGCTTCGGGCCCAGCAGCAAGCGGAATTCCTGGTGCCAAGAACAACAACAACAACCCTTTTGCTGTTCCCGCCAACCCCACGACAGCAGCTGCACCAAACCCTTTCGCTGCTAAGAGCGAAGGCGGTGCGACTCCCGCTACTAAGGAAGGCCAGCCACAGGCACAGGCGCCACAGCAGCAACAACAAGCTCAGCCTCAGGGCCAGGGACAAGCTCAGCCGCAAGGCCAAACGCAAAATCAACAGCCAGTGCGTTCCGGCATTCCTATGCCTCGTGGTGGCGGACGTGGAAGAGGTGGAGCTTATGTCCCTCCAGGCCAGCGTGCAGCCAGTGGCACTCAAGAGGGCGCACATGGCCATGCTGGTCGTGGAGGCCGAGGTGGACGAGGAGGTGGACGTGGTGGCATGAACCCAGGTGCCAACGATTTCCAGCCTGGCAACAAACGGCCACGAGGTGACTCGGAGGTTGGCGGAGGAGCCAAGCGAGCACGTGGAGCGCACTGATAGAGCGCTGGTCTGATATATGTCCGGATTGTTTCGGGATAAGTGAAATGTACAACACGAAAAAACGCATGTAATTATTTGTGGATTTTGGCATTGAAAGGAGAAGACCTGGGACGAAAGAATGGATGACAGGTTATGGGGAGTGTTACTACAGCATTATTATGCCTTACATATTTATTGGGTTCCTAAACGGAAAAAGAAAGAGATTTCCTTAGTTTTACAATTTGGTTTCATGGCGCCTATGATGTGAAGTGAAAGTGGTTGATTGATTGTTATTGTCAGTGAGGGAGAAGAAGTATTTAAGTAGGTACTCTACACCATAGCTTTGTCCCTCAACCATGCAGGCAGTAGAGCCGATCATAGTCACAATAGGAAGATCTCATTGCTTATGCTTACCTCATTTTGATAGTGATACCATACGTATTAAGTATTTGATCAAAGGTCAGCCAAGTATAAATATCTCTCCACAGATCGCGCCTTTGAGTCTGGACAGGCACATACCTAGTGGGGTGCTGTCGGTGGATCGGCATCAACTTTTACCGATAGCGATAAGGAAGAAAAAGTTGGGAAAATAAAAAAATTGGGGACCTTCTTACAGATGTCAAGATCCAACTCGACCAAGAGAAACAACGCTGGAGCGACTTTCCTACTATAAACGACGACATACGAGGAAGCAACGACCGCTTTAAACAGAGGCGACTTCTATTTACTCAATGGTGCCCCCGTCAAAGAAGCGCAAGCTTCCAACCGCAACCGGTCCCGCCTCGAAACGATCCAAGAACATCCCCAAATCAACAAACTCCAAGAAGAAGAGCGCAAAAGAACCGCGCCGAACCGTCGACGCTACAGCGCTTGCTTGGGCATCGGTGGGGGAGGACTTTGGAGGACTCGAGGTCATTGAGGGCGTGGACGTTGTCAAGGATGGTAGCCGAGTACAATTCTTGGTGGCTGGCGAGAACAACAACATAGTCGACCCGCAACAAGAATTTGTAGATGGCGATCAATCTTTTGAAGGGTTTGGCGACAACTCTGTGGAGGTCGGGGATATCGATTCCGGCGAAACTGGCAGTGGTCAAGCTGGCGCTCAGAGCGAGAAACCTCAAGGGAAGAATAAAGGCAAGACTGGGACAAAAGAAGGGCAAGCGAAACCAGAGCAAGAAAAGAGCAAGAAGCAACAAAAACAAGACAAAAACAAGAACAAACTGGATGGGAAGAACGGTGCCAACAACAACAAAAGCCAAGACGAGCAGCTGGTCAAGGCCTCAAAAGTCGTACAAAAGTCCTCTGCACGCGGGGGGAACACGTTCGGCGCGCTGGCCGATGGGAACGAACTCGCAGACCAAGAAGAACTCGACATGGCGGCCTGGGTTCCTCTAAACCTATCGCCTCAGATTATTTCAGCCATCGCCAGACTTAAGTTTACCAAGCCGACCAAGATCCAGCAGAAGACCATTCCTGAAATTGTTTCCGGCGGGGACGTTATTGGCAAGGCGCAAACAGGTTCCGGAAAGACACTTGCATTTGGTATCCCTATGGTTGAGAGGTGGCTAGAGTTGCAGGAGCAGGGCGTCAAGAGGACTGGCCCCATGGCTGTGGTGCTTTCTCCTACACGAGAGTTGGCCAAGCAGTTGGGAGACCATCTTAAGGCTCTCTGCGAAGGTCTTCCTAGCTCACCGTATGTGTGTGTTGTGACTGGTGGTCTCAGTATTCAGAAGCAGCAGCGACAGCTCGAGAAGGCTGATATTGTTATCGGTACCCCTGGTCGTCTATGGGAAGTCCTTAGTGGAGACAGAGCGCTGCAAAGCAAGTTCGCCAAGATCAAGTTCCTTGTTGTTGATGAGGCGGATCGACTGTTCAAGGTCGGCCAATTCAAGGAGGCCGAAGATATTATTGGTGCTCTTGATGGAAAGAGCCCTGGTGATGATGCTGAAAGCTCAGAAGAGGAGGACGAGGACGGAGATGATGACGAAGACAAAGGACGACAGACTCTGGTCTTCTCAGCTACTTTTGACAAGGACCTTCAGACTAAGCTGGCTGGCAAGGGCAAATCCACAGGAAGCGATGACGAGAAGATGGCGTATCTGATGAAGTGTCTCAAATTCAGGGGTGAGCCCAAGTTCATCGACGTCGACCCAGTCAGTCAGATGGCCTCAGGCCTGAAGGAGGGACTGATTGAGTGTGGTGCCATGGAAAAGGTGAGTTTACTGCACAGCACTACAGACCCATGATGCTAATATGTTCTAGGATCTTTACCTTTACAGTGTGCTTCTTCTCAACCCTGACCGCCGTACTCTTGTTTTCACCAATTCTATCTCTGCTGTTCGCCGTCTTACACCCCTACTTGCAAACCTTAACCTTACTGCTCTGCCCTTGCACTCCCAGATGGCTCAAAAGGCGCGTCATCGCTCCCTCGAGCGCTTTACTGCCGCTCGCAACTCTATTCTCATTGCCACCGATGTTGCTGCTCGTGGTCTTGATATCAAGCAGGTTGACCAAGTTTTGCATTATCACGTTCCCCGATCTGCGGATACTTATATCCATCGATCTGGTCGTACAGCCCGTGGCGAGTCTAGTGGTATCAGTGTGATTCTCTGCTCGCCCGATGAGGTTCTCCCAACACGCCGCCTCGCCGCCAAGGTACATGCCAAGCGTAGTGCCGGCACTAAGAGGGAGCATTTTATTCAGACTCTTCTCATCGACCACAAGATGGTTTCGCGCCTCAAGCCTCGCGTGACACTTGCAAAGAAGATTGCGGATACAATTCTTGCCAAGGAGAAGGCACACAGCGACGACACGTGGCTGCGAAACGCAGCTGATGAGCTCGGAGTGGAATATGACTCGGAGGACCTCGATGCTGTCAATGCAAGCGGAGGAATTGGCAGCCGTGGCGGTGGACGAAGAAGAAAGGAGCAGGAGGCCAAGGGACTCACCAAGGCTGAGATGGGTGCCTTGAAGGCGCAGCTAAGAGAAGAGTTGAGCAGGAGAGTGAACTTGGGTGTTAGTGAGAGGTATATCACGGGCGGAAGAGTGGATATTGCTGCTCTGTTGAAGGAGGGCCAGAACGGTGGTATCTTCCTGGGTAACACTGATGGGTTGGGATTTGACCTGTAGTGTATGGATTAGGAGTAGGAGCGTGCTTGAGCTGATGCTGATCAAAGTCAGTAGACCATGGGTACCTTGGTTTATACTGATATGACTACTAAAAGTACTATTTTGCAGTATAAATAATCTCTAAAATCGATATGGTTAAGCCAATGAACCTCACCAATTATCATACATAGAGTAACAAGCCTGAATTTAGAGGTGTGGCCATCAACAACGACATACAGATTGTGTTGGGCTAGAGCCGCGCAACCGCGGGAAACTCGGGAAACTACTGCTTGGCCGCGGATTTGTATGTAGGGTCCTCTCTGCCAATGGATTCTATAAGATTATTTGTGTATATTCGTCATATATGAGTGCGAGAAACGAAGTGACAAAGTAATGCTTCACAATTTAAGCAGCATTTCGTTTGATTAGATGCTTCGATTAGATCAAGAGAATGAATATACGTTGTAATCCGGAAAGAGGTTGGTGAAGGCTTCGCTGCTCCAAAGTTTAAACGTAAATAGACACATTATCTCTATTCGGTTCTTATTAAGACTGGCCTTCTTAACATGGAAGCAGTCAGGCAGTGTACATTAATTTACTCTAGACGATATCTCCAATTGTGTATATACGATCCACAACATCAAGGGTTTGCAAGAGTGCCAAGCCCCTGGTAGTGCCGGGTCTAATAGATCGCCGCGGGAAACTCAACATCAGATCAACACATCACCAGAGATAAGTTGTAGGACAACCAATGGTTCAGTTCCCCTCGTTATGCGGGGTTCCATGATATGTAGATTCAATGGATCTTGAAGGAGTATATAAGTCAAAGCAGACATGCCAACAAGACAAGTCCTTTATCAACCCAAACCCCTAACAAGAACATCCCAACACGTACACTTTCACAATGCCCAGCCTCATTGAAACCCCAGAGTCCCTCTTTACACCTAAAGTCCAATCCAAACTCCTCTCCAGCCGCGAAAAAGCCTCGCGAGACTTCCGCTCAGATGTCGTGACCGTCCCCATAGAGGAGATGATGACATCCATCCTGGAAGCCTCTGTCAACGACGACATCTACGACGCTGAAGGCGACCCATCTGTCAAAGCCCTCGAGGCACGCCTTGTGGAAATGACGGGCATGGAGGCTGCGCTCTGGGCCGTCTCGGGCACGCAGGGGAACCAGATCTGTCTGAGGACGCATCTGACGCAGCCGCCGCATAGTGTACTATTGGATCATCGCGCTCATGTGCATTGCTGGGAGTCTGGGGCTTTGCCGGTGATCTCTCAGGCGAGTGTCACGACGGTGCACGCGAAGAATGGAGTGCATTTGACGTTGGAGGATGTTAAAAAGAATATCATTGCTGATGGGAACAGTATGTCCTTTCGTTCAAATATATTTGACTGAAGTGAAGCTGACGATATAGTTCATTTTCCGCCTACAAGGGTCGTCTCTCTTGAGAATACCCTCTCTGGCACTATTCTACCTCTTGCAGATGCACAAGCCATCTCCAGTTATGTGCGCTCATTCCCTGTTCCAGAAGGCCAGAAACCAATCGCCATGCATCTCGACGGTGCCCGCATCTTTGACGGCGTGGTTGGAGAAGGCGTTGATCTAAAAGCCTACGCAGCCTGCTTCGACAGCATATCCATCTGCCTGGCCAAGGGCATCGGCGCGCCCATGGGAAGCGTCATTCTTGGTAAGAAGCCCTTTATCGAGCGGGCCAAGTGGTTCAGAAAGATGCTGGGAGGAGGAACTCGGCAACCGGGTATGATGGCTGCTGCGGCTTTGGCAGCGCTCGAGTATAGCATCCCGAGGTTTCCGTCGGTTCACGCCATGGCAAAGTCTGCTGCTACACAACTCGAAGCAGTGGGTTACAAATTCGCACTTCCCGTGCAGACCAACATGATCATACTCGATCTCGAGGCTGCTGATATTCCACCTGCGGCGTTTGTGGAATACTGTGCTCAAGATGGGATCTCGGTATTTCCCATGGCCAGACTCGTCTTTCATCATCAGACATCAGAAAGTGCTGTCAAGAACTTGGTGAAAGCATTGTCGAGACTGATGGAAGATAAGAGGAATGGAGTTGCCCTGAATGATGGTGAAGCCCACGGTGGATATAGTTAGGGGATGAAGATAGCCGAATAGATCAGGGAGATTTCTTTTGCCGGATCTCGATACATGCATCTAGAGGCGGGATGATTGTCGCTCCCATCCATTGAGATTTGGGTCGTTTGTCTAGCAATTTGATGTCATAGTTAAGGAGCAACGAAGCTATTATGAGTTTGAGCTCATGAGCGACAAAGAACCTACCAGGGCTGCAAAGGTATTAGCATATCGCAATTCACTCAAGAACCAAGTCAAAACATGAACTTACCACGCATGCCGTCCATGTCCAAAAGCCAAGTGAGCATCGCTTGTCGTCACCATTCCCAGGCTACGAGCCTTCTTGCCCTCATCTTCGTTATGCATCTTCTCCTCGGCCGTCTTGGCATCCCACTCTTCCCTAACTCTCGAATACCGCCAAGGATTATAACCCATTGCATCTTTGTAAATCTCCTCATCGTGGTGGGTCCCCTGCAAATTTACAGTTACGAATGCGCCGCGCGGCAACGTCCACCCGTAGTCGGGGTGCTTAAGACCTTCAGGGGCAATGACTTGTCGCTCGACGAGGTTGGCGGCAAAGTTGCTAAGTCGCTGGGATTCGCGGATGGACGAGTCGAGGCGTGTGAGGGAAGAGAGGCCTTGCTTTGTCCAGGGGCCTTCACTTGGTTTGTGAGCTAGTACTTCATCGCGGAGAGTGTCGAGGGCGTTTTCAGAGGGCGGAGTGGAGAGGAAATCCAGCATCCAAGATTGGCCTGTCAGGACGGTTGTGTGAATAGCTGCAAAGTTGATGGGCAACAGGCGCTTCGATATAAGCACGGGATCCAGCTCAGAAGCCTTGCACTCTGCCATTGCAAGGCGAATACACCAAGTAATAAAATCTTCAGGGGGCGACCAGCTCTTCATCTCGGGGTCACCAGCCTCCTTACGACGCATATCGTCCAGACGCTTTTGGATGATATGCAATACACGGCGAGAGGCTGCGCGCCAATGGAGGTAATTCGGGATGGCAAGAATACGGCCAACAATTGGATGAAGAACTTGGGGGAATGCATGGAGCAAGAAGCTGGTTCGCACAACATCATCGGTGAAGCTGACCATGGATTGTATGAAGACGGGATCACGACATATGGGTTCGCCCACGAGAAGACGGTTTGTAACGCGCGGGACAATAGCAAGCCACAGTTTCCAGATGTTGAGCTTGGCGTATCCCTCAGCATCGACATTGTTGGCGTCTTTCTCAGCAGCTGCTTTTGCTAGATTTTCCACCGCGTCCTTGACAGATCCGTTGACCTCGTCGTCCACATCTGGGACAAGAGCTGACAAATGACGAGCTAGGTACTTGTGGATGACACGATTAGGGAACGGCTCCTCGGCGAGATCATTGCCGAGGAAATTATACTCGGTGTAGAGGATCTTGTCATGGGCGTGAGAGGCGGAGAGGACATGGTCAGGCTGGTCCATCATCCAAGCGATTTGAGATTGGGGGAGGATGACATCAGGTGGACGCGAGATGGGGGCAGGCGCGATGAAGGGAAGGCCCTTCTTGCCATACTATTCTTTGAATTAGACCTGCACATTACGAGTAAGGTACCTACCTAGGTAGGTAGGCAAGGTAAGGTAGGTACGAGTTAGGTAGTGAATAGAGATAGAAGAAGTAAGTACCTTCTCATAACCCTCGCCAATCCAGTTCTGGTGCTGAGTGAAGTACGCGATACTGTTTCGGATGCTGGAGAACCATTTCTGCGAACCGTGCCCTAGGACTGGAATCTGAGCGGGATACCGAGGCTGAGTAAACGTGTCAACGATGAAGGAGATGAGGAGAAAGAGAGATGCGTAGATGAAGATGCGTGTCAGGGTGACTTCAGCTCCAATGTCAGCCAAGACAGTCATGGTGAGTTTTGAGTTTCACGATTTACAGACTATAAAGCACAATTACATACAGAGAGGATGAAGAAAAAAGGAGAAGGAGAAAGATAATCAGAAACAGGAACAGGATCAGAAAGACGACATTCCAACTGCGAGTGAATGGATGGATGGATTGTCAACCCCCAAATGTGAGTCAGGTGGACGCTAGTTAATGCCGTCGTCTTGTTTGGTTCTAGCCTCTAACGTTCGACGGACCTGCTACAGTCTACTCTCACCCTCACGGAGTTAATAAGCTCGTGCGGTCATCATCACACTTAGCGCTAACTAATTACCAAACAACGTGGCTGTGGGTGCTAAGATTATTTGATTGTCGACCATTTCCTCCATCGAGTCTAGGTTAAGGTTATGCAATGGCCCATGCCCATGTTAGAGATTGCTCTCTTGGTGTCTCAGATCAAGGATTCATCAGCCGTTGCTTTGTCAACTTTCGTGTTTCAATTGGCCGTTGCCGATGCCAAGAATGGAGCTTTCCGTTCAATCCGATTTACATTGACAGGGGTAATGAGTCAACAGGGGGCCGGGATTTATTCCATTTTGGGGCATGCTTTGGCCTCCGGTCAAACTTTCCGGTGTGGTATACTAATCCTCCTCAGCCTCTTTTTTTTTTAACGCCCGATACCCCGTACTAATTACTTTGATTCTGTGCTCATGACAAACCTCTCCGTCGTGTCAGGTCTCGATCCCTTTCTCTGCGCCCTGACCTACTGTACTCTAGCCCACTTGTAATAGCGCGCTCCCCTCTGATCAGCAGGCCGATCTCGCCAGGATGGAGGATGGAGCCAGTTCATCCAAACCAGTAAGTACCAGGAGCATCAACATGCCGCATCGAGTGCCCGTCGTTGTCTTCGATAAAGTCGACCACCCGGAAGCTGGAACAGGCTCCTTGCCCAGATGAGGACACCTGTAACGTAGAGGGTTATGAGATATGTCTGCCATCGCACGCTCGAGTCGAGTGACTTGTGCGTCGGGGCAACTCGCATCCGGTGGTGGAAGATGGCGCTGATTATGATGAAGCAGCCAAAGAAGAACAACTGCACAAAGAAGCCGCCGACGATAATTTTCTCGCCCATTTTACTTATATCTGCAACGGCTATAAGACCTCCACCTGCAAGCCCTGTTAGTACTCCCTTCTCAGCCCTAACCAATTGAGTTAGGATCTGTCCCAGATGACTGAAGCATAAACAAAGCTGCATCCAAACACAAATATTTTGGTAAGCCACTTCCGTCGAATCAACGGGTGGTGTTCGCCCTCGGTCAAGAGAATAATCAGGCCAAGGATCATGTAAATTCACGCGGCAAACAGCGCGGGGGCAGTCAAAATCATGATATACGGCCCCCATAGTCCAGCACCCCGGTTCTTCATCTGTATTTAGAACTCGTCCGATGTACCCGATGACCTCACCTGCAACGCAACCCTTGTACTAGTGCCAGCTACCGAGGTTGTCGACGGCTGTCAGTTGATATCAAGGGTGAACAGTGAACGTATAGACTCCGCCTACAACCAAGGGTATCAGAGACCACGTTCGTGTCTGCCAGAGCTGAAATACGTGTAAAAATGTCGTTATCGCAAAGAGCACCACAAAAACAATGTGTGCCTCCTTTGAAGGTACTAGAAAGCCCATGCAGCATCTTCGCAGTTGGGGTCGCAATCCATGTCTGTCCGAGATCGGAAATATCTGCATGAGAAATCAACTAAACCGGAGGTTAAAAAAGAGAACGCAACGCGCAGAAAAAAGAGCAGGTCCACTGAATATAGTACAAATTCAATAAGCCACCTTTAAGTGGAATAAAAACATTACCGTCAGTTGCTGTCAACCATGGCAGACGGCTTCGTTGTCAAATCTACATCAACAACAGCCAAGACATGGCTTGTCAAAGCCACATACATCGTCCACTTATCAATCTCAAGACAAAGCTCGTGTATCTCGTATTGGCTCCCAATACGCGTATATCGTGAGGGAGCCGCAAGGAGCCGCCGGTACCCACCAAAACGAGGCTTCTACCTGAGTAGTCACTCGTCATCCCACATTAGTCGATATAAACGCTAGTGGGCAAAGAATGAGGCTCACGACCCCATTCACCAGGTTTGACATGCGATCCTTGCCCCAAAGAGGTATAGCAGTTCCGAGTACGCGTTCCGACGGCATAGATCCGAGTATTCCTTCGGCTTCTTCGCCTTGAACTCTCCCGGATTCCCGAGTTCATGTGAAAACCACTTTCCGGACTTCAACTGCTCCTCTGTTCTTCACTTTCCATTCGCCTTCGCCTTCGTTTTCATGTCTGTATTCTAATCCGAATCCGCGGGTTACCAAAACCAATCACAAAATGTCTTCCCGAAGAACTCACACCAAGTCTCGCACTGGCTGCTTGAACTGTAAGCGACGCAAAGTCAAGGTTAGTTCGTATACTTCTGCTCTATACTCGGGATCATGTTTGTGGCTTCGCGAGACATGCCGAGCATACGATCGTCCACACAACAGTCTAACAACTAACGCCAGTAGTGTGATGAAGCTCGACCAGCATGCTTTCATTGCGCAAGACATGGCGTGCCTTGCAGTCTCTCATCACAGCCACTTACAAACTTCCCTGCCTCTTCCGTCGATAGTGGCAGTGACGCTTATTCAGCCCGGTTCCCCAACTTGGCTCCTTCGACTCCAGGATCCCTGGATAACCATGATCTAGGCGATTCCCCTGACCCGTCTTACAACTTCCTTCAAACCAGTCCAACAGACAAGATCGCCCCCTTTCCCCCGCATGAGCTCTGGGCCCACGACTGTGAGCTAATGCATCACTATTGCACCATGACCGCAGAGACTCTGTCTATCCGGAGAGATATGACATACGTCTGGACCGTTGCGCTTCCTCGATTAGGTTACCAGGACCCCTTCGTTATGCATGGCGTCCTTGCCATGGCGGCTGCTCACAAAGCTTATCTGAGCCCTGCCAACCGCAGGACATATTTGCCATTGGCTGACTATCACCAAACCCTTGGCTCTGAAGGTTATCGCCGATGTCTCCAGAATTTCCAAATCTCCAATTGGATGCCAGTTTTTGGCTTTGCAACCATTGTTGTATTCCACATGCTAACACTCCCTTTGCGTATGAATAACCGTAAACTGGAGGAGCCCATCAAAAACTTTATCGAGCTCGCGGGGCTTCTGAGGGGCATCCAGACAACTCTAGAGCCAGCCTTAAGGCGCATTGTCAAAACCGAATTCGCGCCTGTTGTTTACGGAATCTGGACCCTTGACTCCGATGAGGCGGATAGGTGTGTATAGTCGGCAGCCCTGTGCACCAAAACTAAATTAACTCGGAATATAGCTGTCCCTCTCTCGAGAATTCAGCTCTGCCCCCAGATACCTGGGCTGCGTACCAAAGGCTTCGAGCATTTCAAGAAAGTAATATTCCTGCCAGCGAACTAGAACATTATACATCGGCCTTGGATGGCCTCGAAAGCTCTGCCCGGCTTTTTGCTGCCGCTGGACTCCACGCAGAGGTGGGAGCAGCACAGTTCTGGATATACACTCTTCACGATAGCGTGCTTTATGACCTTGCTACACATAGACCACATGCCCTTCTTCTTCTGGCTCATTATCTTGTACACTGGGCAGCCCTAGAGAAGAACTTCTGGTACACGAGAAGTTGGTCTTTGCAGGTAATGGCCGATATAGAGGAAAATTTGACTGGCCAACCGAATTTTATAGAAATGTTGCATTGGCCCAAGCAGAGGGTGACCGAAACTGTTGCATGGACATAAACCTTATGAGCTTTGACGGATGGGGATACTAAGCTCAAGACCTCGACTCAGCCTAAGGATTGAATACAGCCATCAATCACAGCTCTTTTTCTTCCGCTGTATACTCATCACTCGTAGATATAAGCCGGAGAGGGACCCAAGTATCCTCAGTCATGTTCTGGACCATCTGCCGGTATGCATCTTGACGAACAAGGGAGTAGTCCTCTAGTTGGTTTGAGCTGAACAACTTTTTAGTTGAGCCTACCATCCCGGGCTCGCTCCTTTCGACTTCTTCGCTGGATACGTTGGAGAAAGTGCGTTTGCGGAGAGAATAGCCAGGTGCTGGCCTATCGCATAATTTCTCGGTTTGTGCCTCTGAGCGCGAGCCGAGACCCTGTTGAACGCCCATTCCTTGTTCGGTCTCGGGAGATTCGATCGACTGGTTAACGGAGGTGTCTGCAGATGGAGCTTCTAGATCTTTGGGCATATGCTCTGGTTCAAGTGCAGAACCTCCATACAGGCCACTCGCTTGAGTATCCGGTAGAGGGCTCACAAACCTGCGTTCTGTGTGGCAAGGCCTTTGCTGCTGTGTATCCTGTGATTCATGGACTGGCGAACTTGGTACAGGGTTCGAGTCGACTGTTGTTTGACTACCATGTTGTTGATGCTCAATGCTCGATGCGTGCTTAGCGGCCAACCTTTGCATAACGAGATCGTGTTCAAATGTTTCGCCAGAACAGAGTCGCCCAAACATAGACCCGATGGTAACTCCTAATTAATTTCAGCCGATCCCGTGGTATTCGCTCCAGGAGTTTTACCATTTCTCAACCATTCAACCGGACTGACAGTGCATGGCCATACATCTTTAGGCTGGAAAACCTTCACAAGGTGACGCAGCTCTGGCAATGAAGAATGTCGCGAATAAGGAAAATGGATGGTCTTCGGCAGGTCGATCTCATCCCCAAGCTGCTTGTTCTTGGCACTCTTCCTCAGCCTTTCAACAAGCATAATAATGATTTCATCGGCCGAATGCGCGCTCAGAGTCTCAACATCCCAATCCAATGGTATATTTCGACCTGTTGAGGCAATTTGTTCCAGGAGTTCTTGGAGCACATCTGACCTATCGGTCGAAGATGTCGAGGAGGAGAGGGACCTGACTCATGATTAGCTCGGCTTGGACAATATTAGTGTACTCAACAAACATATTGAATAAAGCTGCCAAGCTGGCTTGATCCAAATATTCCAACTCGGCTTCCCGTTGGAGGTCGTCTCCGCCACCTCCGACCCCAACGTCAGCCAAGTCCTCTCCTGTAGCTAGGTGAGCAATTATAGGCTGGATGGACACAGTCGTGGGTTTTTGCGCCAGTTCACACATGTTTCCCTTCTCGCAACTGTGCAAGCGAACATTGACTTCTGACGTTAAACACCCTGGATGCGGCGTGTTACCGCACATGTGGCCAATTAAAGCCGGCGACTCGGGGGTAAGATGGACGTCTACATTAAACCGTGAATCAGGGGCATTTGACTTGAGAGAGCCGTAAATGCGAAGTTTGTAATCGTCCACGTGGATCTGTTATTTTCATGGTTAGACAAGCCAAATAATAATGCAATAAACGTACTTTAGACTTAAGGGCCTTGGATAACGCAACCCAAACATCCTCATATCCATACGTCCAGGCTTGGAGGTGAAAGACGGTGTCATCCGGGTACTTGGAAACTTTTCGCAGCAGCTCAGCTATGCCTTGAGCTTTTGTCTGAAACGGGACATCTTCAGTGAAAGATGTATCGAGATAGATTTTGTCAAGTGTCTTAAGGCCTGACGTATATTCGACAAGGTTGGGGTTTCGAGATATAGTATTGACAAACCATGGTTCACCCCGTATGTCGCCAGTGTATAGAATTGCTTTTCCGTTTCCCTCTACCACTTTCGGTTCATTAGCAAGAATTGTGATGGCTTTGTATGTCAGTCTTACAGAACATCACAGCGCCAGGACAATGATTAGCGTCAAAGAGCGTCACCTGGATTTCGCGCCCAGGACGGAGCTCAATAAATGTGGGTGTCTCGAGAGGTAACGCTTTCTACCGAGGTCAACTCCAACCCTAAATTCATATCATAAAGGCTGTACCAACCAATACTTTGCTGGGATGCTTGAAGGTTTGCTGCCTGGCCTCCAGTATGCCTTTCGCATAATTGACCCTACAAGGGTACCGCTCAAGGCGAAGAAGGATTTCTCGAGTAGCAGCCGAGCAGTAGACACTGGATTGATCAATCAGTCAGCAATCTGAAATGGGCTTGGCTGCGTACAACGGAGATCGTAGGCTCTCTAGACCAGCGAGGTGATCACTATGAACATGGCTCAAGAAGCAAGCCAGGGGTGGCTGTCCGCCAGCATTTTGACGAAAGAAATCAACTGGGCTCTGTTAGCTACAATTCATCGATTGAGAAGCAGATCGCACTTCGTATGTCTGGGAACTCGGTGACTATCCCGTTGAACGTCGACATTGGCGGAGCGCATGCGCGCAAGTACACTCTCCAACGAAGGAACGTGTAGAGTAAGCCTGAGTTCTCAGGGAGAGGAAAGGCAACCGAAGAATAGTTTCTCGCTGTGTTGAGTGCGCAAATCAAAGCTCCAATATAACTTGAACTCGGGACATGTCTGTTCCCACGGGAAGAATGCGGCGAAGTGCGGCGCGACTGCCCGAAGTTGTAAGAGAGTGGGTACCTTAGTACCTACCTGAAGGTGCAGTGCATGTGAATGTTTGCGCAGGAACGGCGCTCGCACTGTAATCCATGCCTTGCTCGGCTCCAAGCGCAACCTGCACAGTGCTTCTGGCCAGTGGTGCCTGCCTGAACGGCACAACTTACACCAAATCCAATACCACGATCTCACTCTATTGCGAATCACGCAGCCAAAACACTCCTGAGTTATTAATTCCTCTTATTCAATTATTAATAGATAAGCTTTGACTATGAGCCAACGCAATTATGTGCAATGCTGCATCCAGCTGCTCATCGCTATATCAGGAATATGAACTTATACCCTGCAGATCATTACAGGCCCATTTGCTCACCGTTAGCGCACACGACCGTATGGAAAACGGTGCACCTGCCTTCGACGTAACGGTTACTTCACGCTCCTTACTCCTTCTAGTGTTGGTAGGAGTCTTGAACCAACCTCGTCAAAGTCCTGGGCGGCAACTACCTAGGTAGGTAGTACTTAATATTGTCGTGTATTCAAAGTACCTAATCCATTTTCAAATGAAATATCTTAGTACCTATATCGTAACATTAGGCGTTTCGTTAGAGTATTGTAGGTATCCTAAGAGTGATCCATGCTGCCCACCTTCTATTAGTGATCATCAGCGTGTTGTTGGGAAAATAGCTGACCATTACAGGCTCCTTGTCACAAAGTTTGGGAAACAGATAAGAGAGCAAAAAGCAGAAATGTATTCTTTTTCAAGATGGAGAGTCTTAGAAATAAATGTCGTCCACTCTTCTCAATCCTTGATAGGCAGGGGAAAGGGTTGTGGATGTGTTCCTTTAAAGAAGTACTAGCAGTATATCCTTAACAACGAGCGACTATATCGGAGCCAGAACATACCTCGGTAGTGAGTATCCAACACAGCTATAGGAACTATCACCCAGATGTAGATACGCCTAAGATACTATAGTAGCCAAAATCATAAATATGTTGACTTGAGCTCAGTCTTACAGTATTCAATACTGTACATCCTTTGGATTGTATTACATCAATCAAAAGAATGATTGTATTACGCAGTACATACTAACGGAATTGCCTAGGTATCCTTTGTGGGTTAGACTTTCCCTTATCTCAATAGGTAATCAAATTGATTAGAGACTCTTTAACAATAATAGCCACATGAGTCAAATGCCAATTTGTCTCTGGGCTTCTTTCAGCTCGATATGGTCTATGGTTTCTAGGTACATGACTGCCCTTGATAGACAATACGAGTACCGTTTAGTCTGTGCCGATCCGATAGTTGTCTTAACAAGGTAGAGAGGCTCTTGTGTCGCAGGGATCCTTTGTTGTATGCTAATATAAACTATAACTTTCCAGGATATTATGTAGCGGAAAGATCACTGACTGGTGAAAGTACATAGTAATCAGATGGACCCATCCGAATGAAGAGTAAAAGTTTGTATTGTACAACTCTATTTGAATTAACTTTTGCTATGCTTCTATGACCTAATAAGAATTAATCTGTTGTGCACGAACTGGTATGATATTCACATACATGTCGATAGGGAGGTCATCGGTTGGTGTAGAGCGTATCTCATAATGAATGCCATACTTATGGGTAGGTGTTATGGGATGTCTCGGAGAATTCGGGGGGTCTGCATGATGGAAATTACTTATATTCAATGCTACTGTATCTAGTCCATAAGGGAGTAGGTAGCCAAACGGAAGTGGCCAGTGCTGTGCTATTCCTGTACCTGGGGTAACCCAACTCTTGATTCTTACACTATCTAAAACGTCAAATCAGACGAATGCCTGCCCGATTCAGTCGGCAAGAAGTTCAAAGAACAGACTTTCCTCGGCTGAGTACTCTGCCCCGCGGAAGCATACTTCGCAGTTGCCACTCTTACGCCTTAGAAGCTCGTCTACATTCAAGATGATTGGAACTCCTGCCAGGTGGAGAAACATGAATTTTGGGGGCATCTTTCCTGGAACAGCGCGTCAGATCATTGTGTGGTATGATGCGGGCAGCGTTGAACAAGTCGGCGACAAGGAGAAGCATACCCCCAGTAGGCTGAGTAGCAGCTGTGTTAAAGAAGCCATATAAGTCAACACTAAGCGAGTTCGTCTATGGGCAACGGTTTCTGTCCGGTCTTCTGCCGCCAAGCTCGAGTATGGAATGCTTGGAGGCGTAGCAGCTAACATGAAAGAGAACAGTGATAATCGTGGAGACTTTGTGTTCACTGTAGCAAGAGGGTCGGCAATCAGCAGTAATGGTATTCGCATTGGGACATTATTTGCGTCACAAGTATAGGCACAGTAAGCATGAAGATACAATGAATTGATGTCACAATCACAAGTAAGTTAAGGTATGTTAAAAAAGGCTAATCCGTGGCCGTCGCATCTCTAGAGTATCATAAAATCCAAGGATCCCCCCCCCCAGACTCTGCGAGAGGCATAAGCATACTGCCCAGCTAGTATAAGAAATAAAACCGAGACATCCCGCACAACTTCATTACCAAACTCCTGCACGCCGTTGACTGCCAATTCGTTGATCGTGGTTCGTTTCCGTCCAGTGAGACATTATGACGCAACGGCGCCTGTCTTGTCCGCAATGGTTTCCTTCTCCAGCAGCTGGCCAAGATGTTGAAGATCATCGCGTGCTTTGGCATCGCGTTCCAGAATTCTTCGAACAACCTCCCACTCTCTGCGGGCCATCTGGTATGCTTGGGGTAAGATGAATTGCACAGTTGGCGCAGTAATCCAAGGGCCGAGAAGTTCCTGAGCTACGGCCACGCCTGCTTGTTGAGCTTGATGCTTGTGTGCATCGGACATTTGGGGTGCTGCGGCTGGAGGCGGCGGCGGTGGTGGCCGAGAATAAGGTGGTTGAGGAATGGGAACTGGCGTTGTAGATTGCCACTGAGCCGGGGATGATTGTTGTGAAAATCCTCCTTGGGGGGCTTGTGGTGTTGCAGGCGAAAATGCTGGTCCAGTTGACGCTATTGAGTTGCTCCTCTGTGCCTGAGATGTAGGAACTGGTGATCCCAGTGCGTGGACATCCTGTTGGCTGGTGGCTACATCCTTCAATTGCTTAAGCTGCTCAGGATCATTGTGATAAACAAACACTGCTAGTAGCATAGGCTCTGTGCGAATCTTCGGGATCTTATTATCAACCAGGTTGAGCATGAACTCAGGATAGTTATCCTCCCCTGGAGGAACTGGCACAAGGTATGTGTCTCGGACGTTACCAATCGCCTTATCTCCAATAACACCATAACGCTTCTTACTGATGAAATAGTTGAGGAGGGCATGGAACTCTGTATGGGAAGCTGGAGAGACAGGTGTGAGGGAGACAACAATGATATCAGTAGTCTTGCTGTAACGGAGTCCGCAGAGATATTCTATGGCACTTTGTTCAGTGATTCGTCCAGCGACAGTCAGCCGTTTGGGAATGAGCTTTGACCATGGCCCTATCGAAGCAAAGTTGGCACCACCAATGTACTTGGCCGTGGCAGAGAAGTCTGCGATTGAACTCATAGCCAGAGATCCAGACCAAATCACATCTGGGTCCTGGGGTTCCTCTGTGGGTGAATAGGGAGGCGAATCATTCTCCTCTTCAAGCATGCGGTCAACGTCAGCATCCACGCCAGGGCCATTCGCTCCGGTGACTATAGCGGAAGGCCGGCGGTTATGCGATACGGTAGGGGATTTGACGCTGGAGAAAACTTTGGTGATATCGAAGTCGGGATGACTCGGTGATCGCTGCTTGTCGTCGACCTGCTGTGGGTGCGATGCAAGGTCTGCTGTGTCGCCTCCTACAGGTTCCTTCTTAACGGCCTGAGGGTCTGAGCGACGGGGAGGTCCTGGCGGGAGAGGCACGGCAGAATCATTGATGAAGGTCTCGTCGTCAACAACCTCTTCACCCTTGTGTGTTCGTCGTACACGAGGTCCCGTCTCAGAGGTGTAGAGGATGGATTGCTTCTCTGCCTTTGCCTTCATCTCTGCAGTCTGCTTCTGCATCTCAGACGACGCGAGCTGCTCCGATGTCATAACGGCCAGGGTTGCAGGTGACAGAGTCTTGTAGACAAGTCCCTGGCACAGCTCCGGGTTATTCTTTAGATTGAAGCTCAATGACTTGATCTGCTGGTTATACTCCTTCTGTCCCTTGGTGGCAGGGTGCGTGTCATATACACCACGCTCGATCTGGAGAGCGAAAGTCTCAGACATAGAGTCGACTGTATCGCCTTCCTCAAGTTGGAGTTCGCCCTGCTTCTGCATCGACATTAAAACGTGAATGATAGATTTGCTCAACGCTTTGGCTGGTCCAGTACGAGAACTGGCTAGGTCTCCTATCGACTTAGGTAGATCATCCGGCGGTATATAAGAGACGGGAACAAACGCAGCTCCGTTCTCTGACACACGGCGAATCTTTGTCGACTAAATCCACGACCCATATTAGTACGAGGTCATTCAGTAGTGAGCAGGAGGACATACCTTGCCATCAGTCTCATGCGAATCTTCTCGAGCTTTTCGCTTGCCAGTCTTTGTGTCCTTCTTCTCCTTGTTGGCATCAGGGGCAGGTGATGACTTGGCCTTGTTCTTGTCTTCTTCCTTGGTCTCGCTATGGCGCTTGCCCTTACCTTTGCGTCCACCACGCTTCTTCTTCTTGGCCTCCTCTTCATGCGCTTTGCGCCGGGCTTCCCAGGGCTTCTCACCCTTGGCCATACCATCGAGGAGTTCCTTGTGATCGTCCGGGCGACATTGTTCGCACCAGTAATGCTCCGGGATCTCATCATCGAATGAGCTTACCCCCACACAGACGTTGTGTTGCCATGCACCGCAAGTCTCGCAAGCGATCCAAGCTTCACCGGAATCCTCGTCTTGCTCTGTGGCGCCGCAAACACAACGTATCAACTCATCCTCCTCCTCTTCTTCCTGATCTTGCTGTTGCTCTTGCTCCTGTTCTTGTTCCTGCTCTTGCTCTTTGGCCTTTTTCGTTTTCTTAGTCTGTCGCTTCTTGGGCATAGTCGCAAGCTCAAGTTCGTCGAATGACTTGGTGTGCTGGCCCTTGGTCGCGCGCACCGAGCGTCGGGGTTCTGCTTCGCCTGAATTGTCGTTGTTAGTTGATGCTTTGGAAAGCTTTGGGTTTGCGGTGGGCGTCGCGCTTTGGGAGTGGGACGTCTCCGAAAGGCTGATGGCGCTTTGGAGACCTAAGAAGTTGCAGTCGCTTACCAGACATGATTGAGGTGCGTAAAAATGTTTGCGGCGCGGTTGTCGTGGAAGGGACGCGTGCCGCTATCGAACGACGTGAGATGGCGACGCAGTGGTGTTGGAAGGGGTTCTACTGTTGCAACAAAGCGCAGGATGGTGTTCGCCCTTAGACAGGCATTGGGGTAATTACGTGGGAAATATTTGAGTCACGACTATGTCAAGAACGATTTCAGGTTCTTCCCAGCTGATCCACGCGAAGATGCTTGTCCGTATCTTCTATCTCTATACGTTTTGGCGCAGAGACACTCTCGCTAGCACTGGCACTTCAGTTGGAATTAGATGGGCGCCAGATAAATAGCAATGTCGTTTGGTTGTTTGCCGATTACGCCAAGCGTGTTGAATACTCTGGTTCCGTAAAAAGGTGTTGCAGAGTTCGTGGACTATGCGCGACAGTTTTGAGTGTGCAGTTCTCCAGTATCGGAGAAATGTTGCAGGTCGCGTGCCGAGGTTGAAAAGAAGTGCGCTCTTCGATAGTGATATCCGGTGCAAAGTTTGAAGAGTCGCGCTAAATAATAAGAGGCAGCGATGTATCTTCAAGCTGGTTGTGATATGTCGTTGCGTCCGTCACTCGGGATGATTGATGATGTAAAAGAGAAATGTTGCGATTTCAAAGCTGGAGGGGAGGAGGGAGCTTATTGCGGAGGTAGAAACTTTCGGTACTAGCTTCCGTCCACTCGTGCCCTACAGCGGCTGAATTATGGTGGCAGGTGGCAGATGGCAGGAACCCTTCAATTGGGGGATTTGCTTTTCGCGTCCCTCAAAGTCGGTATCAGAAAACCTGGCCGCTTTTAAGTGGGAGACAGAAATATTCAGAAACTTTAGTGCTAACAAAGCCACCTCTTTGCACAAATACTTTTTACTCCCTAGCGCGTCAGGAAGAGGCGTTTGATGCCTGACGGTGGCAAACTGTTTGCCTGAGAATTGAGAAACAAGCCATGAGCTTCGACGGTCAGCAATGGAAGGAGCTCGGATTGTCATAGCAAATGTGCTGTGCTAGCCTCGCCCCTCTGGCGTGATCAGATTGGCTAGAGTAGCCCCCCACTTCTAACATGGACGACCTGAGGCATCAACCCCTCAGCCTTCCATGGTGCTGAGCAGTAGCAGCAGAAAGCTAACGCGGCGCGGCGGCCTAGAGCTCCGTTACAGGTAACGACCTGGGCTGCACCGACGTAAACGAATCCACAGCCTCAACTCCATCAACCAGATCGTCACCATTGCAGCGGCTCTTTATCTTGTTTGACCTGGTTTTTATTTCTCTCAGAGATACTGACTACTTCGTTGATTCAATCTCTGTCATCGTCATAACCTGCCCATCATGTCTCGACGCTACGATTCCCGAGTGCGTTGGCCTTCGAAGCTCCAGTACCTGGAAGCTCCCACCAAGCTAACCGATTCATATAGACAACCATCTTCTCACCAGAGGGCCGTCTATACCAGGTTGAATATGCCCTAGAGGCCATTTCCCATGCAGGTACCGCCATTGGTATTCTGGCCAAAGATGGCATCGTCCTTGCCGCCGAGCGAAAGGTTACCTCAAAGCTGCTAGAGCAGGACACTTCCGCCGAGAAGCTCTACATCTTGAACGAGTGCGCAGACCCATGCAATGGAGATTTCTACTAGTTTTAGCTGGCTAATGTTGTGTTTCTCTGTATAGTAACATGATCTGTGCCGTTGCTGGAATGACCGCCGATGCCAACATCCTCATCAACTACGCCCGACAAGCTGCTCAGCGATACCTCCTCACCTACAACGAAGATATTCCTTGCGAACAGCTCGTGCGCCGACTTTGCGACTTGAAGCAGGGCTACACTCAACACGGTGGTCTACGACCTTTCGGTGTCTCCTTCATCTATGCTGGTTGGGACCCTCGAAGACAATTCCAGCTCTACCTCAGCAACCCCTCCGGCAACTACGGTGGCTGGAAGGCTACAAGCGCGGGTGCCAATAATGCAAGTGCACAGAGTCTGCTCAAGCAGGACTACAAGGAGGACTGCACTTTAGAGGAGGCCTGCGGTATGGCTGTTAAGGTCCTTAGCAAGACCATGGACTCAACCAAGTTGAGCAGCGAGAAGAGTACGTTTAACAAGGGAAGTCAAACATAACCCCTGCTAATACCATATTTAGTCGAGTTCGCAACAGTTGGACAAACCGAGGACGGCAAGATCTACCACCGTCTGTGGAGTGCTGACGAGATCACGGCGTTGTTGAAGGAGCACGATCTGGCAAAGAATGAGGAGACAGAGGAAAAGTAAGTAACAAGGAAATAGATTCTTGATAGATGGGGGAGAAAGGAATGCGGGGCTACTCTTATCTGCCCCTGTACAGTAATATCATGAAATGACCACAAAATGATTATCCAACTCCTGGCTTCTCCCAAGTCTATCACTGTTGTCGAACACAGGGTTGAAGCTTCGATGAATGAGTTGTGCGTGCAATGCAGATTAAACCAGAGTTTTCCAATAGAGCCTGCAAGCTAAACCTAAGTCCCCAATATCAGCGTCGCGAACCTCTCAAGTTTTCCATCTCAAATCCTACATCTGTCCCTCTTGCTGCCTCCTCGTCGTCGGTGATTCGTTGCCAGCCCGGCTGGGTGTCGACTCCTGGTCGTGGGTAGGGCTCATCACACTTTTGGGAAGAAAGTCGGGGGAAGTGACGGCGGTAGCTCCAGTACGCAACGCTCATACCTAGGACGGAGCCTACGCAGACATCGTAAACGTCGTGGCGGTAGTCCTCACAGCGGGAGATGGCGATTAGACCTGCTCCAATGAGTGGCAGGAAGCACACCAAAGCGCGGCTAAGATCGCGGCCTCCGGCTGAATAGCGGAAAACATGTAGCTGTCCGGCAAGGAAGAGGCTAAGAAACCCGAGGCCAGCAAAGGAGAAGGATGAGTGGCCGGAAGGGAACGACCGCCATCCCTCCTGGAGAACATGGCCATCTTCTGCCGTGCAGACATCTATGGTGACCAAAGTGTTGGCCTTTGTGCCAATATCAGGTTTGCAACGGTCCAGCAGGTCAGGACGAGGTCGGCCAACGGCGTTCTTGATGATGTCAGTGATGAAAGATGTAAGTACAATAGAGATGAGAAATGAGAGGTATGTGACTTCATGCTTGGCAGCTGAAGATCGCGCGACTATGTTGTAGGCGATTAGGACTCCCAGCGGTACGAAGAGAGCATATACAAAGTTCATAACTGGTGAATCATGTCAGTCTTGGGAGGGGAGATGGGGATTGAAGTTCTAAACGTACAGACGGGAACACGCTCATGAACAGCAAAAGGGTATGAGATCTGGAGATCGTTGACGAAGAACATGCGGTGGAAAGGGTTGACAAAGAGAACCGTCTATGTGAATTTGTCAACTGGTGCCCTGTACTCTCGTGAAAGGTATAGTACAGACCAAGATCCAGCCCGTTAGGAGAAATAGGAAGCCGACATAGTCAGGCGCGTGAGTTGTCTATTTGTTTCCATCAGTCTTTGCTTATCATTCCAGATCCTATAGGGCTGATCTACCTTCCAATACCTCCGTAAAAATGAGATGGGCCCGTTGGATGAGCCATAGTTATGAGCCGGAGCCATGCTTGATGACAGAGTTAAGAAATGGATGTGAAAGGCGGAGCTGTCGGACCATGGGCAAAGTTGGTATCGTGAATGGTTTTAGAAAGCAAACTCCTGCAAGTCTAGATAGGAGCCGTACGTCTTCGTTATCGTGTTTTGTCGCGAAGAGCTGCACTTAAAGGGTCGTTGAGAGAAAGTTGGTAGATCGTCGCTGAGGTTGGACAAGGCGCTTGAAGCGGAATTGAGGACCCCTGATCTTCCGATCAGATTTCTGGGGCCTTGTAAATGACAGCATTAGCCTACAGTATGTTCCGTAGATACCTACGTAGGTGAATGTTCTGTTATTGTCCCCTGTAAAGCATTTGCAACGACCCCTAACAAATACAAAAGTTATTAAAAAAATCAGGTCGCTATGCGTATTTTAAAGGTACTCTAAAGTGGTTTTGATTGTCTTGTTATCGTTGAATCCGAAACAGTGTGACTTTTCAAGTAGAGTCTCACGGGTCACTTCTCAGGTGTGCATCATCCACTCGATATCTTGTACTATCTAATCAGAAACCAACATTCATATTACAGCACCTTGCAGACGAGCTGACCGTAAGCGCCAGAGTATACTTAGGAAATAAGATATGAACATATCATTCCGCTATTTAAATCCTGTACCTGATGTGAAAGCACGATAATCATGGGATTTTAGCAAGTACTGGGAGATCTACAGGGTAAGCAAACCTAAACTGATCCCTCCACCAGGCCCAAGCTCTTAAGGATTTCTTTTTGTTAAGGTTGGTAACCGGCCCAACTTTTCTTGCTGGACTAACTAAACCATTTCCTTGACAACAAAATATTGCTCAAACCAAACTTGCGCCGCTCTGTCGAGATACAGGAGCCGCTTCCAGCGCATCATATACCGATCTCTATACCTTAACCAACAACTCCCGAATGAACAACCTGATGTCATAAGTTGCGACGCGACAAACGAAATGCTTAGGTCGACACATACGCCATCGGCAGCTGCTCTGGCACCGCTCCCTCCAGGATGGAGTGAGCACACAGCGCCGACGGGTCATACATATTACTACAATGCCGAAACCAAAGCATCAACATACACGCGCCCAGGTGTTCAACCCCCTCCACAACCCGCGCAAACTCCTGCGTACCCAGGCTATGGCTCAATACCGTCTCTGGCCGATCCTAACGCTGCCAATGCGTATATGGCACAAATAAACCAGGAACAGAACGGACCACGGAATTCCAGCTCGCGAGGGGGCCATGGGGGCGGCCGTGGGGGCTTTGAAGGTCGACCACGTCCGCAACCTGTCGACAAACCAAGGAGGAAAGAGCCGATCCCAGGATGTGAACCATGGATTCTAGTATATACGAAGTACTCGAGGCGCTTTGTATACAACCCTGTCAAGAAAACCAGCTACTGGCGCATTCCCGAGAAATTGATGCCAGGTATCCTGGAGCTTGACAGGGCGCGGCTTCGACAGATAGCCACAGGAGGAGCCCAAGAAGACACAGAAGCCAAGCAGGATGAGAAGCAAGAGGAGCAAGCAGCATCGCAGAAGGCTGACGCCTCTGCCCCCGCGCCAGCCCTCGACGATGACGACAGCGAATATGAAGAAGTCGAAGTTACGGATGACGAAGGCGAGGGTGGTGAGGGCGACGGAGAACACCCATCAAAACGACAACGGACCGCAGAACCTGATGCCAATGCAGATGCATCGTTGGAGTTTACAGAAGCTGATTTTGCAGCACAACTACAAGCCATGGGAGACGATTATGGCCTCGAACCAGGCGATTATGACGATGGCAATGCGGAGGAATGGCCTGAAGGTGCTGAGGGAGTGCCATTATCCGAGGACGACGCGAAATATTTATTCAAGGATCTCTTGAATGACTTCAACATCAATCCCTACAGTCCATGGGAGAAACTCCTTGAGGAAGGCAAGATCATCGATGATCTACGGTATACGGCACTCAGCACAACGAAAGCACGTCGTGATTGCTGGGACGAGTGGACACGTGAGAAGATCGCAGAATTGAAGGAACAACGGGCCAGGCAGGAAAAGCGGGATCCTCGTATTGCTTACATGGCATTCCTGCAAGAAAAGGCAACGCCGAAGCTGTACTGGCCCGAGTTCAAGAGGAAATACAAAAAAGAAGACGTCATGAGAGATCACAAGATCAATGACAAGGATCGCGAGAAGGCGTATCGAGAACACATTAGCCGGCTGAAAATGCCACAGTCTAAACTCAAGTCCGATCTCACTGCTCTTCTCAAAGCCCAGCCCGTGCACCTGCTCAACAATAAGTCGTTGTCAACCGGCTTACCCGACCCGGTCCTCACCGACATTCGATTCATATCGCTCGAGCCCCAGATCCGTGATCCCCTGATCGAGGCTTACGTGAGCAACCTACCTCCGCCACCTGAGGACCTCGATGCAGCAAAGGACAAGGAGGAGGAGCGAAAGCAGCGTGATGCACGAGACAAGCGCGAGAAAGCCTTGGAAGAAAGGAACCGTGTAGTCGAGGAGCAAAGAAGGAAGCGGGATCGAGAAGTGGCTGCTAGCAAAGCTAGATTGAGGGACGAGGAGAGGGAACTTGAAATGGCCATGAGGGTGGGTAAACAAGGACTGCAGAGTCAACTTGCTAGCATGAAGGTTGCGGAAAACGAGCCATGATGCTTGGGTGCATCGTGTAATTGTTCATCTATCTATACCTTATCTAATTGTAGCGACCATTTCTTGCTAATGTTCAAGTTTCTTGGAGCAATTACAGCCCATACATGAATGTGAACTTTTTGTCTGCATAGCGGCGGTCATTGAGCCTCTCGCTCTCAATCTCCTCCGCCGACATTGTGCTCAATATTGCCATCTTGCGCTTGTTTACTGCTGCAAGCAAGAATCGATACGACACATATCCAACCAGAGCTATGGCCATAAAACCCAGCGTGACGTAGAATGGCACTTTGTAATGAGGTCTGTATCGTTGGCGGTATAACTGTGCCCCAATCACTCCTCCGAGGTTACCGAACCCATTGACACCAAGAACAAGGGCACGTTTGCCAGGCTCAGGCGTATTGCCGCTGAGCCAGGCCATTGTGAGAGGGGCAGAGATGTATACGCCAGAGAGGAGGACACACAGCGATATGTATTGCCCAACTTTCGAAGTAATCGTGACGGTGAGAATAAGACCAACGATACCGATCATCAGGCCACCCAGGATATGATAGCCTCGTTCCTTGAAGTGATCCGAGCTGAGGGCGAAGGCATAGAGACCGAGGGCGCCGCAGACGAAGGGAGGGACTGTCATCTTAGTTTAACAGTTAGTTGAGTTTGATAGAAGTTTATGAGCAATTACAACATACCAGGTTGGCGAGGATAGACTCATAGCCTAACCCCTGAACAACCAGGGGCAGAAAAACCGAAAAGGCACTGCTGGGAACACTGGCGCAAACGTTGAGTACCAGGACAGTCCATAGCTTCCAATCTTTGAGCGTCTCGACAAAGTCTCTCTTGCTCAGACGATCTTTTTCTATTCCGTCTTCACTGTACTCATGCTGCACGAACCCAGCATTGTCTTGCTTCATCCGCTCGACCGCAAACTCTCGTTCTTCCGGTCGTAGGAACCAAGCAGAACCTGGGCCATTGGGTAGCCACAGCCAAGCCACGATCGCAAGGAAGCATGTCAGTGCCCCTTCTATGAGAAAGAGATACTGCCAATTTTTGAGGTGACCGCCATGAAGATGGAAGATACCGTACGCTTGGGGGAGTCAGTATTTGTTACGGCTGAGTTGAGTTCGGAACCTACAGATTGAGCCAGAGAAGGCACCGGCAATGGCATACTGCCCATAGAACAGAGCAAGTCTGACACAGAAATCATATCGCGGGTAGAAAAATGAAAGGTAAGCAACAGCGGTGGGATAGAAGCCCGCCTCGAAGGCGCCAATAAGCAGGCGTGTGGCAATGAGTGCTCCTGGAATGAGGTCAGAAAGAGTTTCAACATCAGTAAGGCAAGATGTAGGCTGACGTACCACGACCTCTGATGAAAGCCTGACCAATAGTCACTATACCCCATCCAAGCTTTGCTTTGTATTAGTCCACCCCATCGATGCTGAGTTGTGGACTATTAACTCACCATTAGAAAAGGGATCCAATGCCTAGCACCGATGTAACGACCAGCGGCGGCGGAGACAGGTTGTAAAACAACAAAAGTGACAAAAAACAAGGAGACCGCTTCGTTCAAATCATCGGGCTCAGCTCCTATGTCCTTAGTAAAGCCTGCATTGGATTAGTCAGTATATGTGTACAAAATGAAGCACTGAAAATTCTTTATACCTTGCGTCTCAGCATTTCCAACATTGCCACGATCAAGACCATTAAACAGATATAGAAGAGACAGCAGTGGAAGCAAGGCCACGTCTAGCTTCTGGTTTAATGCCTTGCTTCTTTCTTTGGTTTGCTCGACTGTAGTGGCCTGACTCGACCGAGCCTTGTGCGGCTGAGCCGACTTAACAGCATCTTGATCGTCCATAGCTAGCGTGGTGGTGTGAAAGTGAAGGTGTGGATAATTTGCTCCTCTTACAAAACAAAAAGAAACAGGAGTGGTGCCTTGTAGGATAAAAGCAAATTTCAGGAGCAAACCACTGGCGTCTGAGCCCGTTCATATAGACAGAGGTAATACTCGCAATTTTGTATAGGTTCTTGATACCCATATTGCGGATTGTCGATGATGGCTTGGCCTGACTCTCAATCTAGGATTGAATGGGGGCCAGGCCCAATGAGAGCTTGTCCGACGGGTGTCCCAAGAACCTGGTAAGCGTGAATTAGGTGAAGGCCCGATCCGGGCGTTATTACGTTTGTCAGTATCGTGTAATTAAGGCTTTGACGTTGGCCTATCACGAAGTAAGAATCTGACAGCAGACCAGCCGCTCGGGATTGAGGCTGACAAGAACTGCCTCGAATAGGCATATGTTCAGCGCCATGGCTGCAACCTTGATCTGGGTTGCCTGGCTCTGGGGCACCCACTGACCGCATCTTTAGCCTGCATAAAGCATGTTAACAGTGATGGATAACTGAGTTGGGGTCGAAAAGTAGCGGGCATGAAGCTAAGCAAAGCCATTTTGACTCATCACCAAGGAGCGGGTACTCGTATAATGAGTCGGCTCGTGCCTCCACAATTGTGCGCAAAACCGGGAAGGGATTCCAAGTTCGCTGTGACTAGCAAATCATCTTGCTGATGATCTATGTCGTCAAGTCGCGGGCTGTGTCGTTAGGGCTGTAAGGCTGACATATACCCCGGAATCAAGGATCGGTCGCACTGCTTACTGAGAACGTGCTTTCCCACCCCATGGTACTGGGTTGCGAATACGCCCATGTTCAAACAAGCGCTTATGGCTGACTTGATTGAACGTTCTAGAAAACCATTTTGGGACAGCCCGAGTTATCGGATCCAGACATTGATATCCCATATCTTGAGCCGAGATCCACTGCCCAAATAGGAACTTCCCAGAGACTCGCAAGACCCAATGTGAGACACCTTCACTAGCAAATTTGATACAAGACGCTTTGGCGAGTAATGTTAAGGGCGGCAGAAATTGCGAAAGAGTAGCGAAACTCTTCAGATTGAGGAGGCAAATGTCAGACAACCCCCACAGCCATATTGGTTCCACCAAGTTTGTCATTGTGGTTTGAGCCTCCGTCAGATTTCCAAGGCACCAAGAGATACAAAACGGGCATATGATGCGGCTATTGGTTGTCGGAGAACATGTGTGATATAACTGTTCATATTGTCGGGGTTAAGATCCATGCTGCATATTGGGTTGCTCCGACTTTGGCTCAGAGATACGCAAAGTATTGGCCAGTCTTCTGTCAAGCTTGCCCAGCATACTCCCATACTGTCTTAGAGTCGGCGTTTCCGTCTTCAGTAATAAAATGATCAATCAAGTCGGATGACACCCATTCGAAGCACACGTTTTTGACATTGACTTGAGAGTGGGGGCTCCCCTTAAGAGACGAGCTAAGCTCTCCCTAAGCTTGCGTAACCTCCTGTGGATTGTTCTCTCCCTGACCTGGGGGAAAGAAAGATAGTACCTTCTCTTTCTCAGAGAGTATGACAATCTTCACTCCAGGGGCAACGTGTTTCGCTGTCAAAACTGTTGGCAAAGAACCGTTTTTATTGCTAATCACAGCCAGTCTGCTGATTGAATTCGCTCCGATTAGGACAATATCGACGACACCTTGCGCTGCAACATAGACACTGGCATCCGTATGGGCTGTCAGATTAGCAAGGACCTTCCTCCACTGGCTGATAAAGCAATTACTTCAGCCATGTTAACACCTTCGAAGAGTGGCCGGGATTCGAGCACATGGATTTCTATCCACAAAGTATTGCCCAACATGTGGGCGATGGCCGAGGTGGGAGCAGAACTAGATGGGATAGTAAGGATCTCCAGTGGTCCGTCCCCGGAGAAACTCTCCAAGAAGGCCTGGAACGTCGTGTTGGTTCTGGAGCTGGTGGTCTTTCTTCCGCAAGCGTATTTGCTGAGAGCTTTGACTATTTCTTTAATAGTGCTCTTGTTCAATGGACAGGTGGACGATAAATTGGCTTCAACCACCTCCAGCCCTGATAAGACAACGCTGAGGACTGTTGCGCCGATACTTTCCCGCCCGTTTTCCATAGATGCCACCCGGCAACTCCAACGTTGTTCCACCAACGATGTCGATCCATGAGGTCAAACTTCTTCATCACATCGATGTAGGTATCGAGTGCCTTTGTAACCAGCTGGCGCGCTACGCTCACATGATCGTTCTGCAGGACGGCCAAACCCTGATTAAGCGTTTATCCAGCTTTCTCGCTCAGGCTAACGGCAGACCGCACCCTTCGGAGACTTTCGAGGATACGAGGGACGCCTTCGAAGTCCTCTGAGTCGTTAAGAGCATCTGGGTCGAACCATTCATAGTGCTCCCAGCCTAATTTGATTCCAGCTTCGGCTCGACCACCTTCCTCACCGATTCAAGGACGAAAGGATTGACAGACCAATCCCTTCAATTTGACTCATAAAGAAAGAGAATGACTTTCCTTGTCGAAACAAATTTAAAGAATCGTTTGTGAGAGTTGTTTCTTCTTCGAGTTCTCGCTAAGCTGTGATAAGTGGACCCGCGTTATTTTCTGTACTACCGGAAATGCCTGCATACGTTTATCTGGAGTATGTAAGGTGAAGTCTTCTGCATGGTAATAGATTAGGCTTACTGGTAACTTCTTACGTTACCGGTCCGTCGGGAGAGAGCAACTTGTTGCTTCTTGGTTGTATCATCGGAGGGAAATTTGAAGATGAAGCACGTCGCGACGGGTCTGCGCTTACGAGGCGCCATTTGTGATAAAAACCCTGCGAATTTTGGACAATTGGAGACGCGAGCCTGAGACAATACGCGCACTTGTATGACACGACGGCTTACTGAAAGAGTCAACAGGTCTTGGAGTGGGTGAGATATTGGCAAGGTCTCGCGAGCGTCACCCGTTTCATCACATGACTCCCGCATGCGACCTTCCATTTAAACCCGAAGCGAGATGGTTATCTACTACGGCAGGAGCTTAGTTGGGCTCTCTTGCGCTTTTCCTTCAAAGCTAATACTTAGGTAAGTTAGCTGTTGTGCCTCTATCCGAACGCTGATCTTGAACAGGTTTGATCTTCAATTCGCTTGTGGCAGTCCCATAAGCCCAATGCAACAATACCACGATAGCTTGGAAATAACAATCTCTAGCCAATTATCTAACAATTCCTTTCACTGTTCAAATTATTCTGTTTATTAATTGTATTAAGCCAGAAACCGCCGCTCACAATGTCACATCCGCCTTTGCCTCAAATCAGATAGCCGTTGAAGGCCTGCCAATCAACTTCGATCCAAGAAACCAGCTCATTGTATAGATCGTGACCTTGATCAATAAGAATCGGTTGCTGCAGCGCCTCCGAGGTCAACTTATCCGACCATTGTTGTCCCATATCTACTGTTGTTCGATTTGCAATCGGATCGTAAGTTGTTGAGGGTTGTGGCATATTAATAGGGCGTGTTACGGTGTTCATGTCAACTGGTATAGGGAGACGCTGCACGAGGACACGGAGGTCTCGAAGAACTGTGGCACAATCCCGCCCATAGTTGCTCCCAACGCGACTCTCATCTTCGAACCGAGCGATCACAAAGTCTAGATCCAGCGATCGAGCTTTGTCGCTTCTGGAAGAAGGACACAGATCCTCAACCAACTGCTGTAACATCAACACAATAGCAGAGTTGAAGATGAAATGGAGACCAGCTTGGAGGAGCTTCCGAGGATGATTGACCAGCAAAATCTGGCGTGCAAGTCGGATGTTGTGCTCTGCCGAGGCTACACATCGCTTGAGCTGCGGTAGTTGAGGATGTGAACTCAAGGAGCATTGACGGGAAACAAGCTTTTCCGCAAACGACTTTTTCACGAAAGCAAAGAAAACCGGGCGGACCGTTAAGATTATGAGCTAGGGGGGCGGTTAGCTATTAGGTATACGAGAGAGAAGTAAAGAACACCAATGAAGTACCTGGTTATAGTGCATGTGCAACAGACAGGTAGCTGGGTCGTCGCTCAGTCCGTTACTTGCGAGTCGTACTGATGCCGGAAGGTGTAGACTCCAGTCATCAAGCATGGCGATTTCTCCTTCAAGACTTCTAATAGGTCTAACGTTGTCTTCCGAGGGGGATATGCGATAGGTATTACACACGATGTGACTTGAGATTCTTGAGAGCTCAACATGAGCCTTCAGGCCGTCCGCCGGAGGTAGAGAGCTGAGGACCAATGTAAGTTTAGGGGCAAACAAGAGCAGCGCTGTGACTTACGGGGCATCGCAAGGTAGAGGTAACCGGATGGCATCATCCATGATAGTCGGGGGTCTTCCCATAAGGCAGCTCAGATAGCGATCTAGTACATATAGTGTCCAAAACACGCGCTTGCCGCTTTCATCTAGCCAACCCCTATGGGAACCGTGCATGATACTGATATGCATGGCGCTGCTTACACACATATATGCAGCGTCTCGACGATTCATCTCGATCAAGTAGAAGCCCATCAGTGTCAACGCGGCTACTTCGTTGGGAGTAAATCGCGTGATGTCGAGCGGGTTCCCGAGAAGCATACGGGCTCGACTAAAGTAGTTCTCGCTGAGGTGAGAGTCTATGGAGATATCCTGAGGAGGCATGATGGTAGCCTGAGCCACCATGGCAAATGCCGTATGATACAAAGCGAGAGGGCGGCATTTCGTTAACCGGACGATTGGAGAGTCTCGTTCCATGGGAGGAACCGTAGGCGTTGTAGAGAGGTTCCCCCACCAGTAGATGCCTCCGCTTGGCCAGTTGCCATTGCCGTCTTGGATGAAGTAGCGTAGTTCTGACAACATAGAATCCATTTGATCGGGTAGAGGAAACCAAGTAGGGTCAACATCTCGATCATGTAAAGGACGGGAGTCATAGGTCTGATAGCGACCAAGACTTGACAGGAACGCACTGCCATCAGAGCCTGGTCGAAGATTCTGATATGCAAGCGGCAGGACAGTAGTCATGAACTCCTTGAGATAGTCAAGGAAAGTTGCACCGCTTGTCTCGCCTAAGAAACGTGCATGGCCGTCGGGGTCGTGCAGTAAACGGCCTTCTGTTGACGCCAGGTTCTCTTCATCATCTTGGCGGTGGTGAGGAGCCGCCAAAGAATGTGGAAGTTGGACAAGGTGAGGCCGTGATGGTCCAAGGTTGGGTTCGTGTAAGCGAGCATTGGATAGGTGAGCTTGGGGATGAGCCTGAGGTTGCTGGTCGAATTGCCGATTTACCCCGGGATATTGAAGTTGTGGAAGCTCAGACGGCATCCGCACGATATGGACCGGCCCGTCTGTTAGTGTTGTCTGTGCCGCTTGGCTAGCAGCTGCTGACCCAGCATCGTGGCTAGAGGCAGTCCAGCCAAGCAGCTCGGAGAGTTCTTGGCGACTTGCGGTATCAGTGACCGCATTCGAGACGGCTCCGGGTACGGTATCGCGAAGAACTCGTTCATAGAGACCGACCTTGCGCTTCAATTCTTGCAGCTCTGAGCGAGTAATAGAGACTTTCTCAACAGGCTGAGGATATATGCATTCGCGCGAAGAGGATTGGCACTGCCGACACGGATGCTCACCAGAACATCTAACTCTTCTCACATTGCAAGCATTGCACCTTTTAGCAATAGAATTGTTAGATTAAAAGCTGTCATAGCAGTAGTGTTGTTGTCGGCGCTGCACGGACGGAGGAACAGAGGAATTGATTAGATGTTTGGGGAATCAATTAGACTGTATATAGACAATACAAAGGAGATGACGTATAGAGAAAATAAAAAAAAATAAAAATAAACAAAACAAAAAAGTCCATGAAACATATCGACAGCTAATACTGTACTGTGGACGTGTAGACATAACTGAACTCGACTTACGCTGTGGCGACACGCTTGCGATGCTCGGGAGCAACCTTGTGTCGGCGGGGGTTGACAGGAAGCCGGCGCGGCGTTTGGCCTGTGGGCGTGGGCGTAGGGGCAGGCGCAGGCGCAGGCGTGGGCGTTAACGTGGCCCGAGATGGAGCCGATTGTGCTCCAGTCGGCCCAAGGTCTTCGGACAGCTTCATGGCTTAGTCGTTCGTGAGTTTCCAAGAGGAGAACACTCGTCGTTTGCTTCCCATTGACTGAGCTGCTGAGAACCAGTCAGCCCCTGCCACTGAGTACGAGTGGCTGCAACAACTTTCGCTTCCGGTACAGTACTAACGTTAGTTAGTATTCCGTAGGGCCTAACGCGAGGTGTCCTCCACTCCGAGAGTCCCAATGGCCGGAGGATCAAGATGTCCTTCAGTTGGTGCGGATACTTTGCTACCTGGGAAGGGGAGCTGGGCAGGAAGATCAATCAATCAATCAAATATGGAGAAACCATAATTATCACCGAAGAAATGAAGAGCTTGACTCGCTTACGGCACGGCGCGGTTTGATAAACCCTGCCTCTCCTCGCTCCTCTCTGACAGTTCCGCTCTGCTAACGGCAAAGGGCCGCGCGCGACCAGCCCTCTGCAGTCGCTAATTTGGTTATATTTCCGCTTCACAATTCAGTTCAAACACAGAGGAGTCATGTATGATGTGCGTGCTGCTGTTGTATTATTAATGACCCATGCTGACACATGGCTGAGCTGCTTGACAACCAGAGAGCCAAACCGAGGCAGACAGGCAGAGAGCCCTATCTGCATCGCATGGTATAAGACGGAAGAAAGTCGTTTGGCAAGGGAATGCAACGCAACCATGTCAGCGTCGTCTCGTTCGACCATTTGTTAATTACACACACAGCGCCTCACATACTGCATACAGCTCAATAGGGAATTCCTCAGATCTCAGAGCCGGTAGCCAAGAATTAAGCGCGCAGAAACCCCAAAATACTTCTGTTGAACAAGGATTCTGCAAAGTCCCTTGCAATTTTTCTACATTAGTTCTTTTGCAGAGAGAACGGGTATATAGAACAATCCAGGGAGCAAAGACTCTGTTCCCCCATGAGTGGTGTATGCACTTATTGGGATGCTCGGCCCGCTCGCACCGCATTCCAAAATGTGAAACTTCCACAACGGTGCCGTTTCGGGATATCCCATCGTGGCTCAACACCAGTAGATACCTTGACGTGGAAGCACGAGGTCTCGAAGTGGCTGGACGAACGAAGGGAATGACCTGGTGAGAGACCCCATTCACCCATTGCAGCGCGCCTAAGTCACGCATTGTCTCTCATTTCCCATTATCTTGCCTAAAAGATGACATCGCTAGTCGGGGGGATTACCATCAAATTGCCAATTCTGGAGCCTAACCCGCTCGGTGTAACGGGGGATACTACGTTTAAGGCCCAAGAACCACTCGGTGTAGACAAGGCCTAGTATGGAAAGACAAGACATCATAGTATTGCCTATTCGATGACAGAGAACATGGAAGTCAGGAACTGAAAGTGGGTTTGTAGTCAGGTCATGCAGCTTGATGTAAACCTGTGTGATGTAAGATGATAGTTGTTCATAACGATTATAGCAATTGAGCAGCAGCCTGTTCAAAGTGTGGCGAATTGACGTTGAAGAGTGAGTAAGCTATGCGATTGTGCGTTAATGCATAGAGGCACGCACAGGTCATCACGAGATGGTGAGGTAAAAAAGGTACGATCTCTTGTCAAAAGTGTATAAATCATAGTATTCGGATGTTTTGCAATGCAAAGGTGCTATTCTAGATGAAGTTTACAAGACTCCAAGAGAGATAAAAGAAAATACACATGTTGTTTACCAAATCGCAGTATATACTGTTGATGGCAATAATAACGACGAAAAACAACAAAGGATATAGTAAAATAATTCAAGCTGAAGGACCGTCATTTTGAGTCCGACCAGCTGTTTTTCGCTGCCCTTGCTAACCCATAACACAATTATGTACCCATTCAATCATGCTGTCGTAACTTTTTATTGCTTGAAAATAGACTCGACAATGTCGCCCGAACGAGTGCTCAGGACCGAGAGGAGAGTATCGCTCAGCTAAAAAAAAGAAAGAATTGTTAGCACTAGATCAGTTCCTAAATCATGGTGGATCACTTACCCCGTGAGTACCCTCACAGCAGCCCTGCAGCCAAACACCAGAGTCCTCGGCGACACTGCCTGGGGAGAACTTGACGCGGTAATCTCTTCCAACAGCCAGCTTACGCTCGCCATCTTGTGTCTCGACGTTCCAGCCGTTAACGCCCTTGGGGGACTCGGTGCGTCCTGACACGGTCTTGGGGAGCATGGTCCAGGCATCCTTGAGCATATCGACGTGAGCGCTTCGCTTGTAGCCGGTGGCAGCGATAATTAGATCAACGTCGAAAGTCTCCTGTTCGACAAAGCCGTCAAGAGGACCATCAGTTACGCGCTGAACCTTGATCTCAAGAGCGTCACCCTTGGTGTCGACGCTGGCAATCTCACGACCATTAAGGATGCGGTGGGGCCATTGAGTCTCATCGTCGCTAATCTCACGCTTCTGGTCATACATCTTCTCAAAGAGGTGCTCGATAAGCTCCAAGCGCACGACACCGTAGTTGGTGGCACGGGCTTCGGTCAAAAGAGTCTCACGAGCCTTAACAGATCGGGGCCAGAGGTTGTTGATGTAGTCAGGGTTGAAGATGGAGTTGACGCTGTACGTCATCGTTAGCCAACAGGGGTCTACCACAGAGAGGCGAGCAGAACTTACAATGGAGAGTCATCGCTGGGTCGGAGGAACTCTTGACGCATGATGAGGTAGGTCTTGGAGTTGGGGTATAGGTTCTGAACGTTGTTGAAGATCTCGGCGGCGCTCTGGCCAGCGCCAATGACAGCAACGCGGTAAGGAGCATTCTGCTTGCTGAGAATCTGAGGGGCGTAGTTGGCGAATTGAGACGAGTGCAAAACACGAGGGTGCTTGACGGGGAGGCTCTTGGGTAGTGAGGGCTGGCCACCGGCAGCAACAAGAACGTGACGGCTGCGGAAAGATTGAACCTGACCAGTCTTGCCATTGCGGGCTTGGACCGCGAAGGTCTTGACAGCACCAGCTTCCCTGCTCTCGGGGGAGATGGAGAGAACCTCGTTGTTGTAGCTCACAACGTGGTCGAACCAAGAAGAACACCAGCGGAGGTAATCTTCATACTCGGTACGGGCGGGCAGGAAAGTGCTCAGGTTAGTGAAGTCAACCAGGCGGCCCTGGGAGTGGAGGTAGTTAAGGAAGGTAAACTCAGATCGGGGGTTGCGAAGAGTGGCCATGTCCTTGATGAAGGAGATTTGCATCTTGGCTCCAGGAAGAAGCATACCGGCGTGCCAGGCGAACTTGGCCTGCTTCTCAAGGAAGAGGACCTTGGGAGCAGCGCCATCAGGGCGGAGCTTCTTGCCTTCGGCGATGGCATCGTGAATGGCAACAGCCACAGCCAGAGAAGCAGGGCCGAAACCGGCACAGATGAGGTCAAACTCCGAGTCCGCAGGGGCGCTCTCAAGGTAAGGGGATCGCTCCTTGTGAACACGGGGCCCGTGGCGGGCAGCAGGAGCAGAGTCGTTGCCGTTGGTGTAGCCGTTGTGGCCGTTGCTTACACCATTGGTTCCGTTGGTATATCCGTTGGTGTCGTTGCTGTGGCCGTTAGAGGCCGGAGCCTCAGAGCCGGTGAAAGAAACCTCGCTGTGGGGGGACATAATGACGGAATGTTTATATGAGGGTTATATGTCTAAAAGTGTAACGGAATGCTGAGATGAAATGTCGACTCCTATAAAACACAATATGTGCCTATAATGCTGGTGCGTTGCAGGTCGTGTGGTAGTTGAAGTTGACAGGAGGCTCACTAAATCAACAACTGGGAAGTAGGAGATCGGTTTCAGAAGCTCCTGTGCCTTACTTAAAATTCGGGAGGAAAGCTGTTTCACTCAAGATGATGAGCAGTTTGGTGCAATGTTACGGAGGGGCTTCATATAAGAAGATGAGAGATCGAGAATCGTCCAATGTCGAGGAGGGGTATGGGACAATGGTGACACAATGGAGGTCTAGCTCTGACAATGAAGGGTAGAGTGCTTTGGTTAATCCCACCAAGGTTCGTGAGAAGCTTCTTTATTAAAATAGGAAGAATAGAGAAACGGACTGGTTCCGAGAGATGGGGGGAGCTATGGGCATTTTGTAGTTCAGACGGGGGATGGGATCTACAAGCTATTGCTTCGGTCCCATTGCGTGCCCTTCTCCCATTTGGAGCCGAACTATACGACGGACCCTCAAGAAGAAACAAGCAAGTACACACAGCTCACGGCGAAGCTGGACTAACATGGCACCTGAGGTACATTGCATTACAGGGCACGGCGCTTGTCGGGGCGCGCTGACAAGCTTAGTACGTTGGGTACGTGGAGGATGAGGAGGCGGAGACGGAGACGGGTACATTGAAGTTCTCCATGGCTAATACAACCTCGTCAAGCTCGTACGTACATACTTGGTCAAGGTAGGTACATTTGCGACGGGACCATGATGCATACATGGAAATCATGATGGGTACACTGCCTACTGCGCCGGGAAGAACGTAACTAGCCCACTAGAGTTTGTCTGGGCTCTGTTCAGTGCCGTTCATCATGGGCCGAGGACGGCGGCCAAGGCGTGGAGCTGCGGTTGCCAAGCAAAGTTAACGGCAGAATGGAACCCGGGTCAGGCCAGAAACACAGAATTTTTGTTTAAATGTCCAGGTACAGAGAGAAGGTGTATGGATGGGAAATGGTGACGAAATTCATCCAGTCAATGTCAGAACGCAACCAACTCTAGTGCCATGCTATCATAGGCAGGTAAACTTAGTGAATTAAACCAAGCCCAGGCCCTTGCGCAGCGTAGCGTAGCGTAATGTAATGGACGAGGGTGGGATCGGGAAGAGGAGGGAGGTGTGTCTGTATCCATTTGAGTGAGTGGTGGACAGAAAACAGAAAACACCAACCTTTTTGAGCTTTAGCTTGGAGGGGTCCTGTGAACCATTTTTGGTCTCGATATTTTCATGATGGAGCTGGCTACTGCGTCAAAATGCAACATGGTCTTTCCAGAAGAAACGAACGAGATTATTGGGTAGTGGAAGAATGCTCACCCGAGAGCATGGCTCACCTATACAGTACTCGCCATTGCCCTCATGTAGATGCTCGACCTGAACCCCGAGATGCTCTGAGCCAGAGGTCTGCTCGAAGGGATTTAATGCCATAAACTTTGGGTGCTTCAAGGGTTGCTTCTAGACTTCTTTAGACTGACGTAGAGGGGTCTTCACTTTCTATCAGCCGCGGCTTCATGAGCGACACAATGCATTAGAACAACGGATTAGACCAGGCATTGGGCTGCAAGGGAGACCAAAGTCTGAGTCGACGACCGAATCCTCCACGTCCATGGCGGCGGCGTACCTCGTGGACCCTCCTCGTGGGACTCATCAGCGCCGTGAAGTTCCGTAGCGCGTGGTAAACTCCCAGACTCCCATCCATCATCTCCGAGCAGCATCACGCTGGGTTGCGGGTCCAGGAGTTTCTCAACCCATCGCAGGCCCCAGCGTGGAGGGACCCTTCAGGGATGTGTGGCGCCGTGGGTTGAGCCCGGCACTCGATGTTCAATGAGGCAACAGTATGATCACATGGCGAAGAACATAAGCCAGCATCAGATATCAACGAGATACAATGCCCAGGAACAATTAACTTGGTAAGGAAAGATCATGGCCATCATTTGGCCACTACCTTGAGGGCAAACACGGTAAAAGCTTAATACGTCAATCACTTCAAGCGTATGGCGATCTATGTACGCTGACATCTTTATGTACGGAGTGTGTGCCGTACCCTTGGCTCCAAATGCACACCAGAACATGTGTGTCTCTGATCTCTACACGAACTGGTGCCTTCCATTGTATCCCGTATTCGAAAAAGCCTCAAGTTCGACTGCATTCCTCCCGATGTTCTTCTGCAACTTCGTGCTTACAAGGGGTATGTATGGTCTTCCGCGAAGCTTACGTCTGAAAAAAGGAATTTGGCCGGAGGGTGGAGGTTTCTTGACGGCGAGCAGGACTAATCAAGGGTCCCCAGTTAAGAAAGTGTGAGTGCGGACGAAGGTGATGCGACGTCGGCGATGATCTTCGCGAAAAGATCAGATAAGATAGACACGGCGAAACATCGAACGGGCTTGGCGAACCCAGATGGCCTCACTGCCGGAGGAGTGCTTGCTATCCTAGCTGGCGCCACAAAGAAAGGACTGGCCGTCTACCGCCAGCTTATTGGGCCGATGCGAACTGAACCCTTGAAGACGTTACGTACTGTTGTCCCTTAAGATCGTAGTAAGGACCTGAATTGCCTGGACCGATGACGGGTTTGTCGGCCCCGCCTTGGACGCTTCACACCTTTCGACACGACGTCAATCCCTGAAGCAAGAAAATTTTGACAAGCAAAGAGAACGGCGAATAGCGGCTTTAACGGCGTGGACGCCAGCAGAGCCGATCACTCGAATCTTGCAATGTCGTTCGAGGGAAATGAGGGGCAGTCCCGCAAGAAGCAAAGCGACGGGCTGGCAGAATATTGGTGATGGATGATTGGAGCGTTGATGGGCGGCGATGTTGTATGTAGCAGACTTTGAGCTCCAGTGTGGAGATGAGGGAATTATCTGATGATCTGATAAACCGGATCTGATAAGATCTAATTAGCCAGCCTACAGTAGCGTCGTGCACCAACCTCGAGTTGACTGGTTACCGACCTCTGAGGGGCCCTTTTTATACTAGCCCCTTGAATGCCCCCCTGCACAAAAGTTGTTGCGTTTTAACTTCTTGGAGACAGGTACCGATCAAATGAGGAGCGAGAGGAGCGAGATGGAGATGCATGAAAAAATTTCTTCTCGTGTGAATTAAAGCCTGTCCCTGTTGAAACTAGGTACCGAGGATCCTGACCTATGAGCATAAACACGCATTGCAAATTCGCCGCAAATTGATGAGCTGTTAAGTCATCTGCATCTACTAACAGGGTTCTACGGCTTTGATGTTAATCGGACTAGCGGATGATGGGTTTTTCTAGAGGGAGAACCCATGGCTAGGTCTGATTGATAAGATGGAAATATGCCGACGAAGATATCTCGAGACCGATAACGGTGCATGCAAGACAATCCCAGCAACAACATACAAGCATTGTGCTACAGTAGCAGAAAAGAATCGAGCTATGTGTATGCAATTATGGGACGACACAACTCTGGAAATACCCGTGGCATGGCTCGATGTGATCGGCAAAACCGTAAGATGGCACCCATATTGGCGGTGATGTTTCATTTTTTACCTTATTCTTCGTCCTTCCTACCATGTGAGTACCTCTGGACCCTTGTTTTGTGACAATTTGCGGCTGTGATCTAGAACATGTAACGGCAGTAGCTGATCGTAGTTGGTTCGTCCATCAAAGGATCTGCTACCCTTGCCCGAGGGTCTTAGCACCAAGCTCACATTGAAGACCCTGGCTTGTCAAAAAAATTTAAAAAAATTAGAAGGCCAAAATTGTGGCCAGAACCATTGCTGGTACGGATAGGCAAAGCCCGTGTGCCTTCTGTACCTAACGTAGGTGCGTAGGGTACTACAGTCAATCTTGGCCACATACGTCATTATATAGCGACCGTCATCACAAAGGTTGAATTCAAGTGGCTTTGTGCAATGTTCCAGCAATTCGCAGGGGAGAATTGACGATGTTGAGTATTATTGATAAACTACTCAAGCTGTGATCAAGAGAGAAGTATTGCTCTCCTTGAACGATAGTTGCATATTCGGGAATTTGCGAGACAAACGACGGGGGTACATTGAAGCGGAACAAGAGTCATGGTCGATATTGAACGATACATTAGATTATCTGATTAGATCCGGGTGTTGAGATCGGCAGGGTACTGGTTGTACTATGCTCCAAGGCAAACAATTTGCTAGCTTCAAACGTGCTTGAACGTAATCAAGAGCATACTAGTCAAGAAGACACAGGATTGACAAGACGTAGAATATCTCAATAGAGTGATTATCATAGTAAAGTAATCGTACTATTTCACGAATACAAATACCGAGAGCTCATGATATCTACATATTTTGAAATCTTGTGTCAGCCGAAAATTGCTTTCAGACTCAGGGTAGCAGATGCACTACTAAGGTAACCACGCCTGAGGTGGCTTCCCGCGTTTGGGTACCTACGGTACCTAGGCTGCTAGGGTCATAGGTAGGTAGCCCACACCTCCCTTCCGCTTCCCCACTTGCACTTTGCATCACCCGAACCGAAGTCAAAGCTAAAGAATCCACCCTCATCACAGCTTCATCACAGCATCTAGTCATCCCATCGCCTTAACATCCTGGACGTTACCCGTTTCTCTGTTCAGAGCCGCGGCAGTCTCGATTGTTCGTTGAATGATGCTCTTTGGGACGAGACAACGCCGCACAGTTCGTTTATTGTGCGTCAAAACCCTGCCCTGATGTCGTTGCGGTTGCATTGCCCATCAGAACACGCGCAAGGCATGAGAAAATGAAGGCAGACTAACCTAACATGTCTCTATCGTCTTGACGGGGCAAGCGCGCAGCATCCCCCCCATGTGGTTCAATGTGTAGGGGCTAATTACTACCATCTCGGGAATCCGAGCGTGCGCCGACCGAGTATGATCTTTTCCCTCCGGCCTGGAGACTACTCTCGGTGAAGGGTATTCTCCTTGCCATCAATATCGCTTTCAACTACCCATCATCTTGTCTGCGGTCAAGACAACACTTTGTTCTCCCCTGATCGCTCTCTCATTTTTCACACATGACTCAACTCGACCAATAATCGCATTCTCTCGTCATTCTGTGTTTGCATCTCTTTATACCCCCGCCGTCGACTCGACTCCTCATGTTTTGTGATGAGGTAAAACTTGAGTCGTCTTCGTTATTGTCGTCACGGGCCAATTTTCTGTCAACACACAAGACAGCTTTTACGCAGAATAATCCCGCATGTTAGTCTATTTTCTCAGTCTGTTTCTGCATTGGCAATGGTCTGTTTTTATGGGGATATCCCACGTTGACTTGCATGGCTTCACTATCACGATTTCTTACCTAAATATCCCACGCATATTTCCCATCCCTCCACACACTTAGCCACCCAGATATGTCATCCGTGTTGCTTTTCCCGGCCTTACCACCCTGTCACATCAACCCTTATGCGTGAATATGTCGACGACGGAATATCGGCAAGGTTGCTGTGTGAATGGTGGCCTGCGGCGTATGACGATGATGGGTGCTGGGACGTGCCAACCTGCCAATTAGCCAGCCGAGACTATGGATACCGGCGGTTGACTGCACGGAAAACCAGTGCAAGACTGGGGCTCCCAGGTTATCTCGGATCGACCCGTTGGGGATCGCTTGTTTGCATAACAAGCAATCTCAATATTCATCATCAACCACGAACAGAAGTTTGATCTTTTTGTCAATACGGAGTAGATCTAAGCACTTCGGCTCTCTAATTTGCAGTCGCTTGTAGCCTGGGAACCTCAGTCTGCAACTTTCTTTGCCCTTTTAGCCGCCTTAAGCTTCACATAACGGCTCACCAGGCACCCTGAGGCCATTATGTTTTATATTAAGCATTCCAGGTTGCCAAGAGGAACTAGCTCTCCCGTTGTGGGGGTCGAATCGATCTAAGCCGCAGTGTGATCAAGCAGGACCCCCAATCCGGACCTACGGAGGGTTTAGGCCATATCGTCCACGACCTGGATCCTAACAAGAAATCTCTCTGGGTTTTGATCTGATTTATCTCTTGCTCCCTCCTGGGTCATGTTTGGATGCGATGATCAAGCCAGTGTCTGGGTGAGCTTACTGCAACAAAACGGCAAGGTACAGGGCCGGTCGACAGAGTCGTGACGCAATCCATTCTGAACAACCTCTACTGCTCGTTCGACTCCGAAGTCCAATCGTCTTGTTCGAGAAGCCCTAGCTCTTCAACAAAAGAGGCACTACGCCATGCGCCTCTGAGGTATCCTGGTATAGTTCTAGCATATGCCCAGCAAGATCGTGTTGCTCCCTGTATCACCCACTACGAAGGTCCACCATACGGTTACCTAAAGCGGAAATCCAGAGTCCCGACTCACACCATCACACTTCATCCATCACTGCACCGCATCATTCAACATGGACCATGGTCATCTACCTACCTCACTTGGTACTTGTCTTGCCCAACCCCTATTCAGTTAATAGTCATCAATTATCCACCTGCCGGGAGCTATTTCAGCCCAATGTTGCTTGTCCCTGTCATTTTCACAAGTCGATGAGTAATTACTCGACGCTGACAGGCTGGATTACACCTTCACTCGCACCCCCCTCGACCACCTGAACTCCCAGTGTGCAACCTCCAGGGCCTTGAGCTTTGTGTCGACGAATCATCGCCACGTCGATTCTAATACGGCTCTCTTCTGTTTACTTTGCCGTCATCCCAATTCGCAGCTTCCGTGTTTGACACCCCGGCTGGTGTCCACTCGCTCCGAGTCTTGGCTTCGCGTGATCGTGAAGCGACTAAAGCAACCTGATGCTCGTCCACCCTATCCTAGCGTATGGTATATTGGCCTGTGATGCTTGCCCCGGTATGAAACCCCTGACTGACCGATGTATTCCCTAAAAGGGTCATATCTTCTACTGCATGTGCACATAAACATCGCCGTTATTGTCACCGGACCTGTTTTATTGCCGACAGTGTTTGTTATTCGAGACTGCCCACCCTTACGACTATTTCTCCTGGTGCCGACTATACTACGCCACTACTATTCTAACTAACCTTCATTCCAGCCTACCAACAACGGGAGCTGTAATCTGAGCGGTATGGACCTTACAGGACTTTCGATTGTCAATGCCTGGGCGTCGAAGCTGCCTGGACCCAACCTTCTACACCAGTTGGTCAAGACAAACGTCCAACATGTAGCCTTGGAGTACATGGGAAATGGCCAACGTTCGACCCTCACATACAGTCAGATGCATGAAGCTGCAGCATCTCTCGCCATCCGTATAACAAGAGCCTCAGGCAACGCCCAAGGCCAGTTTGTTGTTCCCGTACTCATTCACCAATCACCCTTGCTCTATATCTCCCTGTTGGCCATTCTGAAAGCTGGAGGGGCTTTCTGCCCTTTGAACATTGATGCTCCATCTGAACGAGTAAAATTCATTCTTGGGGATGTGGCTGCAAAAGTTGTGCTGGTCACAAAAGAGCTTGCATCTGAGATACCGAATGATATTGAGGCAACTGTCATCGTCGTTGACGATGATGAACAAGAGAGCGTTCTTCCCCAAAGCTCACTGACTGAGCCTCACCACCGAGTTCCTCAACCGGAAGACCTCGCATATGTTATGTATACATCTGGGTCAACAGGAACTCCTAAAGGTGTTGGCATTTCTCACGATGCTGCAACTCAAGCTCTCATCGCTCACGATAGACACATCCCGTCTTTCTCTCGCTTCCTACAGTTTGCAGCACCGACATTTGATGTTTCTGTCTTTGAAATTTTCTTCCCACTTTTTCGAGGAGTAACTCTTGTTAGTGTTAGAAGAGTCGAGATGTTGGATGACCTCCCAGGGGTGCTACGCACTATGAACGTGGATGCTTGTGAACTCACACCAACGGTTGCTGGAAGTTTGCTGCGCAAGAGGTCAAACGCCCCGGAACTCAAGGTACTTTTGACTATCGGAGAAATGCTCAATGCACCGGTAATTGAAGAATTTGGGGGAGATGTTGCAAGACCGAGCATGCTTTGGGCAATGTATGGTCCTACCGAAACTACAATCCATTGGTGAGTCATTTCAATAACTCGATCGGTGATTGACCTAACAAAGTACTAGTACTCTACAGACAGCCTTCTCATCTGATTCTTCCACAAGTAACATCGGTGTACCACTTGATACGGTTTCGTGTTTCGTTATTGAAATCCCAGAATCAGATAACGGCCAGTATACAGCAAAGATTCTCCCACAGGGAGAGGTTGGAGAGCTAGCTGTAGGTGGTTATCAGCTAGCGAGTGGCTATATCAACCGACCTGAACAAACAAACTCTGCCTTCATTGATTCGCCATTTGGTCGCATCTACCGTACGGGTGACAAAGCTCGTCTGCTTCCAAACGGAAGGCTTGAATGCCTCGGCCGTATATCAGATGGACAAGTAAAGCTTAGAGGACAGCGGCTAGAGCTTGGCGAGGTGGAGCAAGCTGTCCTCCGAGCAACAGGATGTCACAGTGCTGTAGCCGCAGTGGTGGGATCTATTCTCGTGGTATTCTGCGCTGTCGATGCGGGAGTTACCGAAGATACTATTCTATCACACTGCGGGAACTGGCTACCACAGTACATGATTCCTGGTGAAATCATCCTGATGCCAGACTTTCCAAGACTGCCAAGTGGCAAAGTCGATAGAAAAAGGCTGAAGGTAGAGTATGAGGAGAACAAGGCAAACATGTCAGAAGGCACCGCCGACTTAGAACCCTTGGATGAGATCGAGTCAGAGCTCTTGTCAGTTGTGTCTCGAGCCTTGAATTTCAAAGTCGATAAATCAATGTCTCTGGCCTCCCTTGGCATGGATTCCCTCAAGACAATCAAGCTTGCCTCAGCCTTACGAGTTGCGGGCTTTGAGATAGAATCAACAGCTCTTCTCACACTGAAAACTGTGGCCGAAGTCATTTTCGCCGCCAGGAAGCACGTTCAAAATCAAAATGCCGTTTCCCAATCAAACTCAAAGGACTTATCGTTAGACCTGGCAGAAATTTTGCAGCAAAACGCCGCCCTGGCTGGTCTTGGTGGCTCCATTGAGGACGTGATACCATGTACTCCTCTACAAGCAGCCATGCTGGCAGAAACAGCTCAGCATGCAACCGCCTACTGCAACGAGATCGAGCTCAGCATTCCATCGGATTACACTGTCGATCAAGTAACAGAAACTTTCAAAGAACTTTCGCATCGACACCCGATCTTGAGGGCAGGCTTCACGGTTGTAGCTGGCAAGTTTGTCACGCTTATTCACCGGAACCTCCGATCTGAGCAGATCAGAATTGTCGATAAGTTCGACAATGGCCTGTCATTCATCTCATCTCCTGAGTTCTGTCCTCCTCTGATACTCCAGATTCAACGAGGTTCTGCCACTGACCATTCTCGTATTCTTCTACAACTGCATCATTCACTATACGATGGCTGGTCTATGGATATCTTGCTTGCTGATTGGTCCAAGTTACTGCTGAAAGAGACGGTATCACAGCATCCGCCATTTCGGGAAGTTGTTGGATTTTATCGTCATCTCCAGCATGACGACGCTGCTCGAGTCTTCTGGACCGAGCACTTTGTTGGATGGAAACGAACACCGTTACCCAAGCTACAGGGGAAGGTCGTGCACTCAAATCAAACCATGTGTGTTCGCCGGCCGTTGACCCTCTCTCGCAACCAAGTCGATACTGAGACACAGAGACTTGGCTGTAGCCATCAAGTTGTATTCCAGGCAGCATTGGCTTTGCTATGGTCGGGAATCACAGGAACACGTGATATCACCATCGGCTCGGTGACGTCTGGGCGAACCATCTCTGTGGCAGGTGTAGAAGACATCGTTGGACCATGTATAGCGTCCCTGCCGGTCCGAATAGACCTTGATAAGACTACTGCCGGCCTTGACCTACTCAACAGCATACACTCTAGCAACAGGAAAATCATGCAGTATTGCACGGTATCTCTGTCGGAGATCAAAAAGCTGATAGAATTGCAACCCGGGGAAAGTCTTTACGATGTACTTTTTGTTTATCAAGAGTCTCTTACTAGCTCAGAACGCACAAAAAATGTGGTCAGAGAAGTTAGTCATCTGGATCGCTTGGAAACACCAGTTCTATTTGAAGTTGAGCCGACAGAAAACGGATTTGCGCTCCAAGTCACGTACCATGAAGCATTCATATCGCCAAAAGTGGTCGAGAACATAGCGAGTCAGTTCGAGTCGTTGGTTCTCTCGATTCTAGAGAGTCCTGACAAGGAGATCAAATGGGTTTCCAGGGGAATCAACGGCAGCCCATCGATCCACAACCTCACTCCCACATTGCCTCAACACACTCCTGACTTGGCACAACTCTTCGAAGACGTGGTTCGGAAATATCCTGCCTCGGACGCTTTGCTTTTTGCCCACTCACTTGAAACTGGCTTTCAAACTAATTGGTCGTTCGAAGAGCTGAATGGTGTCGCGAATCAGATTGCGCGATACTTGCAGAGTCACGATGTCAGAGTTGGACAGGTGGTGGCCATTCTGATGGATAAGTCACCCATGCTCTATGCGTCAATCTTGGGCATCATGAAGAGTGGCTGTGGATATCTTCCGATCCTGCCTTCAACGCCCGCGGCTCGCACTCAGGAAATTCTAGTGCAAGCCGAGATCAAGCATTGCTTGGTGGACGCTGAGTCTCTTGGCCAACACACATCAACATCTGATGTATCAATGATCCCTATTGATATCAACTCGATCAGTAACCTGCCTGCGACCAATTTAGATGTCGTTGCTGATGGTGCTCGACTCGCATACGTCATCTACACGTCCGGTACGACGGGAACTCCCAAAGGTGTCGCAGTCCAGCAACAGAACATCGCTGCGAACATCGTGCATCTTGAGGCAGTATACCCGAAATCTTGCCGTCAATCGGGTCGTCTCCTACAAGCATGCTCTCAGGCATTCGATGTATCGGTGTTTGAGATATTCTATACCTGGTATGCTGGCATGTGTTTGTGCGTTGGTACGAACGACACAATATTTGGGGATATCGAACGTTCCATACGCGACCTCAAAATAACGCACCTTAGCATGACACCAACTGTAGCGACCCTCGTCGAACCTTCCAATGTACCAGGTGTTGAGTTTCTTGTAACTGCTGGCGAACCCATGACACAGTCAGTATACGAGAAATGGCAGCACCACCTTTGGCAGGGCTACGGACCTTCCGAAACCACAAATATCTGTACGGTGAAGAAGATGACATCGGATGATCATATTGAACACCTTGGACACGCTTTTCCCAATACCTCTGTCGTTGTTCTTTGCCCCGACAGCACCGATGCAGTTCCTCTCAACTGGGTTGGAGAGTTCTGCTTTGGAGGCGCACAGGTTGCTCAAGGCTACCTTAACATGCCAGGGCTAACAGCGCAGAAGTTCATTCAACATCCTCGTTATGGAAGACTATATAGATCTGGGGACATGGGACGCATGCTTCCAGATGGTTCCCTGGTTATTCTAGGTCGTATTGACGATCAGGTGAAATTAAGAGGGCAGCGGATCGAGATCGGTGAGATAAACAGTGTCGTGACAATGACTGGCCAAGCAGCATCAGCTGTTACGCTGTTAGTGCAGCGCGAGGAAATATATACCCAGCAATTGGCTCTGTTTTATGTTCCTCGTCATGATCCTGGTGAGTTCAAGGCGCTGGAGATCAACGACGAAACACACCAATCCCTTGTCGCACATCTACAATCACGTTTGCCTGGCTACATGGTACCATCTTACCTCATTCCTATCTCTTCGGTTCCCATGACATCGAGTGGGAAGATAGACAAGCGTCGTCTTCGTGGATGCTTCAACATTTTGAGGCGGGATTATCTTGAAGCATCTTCGAAGATTTCACCAGCTACCCAAGATGAAGGCGACTGGAGTAAGACGGATGCGACAATTGCGGATGCTATTATTGAGTCTGCGAAGGTATCCCCGAATGAATTTGGTCGTTACACACCATTTACTCTCCTCGGTATCGACTCGATTTCTGCCATCGATCTCGCTCGCGTCCTCAACTCAAAATTGGAAACTCGAGTTGCAGTATCTGACATTCTACGCAATCCAACCGTTGCTCAACTATCTCAGTGTGTAAACAAGAAATTTGAACAAGGAGATGATGTATCGTCCAACAGCCCTCATCAATTCTTTCCTGAAGCTTTTGCGAATTTGATGGAAGACACGTTCATGAGCGATTCCAGAACCATCAAGGCGGTATTGCCCTGTACGCCCCTGCAAGAGGCAATGCTTTCTCGTGGCCAAAGAGGGTATTATAACAAAGTACTTCTGCGCTTGTCAACCCCATCTCAGGCGATAAAGTCATACTGGAAGTCAATGACTAACAGACATGATATCCTCCGGACATGCTTTGTTACCACGACGGACTCTCAGCGGGCCATCGCTCAAATCGTACTTAATGATTGGGAAATGCCGTGGCAAGTATTCAATGTCAATGAGCTGTCTTTTGACGGGACGATCGAAGAGCATCTTAGAACTCTTCCTGATCCAGTCGACTCCAGGATACCACCGGTATCTCTGGCATTGTTGCGATATCGCGGATCCGAATTTATATCATTCATCTGCCATCATGCACTCTACGACGGGGTAGCAATGGAAAGGCTCCTGAAAGAAGTGGAAGCACTTGCAAGGGGCGAGGAGTTGCCGCCACCGGTGCCCTATAGCGAGTTCTTGAGGTTGTCTACCAGTTTGCCTGATGATGTGGAACAGTTTTGGCAACAGCATTTCCAAGACTATGTTCCATCGGCTATCTTCGCGCAGACTACCACGAGTGAGATCGACCAGAGCACCTGTACCACATCGATGGACCTGCCTCTTACCGATTTGCAAGCACGTCTTCGTAGCCTTGGGATAACCTTGCTTTCGGTCTGTCAAGCCAGCTGGGCCACAGCTCTCACTATGGCCTATCGACGTTCTGATGTGTGTTTTGGAAACGTTGTCAGCGGCCGAACACTTGATATCGAAGGACTCGACAGGCTCGTTGCACCCTGTTTCAATACGATTCCGATCAGGGTGGACCTTTCGTCGCCCTCAAGCAACATTGATGTGGTAAAGAACTTGCAAAATGTCAACACAGAAATGCTAGCCTACCAATTTACTCCACTGCGCCTGATCCAGCGAAGTATCAATCGCACTGGCAAACACATATTCGACACACTTCTTCTCCTACAGAAGCCGCTGCAGGATATAGATAAAGGTGTTTGGACGCTCGAAGGCGATTCTGGAGATATGGATATTCCCCTGGTGTGCGAGATAGTCCCTTGCCCAGGGTTAAACTCGCTTGTCGTCAACGTTCATCGTGATATGAGCATTGTGACTGAGGAAGTTGCCACCGCCATGGCCGACGTCTTCAAGCTTACACTGCGGAGTATCCTAATGGCCCCTCATGCCATGTCAAGAAGCAAAGACGAGCTTTCCGCTACCTTGCGCTTAACACTGGAACAACTTGAGCCTAGACACGAGAAAGAAGACAATACTGCTCCATCGGCCGAGAAGAAAGAAGAATGGAACCAATTTGAACTCCAAGTTCGAGGTGTCCTTGCCATGCTTTCTGGGGTACCTGAACAGCAGATACGTCGCCATACTACGATCTTTCAGTTGGGACTTGACAGTATCAATGCTGTTCAGGTGGCCTCGATTCTTCGTAGGAGTGGCTTCGTCATATCCGCCTCTGATGTGATTGAATGCCCAAGTTGTTCAAAGATAGCTGCGAAGCTACTCGAGAAGTCTTCAAATCCCAAGACAGAAGATATCCAAAAGTACGATCTCGATCGCTTTTCACGTCATGTTGCTTCAGAAATCATGGGCCACCTACCAGAATCAGCCAAAATCGAGGCCATCCTGCCCTGCACCCCTGTTCAGTCAGCTATGCTGGCGTCATTCATTCAATCCGGAGGTGATAACTACCTCAACGCAGTGAGGTACATGATCACAGAGGATACGACAATAGAGAGTCTTGCAACAGCCTGGCGTTTGCTCCAGGAGCGGCACCCTATGTTGCGCACTGGCTTCGTACCTGTTCAACACCCTGACACCTCATTCGCCATGGTCAGACATGCACCAGGCTCAATGGAAACACCTTTGAGGGCGATACAGGATAATAGAGAGTCGAGGGTCAACCTCCTACAGTTTAAGGCAGACGTCAGCGGAGAGATTCTTTCCTCGTTGCATCGACCCCCTTGGAATATACTTGTGGTACAAACCCCCGAATGTACTACAATGGATTTTGTTGCTCATCATGCTCTGTACGACGCACCAACACTCCACATGATGCTCGGAGAACTTTCACAGCTCATAGAGGGCAAGCAATTTACTCAAAGTTTGAGTATTGAGCCTGCGTTATCTGTGATTCTGGGCAACTTACTCAATGTCAAATCTTCTGAGAAGGCATTTTGGGAGGCCAAAGCCAGTAGCACTGTTGTCAACAAATTTCCTATCATGACACCGTTACGAGTTGAACAACGAGAGGTACTGACTGATGCAGCTATCGCATCGTTATCGTTTTCTGAACTCAAGAAAGCAACACAGGCTTCTAACGTAACGATCCAAGCAGCGATTCAAGCTGCTTGGACCCGGGTCTTGGCCTCGTATGTGGGCGAGAACTCGGTAGTATTTGGAGTTGCGCTCTCTGGAAGAACCGTGGACGAGACAAGAGATGCAGCATTTCCATGCCTCAACACAGTCCCTATTGTGGCAAGTAATGTGCCGTCCAATGCTGATCTAGTCAACTACATGATGGACTACAACCAGCACCTTCATAAATATCAGTTTTCTCCGCTTAGCCTGGTGCAGAAATGGCTAGGCCATTCATCGGGCCCAATTTTTGATACACTTCTTGCTTATCAGAAAATGCCAGACACCGAGCCTTCATCAACGATGTGGAAGGTTCTCGACGATGAAGCAAAGGTCGAATATCCGGTTTCGTTGGAAATCGAGCCAGTGGCGATGGATCAGGTTCGGTTGTGCATGACTTATTACAACGATGTTCTTCCAAGTGAGCAAGCACAACTCCTGATGAAGCAATTTGATGCTTCGCTGAGTCACATCGTATGCCATGCTGCTGGAACCGAAGACGATGTTATGCAGCACTCGCTAGCCCTTTATTCTGTGCTCCCTGCATCTGAACCTGCACTTGACGCTCCCGTAGAGTTGCTTCATCAGTTCGTCGAACGAGGAGCAGCTGTTCACCCGGAGAAGCTTGCTCTCGAGTTTGTATCTGCGTTTGACGGAGACGATTGTGTTAAACAACAATGGAGCTACCACGAACTCAACCTTATGGGCAATAAAGTCGCCAACATGCTTCATGACAAAGTCATTCCCGGTAGCATCGTTGCAGTGCATTTCGACAAATGCCCCGAGGCATATTTTTCTATCCTAGGTATTCTCAAAGCGGGTTGTTCGTTTGTCGCTCTTGATCCATCTGCGCCGAAAGCAAGAAAAGAATTCATCATCGAGGATTCCCAGGCCCCGTGCCTGCTCACAAAGCATTCCGAGGACCTCGACTTTGAAGTCAAAACAGCCCTTTTCGAAGTCACAACTGAAGCCTTGAATGCTTCAAGTGAAGAACGCCTCATGTTTCAACCAACCATCTCTCCGTCAGCTACCTGCTACTGTCTCTACACATCTGGTACCACAGGAACGCCCAAAGGCTGTGAGATTACCCACGACAATGCTGTACAAGCAATGATGGCGTTCCAGGACCTGTTCAAAGGCCACTGGGATGATGAATCGCGCTGGCTACAATTCGCAGCCCTTCACTTCGATGTGTCCGTACTGGAGCAGTACTGGAGCTGGTCTGTTGGAATGGCTGTCGTTGCTGCTCCGAAAGATCTTATTCTGGATGACTTAACAGCATCGATCAACAGACTTGGAATTACACACATTGACCTTACGCCGAGTCTGGCGCGCTTGACACACCCTGACGAAGTCCCTAGCCTTTGCCGTGGAGTGTTTATTACTGGCGGTGAGCAGCTCAAGCAGGAGATTCTGGATGTTTGGGGTCCAAAGGCGGTTATCTACAACGCCTATGGCCCGACCGAGGCCACTATTGGCGTTACCATGTTTCAACGCGTGCCTATCAATGGTCGCCCAAGTAATATCGGAAAGCAGTTTCCTAACGTTGGCTCATTCGTGTTCAGACAAAACACAAACACACCAGTTTTCCGTGGTGGTGTTGGCGAGCTTTGTGTGTCTGGTCGATTGGTTGGTAAAGGTTACCTCAACCGGCCCGAACTCACAGAAGAACGGTTCCCCGTTCTTGCAGAGTTCAATGAGAGAGCTTATAGGACTGGAGATCTCGTGCGAGTGTTGCATGATGGCTGTTTCGACTTTTTGGGCCGCGCTGATGACCAAGTCAAGCTGCGTGGCCAACGACTCGAGATTGCCGAGATCAACCACGTTATCCGGACTGATGTCGCAGATATTCAAGACGCTGCCACTATTGTAGCTCGACATGGAACGAGTGGGAAAGATGTATTGGTCACATTCGTTGTCAGTCAGCATCCTGAGAAGGGACAACTCCAGATTTTGCCGGATCAGGGGGGTCTGGCTGCTCAAGCGAAAGAAGCCTGCCGTGCCAAACTGCCCGGATACATGGTACCGACCTATATCCTCTCACTCCCCTACATCCCACTTTCCTCAAACAACAAGGCTGAGATCAAGGATCTTAAAAAACTGTTCGGTGAGCTGGCTCCGGAAAAACTCATGGAGCTGTCCAGTGCGGCAACAGTTCCCACTTCACAAAGTGCCCAGAAGATCGTGTCAAAATTACTCGAGACCATCTCTCAATTCAGTAACATCCGCCAAAGTGAAATTTCGTCATCAACAAGTATATTTGATGTCGGCGTGGACTCGATCACAGCCCTCAGACTTTCCTCGCTCCTCAAATCTGTTGGCCTTAAAGCAGCGTCCCCTGCCGCCTTACTGAAGAACCCGGTTATTGGCGACCTTGCGAACCTCTTAGCCAAAGTCACCTCAACAAATCAAGAAAGGCTCGTTAAGGACGCTAAACAGTCTATCCAGGCGTACGGCCATCGTCATCGAGGAATGGTTTATCGGAGCCTTGATGTTAAGCCAACCGATGTGGAATACATTGCACCATGCTCGCCATTGCAACAAGGTATAATTTCACGCTCTTTGACCAGCAGCCAGTCCGGGGCTTACTTCAACACCTTTGAGTTGAGGCTTCACCGACATACATCGGTAGAAAAACTGCAACAAGCATGGGTTGAGTTGATATCATCAGAGAGCATACTGAGAAGTGTTTTTGTACCTACCACAGATGGCTTCTTACAGGTTGCCCTGCGAGATCCTTCCTTGCCATGGACCGTACAAAGGCTTTCTTTAAGTGACATGGTTGACGCATATGTTGCAAAACAGAAAAAGGACTGGGTGCAGCGGAACGAGGCCGCTATCACTCAGCCCTTATTGCTGGCTTATGTTGAGACGCCTACATCAAGGTTACTTATCGTCCACATTTTCCATGCATTATATGACGGCAACAGTTTTGATCTGATGATGAATCGGATTGCCGAAGGCTACGAAGGTGTTCAATCACCTCATGCCCCGTCATTCTTTGAAGCACTCAGCCATGGTCCTTTGGCAAGGCACGAGAATTGCCGGGGCTTCTGGGAATCCCATCTGAACGGTTGGTCATCTGCCCCAATCAAGCAAATCCGCGATTTCATGACGGAGTCAGCGTTTACTGTCGAGCGTGAGATATCCATCACCAACCTTGAGGCCATTCGCTCTTCCCAAAATGTTACCCTTCAAGCCGTTGTGATGTCGCTATGGGCTTCAGTTTTGCAAAACTTTGCTCGTAGCCATCTCACCATGGGTGTCGTTGTTTCTGGACGTGCCATTGACCTTCCTGGAGTCGAGAGCACTATTGGCCCTATGTTCAACACTCTACCTTTCTATTGTCGAACAGCCCAAAAACAAAGTTGGAAGTCCTTTGTCCGCCGATGTCATGAGTTCAATGCATCGGTGCTCGACTTTCAACACGTGGCTCTGAAAGACATACAGAAGTGGTGCTCAAAAGGCAAGCCTTTATTCGACAATCTTTTTACATATCAGATTGAGACCGCCACCATTAACGCCGAGAATGTGCCCTTCGACATAGCGGATAGTTATGCTGCCGCTGACTACCCTCTTGCATTCGAAGCTGTCTATACGCTGTCAGGAACACTTCGACTCGCTCTTGTTGCGCAAGGGCACGTGGCATCCCCCATGGATCTGAGTAGCATCCTTGATGAGTTTGAACGTTATGCGGACTTAGCTTCACAATCACCAGAAAGCGAAGTGCCTGTCCCTGAATTCAGGGAGTCAGATGCGGATGCTCTCCACCCTGAACTTGCTTCAACACATAACCAGATCAACTTCGAATGGACCCAGGAAGCTCAAACGATACGGAATGAAATTGCTCTTCTTGCTGATGCTACTCCGGCGGATATTGCCTATGATACGTCTATTTTAGAACTGGGCCTTGACAGTATTGACGTGATCAAACTCTCGACCAAGCTCAAGAAACACAGCATACATCTGGCACCTTCGCAGATTATGCGTCACCAGACAATCTCGAATATGCTTATTGATCTGGGTGGCTGCGCTCTCAAGTCTCCGGGCTCTGCAGAGAATAGCGCGACCTTGAAGGCCCAAATCAAGCTGCGCGAACTCCTTGTGGCCTCCGGCATAGATATGATAAACGTGGAGACTGTGCTTCCATCGACTCATCTTCAAGAGTCAATGATCGTTGGAATGATCCAATCTGAATACGACTCCTATTTCAACCACAATGTTCTGCGAGTTGCGGACGACGTTGTCACTGTAGAGCTCATCGAAGCCTGGAAGGAACTCGTGAGCCGGACACCAATCTTGAGAACAGGGTTCGTTCAGATAGACGATCACGAGTCTGATGTCACATACTGCCAGGTTGTGTCGAGATCTGTTGACATAAACTTCGAGGCCACGACGATTGAGAACCTTAGTGAACTACGCCAAGTCACTGCAGAAGCAAAAGAAATGGCTAAGTGTGGGCGAGGTGAAAAGCATCTGTTTCAACTCCGGCTAGTGAACATGGGCTCAAAGCGATATGTTGTGCTTTCAATGGCACACGCTCTCTATGACGGATGGTCCTTAAGTTTGCTCTTTCAAGATCTCCATTCAATCTTTGAAGGACGACCGATCAGCCGTCCTCCTGTAGAGCCATTCATCAGCAGAGTCTTGGATTCGACAAACTCCAGAGCTCAGGAATTCTGGATGCAGTATCTCGAGGGCGCGTCACCCTCAATAGTCCCTACCCAAAAAACATTGTTACCTACGAGCGACAACACACTTCAAAGGCATGAGTTTACGTCTAGGATTGCACTGTCGAAAATCGAATCGACCTGCAAAAGACTCTCCATTAGTCTGCAATCACTCTGCCAGGCTTGCTGGGCTGTCACGCTGGCACGTCAAAAAAAGGCTCTTGATGTGGTGTTCGGCACTGTGATGTCGGGAAGAGACTTTGATGAGGCTGAGAAGATGGTGTTCCCGACAATGAACACAGTTGCTTTGCGCGGTATCTTACACGGTTCAGTCTCTGAGTTTCTTCGGTATCTGGAGGATAACATGAACGACATACGAGAATTCCAGCACTATCCACTCCGTAAAGCACAATCAGCAACCAAAGTAGACGCAGAAGGGCTCTTCAACACCTTATTTATACTTCAGAAGTCACCAAACATAGCCGGAACATCGGATCGTACTATCCTGACTTCCATAGAAGGTTCGTCAGCCACCGAGTACCCTGTTTGTGTGGAAGCCGAGGCTATATCCAATACCTTGGTTTGGAGACTCGCCTTTCAGCCTCAGCTACACTGGGATGGACCCTCTGAAGGTATTTTGGAGTCGTTGGATTGTGCTTTGAGCTTTTTGGTGAGACCGGACGACCCCGAGTTGTTGTTGTTTGAAGAAAATGGAGTATCTATTTGTGGTATGCCTGCGTTCGTTGAAGCAGGCAGCGTTGGTTCCGAGCCTATCCCGCCTACCACTCCTTTCTTGGACGTAGAGATGGAGTGGACTCCCGCGGAAGCAGGAATTCGAGACATCCTCCATCAAATCTCTGGTATCCCGCTGTCCTCCATCAAGGTCTCCGACAACCTCTATCACCTTGGCCTCGACTCAATCAGTGCCATCAAAGTGTCATCCAATATGCGAAAGGCGGGCATCAATCTTCGGCCACAAGATCTTGTCAAATCTTCAAGTATATCAGAAATGGCTCGGCGAGTCAGGAAAGAAGAAAAGACACCCCCGCAAGCGCTGGAACTCAATGGAGAATGGGAGCCACCTAAAGATATCGACGTGAAGGTACTGCTGAGCGCCAATGGTATTGCGGACGATCAGGCAGATCTTCTCCCTGCACTTCCAATGCAAATTTATATGCTGAAAGCTTGGCAGAAGGCAGAAGGATCGGTGTTCTTTCCCGAGTTCTCATACCAAATCAACACTTCTGCTGAACTGGAAGACATTCAGGGAGCTTGGGATAGGTTCGTGTCAGAAACACCCATCTTACGCACATGTTTCATTCCAACTCCTTCTGAGACTGTTCCGGTCATACAAGCCATTCTCAAACATCATCGAATTCCCCTATTGGAGTCGAACGCTGAAGACCTCTTGGAAGATCATGCCCGGTCCTTGGTTACAGCGAGGATTTCACAGCATAACGAGCATTCCTGGTTCATGCGCCTCAAGATACACCATGCGCTGTATGATGGGGTCAGTCTGACAGCTCTGTTGCGGCGATTCTCCCAGTTACTGAAAGGTGCCGTCACTGTCAATAATGAAGGCCTTACCCACTGGAAGCAATTTACTATGGGCCAGGCTACAGTCTCAGCATTGAACAAAAGGCGAGAATTTTGGACTACATATCTACAAGGTCCTTGTTTTAGCCCTAGATTCATCGAGTCGGAAGTGGAAGTTGGAAAACGAGTCTCATATTTCGACAAGTCAGCGATCTCGAACATCAGTCAGATCCAGGCTATCGCTGCCCAAATCGGCGTTTCCATCCAATCATTGTTCCTTGCAGCCTATGCTAGAGTTGTTGCCGCACAGGATGATCTTTCAGATGGCAGATCAGTCGTATTTGGCATATATCTCGCTAATCGGGCCGCCGCCAATGATGGGCTACCTCATACCTACCCTACCCTGAACCTTGTTCCCCTGAAGGTCGACTCACCAGCTCGTCGCTCTCTGCTTGACATAGCCGGAAACGTACAGAGAGATCTCCACCAGATCACGTCTGAGGGAAGATCGAATGTTGGGCTTTGGGAAATTGTTCGATGGACGGGTATACAGATCACCTCATTCGTCAACTTCCTGAGTCATTCCAACGACACAAACCCAGCTCAGGACCCTATCACCTCCATACTGGAGAAGGACTTTGACACTAGTGATGATCATGTACCCATTCAGCATCAGCAGGCCCTTCGTGAAAGCATCATCAATGTCGATATGCCGGTAAGTTCTTACACCTAGGGCTCAGATAACGATTGCTAATTTTGATCCTTGCAGTTGGCTATTGACATTGAAGCTTCAATCAGCGAGAGACATCTTGGAATTGGTGTTTTTGGGTCACAGCAGCAAATATCACATGATAAGGCTGTTTTGTTGGCCTGCAGCATCGCGGGTGTATTGAAAGAGGTCACAGGTTGTGAGCCTTAGATGGATAGGGAATTACAATTTCCAAATTTTTGGCGTCCAGGGATATAGAATTAGATTTGCTCCATCTCGTAGATAAATATATATGTATTGGTTTATGCTACTAAATCCCGCTTATTTCTGCCTGAATTCAAGGTTCAAGCACACTCCTTAACTCCCTCATGATGCATTTCGTTCTGTCGATCTCTTGTACGGTTTCAAGACCCGCACACAGATCAATCTAACCCAATAACATGATATGCGACGTAATAAATAAAGAAAGTATTTGAGATATTGGCAGCAGCAGGAAAACGGTGAGCGACAACCTATTCTGAATAGCATCAGCCACTCATACTGAATAGCCCAACATCGACCTGTCCGGGAAGAGGATGATGTTGGCTAAGCGCACGACCTCGGCCTCGGCTCTAGAAATAGATGATGCACTTGTGAGGCTCTTTGCATCCGGATCGCAATCCATCTCAACATCCTCAACGTCCTCTTCACCCTTAACCTTGGGCTTGGCCTTGTCGGGGGGAGGCGTACCAGAACGGGTGCCAGCGACCTCCCAAGGTGCAAGGCCCATAGCCTGTAAAGAAGCCGGTCCCCCCACTTCGGCGATTTCTTTTTCGCCAGGACGTGTTTCAGCGTCCTCTTCAACTATTCCTCGACCAGTCGAGTCGAAATCCGGACCTGGGTGGCCACGTTGGAATGCTTTTCTCTGGCGCGCAAGATAAAGGGCGTTTGTCTGAGTGAGTGGAGCCGCGGGAATGTACACCAGCATGCTAACTTCGCTCTTGCTACCGCTAGGTGTCTTGAGGCCATAGTTGTTGCTGGAGAGATAGTATGGTAGGTCAGGATGCCAGAATATATAGTCGCCAGGCTGCAGTGTAGGTAAAGTGATCATGCTATTCCTCAGATGCAGATGGGGGTGCCATGTTTCGGTAATTCTCTGGGCATGCCCAGGAACAGCCCCATGGATGATAGAGTCAGGCTCTCTTTGCAACTTCCAATTATCGGGAGCGAGATACGCCTCCCATTCGGGTCCAGTGCGATTCTCTGGTGGAGGATTCGTGGCCGTGAAGAAAGGTCGGAGAAGGTAATAAGCTGTTGCAAGTTTGGGCGAAGGTAGAAGTCGTACCATGCCGGGCTCGACGGTAGAAAGGGCCAAGATGCCCTGGAACATACGGAAAATGGTACAAGCGCCGTAACCGTTATAGAGATCAGTCGTCACAGACGTTCGACTGGTGCATTTCCACGGGTCATAGTCTTCCCATTTGCCATGAAAGATGTGGTTATAGGTGCCTGCGTGCTGATACCCATCCGGCTCCCAACGCTCAAGGGATCCGTTGTCGACCTGGGCAGTAATGCCTGCAGATGATTGTAAAGCTTGGATCCAGTCATCGGCCGACTGCGGGGGCTCGAGCGGCGGGACGTTCAAATTGCTGGACTGGTTCTCCCCGTTTCCGTGTACACGTATACGATCGACGTAAGTAATAGGAAGCCGGGTAACAAGTTGATCATCTTGGTTCGGTTCCCATAAACCCATCATGAAGCGTTGAGCACTGAGAACGTTAGGGTGCGCTCTTGACCGGACCTGAGCTGGAGTCCAAAAGAAGTCGAAACAAGCCGGGTCGTGCTGTAGTGCCTTTATATGGCGCTTGCTGTCAAGATAGTCGACCGTCTCACGAACGGCAGTATCGGTATCTGCCCTGGGGACAACCTTGCGAATGACACCAACGCCATATCGCTTCAGATCATGACCAAAGCGGGCAGTTTGTACAGAATCGTCAAGATCGCCAAATTCGATTGAAGGAATCAGGTGGGCGCCAAGATCTTCTATATGGCTGACATCTTTCTGCAACGCGGTGATGAGACGAGCCCAGCTAGCTTCGAGCTCAGCTTCATGACCGCGAATGAGGTTGCGCTTGATGCGCGCGAAGCGGGAAGGCAGAGCGATTGGTTCGGGACCCCAAAAGGAAATCACGGGCTGGTCTTTGTCGATAGACGAGGTGTTGATACCTGGTGTCGATCCGTTCGTTTTGGGTTTTTGCGACAATGGCGGCAGTGTATTCGACTTTAATGAGGGTAGCGACGTGGTCGTGGTGCTTGACTGGCTGCCAGCCATTGTTCCAGGTATACTCGCAGCTAATGCCGCGGCGAGCTTGGCTTCGTAGGATAGTCTGGCACTTTCTGTGACAGCAGCGTTCACCAGAGAGGCCGCAATTGGTGCTGAAAGAGTGACGCGATGACGAGATTTGGTAACGCGGCCAGTTTGTGTAAAGTTGAAGCTGTTGCCAACTGTAGCAAGTGTGGAGGAAGGGGTAGTGTTGATGTATGGGGATGCGCCTGACAGTGAGACTGAGCTGGAGTTAGAGCTGGAATTGGAGCTGGAGGGGTTTGAACGACCAGCGCGGGAGCGGGTAAGAGCAGCTCTGACCTGCTCACCTGCCACATCAGCGCCTTTTCTAGGCAAGTGCACCCCTTCTGGCTCTCGCCCTCCTTCTCCTCCCTCTCCTCCCTTCGCTCCTTCTGGCTCTTCTCCCCCTCCTCCTTCCGCCGCTATAACGGTTTCGATCCTTGTTGCCGCTCCTATGGTTGCAGCATCCCACTTCTCTTGAGCCTCTCTTAGGCTCTGTTGTTGCTTTGCTTCACGTGCACTCTTTGGCTCAAACCCGTAGAGTTGGCCGTCGTCTTGGGCTTGGGCTTGGGCCATGGGGCTGTCGTATGAAGATCCGTACGCAACTCTACCAAATCCGTGTGTAAGGCCATCTCCCACTGCTACAGCCGCCACTGCAGCTACTCCAATCGCCGAAGCCAGTCCTTGGGCATGATCCAGCATGGGCGCTGCAACTGCAACCTCTTCTTCACGCGGTGGTGGCAAGTCTACCGTCGGTGTAGCCATTGTCATATGTACCGTGGTTGAATGCTTCGAGGTGCGAATAATGTTGGTGGACGGACGGACGGCTTGAGGTGAAGTTTGGACTGCACTTCGTGTTGTTTGTTAATGGTTCAAGGAGACAATAGAAACGGTTCGCAGCCTAGATATCTCAGCCATATGTACACGGCAGTACGTTAAATCGAGTTGTTCATCAAATCCCAAAGAGTCAAGAGCAGAGTAAAGTAAATTGGTGTTCCTATACAGATTGCAGCACTTCTTCTATAAACCTCTACCAAAAAGAAGACCCAGCTGGCTGGCCCCTACCGATCGAGCCTTCTTTAGCAGGCGGCTGGCCGGACCGGGGCTCTACTAAGACCATCTCATCTATCGCCCCGGAGGATAGTCTGTCGATATCCCCATGGAGGAGTAGAGGGTCTTGGACCGTGGGGCCTGCCAGGCCTGCACAGCGGCGCAACGGTCGGGATGAATGGGCCTCCGAGCATGCTTCGGCCCTATCATCCGTCAAACCACCCACTTCGTGCCAAGCGCTCCGTCCCGAAACCCCGGCGATACCCCACACTTTTCCTTTTGGGGCAGCTGATGGGTACACGGGTCTACGGCCCATAATCCGCCTAAATACCAACCGTTATCGCCCTGAGACTGCAGAGAGTCAGGTAACAGAATGATTTGCGCAAGAGGCCCAGCATCTGGCCACATTAGACTCAAAAAGATGCCGTTTGCATATCACACATGTTGATATCTATATTATGGACCTTATCAATCATCTAGCATCTCGGCACGACACACAGTTTGACCTTATCTCAGAATCCCTGCCACCCGCCCAGAACACACTCGAAAGAATGACCTGCATTGAAAGAGGTTGTCGGAGACACCGATTGGTGCTGAATTATCCGCTTTAATCTTTTGTTTCATGATGGGATAATTCTTTGCACAGTCTCGTCTCTTATTAACCCTCCTAGGCATCTTGATCAGATTGATCTAGAATGCTCAACTAGTGGTGGAAAGTTGCCGGCCCGCAGTGCCTGTTTCACTGACACTCGTCAGGGTAAATTCCGGCGTGGTAAAAAGCTAGGCGCGTGACCTGTCTCGGTCAAACCCAAACCGACACCAGAACTAAGAGTGGTTGATACACGGTAAATCGGGCCCGAAGCCACCGAGTGATCACTGGCTGACATGCTGTGAATTGATTCTTTTTTTATTTACTTCTTCCTATGATATACTCGCTGAGATAATGCAATCAAACGCTTTTCATTTATTCATACAGGTATCAATAACAATCACTCTCTCAAGATAAAGTCTCGTAGACTATCAGGAAATTGCTCGAGAATTCTTTACAGTCGAGAGTGCTTGGGCTTCCAGCCCTGCTCTGCAGCGATGAGCTCAGCAGCTCGTTCACCCACAGCAAGAACAGTGACCATGGGGTTGATGGTAGGCATCTCAGGGAAGATACCAGCGTCGACAATACGGAGCTTGCTGATGCCACGGACCTTAAGCTCAGGGTTGACGACTGCCATTTCATCGCGCTCAACGTCACCCATCTTGGTGGTACCGGCAGGATGGTAGACGGTGTGGGCAACACGGCGCGCATACTCGCTGATCTCCTCATCAGTCTGAATCTTAAGGCCAGGGGCAACCTCCTCCTTCAGCCACTCCTTGAAGGGACTTGCTTGAGCGATCTTGCGAGCAGCCTTGATGCCATGGACGAGAGTAGCAGCATCATAACCCTCGGGATCAGTGAAGTATCGGAAATCGAGAGCGGGCTTGACAGTGGGGTCGGCTGAAGTCAAGTAGATGCGACCACGGGATCGAGGACGGGGGATGTTGGGTGTCATACAGAAAGCATATCCGTCCTTGATAATGGGGTATCCCAATCGCTCAGTGTTGAGATGGAAGGGGATCTGGTAGCAGTGCATCATGATATCGGCCGCATCGCCATCGTTGCCAGCAGCGTTCGTGGGCTCTCGTCGCAAGAAGACACCGGCGTCGGAATCCATGGTTGTCTGGTTGGCAGGAACAGCCTTGTTGAGCTCCCACATGATGATGGTCTCGGGGTGATCCAGGAGGTTCTCGCCAACACCGGGGATATCCTTGACGACGGGGATCTTGAGGTCCTCGAGCTGGGCCTTGGGGCCAATACCGGAATGAAGAAGGAGTCGCGGGGTATCAACTGCACCAGCGGACAAGATAATCTCCTGGCGAGGATGGAGGGTGTGCTTCTCGCCGGACTTTAGGGTAACATCGATTCCGGTAGCCACATCGTTCTCGACAATGACCTTGGAGACATGGGCCTCCGTAAGGACCGTCAAATTGGGTCGTCGCTCATCGCCGCGGAGAATGGGGTGGATGTAGGCAACAGAAGCGCTGCTGCGGTGACCGGTGTCGGGGTTGTAGGAGACGGAGAAGAAACCAGCGCCCTGGGTCAATTGGCCCTTCTCAGCGATTTCGTGGTTGAAGTCGTGGATGATGGGAATGCCCATGGCCTCAGAGCAAGCCTTGACCCAGTCCTTGGTCAGCTGGTTGCGATGACGGCGGTGGACGGGGTTCAGCTGGTTGCGCAAGTTGTCGACGTTGCCCATAACAGTCTCGAAATCCCAACCCTTGCAGCCCTGAGCGACCCAACGATCCATATCGTGGCGGAAGGGACGGAATGAGATGAGAGTGTTGTGAGAGGAGCATCCACCGAGGACCTTGGCGCGCGAGTGTCGGATGTGGCTGTTGCCATTGGGCTGCTCGGTTGTGGGATAGTCGTAGTCGAGATCACCACCGAGAAGAGACAGCCACTCTCGAAGGTTCAAGACGTTGTTGAGGCCAAAGTCCGAGGGACCAGCCTCGATCATGAGGACCTTGTGCTCAGGGAGATAAGAAGAGAGACGGGAAGCCAGGACACAGCCAGCGGTGCCACCGCCTACAATGATGTAGTCATAGGCGGAGCTGGCGGAGGAGGGAAGAGACTCGGTAGTCATGTTGAAGATGTATGAAGATGTATGAAGATGTGTGAGGATGTATGTGGGAAGGACAGAGTCAGGTACGAGATTTAGTGAGGGTATATAGATAGTGAAAGTGCTCGGCCGGGTCAACGGAAAAGGTATCAACTAATTGTCAGAGTGCTTGAGGAGAGATGAAGCAAGCACGACTGGAGATGAGGAAAAACAAGAGCTCTTGTACTTGGGGATCGAGGCGATCAAGATCTTTTTGAAGTGGACGGACATCAGCTCGTGGTGGGGTCCCGGGACTCGGAAGGGTGCTTGAGGACATTGTACAGTGTGAGTATATTCCATCTACATGGTGTCCAGCCTTGACTTGAGGTACCGTTTTGGCTGCTCAAGGTACCGCCTAGTTGGAAAAGGTCGATTCCAATTGGCTTGAGACACCAACACTCTCAGCAAGGCTGGTGAGTGGATCAAAACACCAAAACGGGCGGCAGCGGCGATGGCTGAAGTCTAAGGAACAAGAAAAACTGGCTGAGCATCAATCAACTCGCTCGAACCTAGCAGAGCGGGGCCTTGACGGGGGGCCCAACGGCAAAAAACCTCTTCACCGACTCCGGGACACTTTTTTCGGTGTTACCGAAGTTTAGATAGCTGGGCCAGAGAACCAACAACTCCATGACGTTGTATTATCTTGGACTATACGGGCGATAAGGGTGAAAGCAGGCTAGAGCTGCAAGATAGCTAGGATTGCAAAGTCAAAATCATTGAATCTGGCCATGTGAGCCGCGGAAGGATTGGCTAGCTAGCTACGGTAGAGCAGATGCAGTGTATAGATCCTGGGGTTACCAGTGTCTTGCATGCTTGCAATCTCAAGTCAACATCGTCGAGACCGATTCAATGCCCCATCTGGCCGCCATAACCGCCTGAACAGCGCTGACGCGGCGACTTTTGGTGAAATTATTCGGTCTGAAAACGGGGTGGGGCCGTTCGACGGCGAAAAGAATGGAGTATAGGGAGCTCCGCTGACCGGATCCGGCTGCTGGAAAGCTCCGAAACCAACAATGTCAAAGCTCTGATGGTCAATACTCATGATTTACCGCACGTAGCGCGAGAGCATGCGCTCAAGAGACTTGATATCTACTTGTGATTGCTTGTCCCGGCCCAGGCGCAGGGTATGGGTATGTGCTAGCTACATCAGCTTGTGCGTGAGCAAAGTGATGATACGATATATCAAAGTACGATAAGACGGACGGCACAGAGCCGCCGTTCTCCGTGAATTAGCCCAGGTTTGTATGTTGATATCTCAGAACAATGGCTCACTAATGTGCACGAAGTGCCTATTCTGGCTTCGCGTCTGACTTCACCCGCGGCTTCGCCTTGAGCGAATCCTGTTGGGCCTTTGTTCTGCATTCTGCATTCTGCAGGGACGGTGCTTTGTACCGCTAAAACCCCATGTTGCCAAGTTTGAAGTGTTCGTTAGCATACTAATTAGGTAAAGCGTGGCTGGGGTACCCAGCCGTCAGATCGATAATCTATCTCCAAGATCGATTTGTACTGACATGTGGCATGGGACAGTGTGTTCCACTCTTTCGTTTTTCTCTCTTTTCCCATCATTCGACAGATAGTGAATGAGTGACATTCGCTTGTAGCTTGCCGACGCAGTGAAACTAGCTGTGGCTAGCTGATTGATAAACACTTCGCACAAACTTTACACATCCAACAGGTACCTACTTGCTGGAGGATACACGAAGCTCACCAGCAGGAGGCGTTTGAGCAAGACTCTGATGCTTGGCAATGACGTGAATATATCCACTCCAGCAGTGCTGCTTCACGCTAGGGATAGGAACCAGCCATTCCTTGGCTTGGCATTTTTCGGCACTGTCTGAACTGAAGGCTGGGCTGAGCTAGTGTGGGTTTGGGTGGTAAAGAAACAAGGGTTGGTTTTTTGGCAGGGACGCACACCAAATCATGCCTGAAGTTTTCTGTAAAGCGAGGCGACTTTCTACTGTGGAGACTGCACGAGAAGTTGGGCCGCCCATATCTTTTGATGTTCTTTTTCTTCGCGAAACAAAAAGTGGTCTGATGGCATGCGGGCTGACTGTGCAGAGCCAATACCCTCCGCATCATTACAACGTTGAGGCGTTCAAGTCGCGACGACGGGTTCGCAACGGCTTTCAATTGCTGTCAGTTTGACATGGCACAAAGTTTGCTCGAGTCATGCCTGTACAGCTCTTCGCCAGGCTTGTTGATCTCATCACGTCACGGACAGGGCACCAGGCTCAGAAACCAGTATGGTTCTTTCACAGGACCGGTTCTGATGTTGCTTAACTGTACTCCGTATATGTATGTACCGAGTTGGCTGTAAGGTCAACAATGCTTGAGTAGCTTTTTACTGGTTGGCCAACTAGAGATACTGTATCACACAGTATGATCTAGACCTGTGCCTTGTATCTCGCTAGAACAGGAAGGTACCTGGCATCCGGTAATAGTGGGACAGCCGGCATGTCTATCAACGGACGGCATTTCGCCTTGATCCTCACATCCTTTATTATCCTACTTACATCGGTCGTTGCCAGTTTCCACACTTAGCAGAACATACTTCTCCATCAGTTCGGACTCGGAATACTACAATTGATCGTACCACATTTCCTTGTTGCATTCGTATCCTTCCAGGATCCTTCCCTTCACCCACAATGACTTTCTCATCTGAGATTCACACCTTCCACTCTGGTCGGCCACAGTCCGAGTCTTCGTCACGGTCAAACACATTTGTATCGGTTGACCCCAGTAACGCGAAGCCACTCGCAACTATCTACACTACCACACCAGAGCAGCTTAACGAGACCGTCACAGCTGCTCAAAAGGCTTTCCCTGTCTGGTCTCAAACACCAGCACCTCAACGAGCTGCCATTCTCCTCAAAGCTGCCAATATCCTCCGCGAGCGCAATGACGACCTTGCGCTAACGGAAACCCTCGATACCGGCAAGCCTTGGTCGGAAACTTCAGCTGTTGACGTTGCAACTGGTGCCGATGTCCTAGAGTATTACGCACACATGGCTGCTGGCAGCTTCCCTGGCCAAAACACTCGGCTTCGTGCTGATGCTTTTGTCCTTACCACCCACGAGCCCCTGGGTGTTTGTGCCGGCATTGGCGCCTGGAACTATCCTATCCAAATCGCTCTCTGGAAATCGGCACCATGCCTAGCAGCGGGCAATTGTATGGTGTATAAGCCCAGTGAGGTTACGCCTTTACACGCCCAGACACTCGCTCAGATTTATATTGAGGCAGGTGTGCCTCCTGGTGTCTTCAACGTTGTCTATGGCGATGGTATTGCCGTGGGAGCTCCCCTCGTGGCTCACAGCGATATCGCCAAGGTCAGCTTCACCGGTCAAGTCAGTACAGGCAGCAAAGTCGCGAGCCAAGCAGTCAAGGATATGAAGGGTGTTACCATGGAGCTTGGCGGTAAGAGCCCACTTGTCATCCTCCCAGATGCCGATGTAGATGAAGCAGCCGACACGGCTATGGTTGCCAACTTCTTCTCCACGGGACAAGTGTGTACCAACGGAACCCGTGTATTTGTCCCAGACACTCTACTGGAGCAGGTTGAGCAAGCGATCTTGCAACGCTGCCGTGAAGGAATTCGAATGGGCATGCCACAAAACAAGGATACCAACTTCGGCCCAATGGTAAGCGCCGCTCAGCAGGAGAAGGTGAAGATGTACATCGAACACGGCCGAACAGTGGACAAGGCGAAGGTGCTGTTTGATGGATCCCAGGATACCAAGATGGCCCAACCAACTGCCGATGGCTTTTGGGTCCATCCTGCTGTGTTCACTAACTGCACTGACGATATGCGTATTGCAAGAGAAGAGATCTTTGGCCCTGTCATGTGTATTATGCCGTACAAAACTCAGGGACGCCCTCAACAGGAGTGGTTGTCGGATCTTGTAGCCCGAGCCAATGACACTCCCATGGGACTCGCTGCAGGTGTTATTTCATCGGATGTTGGACTCGCACAGGAAGTCGTTCAAAAACTGGACGCTGGCATAACTTGGATCAACACATGGGGTGAGTCCCCAGCCGAAATGCCGGTAGGAGGTTGGAAGATGAGCGGCATAGGCTTGGAGAATGGCCACGAGGGCATATCGGCATATATGAGGACAAAAAGCACGCTGGTTCAATTAGGCAAGGGAGCTTGTAAAGGTGTTTTCTCTAAGCTCTAAGTGTTAGTAGAGAACAAGTGAAGATATAGATATAATTAAGTGGGTAACCTTATTGAATTTGAGTCACTGCTGCTTTTCGGTCTGTGTAGGGACCTCTATTGTTGATATTTCTGTGGTTTTAATTAGGATAGCTAGATCTCTTTTTTAAAGGTGCTACCAAGCTTAATATAAATATAAATAATTATTATTATAAATAAAGAGGCTAGGTACCTAAAAGATTATATAACTTAAGATAATAAGTATAACCTTAGCCTTCTGATTTATAAGCTTTATATTTACCTTAATAATATACTATTAATTAATATTATTAAATAGGCCTTTTAGGTTTTTAAAAATATTAAGATTTTTAGTTATTATTTTAAAAGCTACCTCTTAACTATATAAGAATTCCCCTTTATATACCTTAATTATATTATTATTATTAACTAGCTAGAGGTCTTTATAAAAGGTAGGTATAAAGATAGGTATATTAATTAATATTTATATTAAGCCTAGTAATACCTTTAGAAAAAAGAGATCTAGTTATTTTAATTAAATTTATAAAAATATTAATAATAAAAGTCTATATATAAACTAAAAAGTAATAATATCTTAAATTTAATAAGATTACTTATTAAATTAGCTATAGCTTTATTTCCTTAGTTATATTACTATTAAATTACTATTAGTTACCTCTTATTTTATTTAATTACTATAGGGAGGGGTTATTAAGTTATATAATCTTACTTAATTAATTATAGTAATTTCTTTCTTTAGACTAAAGGACTTTTTAACTATTTATAAAAGACTTTATCTTAATTAATAATATATATAAATTTTCCTTTTATAACTCTAACCTTAATAGTCTTTTTATAACCCTTAAAGGGCTATATTAATTAATATAGCCTAGCTAATTAACTATATAATCTATATCCTATGGCCTGTTTTTACAGTATTAAAGTATAATACTATAAGGTAAGGTACTTATTATAATAATAAATTAAAAGATTAACTAGTTTAGATATAATATATCTAAGCTACTTTCTATATTAATATATAAAGGGTCTTGATTGATACCTTTATAATTATCCCCCTTTTATTAATAATATATCCTGAATTATAATCAGGCCGTTTAACCTTATAACCTTTTATACCCTATATTTAATAGCTTAGTAACTTAATACCTATATTAAATACTAAAGGTATAATATAATTAATATTAATCCCTAAGGTAATTAAAGTCCTTTATAAGCTTAATATAACCTATTATAATAATAAGTCTATAGATGTTAATTAGAAAGAAACCCTTTTTTAATAGGGAAAGAACTAGGGGTTAAATATAAAACCTTTATATAGTAAAAGACCTATATTATATTTAAATAATTATAATACTATAAGAAAAGATACTTATTATGGTAATAAATTAAAAGATTAATTAGTTTAGATATAATATATCTAAGCTACCTTTTATATTAATATATAAGGGGTCTTAATTAATACCTTTATATAAGGAAGTCTTTCTTTTTACCTTTAAGGCCTCTATCCTTCCTTAGCGTTTTAAGTAAATATATTTCCTTTTTAAACTAATAATACTGGCTATAAAAAAGGCCTAGGCTTTTTAAAACCTTATAGTTAAAAATAATAAAGGCTAATACCTTTTTATTAATCTTAATATTTTACTTAATTCTTAATAACTTACTAACCTTTTTTTATAGCTTTTTAATACTTTTATTATTAATAAAAGCTTTTGATATATTAATTATAACTTTATTACTAGGCTATATTTTATTATAAAGATCTAGTCCTATTTATAGACTTAGGTAAGGGGCTTTAATTATAATTAATATCTTAATTATAATTAAGGTTAGCTTTCTTAATTTACTTAAGCTAATAGGTTTACTCTTAGCTTAATAGGTTATTTATTACAATCTTTTTATATAGGTTAATTAAAGTAAAGTATAAAGAGGGAAAAATAGCCTTAATAGTAATTCTTATAGGGGTTTTTATATTATTAAGAAATAGAGTTATAGTTAATATAATAAATAACCTTATTAGATTTAAAGTATTATTACTTTTCAGTCTATATAAAGACCTGTATTATTAATATTCTTATAGATTTAATTAGGATAGCTAGATCTCTTTTTTAAAGGTACTACTAGGCTTTATATAAATAGCTTTATTTTTTAATAATATAAAAACCCCTATTAAGGCTACTTTTTTATTTTTATACTTTACTTTAATTAACCTATATTTATATAAAAAGATTATAATAAATAACCTATTAAGATCTTTACTTATCTATAAATCAGCTTATTAATTATAAATAATTTAATTAAGCTAACCTTAATTATAATTAAGATATTAACTATAATTAGGATACTAATTATAATTAATATCCCTATTTATTAATATCTATATAAGGCTATAGATTTATAAAATATTATTATAACTTAATACTATTATTAATATAACTAGATTATATAGTAATACTATCCTTAGGGACTATAAAGAAATATAAAAAAAGGCCGGTAAGTTAATAATAGTTAAGTAAAATAATAAAATTAATAAAAAGCTACTAGTCCTTAGTATTTTTAATTATAATATTATATTAACCCTAGGCTATTATTATAATTAATATTACTAATTTAATAAGAATATTAATTTACTTAAAGAGCTATAAGGAAATAAAAGCCTTAAAGACTTCTTTAATACCTTAGAAATAGGCTATAAGATATAGATTATATAGGTTATTAACTAGGCTATATTAATTAATAAGACTCTTTAAGGGTATTAAAGAAATTAATAAAGTGCGGTTTTATAAACTATTAAAAGATATAAAAGGAAAGTTTATATATATTACTAGTTAAGATAGAGTTTTTTTATTAAAGGATAAAAAGTCCTTTAGTTTAAAGAAAGAAGTTACTATAATTAATTAACTAAGATTATATAACTTAATAACCACTTTTTATAGTAACTAAATAAGATAAAAGGTAATTAATAGTAATTTAATAGTAATATAACTAAGATATATAATATAGCTATATCTATAAAAGCTAGCTTCCTTTATACCCTTAACTTAATCTATACTATAAGCTAGTTAATTAACCCCTATAACTATAGTTAGTTAATTAACCTCTAGTCCTTTATATTTTAGTTTATATTACTAACCTTTCTTATAGTTATTATAATAAGTATTACCCTAGTTATATTACTATTAAACTACTACTAGTTACTTTATATATCTTATCTATAAGGTTACTAGATTAGTTACTAAATAATTAGTTAGACTAGTAGCTAACTAGTTATTTAACTAATTAGGTATAACTAATTAGTTATTAATAGGGTTACTAGACTAGTTAGACTTAGTTAGTTTAGAAATAAGTCTCTTTAATTAAATATTAAATATTATTTAGTTAATATTAATTTTTAAATTTAAAATATAAATTAATTTTAAAATTTATATAGTAAATTAAGTCTTAGTTATATGATAATTATATTACTATTAATTACCTTACCTATCTTATTTAGTTACTATATAGAAGGTCTTTCAGGTTATATTTTTATTTACTTTAACCTTTAACTTTATTAAGCCTAGGCTTTTTAAATCTCTTAATAATATTAATAATAAAAATAACCTCTTTTAAGGTTAAAAACTTAATATAATTAGGATATTAAATATTATATATAGTAATTAAACTTTAATTAAATAAATATATATATTACATAACTATATATATAAAAACTAGCTTCCTCCCTATACCCCTTAACCTAATTTATATTATAAGCTAGTTAATTAACCCTTATAGCTATAGTTAGTTAATTAACCCTTACCCTTTAGTCTATATTACTAACCACTTTTATAGCTATTATAATAAGTATTAAAATAATAAAAACCTACTATAATATAAGCCTTAGTTTAAAATATAAAAAGATTAATAAAGTATTAAAAAATTACTATAAGATAAAGCGTAAGGGAGTTAAGTAAAAGGCTAGAAACCTTAGAATTAATATAGAATAGAATATAAAAGACTTTTTATTACCTCCTTATAGTAAATAAAATAATCTTTATTTAGTTATATTAATTACCTTTAGCTATAAGCTTTTAGTATTTTCTTATATAAAAGAAAAAGCTAAATATATAATATATAAAAATATAACTTAAAAGCCTAAAAAGCCTAGAAAATAGGCTTATAAAAGGCTAGTCTTGAAGATTAATATCTCTTTTATTAAGGTATTTAAGTTAAAGTATATAAATTAATATAATAACTTAGAGAAGTAGGTTAATAATATAATTAAGATCTTTAAGAATAAGAAGTAAAGAGAAGTTATATATAAGGCGTTAAGGGGCTAGGGTAGAAAGGTAGAAGGTTAAAATATATTAGAGAAATATATATTTAGAGTTAAAGTTAAATTTAAGGTAGCCTAAAGTTAAAGGGAGTTTTAGGCTAAGGAATTAAATTAGATTATATAATCTTTATTAAAATCCTATTATACTTATTTCTATAATATAATATCTAATGTTATTAATAATATTATTAATTAGGGTTTTAGGTTATATAATTTTAGTTAATTAATTATAGTAGTTTCTTTTCCTAGTTAATAATATTATTAATAATATTATATATTATATTATAGACGTAGGTATAATAGGATTTTAATAAAGGCTATATAATCTAATTTAATTCCTTAGCCTAAAGCTACCTTTAACTTTAGGCTACCTTAACTTTAACTTTAACTCTAACTAACAGAATATATATTCCTTTAAGTAATATATTTTAACCTTCTACCTTTCTGCCTTAGCCCCTTAGTGCCTAATATATAACCTTTATTACCCCTAGTTAATAATAGTATTGATAATATTGTGCGTTATATTACGGTATAGTGGGATTTTAATAAGGGCTACGTAATCTAATTTAATTCCTTAGCCTAAAGCTACCTTTAACTTTAGGCTGCCTTAACTTTAACTTTAACTCTAAATATATATTCCTTTAAGTA